CTATCAATGTGTCAATGCATGAGCGCGCAATGACTTGTGTATGCGAATCCATTCCCTCAGAACTCATCTCCCAGTACTAAGACAGCTGGACTATGATAATCGATAATCTTGCTATCACTGACTTGACCCAGTATTGCTGTGTGATTTGGCTGTTACAGCATTCTCCAAGCTCTCTTTCTCCTCTCAAATGCTACGTTATTTGTATGCAAGCAAATGACAACAAGACAATATCAGCATTAGTGATAAATTAAAAAGTTACCTCAGTGACTGCTCCTGACAAATGGCTGCGATCTATGGAGTGATAGCGAGAGGTCTGTTTCCTTGAGACATACCTTGGCTCGGTGATTGAGAGCTGATTCTGTTACCAAATATTACTGGATAGCTGACTCAAAATCCAGCCACAACAAGTTTGTGTACTGCTCAGATACTTAACAAAACCAGCGGGAGAGTTAAACTTTGGCCTACCTGTGATTAGGGTCTATTTACTTGTTGGTGGTTTTTTGAGTGCCGCTGATACTACCAGTACCAAGCCTTCATGATTTGATTGACCCTGGTCGGCCAAGTCGGCATGTAGCGACTTGCGAAGTGCTCCCATCACGCACTGGCTTGTATACCGCTATGCACAAGGGCACCATGCCAGCTGTGTTCAGAACTAACATGCTATGACTTCATAGGTGATGCTCAAGGTGTAACACCAAGTACAAAGGGTCAACATGTGAGCACAAAGGGTCAACATGTGACCAGGATTACATGTTGCGACTGCCAATGCACTTGTGTCACCAGAGTCACACTTATGCAATTGGACTCACATATTGGTGATATCATTTGTGACTGGAGTCACAAATATGTGACCAGAGTTGCAATACACATCCAGAGTCGTAATTGTGCAACTGCTCTGGTTGCAAGGTCACTAGGGAACACGCTCATCAGAATAGCATATATAGCAGATCAATTGGGTCTGATTTCTCTTTCCCCTCTCATGTACAACTTTACTTTTGTGCAAGCAACATTAATTCATCTTCACAACAAGACATGTTGTGAAGTAACAACTAGATCCACCAAGGTTGGTTACTTGATGTACCTAGGCAATAGTAATGGTATGTTACTAGTGCTGATCTTGTCTTGTCATGAAGATGAATCAATGTTGCTTGCATAAAAGTAAAATAGTACATAAGAGGGGAGGAAGAAATCAGGCCAAACTGGCCTCCTATATATACTCTTCTGATGTTAGCCTCCATGGCTCCACAACCCCTTGAAACCTGTACATTCTACAGGATTCCCTGTGAATTGTACAAAGTACGAAGTACAATGTACATTCTACGAAATGAGGCTTTGTGATTGAGATTGCACCTTTGATGATGTCATCACCTGTGATATCATATCATCCCAATCTTCAACAAGACAAGATCAGCACTAGTAACACACCATTACTATTGCCTAGGTACATCAAGTAACCAACCTTGTTGGATCCAGTTGTGACTACACCAAGTTAATTGCCTCATACAAGGTCCCAATGAGAACAATCAGAATCCACAACCTCCCTGGTTGTCTAAGATTGATATTTGGCCAAGTCATACATAGTTTCACATTCCAAACTGGGTACTTGACTTTACACTTTGTATGTTTTACAATGTACAACCACCTCTTATCTTTGTACTCCCAGTCTACTCATGAGTATATATATATATATATATATAGGAGGCTGGAGGAAGGGGATCAGGGTACAAAACTCTCCCCTTCACTCTTCACTCATCTTACTACCTAGTCACAACACCCTATGTTAGTGTCTTCCTGCACAACAAAGTCACCTTCACACACAACAACCTTCTACAACCCCTTTTTGGCTACCCTTGTTGCTTCTTCCAATGGGTGTTGGAGAGAGTAAGACAATTGTTTTTCCAAGGAGAAGTATTGAGACAACTGCAAGAACCAGATCAATAAGTTGCCAGAAAGCCAATGCTTCCCCCCAAATAAGCCTTGGTCCATCACACTGGCGTTCTTGGATTTCCTCTTCTTGTCCTTGTGTCTCGCTTTGCAATCCACCCTATGCTCTGCCAAGCCCTGTTGTCTTTTGGTCTGTCAATCTTGTTGATCTGATGTTCCTGTAGACATTTTGAGTGCAGACATAAAGCTGCTACTGATGCACAGAATGCACAAAGATTGAGCTTCTTGCTCTGATACCTAGTGGCACACAGGGTTTGTGAGATCAACGGAAAAACTTCAGGTCCCCATGGCTCATCCGGTCAGTGAGTTTTTGAATGCATATTGGCCAAGGGGACAAGGTCTTGATTCTCTGTCGGCTGTTCTCAGTCTAACTCAGCTTCAAAGACCTTAACCCTCCTCTCTGTCTCACTATCACACTTTTACTCCCTGTTGCTGCCGCCTTTGACAAAGACTCAATGGACAGCAGCTTGGTATGCTGCATCTCACTGGAAGCCGGCTCAGTGGAAAGCGGCTCGGTGAAGCTGTGCCTGTTATATCTGGACAATACTGCAGAAGTCCCCATATGCCTAGCCCAGATGCACTGGTTCCATACTCTACATTGTTACAGGCGTCCTCGAACATCAATCTTAGGGTTGTTTCCATACCTGCTTCTATTACAACTAAATGGCAAGTCAATAGTTGCAAGTCACAGGTTTCTGGATGCAAGCAAAGTTGAATCACATGACTATAATGTTTCACGGTATTTCTCCAGTTCTGGAGTGAAGTCGTGGCACTGCACTAACGATTGCAAGTTTGTTGGTGATTTGGTACCCTTTCCTAACACATCTTCATAAAGTAAGCCAAGGTATAGGTGTATGTCAGATGTGATGAATCCTGAATTATATGAAAGTACAATTGACTTGGACAGCTTCTCGACAATTTGCCCTCCATTACATACCTACTTCATACCTGCATTCTTACCCCCTAGCTTTGCTATTGTTCTTCAGCTTCAGCAGAATTTGTACAAAGCTCCTTTGATAGACAGACATAAGATGTTAGGCAAAAAAGAGCACCCAAAACAGTATAGCCCTTTGGCACATTGATGCAATTGATGCAGATGGCAATAACATCTTGTATTCTCACTTCATGACAGCTTCATTATTGCTCTCCAACTTATGCCAGGATTTGTGCAAAGCTCCTTAGCTCTTGAACGAAGGTCTAAGGTCCGTGAGCGACCCCCGTCGGGGATCCCCCTGGACAGGCTGACGGGATGCAGGAATGGGGCAAGGTATGGGTAGACATCTGAATGTAATAACGGATGTAGAGCTATTACAGAGGTACTAGATCTACATCACAACAACAATACCGAAAAGTACCCCCCCCAGGGGTCGAATACAGGAGTGGCGTACGGCGCATCCGATGTGTCACGTGATACCTATAACAAAAGGATGTTATCTGTCAATGACTTGTTCTGGTGAACATCAGAACTAAATGGGTGAGGGCATACAATTCCTTTGTTGTATTTGCTGCCCAATAACACTTGCCAGAGGTAGCAGAGTTGTATGTAGGCACTGGTGTTCAGTTCCTCTAATTGATGTGTGGAGGTACTCACCATACTTCCTCTGTCCCAGCGTTCCTTTAGTTTGGCTTTCAGGTAGGTCCCTTCTCTACCTCTTCCTCATTTCTACAGTGACAAAATCATCTAGATACAACAAGAGGAACCTGTCCCTCCATCAATGAAATGGCCAGCTGCAGGTGCGACTTGGGGAGCCAGCCACAATTGCGCTCCCTGCCCGACTTCGCCTCTGGCTCCTGTTTGGGCCTTTAGCGCCTAAATCTACTAAGGGTGGTGAGCTTGTCCTCTGATGCATCTCAAGCTTCCGCTTAGACACCCAGTACCTAGGCTTTTGAAGGTGGCGTGTGTTATGCATGAATAGTGTGTGTGGCTGATGCAGGGTCTAACCAGAGGAACTCCTGATCCTCCTTTCACGGCCGGCAGCCTTGTGCTGGAATGCAGCTGTGTCCTTAGCCTTGTCTTGCAATCGATGCAAGGTCAACGGGTTGTTGACCAAGTGCGGCTGTGGTCATGGCTTACAATTTGTTTGGATTGGATGCGCTTGTTAGGAGCTAGGGGTTTGGCAACTGGATGCTACCCGACAGAATGTTGTAGGATGAGATGCTGTAGAACGATTTACCGACTGGTGTTGATGGGGAAAGTATACAAAGGATATGAATCGAGAGGAGTCTAAGAATAGGGCGAGACATGTCGATATGTACGGTCACTTCCGTATACGGACTCCCCACTTCATCGACCCTATATCTCAAGTACATCCGTGAGCCCATGGTACCATTCGTCTGCTATTTGTATCACCACAGACACTCCACAATACAAGAGAAGATCCATGGTCATGGAGTGGAAGGTACAGAAGCACAACGTGAGTTTCTCATGAGTTGCCGGACGACCCCAGCAAAGGGGGAGCTAGTCTGAGGTGGGACTCAATATTGAAAGGAGGACTACTTCAGGTACGGCGACGGAGCTCGAGGTTGATAAGGCAAACCTTGAGTTCTCCCGGCTGGTCAGCCAACTTTGCCGCCAGAAAGGTACACATCGAGCGGTCAGGTATTGAGACTCCGTAGTCTCAACCTACATCGGACGGGGCGGCCTGAACCTTGAAGTATACTCAATGCTACGCATCTGTCTACGTGTCTACGGAGCTACGGATAGATATGTGGAGCCCGCTCTCGTCGGGGTCCTGGTCAATGTTACCGCTTCCGAAAGCCGTCGAAACGCATGCCAGCGCTGGAACGCCATACCCCAAGTTTCAAATCGAAGACATAGCTGCCTTGTTTAACGTGCATCTTCATTTTGGGTTGATAGATGATGTGACAAAGTCTTTGGGCGCTTGCGCTCCCTTGTCTGACGTCTGGCTAATCGAGAGAACTGCTACCATGGCAGAGAGACCAGCATGGTCACAGATCTTTCGTGACTGGGCAGACGATGACATCTCCTGACGATTGACGGGCATAAGCACAGCAGACCCGAACGACGGCGCGAAAATCATCACCGGTTGAAACGGACACGGGGTATACTACAGTTGTCCATAAGCAGTCGTTGCGAAAGGCTGGAGCACCGTAACCTCTGAATGGCCAGTGATTCAGTAACGACATTCCGTAAAAGCGTGTAGGTCATTAAGGTATCGTGATTACAACGTCATTTTCCCGATCTGAGCGCCGAGTTTGGTCGTGTCCGGAGTAGCGATAGCCTCGTAAGGATGCGTCGTGCAGCCAGCCAATCGCCACGGCTTCGCGCAGCCCTCACGAGCAATCTACCCAGTGGCCTGACGTGCCGTTCATAAGACGCCGAGTCTGATTGTGATGGCTCATCGCCAGCCGGGGAGGGCACTCTCGTGTCTCCCGTGTTACTCAAAAGCTGATCCAGCATTGCATGATCCAGAAGGGAGTGAAGTGTTCGCCCGACCCGTGGTTTATCAACGATACCGTTGACCGGCGTGGTCAAGCGCAGGCGACTCGGTGCTTCGAGGCTTCTCAGCCAGCACTTCAGTGCGATATTCGCAGTCACACGATTGGGCCTGAACCCCCGCTGCTTGTGCTGGTGGATGATGGCGAACAGGCGGGCAACCTGAGATCCGCTCCGAGACGGTCGATCGCTCGAGCTGGCGAGTGCGTGACCATCGCTCGGCGGACGTCCATGACGTCGTCGCCGACCTGCCATCGACAGTGATCCCGCACGCAAGAACTCAGATAATTTCGTGTTGACCGCTATCGTCGGGGATAGTGCAATGGGTACGGGAGATACGCCTGCGACCTTTCTCATGGTTCCCATACGTAGATCTTGGTGGATCGCTTCCAGAACCTTGGCCTGTGCTGGCAAGACCCCTCGCTTCCACACATGTGCCCGATGCAGACGCTCCCACGCTTCTCCACGGGAATAACCTGCCGGAGGCATGCCAAGCCTAGCGGCCATCCCGGTAAGCCCCAACTCCCGCAACGATGGCTTCTTGCCGAGGTTGGGTATTGGCTTTCCATCGGTTTCATTTCGACCAACATTCTCAAACATGGTCCTTCGAACGTAACCCAACAGCTCTTCGTCCTGTCGCAGCTCAGGGTCCGCCATGACTTCGAAAACGGCCTGTCGAAATCGGCGTTTCGCAAGGGCTTGCTTTAGCTCTGGATGGCGTCTCAACAGACGTTTGAGCGACCTTCGACGGTTGCTATCGTTGGCTTTCGGGTTCGTCTCCTTCGTTCTGGCGGTCGAGTCGAGACAGTCTGCCGAGTCGAGGAGACGAGAAGACGCAGGGATTTCTGGCGCAAGATCATCGTGCGAAGCAGTATCGGTCGCGAGCTCTATCTTGACCGCCAAGACATTAGCTAGATTTCCGGCAGTCGTCTAGGTCCGAAGATTTTGCCTACCTGATGTTGCATGGGTGGTGAACACCTCTGCCCGGGTCTCTGACAATCTATTCTGTAGATTACCCGATGGTATGTTCCTGGATCCGGATGACGATGCTGCCGTTTGCCAAACCTCATGGGGACAAGTGGCTCGATTACCTACTCTCCCCGCCAGCAGTTGGCTGTGGGGATTGCTGCTATATCTTTCATCCGAAGCGACGTAGGGCGGAATTATCGGAGCTTGAACGGTGTCGAGAGGTTGGTAGAACCGCGTTTCCGCAACGGACAAGTGTCTGCTCCGCTCTTCCGTACGACATACTTGGTGAACGTTCGGCCGAGCTTCTTGTGCTTGTCGAGCGGGTACGGACAAGCGTCGTGAGCGAGGGAAGGTAAGGAGCAGATCCCTTGTACAGGACAAGCTCTTTTTCATGTCCCAGCTCTGCCCATACCCGTCCTATCCGGGTTAACGAAATGCAGGAGCGCTTCAGACGACAAGGTCGTATGCACGGACGTTCATTCTCGATGACTCACCCGGCGATATTGGCTGGAGTATGCCGTCCTGTCGTATGGCACGATGACCTAGGACTGCTTGACGGCGCCGTTCCGAGCCAGGCTCAACCGATTCTACCCGTCCGCGTGATGGTGCGAGCGACGGATCCTCTTGACCCGTGATCTCCAAAGCTGTGATAGTCTATAGGGTCACGACAGTAACTAAGGCTCTAGACTTGCTGCGACGATGTGAAAGAGTTGAACGACAACCACAAATAATCACCATCGACTGCTTCTGACTGCTGCAAGGGCGTTTCGACATTTTGGCGCGTCGCGCTTCTTTTCGCTCAGAGAGCCAATCACGGGTGACGGCAAGGGGGAGTGACGTAAGCTCGAAACGCCAAGCGAGGAGGAGCTTGGTGGTAGATTCATCATCCGCGGTGTGACCCATTCCCCTCGCGATTACGAGCGTATCTGTAGCCTTGCAGCTTGTTTTGCTGGACCTAGCCGCAGCCACTCCCCCTCCCTCTCTGCCCTTGGTAGCAGCGGTAGGGCCGAAACGAACACCTCGACGAGAGTGACGCAGATCCCCAGCTTGTCGAGACGATCGAGACCATAACCTCGAACCATCTTGTTGTTAGACGTCTTGTGACTCGAAATCATCTCTTCCTGTCGAAAAGGACATCATTTCACGACTCGCCTGCTATCTTCGAGCACAGCGTTTCTCTGACCGTGACGTGCAATTTTCCGCGTCGCGCCCAAACATCATCGCTGTCGTCGCCCTCGTCCTCCCGGACCGACAACAGCATCTCATCACACCTATCAAACCCCTTCGACGTTCGGGCAACCTTTATCGACTTAGACTCGAAGACGTCATACATCAAACCACACACGCCCAGACACTATCATTCGCATCAAACAACGGGTCCTCAACCGCATCTCCATCATAAACTAGAAAGGCAGGAGGATATCATCTTTGATCGAGAAGGTTCATCCGTATTCAGACGTAAAGCTTGCAAGTTCCGTGAGTCCTGACCTGCCCTCCGGTATTACCGCTGGATACAAGATATATCTGCGGGTCTCTAACCTGTCGAAACGCTCCCTTTTCCACGTCGCTTGTCCGTCCGGGTGATCACCTCTATCCGTCTTACTTCGCTTGACCTCGCTCTGTCTGCAACCAACTTGACACGGTCTCCTGTGGCCTTCATATCACTCGACTCCTACTATCGGGATGACCCGGTTGCTTCGACATCGGCCTCGGTCGTAATACCGGTCGGCTCCACCATCCGCATATCTCGACAACTCGTTCCATGCACGTACGCCAAACCGACCAATACCGACCCCTGTGAACATACCACAACACATCCCTCTTCGACCTCGTTGCAAACGTCTTCCGAAACGATTCATCGTTTACTATGATCGTTAACTGCTCCAGTCGAGAGTTACAAGTTGCAACATGGCCGATGCTTCTGCAGAAGTTGATTTGGATTCTGTTATCGACCGCCTTTTAGAAGGTGAGTAATTACCCTTGTCATCACGCTTCACATGGGTTTTCGCCTCTTTTCGTCCCCGCGCTCAATCCTTTGTCGTCGCAGTGCGTGGGAACCGACCTGGCAAGCCGGTCAACCTGTCCGAATACGAGATCAAATTCCTTTGCACCAAGGCACGAGAGATCTTTATCGCACAGCCCATCTTATTGGAATTGGAGGCTCCCATCAAGATCTGTGGAGATATCCATGGCCAATACTATGACCTGCTGCGTCTATTTGAATACGGTGGCTTCCCACCAGAAGCGAACTATCTCTTTCTTGGCGACTACGTAGATCGAGGAAAGCAGAGTCTGGAGACGATCTGTCTCTTGCTAGCCTACAAGGTACGTGAAGGTCCACCTCCAGTTAACGCTCCAATCGATGCTCATATACTCGCCAATAGATCAAATACCCCGAAAACTTCTTCATCTTGAGAGGCAACCACGAATGCGCCAGCATCAACAGGATTTACGGATTCTACGATGAATGTAAGTCCGTGCTGTGACTATATCTCTAGATTCCTATCAGCCTTCTTCATCAGCTCATATCGTTCCGCGTATTTCGCCAGGCAAACGACGATACAACATCAAGCTCTGGAAGACCTTCACCGATTGCTTCAACTGTTTGCCCATCGCTGCCATTATCGATGAAAAGATCTTCACGATGCACGGGGGTCTCGTACGTCGAGACTTGAACAAGCCAATCGAAACGATATGATACTAAGATCTCCGGCCGTCACTACAGAGCCCTGACCTTCAAAGCATGGAGCAGATTCGAAGGGTTATGCGCCCGACCGATGTCCCCGATACAGGACTACTCTGTGATCTCCTGTGGTCAGACCCTGATAAGGATATCACGGGATGGAGCGAGAACGATCGGGGTGTTAGGCAAGTCGGTTCGCGTGGCAAACGGTCATCAACCTCGCGCTGATGGGACCTTTCTTGATCTGCAGCTTCACGTTTGGGAGCGATGTGGTATCGCGGTTCTTGGCAAAACACGACATGGATCTCATCTGTCGGGCACACCAGGTTAGTGGTTACGCGAGGTCGCTTGCTTGCGCGGTGATGGCTGACAGGAAGCTTGTGAACGACAGGTCGTAGAAGACGGTTACGAATTCTTCGCAAAGCGGCAACTGGTTACCTTGTTCTCGGCTCCCAATTATTGTGGAGAGGTGAGCGGCTGTCGATACAACTAATCAGCGACTCGGACTGCTCATCTCTGCAATCACTATGTCTCATCAGTTCGACAATGCTGGAGCTATGATGAGTGTAGATGACACCCTCCTCTGCTCATTCCAAGTGAGGGCATTTCACTTTATTCGACATCGTTAAATGAGCGATCCGGCTAACGCGAAAATCGTGATACTAGATTCTGAAACCGGCGGAGAAGCGTGCGCCCAAGTACGGCATAGGTGGAGGTTAGTCTGCTGAGACCAATCCGTTGGGCCTGTTCTTGAATTGAATCGAAACGAATGCATTCCCCGTTACAGTCACTCCTCCCAGGAAGCAGAAGAAGAAGGACGGAAAGGGCGCATGAACGGACCTATGAACGCATATCTCTTTCAACGCTTTCACGATTCAGGATGGAGACGACAACCGAATGCGATGTTTGCCTGGTATCCGGAGCCGTAACAAGGTCGGACCAAAGCAAGAGGACGATAGTGCCGGAGAGGGCACTTGTATTTTCACCCGGGGGCTTGTCTAGAGACAGCTCATCCTATGGTCCACGCGACTTTTTCGGGATCTCAGACTTTCCCAAGCTTAGCCTGTGCAGCCAACGCATTCCTCAATGTGTAATCACGAATGATGACCTCGAATACAAAGCCCGTATCACCCGTTTCCTTGCTGGCTCGCTTGGCCCCGACTCTTATCCTATCGTAAAAGTAGCTCGGTCGAGCCATTGATCATCGATTGTGCAGCCTACTGAGGCGCGCAAGTCCCATGCTTCAAGACAATCTGCAGGTGCAGACTGGGTGATCTGCATCGCTGAAGCTTCCCACATAAAGCTCTGATGCGGTCGAAGCCTTTTCGCTAATTGGCGATTACCAAGAACAACCAGCGAGCGGCTGGAAGGTTCGCGGATGTTGAATGTAAAGTCGACATCGTATAGAGGTGAAGTATTGGAAAAGGTGTATTCGATTTGCGCGCGTCTATAGGAGATTAGTGAGTCATAGGAGATATCAGCATCGTCTCTCTCGCCGGCCTTTTGGAATGCAGCACGCACCTCCCGCGATCCACTGGAGGTGATATCCAACGTACGGCCACCTGAAGCGGATTGTCTTCGCTAGCCATGTCACCATTGAGCACGCTAGTCAACATTTGCCGCCGACGGACGTTCGTTTCCTCGTACATGGCCCGCGCGGCCGCTTTATCCACTTTGAGTAGGTTTATCAGGGCTGGGAGTAGTGGTGAATGTCGAGGTTGAACAGAAACATTGCATATAGCAGTGTATCCGGCCATGGTGTCAATATCACCTCTTCGCCATAGGACAGCCAGATCCACTGTGCTCGAAGCGAAATCTCGCACTGCGGTGTTGCCCCCTATGTTTCCGACTTGCTGTCGACGCCAACAAGCCCAGACCTCAAGGTCTGGCCATTCCATCGGACGATCACCAAATTGTTGTCTAGACTGATGTGTCGATGGGTTTATATCTCGATGGCCATCGTCTTCAAGCCCAAGGATCTGACTGGCATTGCTCTCGGCGATGCGTTGCAACTCCCCAATGCTGTTATCAAGACGCCATGCGAGGTTCACCGTAACACTCTGTGTGGATCCGGGCTGTAACGTCCGCTCGCTGTGACAGTCTATCGTCAGTATTGTCCCATGCCTCGAGGTCAAAGAATGATTCGTACACTTTCTCGTCCTGCGACCGGGGTGCAACTCCCCATGTCGCGCTGGACGCGCAGATCCCGTCGAGGGAGATGACCTCGGAAGAGTTGTTGGTGATCTTGCGGGTTGAATAGCGTATCAATGGCCCGGTCGCTGTCTATGTAGTCAGGCAAAACATACCGTCATGGACATGCCACGATCTGTCACACTGGCACTGTGATGGTTCATTTGCACAGAAATGTCTAAGGACGGGTCGATGGTGATGACATGTCCGAGGACATGCTTGTGGATATGTCCGTCCTACTCAAATTTGATATAGATCGATCAGCCGGAACCTCTCGCGAATCGGTGGATCCCTTGACTCACGGTTGCTTGATATAGTACCTCGTATTCCAGATCGAATTCGCCCGAATGCAAGAAACAAGACCTCAGTTCAACCTCGTGTGCTTCACCCTGACCGAGTGGACGGGATGCCAGATCGATCAGCTTGATCGTCATGTCGTCGTCCTGTCCATTAGGTGATCGCCTGGCAGCCAAAGCAGCCGCCTCTGATGGCTGCCTGGTGAACATGTTAGAGTGGTTGCATTTCACCCAGATTGTGGTAATCGGTAACGTTCCGATATTATCCATTTTCAAACCCCACCGCTGGTAGACGCCCTGACTTGCTCTAACAGGACCGTTTTGAATCTGGGCCGATAGACGTGCTATTGCTGGCCGCGCCGTAACGCGAAGCGAGAGGTCGTCCTTATAATGCTCCGCAAGTCGATGCCGTTTCTCAGCGGTAAGGCGTTTACCTCGCGAGACCAACGCTTCCGATTGTCTCATTAGGCCGTGGAAGAGATATTCGATCCGAGTGAAGCGTACAGTGGTGGGACAAGTCAGCGTGATACGCAAATTGAAGGATTTTGTGGCCAGCGGAGGGATTTCCAGGTCCGATATGCTGTTCATGTTCAATCCATCTTCGATATCTAAGCCGTCTTCGAGCGGAGACGTGTTCTCCGCGTGAACCTTGATTTCGGTCAGTCTGATTGCGATGTCGAGTGGGTTATGAGCGACCAAGCGAAGCTGAAAGCTCTCTGCAACAAGGGAAGTCTTCAAGTCAGTGTCAGCGCCATCACGCAATCGAGGCTGGTACTTGCCGTCAACGCCAACAATGTGTCCGTCGTGTCCGGGACTCTGAAGTGTTGCATCATAGATAGCGGCTTCGGTGGCTCCTTCCACCTCCTGGGCTGGCAGTATTATTGCTGCACCGGTTGCCTGAAAGATTGGTGCGCCCAGAACTGGCTCAAATACAGTATCTTTTGCGAAGTCTGGCCGGGTTTGGAGTTGCTGATAAACGCCCGACAGCCTCAGTAAGCCTCTATGACTATTCAGTTACCTTGTGCTAGGATCATACCTTGTATGCAAGACTGAGGTTCTCGAGAACTCCAGACTGACCTTCCTGCGTGTCTGCAATGCGTAGCATCCTCAAGAAATGTTCCACTGCTAGATTACTATCGCCCATCGTGTAAGCTTGTCGACCGAGTGCATATTCCAGATAATGCTGTGCGTGAATCCAGGGCGGCTGTGGGTCTCGAAAGTGTCTCAAAGCGCGCTCCAAACAACGCCCAGACAGGGCTTTCTATTGTCAAGAAACATGCGTTTCAGACGTAGTGCTCCATTCGGCGAGCTTTGTGCTTACTTGGCCTGATTGTTCAAAGCGACGTGCGGCCATGACAGAATGAAACGCGTGCTTGCGCGCAAGCTTCTTGATTCCCGTCATGTCTGCAGAAGCCGCTTGTTCCAAAAGTATGGCACTCGGAACGTCCTCTATCTGTGCGATAACAAGACGACAAAACTTGTCAGCGGGTCAGTGGAGGCAGGCCCAGCGTATGATTTGGTCGCACCCACCTGGCTAGCTATTTTGACAAGGCTGCGACTTGTACCAGTCCAATCCAAAACGTCCGGATGCCGGAAGGAATGCCATGCTTCATTCAACAATAGTCCGACGCGCATCCCATCGATCACAGTCTGGGGACGGCCCAAATAGGTCGCGGTACATTGGTCGAGGAGTAACTCAAGCTCTGCCAGGGAGTGCCGACTCTGGGTCGCCTGAAGCTCTTCGGGCGCCGAAGTCAGCATGCTCATCAAGGTCGATAGACAATACATCTCCTGAAAAGCATGACTCCAATTATTGAGCGAGGTCCATGTCAGCACCGACGGTCTGTGCTTACGGTAGCGCTTGCACACAACTTTTGAGCGCCATCCTGTAAATAATCCTTTCGTATCGAATCATAAACGGCGGCGGCTGTTTTGTAATCCCGAAGCATGAAAGCAAAGTCTGCAAGTTTGCGAGAGAGCGTTTCAGGGGCAGATGGCGGGTAGCTGCAAGAGGTATCGCATCAGACCATACTGTGCGGATGTCTTCAAGGTCAGCAGGATCGCATTAGGACTTACTACCCTCTTATAGAATTATAGACCATGGTTTGAGTTGGTGTGGACCTGCCTGACCCGAAGAACTTGCGCCCGGCGCCGAACAGTCTGCCCGTCAGACCTCGTCGCGAGTTGACAAAGATTTCGTTCCACTCCCTGACTCTGGCTTCCATCCAGGGCACCAAAGATTGAGATGTAAATTCCCTCAGGAAAGAGCGTATCGCAGCCGTATCACTTGAAGTGAGGTGAGACGCGAGCTGCCCCAGGTCCTCGTATCCATCCGACAAGCGAGCTGCTGTAGCGCCAGCAGGACCCTCGGAACCAGAGACTCTTTCCACAACGATATTGTCCGTAAGGAGAACTCCCAGTCTCACAAACGGGTCGTTTCCCAAGAGACTATGCAAGGAGTCTCCATATCTCTGTTTTAGATCGGCGATATCTGCTTGCTGATCCTGTTCGCCATCTGCTGGCTGTACTCGCGAGTTGACAATCAGTAGCCCGCAATGTGGTCCGAATGTCTTTTTGACTTGTAGCAGAGCGGCTTCCGGCCTGTAGCAAGCGATTTCGTCAACCTTCTCGCCGATGATGCGGATCGTGAGCGCACATCGTACCTTGCCATGTCTACGCCCGAAACCGCCACGTCGTGGACGAGTAGCCAGAATCGCTGAATCGAGTTGACCGTTCCATCCATGTAGCCTCTTGAAGTGTAGACCGGAGAACTTCCTGCCGTCGCATGAAGCTTATGCAGGTCCTTAACGGGGTCTTCTGATTGGGTCGACGCCGCCAAGAGGACTGTAAAAGGACCGGGTCAACGATTTACAGATAGTGAATACAAATCTACCCAAACACTTACAGGAAACCGGATGATTGAGCGTTTCATGCTCAGCGATGGGACTCGAGGCAAGCAAGACGTCGCGGAGTACGCTATACTGAAGTTCTTGCGCTATAAATGCCTTGTGTGAGCCAAGTATATATACATATTGCAGATCCAGAGCAACGGCTCACCAGGATCCAGCCGTCCGACCAAGTTGGCTATAACATCAACGACGACTTCCGGCGAGTAAGGAATAGCACCGCCACCTCCATTTTGAGCTTGTAACAGCGAGTCGTGCGAGACGAATCGTATTGCGAAATGTGGATGGACTGTAGGTGTCAATAACGAGGACAGTATGGAGACTATCAAAGTCACGGAATGAGATTGAGCGGGATGCATTTGTCCGTCACGACTACAATGGCGTACCTTTCTCCACCGAGTTCTGCCATGGCTTGAATAGCTCATCGAGGTTCTTCAATCCATTCACTTTACAGGACTGTTGAACCTGTTCCGAGGAAAAGATCACCACCTTCGGGGAGAGAGCCTGATGAATGATGTCGGCCATGGGTGCTCGGTAAGACAAGCCACGGCGTAACGTTGAGGAACCGTTCGTTGCGAATCAACAACGGGCAAGGTATACAGCGAGTATCGTAAGAGAGATGAGTTTCGGAAGCTGCACACGGCCCTCCCTCTTGTTTCCGTAGCATGCGAGCATTGATCACAATTGAATCGTGCAAATGCTACGATATACGTGAAGCTCGAGCTGCTACGGCTGTCCAGGATCAGGATATAAGCTTCCGACCGTATAACTTACCGATTCTTCGGAACCATAATATTCGTCGGAGGCCACCGGCAAGTCGTTTCTCGTCTCTTGTGTTGCTAGTATAACAACTCCTAGCTTTACAAGTCACCCTCAATAGCTCGGGGAGATTGTCATACCTCAGCATTACAGACCAACCAATTACTCCATACGAAGCTCTCTGTTGCAGGTACCAAAAAAAACGATGCCCGATTTCAAGCTGGAGAACCAGGCAAGGACATACGATTAATTGCCAAGAGTTGAAGTAAGCTGATCCGACGATTCCTTCGTTTTTAGCCTTTCGACTTGGCTTTCCACCCTACAGAGCCTCTTGTATACACCTCCTTACTCACAGGAGAAGTCAAGGCGTTCCGCTACGATGACAATAGTGGGGATATATTCCAAGGCTGGACGGTTCGACCAAGCAAAAAGTGCTGCCGGAGTCTCGTCGTGCAACAAGATGGGAGCAAGATCTGGGCCGTAGGCAAGGCCGGTGGTATTCAGTACGTTCTTCTTGGATCGAAGCAGCGATATCGGAAGGTCTCACTTACTCAAGGATGTGAATTCGATTCTAGCTGTATCGATAGCCTTCGGGGAACTGTTGTCGAAGATCGACTGGAGGCGCATAGGTTCGCTCTTTTTGCTGCGGCGTCTGCTTGGGTTCGTGCAACTCATATCACCTGAAATTGGTATAGCGCACCGATAAATCGAATCACGAACCTCTTTGAGAACATGTTTGCGACTGGTGACGACGACGGTGTGATCAAAGTGAGTTGTCGGGATCGATGTTTTACGGGGATGTACTGATGAAACGACCTGTTTTGTAGCTCTGGGATCACCGGCAACCTCAAATGATCAGAGAATATCCTCATCACTGGGAATACATCTCCGACTTTGAATTTTTAGAGGACAAGAAGCAGCTAGTTTCCACCTCGTAAGTTTTAGCCTCTGGCGACATCGGACCAGCTTGAGTAATTGGTTGATTTAGCATCGATTCGTCGTCGCTTCCAGAGGTGATGGAACTCTTTCCGTAATAGACGTGAGGTCAAACACTGCTACCCCACTCGAACAGTCAGAGGATCAAGAGGATGAATTGCTTTCGATCGTTTCTATCAAAGGGTACGGACCGCGGCTTTTAAATCTTTATTTCTGAGAATCGAGCTGACGATGCAATCTACGCATGCGAATTTAGCGGTGCCAAACATGTTGTGGGGACGCAACTCGGTGTAGTGACAGTATGGGATCGCACTAAGGGGTGGTCAGACTCGATCGACCGTATCATGGGGTCCGTATCGCTTGGTCATGGTTTCAAACAAGGAAATACAACTCACCGCTTACGGGCTTCCTGCAGGCATCCCCAATCTGTGGAAACGTTAGTTGCACTGACGCCTGATGTCATTGCTACCGGTTCCGAGGACGGGATTATTCGAGTGATGCAGATACAGCCGAATAAGCTTCGTAAGCAGTGTCCTTAGATCTAGCCTGGCTTGGGCTAAGCATTGGTGTGTCTGTAACATCATGCAGTGGGCGCGATCGCATCACACGGAGATTTCCCCATTGAGAGGATCAAGCTGGATCGAAATGGAAAATTCCTTGGCTCCGTCAGCCACGACGATTGTCTCAAGCTCACGGACGTTTCCGAGATCCTAGAAGATAGCGATGATGAAGAGGAGCACGAGGAAAAGGTCGCCGATCAAGAGGATGATAACGAAAGCGTCGGAACCGTCAAGGGAAAAGGCCGCGGCGAGAATGCTTCATCAGATGCTGAGTCGGCAAACTCTGATGACGATGAGAGCTCGGGCGAGGACAGCGAGGATGAAAAAGATGAACACGGCAGCACAGCGATGGTCACAAGCGACGACGACGACAGCGACGGCGACGCCGACGAAGACCGTGCAGAGAGGAAGCGACAGAAGCGCAAGGAGAGGCAAAAGTTGAAGGCAGAGAAGCGGAAGGCAGAGAAGCGCAAGACGGGTCTCATCAAGACCAAAGAGCAGGAAGAAGCAGAGAAGGCAGAGAAGGGCTTCTTCGATGACCTATAATACGTGACGATTCCGATAGGAGAGGCGCGCGAGGGTATATGTGGTTATTTTGCCATTCCTTTACACATGGGTTTACACCCGAATCTTATCAGGTCAAGATGACCAATAGCAGCAAGATGACGAGTATGATGATCAGGATGAAGATGCAATATGTCGACTTGGTCTCTGCGAAGTGAGAAACGCAATCGCCTTGTCAGTAATCATAGTGCATCGAAAAGGTACCGGTCTTACCTTCGTTTGCCCTGATAAACGCTTTCAGCCGTTTGTTCGCTGCTGTGAGCTTCGAGTCCGTGGCGTCGATCCGGAGAGAAAGATCATCCAACATTCTGATATACGGCCCAATTCGATTAAATGCCACTTGGTATCGAGTGAGGATACAGATCCACCTACTCATTCTGCTCCAAAACCTCCCTTCCGATCAGACCCGCTTGCCCGGCCAGAGTAGCGATGGTACCGGATATGACGCCTATTGTGCTATCTTGTTGCCGTATCATCATCTAGCAGAGGAAGTGTCAAGGTCGAATGAGCGATTGTACACGGTCAAGTCAATGAATGACGTGGCATGCGTACCTGCTGCTGTTCCATCTCATATTGGCCTACTTCATCTGAAGTTCGCCTTCTCTCGTCTGCTACGTCACTATACCCCCTCAGCTTGTTCGGACTGCCACCTAGTTCTATATCTTCGAATCGAGAGTATCCGCCATTGCTTGGTGACGCCTGTAGAGGGTCATTTGGCTGGCTCTCGTCTGTCGAAGAATCTCCTTGGATAGCCTTTAACGACAGAGCGTGTCATCAAATGGTTGTGTCGGGCATCCCGTCCTCTTTGTTGAATACGCACTTGTACCTCCGCTTTCACGGTCTCAAGAAACCGTCTCCGTGCCTTCACCTCGTGCTCAGCAATACTCCATCGATCCCCAGCCTGTTCGACAGCGAGCACGCTAGCCTCGAGGTCTTCGACATCTGTCAACAAGCTATGTAGCTGTTTCTCCAAGTCTTGATGTGCCTCTAGCAAGATGTTCCTCTGCCCCGTTGTGCTCATTCCCGAGATACGCTGTTGTAGACGCCGGTATGAGGCGGCCAGATTTCGAACCTGCTCGAGGTTGCTTTCGACTTCTCTGACAAGGAGTTGCTGTCAGCCGCTCACCGAAGGCCACTATTCTCCGCTTGAACTCTCACTTCTTCACATCATGATAGGGATCCATTGTCACCAAAGTCAGTGTACTGAGAATCGATCCTTGCAAACGATCAGGACGTATAGGTGAGTCAGACCTCGAGTTGTAAGTCTATAAGTCATAAGTGATTGAGCCTGAAGGTTGAGGGTCGCTTACTCGCTTCGCGCTCGATTGTGTACAAAGTGGCTTCGTCATATCCGAGGGGTAAAGCGAAGAACTCCAGTCTGGGTATGGCTTGTCACTGATCAAGCCCATCCCTGTGAGTTTGATTCGCCTACACGTCGATGAAGTCCAATACAAGTCTGATTACAAGTTTATCTATGAATCTATTTATTACGAGTCTGTTGACCTGTTGATACGAGTCTATTTAGTTCGAGTCTAACTACAAGCCTTTAAGCAAGCGGGCCAAGGTTTCGGTACTCTGCTCCCATATGATTTGGCCGGTGGGGATGAGCTGAATCGTCTAGCACTTCTCGCGATGGTAATATAATAGCTTGCAAGCACGACGAGTCAGAAGAGCATACAAAAAAGGAACCGACCCGAATTACAGACTGAAACCGCTAGAAAACCTCTCTTTGTCAACACGTACAGCGTTACACCTGGTTCAGAACCAAAGATCAGGGGGAAATGAGAGACAAATGAAACACAACCGTTCAAGCCGTCAGAGGCTCTCAGACCGCCTCCTTCCAGCCGCGACCTTCTAGGCTTCGTCTTCCTTCGAGAGAAGCACGAGCCAGCTGCACGGTAGGAGGCGAGACTGGTCGTTCGCGTGATTGCCCAGCACCGATTCCGGAAGGTGGAGTCGTGATGTCGAGCTCTTCCCCAAGGACGAATTGCGGGGGGACGCCGGCATCCAGATGGCCTTCCTTGCGATCGCCCTCGATCCGGCGCTCGTGATGATCGTCATCTACATCATCTTCGGCTTCTCCATAGTCATTGTCCCGAGCGATGTCTTCCAGCATACGCTCCCCTCGTTCAGGCAGAGTCGCACGACTCGACGATCGGTGCAACGAGTGTCGCATGGACCTGACTGAAGCGGCACCGATGGACGGTTGACGCGAGAGAGCGGCTGAAGTGACGGCGTCGATCTCGACAGAGGTCATCTCGTTCGCCGGTAAGGCCAGGCGGAGCAACGAGGTGTACGCTGTAAACGGTCAATTTCTTTAGCTCACGCGTCCCGACTAATCTGTATAATGGCGAGATCCACTTACGTTGTCGACAGACCGGGCAGAACCACCCTTTACCCTTCTTCTTGCGCCTCTCGCGCCCTCCAGTAGTGGTATTAGGAGCGGCAGCCGCCGTAGTTCCAGTAGCTACCGCGCCGCTAGGTCCAGCTTCTGCGCCGCCGTTGTCACCACCTTCTGTAGCTCCCGTCGTCTCGTTCGCTTCTTCCCTTCGAGCGACTTTACCGCCGGCCCCAAACTCGATCATCCCCACAGCACACTCCCGACAGACGACCAAGTGTCGGCAAGGCAACAGGACGACATCTCGCGGGTTGGTCAAGCAGACGATGCACTCGTTGGGAGTCGATGCCATAGGGTCTTCGCCAGCAGGGTTATTGTCGCCGACACCCGCTCCTGTGGAGACGGGAGCATCATTGTGCGAGGACGAAGCCAGACCGTAGATCTCCTTGAGCAAAAAGGCGTGATGACCGATCTACAAGAGCGCGAGGATATATCCAAGGTCAATGTCAATCACGTCGGAACGGGCTATGAACCAAAAAATACCCACGATAGCTTCCCGGCGGACGACCTTGATAAACCAGATCCTCTTCATCGCGTTCGTCGCCGCTTGATCGCCCTCCTCGGTCGCCTCGGGCCCTTCTTCCGGGACTTCGGCGAGTCCACCGTTCGTGTCCACAGCGGGCCTGCTCGCAGTCGCGGCTCCCCCTACGACAGTTCCTGCCAGCAAGACGTGCGTAGCCTGCGCATTGGTCACGCCCATGGGCGAGTCGTCCTCCTTGAGGGCGTCTAGGCGGATGATGACCCGAAGACCTTCCTCGTCCTTGAAGGCGTTGTCTCCCCCGGTAGCATCTCCATTCTGAGCCGAAGCGTTTGCACCCAAAGGTCCCATCTCGACAATATCGCCAGTTCCTCCTTGTTGACGACGGATATCGGCAATGATACCTTGCTCGATATCGCCAGCTCGCCTGTTGCGCCTGAGTCGATCAAACAGCGAACGAGAGCGAGGCTGGTTCTCGACCATGGCCTGGGCCGACATCTGGCTGACATCCGGAGCGTTCGGCTGGACCGTATCACGTCGAATCTGAGCGGGCTTCTTGATATCGTCCTCCGCGTCTGACCCTTCAGAACCGTCCCCATCGAGCTTCTTGGAAGCGCTCAAGAGTTCCTCTTCCGCCCGCTTTTCGTCTTCCATGGCCTGACCGATATCGAGCGCGTTCTCGTGAGGCAACTCCCAGACCTTGCCGAATCCACCCTCGCGGACGCAGGTAAAGATGACCCTCGAGTTGCCATGATTCATGAACCGAGGATGGATCGACACGCTGATCTGGACTCGAGGCGCCGACGAATCATAGGCGAATCGCAGGACGTGTCGAATGGCTCCCGCCCGCTCGATACTGGCGCGAGAGGCCGCGGGGTCGTAAGACGTCGGGTCCGAGTTGGTCTCGGCCGGAACGATCTCGTCTTGGGGGACGGGAACGAGGGTCAACGTGGGTCTTTTCAGGTTGACGAGAGCTTGCAATGTGGTCGTCTGATGTACTCCTTGCTATAGAGAGCGTGAGGTATCGTGATCAGCATGCAGGTTTCCTTGTATAAAGCTACGGCACGACACCACCCTCCGGACTAACCTCTTCCTTCTTGGCATTCTCGACCCAATCCTTGACGACGCTCAGCGGCACCCTCTCCTTCTGATCTTGTCCCCTGATCCAGCCTTCAGATTCGTTCTCATCCAACCCCAGATCGGGTCCGAAAAGCGTCTCCCCCTTCTTCCCCCCTTTCCCCTTGAGCGCTTTACTGTTCGCCTCGAGCGCGCCCGCAGTGGTTCCGTTCCCTACCGTCGCATTATTCGCCCCCTCGGCGTCGTTGCCGGTGGTCCGACCGTACCCTCCCAATCCGGCGTTACCCTGACTGACGTCGAGCGGGATGGTCACATCGTTATGAAGGTTCTGACGAAGTCCACCGGGAGTGAACGGGGTGGCTCGAAGTCGGGTCGTACGGGTGATGTTTCCGCTACAGGGGACCGGCGTCGAGGGGCATTGTGGAAGGAGGACGAGATCGGCGATCGGGCGGTGATGACAATCAAACCAGATCGTATTTCAATCGATACGAGGTGAAGAAGTGAGACGAAAGCCAGAGATCAGCGTGTGCCCTGTCCTCCCTCATCTCCAGAAATCCTTGCCAAAGTCCTCTGCCATGAAGCAGACCCCTCGCGATCGACGTTTCCCGACTCACTAGCTTCCCGAGTACCAAGCACCGATGGATCCGCTTCTGTTCCTTCCAGGTCTCGAGGGTGCAGCGACGTCGCCCATGGTCGATGCGATGTGTTGTATTGGTAGATCTATGAGACTGATCTATCTCTGGGTGCTACTGTACCAGCAGCTTGTAGCTTGTAGTTGTTGAAGCTGATATGATCGATATGATATGGTCTCGCTGCTCGAGCGTCGATGAAAGAGAGACAGAGAGGCGACACTCTAGGCCTCTCGCTGCTGCTACTCTCTCGGTTCCCCATGTGTCCCCCCTCCCGCCCTGCCCTGCCCGTGCTGCGCTATCTCGCGCTCATTTGCTTCCGCTCTTCCCCCCCCGCAATCCCCGGCATCTCATCATCAGCTCATCATCATCATCATCATCGCCCTCGGCCGAGATCAAAAGATCAGAAGATTATTAGAAACGGGTCGAGATACCTCGACCTCCTCTATAGCCATCCACGCACTCGTTCCCCTTCCTCGTTATAGCTGCGACCATGCCCATACCTTTGCCACCATGACGACCTCCACGACCCCCCGAAAACCCGCCTACTTTCGGAGGTCATCTGCGCCCATCATACCGACGTCTGCAATCAACGATACGACGGCACCTCGAGACGACCTCGAAGAGAGTCTACACGATCTGCTAGAAACCGCACTGCAATGCTACGTCAACTCTTGGTACCCTTCCATCTCGCCACGAGACAAGTCCTTCTTGCCGCACGTCTACCACCTGCTCGTCCGCGTCCTCGGATCGCTGTCCACAAACATCAGCGTGGCCTGTGAATCTGGACGTCTGGACGAGCTCGTTCTGGCAGACTTGCCCGACGTCATCTCTCAGCATGTGCAAAACTGGATGAGAGCCGAGCAGGACATTGTGGAAGGAGGACTCGATCAGACGCTGGTGGCTCGGTTCGCGTTGTTGCACGGTCATCCGGCCGTTCAATTGGTACAAAGCAAACCCACATCAACCCGGAAGGACACGTCGCATCGAGCGTCTACGGATGTGACGCAGCTTCCGAGCGATATCGACCAGTCACTCGGAGAAGCCATGTCGTCCTCATTGCACGGTTATGACGACCACCCATACCTCAAGCGCCATCAACCTCCCCCCGATTCCGTACAAATACAACCACCTCAGCTACCCCCCGTCTACCGCATCTCGCCCTCGTACCTCTCGACCCTATCCGAGCGGCTCTTGCGATACCATCTCCCACCTCAAGACTACGCTCCCTTGACAGAACGTACTATCCTCACCGAGATCATCGCATCAGCTATCTTGGCCAACGTCCTGCAAAAGCTCTCTCAAGGATGGATGATCAGCCGGATGGCACTTTCGATCCTCGGCGAGCCTGGACGCGGACGCCATCAACACCAACGACAACAAGTTCCTGAGACGGCACCTCAGCAAGAGGCCGATGGAGCTTCGAAACCGTCCTCGGGAGTCTTCCAGACCATCGTCCTGATCGTCTACCAGTTCGCTGCCGTGCTGTTGGCAATCTCGCAATGCTACACGTCGTTGCAAAGCCAATGGAGATCTCTCACGGACGATCCCTCAATCGAGGCTTCTGACAAGGCTGGCGCGACGTCCCATGAACGATGGAAGGCAGGGGTGGAGAACGCGCTGGACCCCAGCTTGAACCTCCTCGACAGTCTTCTGAACCTCCAGGATGGGACGAGTAGGAAGAGATCGATAGCTGAATTGCGAAGTTGGATCGGCATGGCCTGTGGTCCGATAGCTCTGGGTCGATTCGCCGACAAGTGCGTGGTAAACCTTCCCGTATATCCGTATGCTACACTAGTCCTAATCCTAGATTGTCTTTAGACTCCTTCCGCTTTACTTGCATGAACACGTCTTCCAGCCGTCCGTACTCGCTCGCGGTATCAATACGTTACACGACGTCTTGTTCCCCAACGGAGAACTCGCCCCTTCAGTCCCCGATCCGACAGAAGAGGAGGCTCGGGACCTGTCTGACAGACTGGTCGCTAGGTTACTAGAAGTCTTTCCACGTGAGCCCTCTTCAGTGCAATCTCACTAGACTAGGGACCTTACTCAAGCGTCTCCGTAACCAACGTTCATTATAGCCCACGCTCGTCGTTTGATCATCGGACCAGACGCGACTCACGAACAAGCCATCCGACGTCTCATGGCACCTTTCCAGGACCCCGATATCAACCTACACCTATTCACGAGATTACTAGAACGCATCTTCCTGACGATCGAGCCTAGGCTCGCTAACGACGACAACGACGACCAATTACGATGATACGGCGGTGGCCGATGACATAGACTTTATCGGACTTGAGACTGTTGTAAATCACGCTTCGGCTACCATGTGCATTGAGTGATCGTAGCATCACTGATACCGTCCTTAATGAGAGCCTGTGTCCCGTCCACTGCACTCATAAGCAGGACCGCCGGACAAAAGTGAACCGATAGCAGTGTGATAGATGATTGAGTCATCTCAGTGGAACCCCGCCTGGAATGATGCCTTGTTACGTCATTCATGATCGACCTCGTAAGAAGGTGAACAGCAGAAGCGGTGCGTAAAATGACACCCAGGGTCTGCCATCAGTGTGTCTGCGCTCGACTACCTCATTCAAGTCGGGACCTACAGTTGCAGGTCAAAGGGACTACCACCTGTTGGAGTTCCTCAAGGGTTGGAAGAGGGTTCTCTTGACTTTGGTAATAGTAGCCAGAGTCGATAGACATACCTGAATGTTCCTGTGCTTCTCGCAGCTTTATGAGCTTGACCCTTTGCTCTACTAGCTCTCCTGCATGCCACATCCTCCTCATCTCAATCTCCTCCTCGTCCAGCATGTACTCTGGAGAGTGACGACGATGACTCTTGTTTGGGAGGTGTACGATATGGCACTTGTCGCACTCTTTCAGATCCAGATGCTTAGTCCGGCAGAGCAAGTCGAGGCTCTCTACTTCCAGGGTTAGACCATTACGAGGTCCAATGGGGTATGGAAGGGTGCGTAGCTGTTCCTTCAGGTCGTTCTTCAAGTTTTTGACCTTGTGCCATCTTTGCTTGCTGTGATCCAGGCCGTGGTCGTCCATGATGACAGGCTCTGACGATAGCGGTGCGTGAAATATCACCGAGGGTCTGCCATCGATCATGTCTGCGCTCGACTACCTCATTTTCGAGTCGGACAGAGGCAGAACCGAGCGATTGCCTGTGGCGAGTTAGCTTCTGATCAATTGAGAGATTGAGGTGCAGGAGAACTTACCTACAACGTCCACATCTACCAGGAGTTCTTATTCCAACGATCAACAGCCAAGAACTGTATAGCAGAAACGTCGAACTTTCATGGTGTGATCGTCATTTGTGGCGGAAGTGTCGACCTCCATGGACATGGATTGCAAGACAGGGGCGAGGTCGAGCAAGAACGAACGAGGCTCAAGAGCTCGGCAGGCCATCGAACGCTTTGTCATCTCACTTTCAGTCTTTCAGTATGGCGGCAACAACCCTCAGACAAGCCGGACACTGTGTGATGGAGCGTTTGGCCGAACGCTAGCGTCTCCTCGCATGCGATGTGAAACGCAGGCTGCATCCGCTCTGACGTTGCTAAATTACTGCGGACGCTTCTTTTACTCCCAGGTCAACACTCGGTGCGCTGCAACTAGCCGTCCTTCTTTGTCCAATAGTCCAACTATCGGTGTATCAACAAAAGGTTGATAATGCAAGTGCAAATTCATCTTGGCACACCAGAGAACAGTTGAAGCAGTCCGAATCGACGGGGGTGAGCTTCAAGACCCTCAGGACTTCTCATGACGACGATATTGCCCTTTCATAGCGTCTGTGTATAAGAGGACCAATATGACCTTTCTACCGAATAACGAGCGATCTTGGCTCGTTCAATATGGGCGAGGGACTTGACAATAGCTGATCAGTCCGTCTGAATCACTAGGCTCCGTATAAGGCGAATCATATAATATAGCAATCGCGATATACATCACGACGACCGAATTACACGACCGGGTGGCGATATACGATTGATGTCAAACGGGGACACTCTACAAAGCACGCTCCTGGTTTCGGAGGTTGGCGAGGAGGGGACCCTTGGGCTTGACGTATTGGACGTAAGCACCGTCCTGGATGCATCGCTTCTCGGCCTTGAGGTTGAGGTACTCCTCCTTGTTGACGTCGGTGAAACCCCACTTCTTGGAGATGATCTGAAGGGACAAAAGCAGCGAAGGTCAGTTTCGACGCCCAGCAAGCAGAAGATATTGTTGGCCACGCACGATCTTCTGTCGACCGGGGAACTTGTATCGCGATCGCCTAAGAGCCTCGAGAACGACGGCCTTGTTGCTCTCCTTGCATCGGACGGAAAGGATGATCTGACCGCTGCATGACGGAATAAGACGAATTGTCAGCCTACGGTCTCAACCCCGTTCTGATTTAAGACGCCCCGCCCGCTACGCACATGTTGACTCGAGCAACACAACCGTAAGGCTTTCCCCAAGCACCTCGCATACCCTGTTGAAGCCTATCGGCTCCGGCACAGGACAACATCTTGTTGATTCGGACGATGTGGAAGGGGTGGGCCCTGACCCTCAAGTGGAAAGAGTCCTTTCCAGAGGTCTTGACGATGTACTTGTTGCAGCAAATTCGGGCAGCTTCCAAAGCCTCGGAAGAGATCTGCTCGTATTCGTCCGAGACCAAGTGGGCGCAGAAGGGGAAGTCATCGACGGAAGCCCTCTTTCGGCCCAAGTCGAAGATCCTGATCTTGGGGTCGGGGACTAAAGACGCAAAGGAGTCAAAGTTAGGTTGTCATGTTTCCAAACGAACAATCAGAAGACGTGGGCAAGTACTCACCACCTCGGTTGTACCTCGACTTGGGGTAAGGCTTGTTCTTACAGTAACGGTAGCAACGAGCAGGACGACGACCCATTTTGACTATTGATTGAAAGGACCGTCGAATCGATCAGTAACCAAGTTGAGAGGACACGGACTGAGATCTATACAGTCGAGCGAGCGTTGCAAAGAGTCGTATATCGTCGAGAACGGACGGCGGTGGAGTCGGCGTTGCTGTATTGTCGTGATCCGACCGCCCTGGACCGTCTAGTTATGGCATGGCTAATTCCAATCCTGCTGTCACGACTGCTATCTCGTGACAGATACAGCTCCAGCCTCGATTGATGTCCCTTCCTCATCATCTGATTCCCTCTCCTTCGTCCGGTTTCTTCTTTTCCTGATTGATTCGCCTCCTGAAAAGTCCTCTTTGCAAACGCTCGCTCGACCGTATTATGTCTCCAGCCGCCGTGTAAAGGGAGCGTATCCTCACCTAATAATCTTCTTGTCTTGTTGGTGGTATAAAACGACCAGAAAATAGGTGGCGGGTCGTGGTGTTAGGTGATCGAAGGTCGAATGAATATGAAGTCGATGAATCCAGGATCGTTGCTCGCTCGCTCGCTGGTTCGCTGACCGAGCGAGGGGAGCTGCTGCTTGGGAAGCAACGAGAGCGAGGCTCACTCAGCAGAATGGCCGATCGCGCGTGCTAGAGGCTCAGGGGGATTGCTAAGCCGCGAGCCGAGAGTGGCAAATGGGCCTCGAAGCAGAGAGAACATGCCAACAGGAAGCGCGCGTCTTCTCTCGCTCTCGTCATCGCGACGATAAGCGCATCTCGAGCGAGAAACCACGCGAGTCGGAGTTATCGCCGACTGATGGTTTCAGAGGCCCGTCACCACCGTATGAAAGGCTTATGGTGAGCCTGACACAGGGGTAACGGGGCTGTATTCGTCTGCGAGCGAGAACATTTCTACGTATCTAAGCAGGAAATTGGCCGTCACGAATTAAACTGATATAAGGGTAGGAACTAATTCATACAACGTAGGTCCGAGGTTCCTCCTGTCTCGGCCACTGGTCTACAAATCGGTGTCAGCAGTGTACCAGAAATCAATTGGCAAACTTGGCACGGATGCTGTTGAGGGCACTTCCTGAAGCGATCCAGTCGACCTGGTCAGACGACAGGGTATGCTTGGTCGGGATCTCGACTGTCTCTCCCGAGCTTTTGGTGACACGCAAAGTGACTTGTGCATTCAGGTCTCCGTTGAGAATGTTGGCCAAACCGACGGTCTCGACATCGTCCATGGCCGAAATCTTGCTGTAATCAGCCTCGTTGGCGAACCAAAGGGGCAAGATTCCTTGTTTCTAGATAGGTAGAATGGTATATCTCGTTAAAACGTTATACCAGCAAAAATCCGGTCATCAGCCAACCTACCTTCAAGTTGGTTTCGTGAATACGAGCGAACGATCGCGCGACAATCATGGCACCCCCATAGAACCTGGGCTGAAGAGCAGCGTGTTCACGAGCAGAGCCTTCGCCGTCTGTAATGGCGATGTTTTTCTCGCTTAGTGCGATGATGCGAGCGTGTTATGGCCATGAGGTGTGCTTACAGTTCTGGTCGACAACCAGCATCCATGGCTGACCAGCAGCCTTTTGTCGCTTCATAATGTTGGGGATCGTGTCTTTACCCTCGGCATCGAAGGCAACGTTCACTTCACCACCCTCGTCGTTGACGGCAGTGATCACTGAAAATATCATGTCGGCGAATCAGCATACAGGCCGAGCCATGACCGCAGGAATGAGACGTACAAGTGTTTTCGGAGATGTTGCTGAGATGACCCTTGAACTTCAACCAAGGACCGGCAGCCGAGATGTGGTCGGTTGTGCTGGAAACATCAATCCGAATGAATTTCACCGCTTGACTTCCGTAATAGGATTTGTTGTACTCACCACTTGCCCCTGACTCGCATCAAGCACTTCATCTTGGGCAGTTCCCGCTGACCGTTCGAGAAAGCGCTACCGAATGGCTCGAGGATCTCCAACCGCTGACTGTCAGGCGAGATGGCGATCTCGGTCTCAGGGACAGGTGCAGGGTTGGGGGAGGGAGAGAAGCTGAGGTCACCCGGAGTGAAACCCTTATCAGGTACTCGCTGTCCGCTGGGAGGGCTGAACTTGAAAGGTCCGTTGGGGGTGTCCAAAGAGTCGGTCATGGGGTTGAAAGAAAGGTTTCCGGCAAAGGACATGGCGGTCACGATCTCGGGCGAAGTTAAAAAGTTCATCGTCTTCAAATTTCCGTCGTTCCTAGCCTTGAAGTTTCGGTTGAAACTGGTCAAGATGGCATTCTCCTCGCCGAGCTTTTCGTTTCGGTTCCATTGTCCAATACAGGGTCCACAAGCGTTGGCGAGCACCGTAGCTCCCACGCCTTCCAGCGTCTCTTGCAGTCCGTCTCGCTCGATCGTAGCACGGATCAATTCCGAACCGGGAGTTACCAGGAAAGGAACTTTGCTTTGAAGTCCCGCAGCTTTAGCCTGCTCAGCGATCGACGCTACCCTAGTCATGTCCTCGTAACTCGAGTTGGTACATGATCCGATCAAGGCCGAGGTAAGGTCATCCTTCCATCCGTTCTCCTTGACAAAGTCCTTGAACTTGCTCAGAGGGGTCGCAAGATCAGGAGTGAACGGTCCGTTCAAGTGAGGCTCGAGCTCCGAGAGGTTGATCTCGATGACCTGGTCATACTCGGCGCCTTCGTCGGCAGCGAGGTATCCCTGCGCTGCGGCATAGTCGGCAGCACGAGCGACTGGTGCTCGTCCAGTCGCTTCGAGGTAGCTCTTCATACTGGCGGTGTAGGGGAATGCAGACGTCGTGGCTCCAACTTCAGCACCCATGTTGGCGATCGTCGCAAGACCGGTGCAACTCTGGTTCTCGACTCCAGGCCCAAAGTACTCGATAATTCGGCCGGTTCCTCCTCGTACCGTGAGCTTGCCAGCAAGGTGCAAGATCAAATCCTTGGGTGTGGCCCAGCCAGACAACTGTCCGGTAAGCTTGACTCCCAAGACTTGAGGCGCTTTGAGCGACCAGGGGATGTCAGCCATGGCGTCCACAGCGTCGGCACCGCCGACTCCGATAGCCAGACCACCGAGACCGCTGGCGTTGGGGGTATGGGAATCGGTTCCGAGCATCAACAATCCAGGCGCCGAGTAGTTTTCCAGCACGATAGAGTGGATGATACCGCTTCCTGGTCGCCAGAACTCGATGCCGTACTTTTGCGAGGCGGACTCGAGAAAGTCGAAGACCTCCTTGTTTTGATTGATGGATCGGGTCAAGTCGGCTTCGGCACCAGTCTCGGCTCGAATCAGATGGTCGCAATGAATCGACGTAGGAACTGCACAGGTCGGCAGTCCACAAGTCATGAACTGAAGCAGAGCCATCTGGGCAGAAGCGTCCTATTCAACGCGTGTTAACCCGTTAGTGAACAAGGATAACTCTGAAGCAAGGACCGCTGTGGTACACACCTGCATCGCGACTCGGTCGGGGCGAAGCTTCAAATACCTCTGTCCTCGAACGTCCGCCAATCCCTTGCTTCCAGCCAGACATTCCTCGGGGTTCCGTAAATGGGCATACAGGATCTTCTCGGCCAGAGTGAGTTTGCTGTTTCGGGGCAAAACCTCTCGGACCTTGTCAAGCGTGTCCAACAACTTGGAGTATGGCGGCGTGATGCTCGAGCAGTCCTTCTCTTGCAAAGCGTCATACTGTCGAGGAAGCGAGGCGTGGGTAGCTAGAGATCGTCGACCGAAAGACAAGGTCGACGAAGCCGATGATCGAGGCAAAGCCCTCGAGCGGGATGCAAGTCGGGAGGCCATGATATCGACGACCGTCGCTATGATTTTCGGAGTACGAGGTCAAGATTCCCGAACGATACGACAGTTTGCTGAACCTCAGACGGGTGTCTTTAGCGATGATGACCTCTTGCTAACAGCCATCATCTTATCGTCGTCGCTCTTGCGAGCCAATGAACCTCTTTTGATTTCGGATCGACGGCTTTTCCCGGAGATTCGTCCACAACACTGGTCACGTGATGTTGATGAGCGAGTTTCGGCCGAAAACGTTGGCGTTTCAGATTCCCATAGAAACATGGTGTCTTTTCGTCGAGTTCCTCAACAAAAACATGCTAGTGTCTTGTCAAGGATTGTTTGTAAAGCGATGCTGTATGCATCATGGAGGACGTAGAACTAGCTGGCTCCCCTCAGACCATGCGAGACATCTGGTATGTCGGCTGCAATCGATCTCACCTTCGGGTTCGGCGATGTCCGAGGCTCCACAGGCGGCTAACGGTGCGACGGATTTCAGACCACTCTACCATCGCGCTTTGCTACACTTTGGCAGAGACGATGTGAAACGCTGGGAGTCTCCATTTTCGAGGATCCCGCCATCCTCGATCCACATTGATGGTGAAACCTCCAGTAATTGCTGCCTGTACTCTCGACAAGCCGCCGAGCAAAGCTTTCGACGCCTCTCTAATCGGACACAGAATCCGAGACTACGCTCCGATTGTCATCCGCCTTGATCTGGAGTAACATTGGCCTGATCTAAGATCGAGCTAATAGGTACCATCGTGTCTGGAAGAGACGCTTGATGGCCTCTTCGCTCGTCGGATTCGTACTAACTAACGGGGTGGAATGAGTCAGTATTTTTGAGATCTCGGTCGCCAGGATCAGCTGTTTTGATGACTTTGAGCAGTCTCGGATCGGTGATAATATTCTCATCCGCTCTGTACTCGAGATTGTGCTGTGTCGCTTGATCAATATTTCTGGCGATTGAAGATGTTCGCACTATTACGTCGCTCCATCTGCTCCGCGCTTTACAAGTTTACGGCTTCGCAACAACAGTCACTTCAGACCGGTGCGCTACATGTTGGGTTGGTACATTATCACGCAACAAACAGGGCTTACGTTACAGAAGAGTTTTGACTCCCCTTCCTGGAAAGCTACTTTCCGCGTGCGCCCAAAGAGCGGCGATCCGCAGGATGAGACTGCATGGCACTGCCTCGATTCTTCTCACGGTGCGCTGATTGAGTACTTGAGGGCCTGTGAGGATTCACAATCTGATTCTATCATATCGAAAATGGTATGACACTCATCCTGCATACTTAATTGCGTTCGAGTACCTCCAGCGTCCCACATGATCATCGCTACAGCGTCGCACGTTCAGCGCCCGAGTGGTCGCTTAGGGTCTGAGCGCAAAAGTTAGAAGTCAACAGATCCACAGCAAAATTGGCTTGATATCTGTACCAGGTCGCAGCTTTGAGCAAGTAGCGAAGTCATCTCCTGGTCATGGTTACCGATTTGTAAGACTCCTGAAGCGCTGATTTTCGTTCTGGTGACGATAAGAAAGTCAAACGAGAGTTTGCGATCCTGAAACGACGGTCTTCTAGGCGGTATTGCGATCGTTTCGTTCAAAACGAGCTAAATCTTGTGACCTGTCTCATGAAATACTGATGTTCGTCAGCGGACAGGCTGGTGGTATCGCTGTTGTGCTTCTTCTTGTAAGAGAAATCACTGCGCTGTTGCTCCCGACCAAAAACCTTCGAGAATATTCGCACGCGTCGCGAGCTTTTCTCGCGTTTCAGATTCGCACCTGGGTAGAGACACTCTGACTTGCGGGCTTCACAGAATCACAGAAAGATGTAATATGAAACCCTCATAGTGTCGCTGAGTAAGTACAGATCACAGGGGCTCCAGTCTCGATCGTTCGCCGGCTATGATACAACTGAGGAGCCAGCCGTCACCCAGCAATCCGAGATGAAGCGTAGGTTGTCCCTGTTGCTTAATTTCATCTTGATTTGCAAGTATATATCTTCAAGCTCCCTCCTATAGGAACTCGTGTAGCTTGTGATTGGGGTACCTGAGGTCCCAAACGCTGTATTGTTTGGATCGTCGCTCAATCTTACATCAGTGTCTCATGGCATTACTACTTCTAGCGGCTTCAGTGTTGCTAGTTGACGCCGTAGTATTTTACCCGAACCGCTGAAGCCCAAAATGCATGAGTTTATCATGTCAACTTGCAGAGTTTCCTGCGGTAACTCACCTTCGAGGAATCGCCTCGACCGGAATGATTCCGCCACGCAACTGTTTATGACGACTCACCTGTTTTAAGCAAGCAGCCTATGATCAGTTATTTGATGGCAGGATCGAATCACAAGATCAGCTCACTCTCTCCTTGATCCAATTGTCAATCTCTTGCGTGTATTCAGCCATCGCTTCTGAGCTTGCAACGATATCGCTCAGAACGCTGGGTCTAGGTACGACAAAGGCGCGTGGCAATTCGTTGTCTTCTGCGTCTTTCGTGGCGATCACTCCAGCATCTACGATGTGCGGGTGCGAAAGAAGCAAAGCCTCTAGTTCGGCAGGTGCGACTGAGATACCCGGGACGCGCGATCGCGATCCGTTAGGCTTCTGGTATCGCTCACGTTCAGCCTGGACATACCTTGAAGTCCCTTTACTTTAATCATCTCCTTCAGTCGATCGACGATACTGCGCATGGAGGTTCAGCTTTAGTAAGCCTGAGGATTTTACTGAATGTGTTCCACCACTCACTACCAGAAGCCTTCTTCATCCACTTTGACGACGTCTCCCGTCTTGAGCCACTTGTCGGCAGTGAACGAACCCTCTGTTGCGCTCTCGTTGCGCCAGTATCCTCTAGATGAAACAAGCCGAAAAGCGTTGAGCGCGATGAAGAATCGTTCGCACACGTCGGACCGCTTGAGACCCACTTCATCACGGTCGGACCCTTCAACAACAGCTCTCCGGGCGTCCCCGTAGGCGCCTCCGACCCATCAGGCTGAACGATCTTTGCCTCGAGACTCGGTAACAGTTGACCGATACTGCCCAGCTTGCGACGGGCGTCTTTCAGCGTCAGCACATGGGTCGCCGGTGACGTCTCGGTGAGACCTGAAAGACATACGATTCCCGTCAATAAGGGACACGGGATCCAAAGAAGCGAGATCAGAACCCACCGTATCCTTGAGTGATCATGAACTCTTTCCCAGTCGATTCGCTCAACCTATCCATAGCCGCCCTCGCCACATCCGGGCTCATCGGAGCTGCCCCGCTGAGCAATCCTCGCAAGCTCGACAGGTCGTACTTGGCAACTCCCGAGAAGTTTGCCAATAGCGATACCAGCGGCGGGACCACGAAAGACCAGGTGACTTTATGTGTTTGAATCGTTGTGAAGAACGTATGTGGGGTAAATTTGGGGAGGACGATGATAGGTATCCGCATGGTCAGAGGGTGTAGGAGTACGCTATACGTTCCGGATCGACCAGATCAGCTTTAAGCCTGTGAGACAGACTGATAATATCACGAACAGTACCAGACCAAAGATATCTGCAACGTAATAGAAGTCCGATAGTAAGCAGACAGCAGCCAAGGGAAACGCAGGTATGCGCGATATACTAACGAGAGAACGGCAGAAGAGCCAGAGCCTTATCCTGTTCTTCCGGACAGAGCTTCTCCATGGCCACACTGAATACGGTTTGCATCGTTGTGAGGTTCCAGTGCGTCGTCTCGACACCTATATCGATCAAATCCGCTTGAGCGAAACTCGAAACGCACAACTCTAACTTGAGAGATCAGTTACCTTTAGGTAGCCCGGTCTGGCAACAAGTAGGCCGCAGAGCGATCATGAAGCGGGAGGAACAGAGAACCAGGGTACATAGATTTCAATAAGAGCATCGAGATACAACACGTCGAGATTGGTATTCACCGTGCCGCTACTATAACATAGCACTGCCGCATTGTGCTCCTCCCTTGGCCCTAGCTCCTCACCTCGCCAGTCTCCCACCTCGTCTTCTGTGGCCATCAAGGTCCAGAACGATCGGCCACCTTTTCCTTCGTCCTGAACGTCCCCCGCAGAGTCCGGTGTCAACTGAAAGACGTCGAGACCCTTCTGAGAGCCATTCTCCTGCTCAACGACTTGTTGAGCTTTCTCAAAGGTCTCCATAAGATCTGGATGGACGAAAGCGATCTTGGCCGTACTGTCCTTGATATGATAGGCGAGTTCGTGCGGAGTATACGAAGCACTAGCGGGGGTCACCACCAACCCTGCAGCCTGGCAAGCGAAGAAGGCAACCGCGTACTCTAACGAGTTGGGCGAAAAGATCAGAGCCACGTCTCCCTTGATCAGCTCTGGGACCTTCTTGATCCCGTATCCCATCCTGAGCGACATCGATCGGACTTCTCCCTGAGTCAATGTCTGACCGGTAAGAGCATCCGTATAGGCAGGTAGAGCGGCTCTCGAAGGGTCCAGTCCTGTCGTCGGGAAATGAAAGTGAAACAGCGACGTGGGTTGAGGCAAGGCCGGTTCCGGGAACGGCGACCTATAGATGGTCGAATAAAGACGTTTCGCTACCGTGATCGGGCTCCTGCATTCATCTCGTCTGGGCTGGATGAAAGCCTTGTTTGCGGTCATCTCCGCATGATTCGATGGAATGCAGCTTCGTCTTGCTCGTGATGCCAAACTGAACTGCCGACAATGCAGCGGTCGAACGGCTCGCCAAATCGTAGGTGAGATCCGATCCATAGTTCTCAAGCTTGTCCGATTTTCTAAGTTGATCGAGGGTAGCTCTGCAAGGGATATACATTCAAGGTGTGGCCGAGAAGAGAAGGTGCGTGAGCCGAGGTGACTTTCATGAAGAAGTACTTGCAAGTTAGTTGTATGCGCAAGGTTCGTTCGCGCGACGAGTCCAAGGTCAAGAGATGGTGGGTGGTCATGTCATGTCAAGGTAGAGTAGTTAATTGACCACCATGTCGATGATATCTGCAACTCGTATACAACATAGACTGCCGTAAAAAGAACCTGATAGCTGAATTGGCGGGACCTTGTGATGTCGTCGAAAAAGACGTGAGCTCCCTGACAACGATACCTGCCTCCATCCGGTAAACCTGACACACTTCACACCATTCAATAGCAAATCCGACCTCTTGGTCAAGACCAGGTTCCTGAACCCGATACCTGCACCAGCATGTCCTCCTCAAACGATAGAGATACCCACGGACCTGGCACGAATGGGCAAAGCCGACTTGACCTCGGCATATGCGGCGAGCTTGCCCATGCCCATGATGGTCGATAGCGAGATTGGGATGCCGCTCGACCTGAACGCTTGTGCTGGGATCTGGTGGGACGAGGTCGATTCAGGTGAGTATCAGGATACTCACTCGTCACCGAGCCCAGGAAGCCTGATTTAGATCTACCTGAATCATCCTAGAATTCAACCCCTTGAAACCTGTACCGATCGACTCGCTACATCCGGATGACGCCGAGCTGCTGGAGATGCCCGACATCGTGCTAGGAGCGGGAGGGAGCGGGACTCAACACCAGCTACCGGGAACAGCAGGACGGCCACGTATCAGAGTCGAGGAGACGTGGTTGAGAGGGACGACGTACATGGGGAAGAACGATGGATCCAAAGCGCCGACGATCGCTAGGGTGACAGAGACACAGTAAGGATGGCTAAGTGAGAACCTGCTCAATCGAATTTACCGCTGACAGACATGGTTTGATAGGGAGATTGAGGTACCCGATGCTTCCATGCTCTCCCAGCTGCAAGCTATCGAACGGTCCTTCTGGCAGCACGAGCAATTTACCGACGAGAGCATCAAGAATATCAGACATCCGACCAAGAAGGGGGTGACTGCCGTTGATGTAGGTATTGATAACGAACGGTCTCGCTTGATCGGACCAAAGCTGACCGGTTCTTGTAGGCCTTTGACGTTCTCCCGGATGAGGACGTCTGGAGCGGACATTACAATCAGATCAACTTTCCCGAAAGACCGACCGACAAGGAATCCAACAAGGTATTTAAATATTTACCCACCCAGCTTTCTGCAGGGGTCGTTCCGTAATTGTACGAAAGCTGACATGCCCGCTTACGGAGCAGATCACCAACGAGCAACTTTTGGCCAGTATCTTCCGACCACGGCAAGATCCTATCAAGGGTTTCCAATCTTATGCGCCTCTCGAGGAAGATCTTCCGCAGTGGCACAAAGTCCGCCATCATGTGCTGCCCGGAGACGAGGATAGGGATTACACGAACGTTCAGTGGGATGTGAGCGCCGGTATCCATGCTCCATAACACGTTTGGACTGCACGCTGATTTTGCCTATGGCGTTGACGCAGCACGTCCGTCTGCCTTTCTTGAAAGATTACGAAATTGTGGAACAGGACAAACGTCAAGCCGGTGCGACGGATCAGATCATCGTCTTGTCGTTCTGCGACGGCGAGCAGATGGCTCAACAAGACGAGATTGCCGGTACCAGCTCGGGATCTGCCGGAAATGCTTCGGGATCTGCTAATGGGGACAAGACTCCTAAAGTCGAAGAGGATGACGAAGACGATGATGACGATCTCTTTGGCGACAAAGAGGAAGAAGCAGAGGCCAAGAAGGAAGAAGTTGAAGACATGTCGACTCGTGTAAAAGCCAAGGGCAAGGGGGTCTACTTCGTCGAAATGTTCTCGACCGTCAACGTCAAGCGTATGCGTACAGTGGTGAGCATCTCGTGCCGGACCGCTTGTCATAGCGATTGCTGACGATTCGTTCACCTCTCGCAGACGACAAGAAATTACCAACAGTTGGACGACAACTGGGACGCCCTCACGCTCGCTTACCAACATCCGACGCAGAGACAACAAGGTCGGCGCGAAGAACACGCCAAGTTCCTCGAGCCAGAGTGGTTACAAGAAGAATTGCACGCAGAGATGCCGGATCAGGACAGGGCAGGCGAGGCCATGGGGGATACCGCCAGATTATGATGCGGCTGTTCATGAGACCTTTTGCTCCCACGACGATCTTGTATAACGTGACATCGTCAATGAGAATAATGCAATACAATAAGCAAGACATGAGCAACATCCCTCGGGAGACCTGGTGTTGCCGAGGTGGGGGGAACAAGCGAAACAAAAATGCTATGTGGAACCCTACAGGCTCTATGCTATGCAAACGATCCCGACGCTTTACCCTCTAAGCGCAGTAAATCCTCGAAAGGTGGAGTTTCTGGCGTTTGAGGCGCCTCATGGGATACTATCCGGACGTCATCGGGTTTCGTTTCGGACAGATTCAAGGGAGAGGCGGCAGGTGGGGTGCTGACGCTACTCTCCTCGAGCGATGTCAAATCGCGTGATCGGACCCCCCGAGGTGAATCGAACTGTTCGTCTTCTTCCACATCCATGCTCATGTCCTCGTCGTCGTGTCCAAACATCTCGTTAACGAGCTGGTTGTCCTGCTCATTTGAGTTGCCAGTAGACTCGCGGTGACTTCGTTCGGCTGGCGAGTCCTTCGCGTCGGTCGATACCGTGATCAACCTTCCACGTGCCTTGAGCTTGGCCAAGATTTTGTGGGTAAATTCTTTGATGAAACTTTTGAGCTTCACCTTCTTCTCTTCTGACAATCTGTCCAATTTGCCCTCCTGGTAGGTCTTTCCTCTCTTCTCCTTGTCGACCAGGAGTTGAGTACACTACGACAAGACGAGGCGGTTCAGCTTCAAGGGCCTGTTGTAGCCCATATCTTCAGGACTTACCTCCTTCGCATACTTCTTGAATGTTTCGCGTTCCATTTGGCGCTGATATTTCGACATTGTCTTGACAACGAATTCTCCAACAAGCTTCATCAATCGTTTCTCCTTTTGAGCTTCGTTTGATAGCTTGCTCTTCTTCCGCCGGGTGCTGGATTCACCATGTTCGGAACGACGTTTCAATAAGGGTGCTTGCATCGCCTGTGATGCTTTCAACTCCGCTTCTGCTGCCGCCTGTCGGGCTGCTGCTTCTTGGCTGGCCTGAGCCTGGGCCAAGATAGCATCTAGTCGATTCTTGTCCAGGAACGGGTTGGCCGGCGCTGGTGATGCAACGACGGGCGTCGGTGTAGATGAGGGAAACCTGGGTTTTGGTTTAAAGATGGGCCGTGTAACGGGAGCAGGAGTGAAAGTGCCCATCTGAGGAAGGGGGGTCGATATTGATATTGCGGGCGCCACATATCTCGGTTTGTCGTAAACTAGCGTCACTCCCGATGCGTCACCATTGGTCGCGTCATCAGCGGTGTCAGGCTAGAAACAGGTCAAAGTGAGCAGTGTTTCAAAGGAAGTGATTTCACTGACGCCGCGGACTCACCACATGCACTTTACGGGGTATCCGGAAGACCGTCGGCCGATCCTTCCAATAGTTGAGCAGCTTCTCTGCATCCCGGCGAATGTTTTCGTTGGAGTGATCGAGGTAAACTCGTACAGGCTCCTCGATGTTGGAGTCCTCGATCTTCACTCGGTTGCCGACTTTCCACTTTTGCATCGCTTCGAGGACCTGGTCGATCCAGAAAAGAGATGCCCGTCAATTACAGCCTGCCAGTTGTGCAAGGTCTGAATCTTACCAGCAGAACGACTTCCTCATCCTCTGGGAAGCTGCCGAGCACGGTGGTCATGTTGCTAAACCCGTGCATACGTGTAACTTCCCGAATCGCTGCATCGTCGTCCGTCATCTAGTCGAGCGCAACATGCGATTAGCTCTGACATACTGATTTCGCAACGAGAACAGCGAGTCTCACTTGGATCCTTTGTAATAGCTTGATCAGCATTAGTCGGTTGGCTGTTGCTTGACGAAGCGCAGCGACAATTTTGGGAACGTCTTGTGATGACATGGGTTTGAGAACCGGCTGTGCAAGAGCTACGTTAAGTTTTGCTCGCAGCGGGGTATTTTCGGTGTGACTCACGTTGAAGTCTTCGTCGAGTCTCTTCGCCCGCTTCTTCTTGTTCCCCTTGAGTCCATTCGCAGCAACTTCCTCAGACACGCCAAGAGCTGTTTTACGTAAATCACACCGAAGTGAGTTTGGCACAACATTAGATAGACCCCCCAGATCGAACTCGCCTTCGAGATAAAGATCATCCATAGTGCCCAGATCAGTTTGCACTTTGCCTCCGATAAACCCTGAGCAATTCGGCTCGCCACAGTAGCAGATTTGCGCATCGTAACTATGAGATTGCGTAACATCTTAGTGCGAGTTGGAACCCGATGAGCAAGATAGTCTTAGACCTACCCGTAGCGGTCCACATTATAATTAAAAGTCAACTCCTCGCCCTCGAGGATGTCGCGTTTGGCGAAAATTCCCATCCGCATACGTTTGCCGACGACCCATTTCGCGACGTAACAGTTTGGGTTGCAGGAGTGATTGAGAAATCGAGCCTTACCGCCCCGTTTGGTTGCGTCGAGATACTACCAGAACCCGAACTCATCAGCCCGTAGCTCGTGTTTTGTCTACGTAAACAGCGATGATTAAATCATGTGACGACGCGTACCTCTTCCTTCTGAAGCATCATGAAGTAGAAGTGCTGGATTCCCTCGTTGGCGTAGTCCTGTATTCGCTTTCGAAAGGTGGTCTCAGAGATGACCTCGCCAATGTACTCATATATGAACGTCTCTCTGGTTATGAGAGACAAGGAACACAGTCAGGCCATAGCTATACACGACAATCCTTCTGACAGAGCGGAAAAAAGCTGAACTTACGCGTTCATATCACTGCCTGCTCGAATACCGAACCCTTTCTTCTCCGTTTGTACGATCTCGATGTTAGCGTATTGCTTTCTGCTAAATCTGTTGACAGTATTTAGATTGAGTGATCAGTCGAAAGTGTCCTTGCCTCAGTCCTCCCCCTTGAACTGGAAATGTGTTTCCCAGCCGTACCTCTGATTTTGACAATGTCCTCTCGTTTGACACTGGCCATGCAAGCATTCAACCTGTGTCATTCGGTTGATACAGTTACTCCCTTGGCCACATGCATGTTCCGGGTCATCTTCGTCTTCAGAGCACCCGTATAATATCAGCAATGGGCCTTGAAGATGATGAAGCCAAGCCGTCTAGCTTACTCTCGTCGAAAACGCAGTCGCACACCATCATCTCCTCCTGCTGGTTGCTCCGCCCGAGACCTTTCGTCTGAAATTCATTCTCCTTCAATTCTGCGAAGGTACTGAGAGCTTCCCGCTCGGCGTTTGGCAGATCTTTGATGAAGATGCGGGATATAGGTTCGGGCTGAGTCCTCCGCCGGGACAAGGATGGCTTCGCCGTAGGGGTCATCGGTGGTGTCGACGAGCTCGAAGCAACGCTACTTGCCCGTGTCCGTTCGTCCTGTGGCATTGCAGTCGATGTTGCACTTGATAAACCGCCTGCAGGAGGTCCAAAAATGCTCTGTGCGTCGAAAGCGGGCACAGGGATATCAACCTGTCCAGTCGAGAGTGTTTCCTCGAGAACAGCTCGTTCTTGCAGCTCCTGTTCGCCAGGGGTCCCCGCGACAAGCGAGTCTTGTTGCTGCATGCTGAGAACTCAAAGGAAGCCTGTATCTGCGTAGGCAGAGGTAAGATTAAGGCCGACGAGCGGAACAACCTGAAGACGCAATATAACAGCGTGACGCAGAAAGTTGGTAGATGAGCGCTCTCTCTCTCCAAAGTTAGCTAATATCGGGCCGAGGCGAGATCGACGTGAGGGACGCGATGCGCGACACCCGTCGTCGTACTCTCGTCGAGAAAAAATAGGGGCAATCAACCGGATTGAATTGGCATGCTTGACATGGTAGATACAGTGAAGTTGATTGTGGTAGCGGAGTGTATGCAGTGTAGAGGACACGAACTTGTGGTGAACGAATTGTCCGTAGCGTGTGGAATGAAGAGAGATCGTATTGAGGCGGCCTGGTTGCCTGCCTAATCCTCGTCTTCCGAGTCTTCACCATCGAATCCAAAGATGGTCTTGAGGTCCCTCAAACTGCCATTATCCGTGGCTTTCCCAGCCAAAGAAGCGTTGACGAGTGCCGTTTTGCTCCTTTCTGTACGCGTGGCGACAGAAAAACAGAGATGTAAGCGGCTAATCGAGCGTAAGAAGCATCAGTCGGAACGTACGGATCTTCAGGATTCGCTTCTCGATAGTATTCTTGACGATGAACCGGGTAACGAATACCGGCTTGGTTTGGCCAAGGCGATGAACTCGATCGATCGCTTGACTGTAAGAGGTGGTGTTTCGTATCAGCAATGATTCTTTGTAGTCATGATAGTAAATCCTCACCTCTCGACGGCTTCGTTCCCTATGAAATGCAGAAACAGCAGCCTTGTATCAATAACGGATCATCAAGATCGTGGGTGCTCTTGTTGAGCAATACTCACACCATTGATCCAGTAAGATGACATGGTTCGCTGCCGTCCTATCGAGATAACACAGTGAGCTTCTACTAACACCTCAAGCAGTTCAAAGCTCGACCTACAGGTTGAGCCCGGTTCCTCCAGCTTTTAGCGAGATCAACAGGACCTGAGAATTCTTGCCGCGTGTAAAGGCGTCGATGACAGTAGCTCGTTCCTTTTGGCTCATCGACCCATCGAATCGTCTGAAAAGGGTGTGGAACCGTAAGTCAAGTGGCTTTGCTGCGTTACTGCGTTCATACTGACAGGTAGTCTATATTGTTGTCGGAGAGCACCGGCTCGACGAGAGATAGCATGGAGGTGAACTAGGAGAAGCCAAGTTTAGCGGCACAACGATCTGCCTCGACGGTCAGCGGTCGACTTACTTGAGAGAAGATGAGAGCTTTGTAAAGGGGGTCTTGAACAGCGATGTCCTTCAACTTCTTGATCAGGGCTTTCAATTTTGTGCTGGTCTGGAAATCGACTTTCCGCAGACTTGTCCGACCCATTTTCAGTCTGTTGGTGGTATTCGGGCGACTTTCTCGCAAGTCGCTGCTCTTGAAAACCTTGGCGCAATCCGGGCATTTAGGTGTCCTGCCCGCATCCTCCTCCTTCTCGATGAAGGCAGAGGCACAGTCACGACAACTAAGCAGTAATACGTAAGTTGACTACTTTCCGGACCGCAAAGAGCGTATTCTCAGGCTCACCCAGTATGGTAACATGGCAAAATGACTTCCCCATCGACCTCCTCGTGGCAGAAGAGACACATTCGGGTCTCGCCCTTCTCCAGGTTCTGTAGGGTTTGTGACGATGGCGCAGCCTGAGATTCCTCACCATCTTCGTCCGGAAGGGCTTCGCTAGCGTCACGACCGTTGGTAAAATCGGTAATCAGTTGCTTGATGTCGTCGCTATCTCCCGCTGTTCCAGATATGATATCGTCTTTGCCCTCATCGCCGCCACTCGTAGCCTTGCTCATGACGAGCAACGGATGGTTGACCGCTTGACGAAGTCTGCGCCATCGAATATCTTCATCAGCATGCGTTGACTGTAGCACAGCAATTGCAGCTATATTTACCTCATCAACATTGCCAAAATGGATGTGTAGGAGGATTTGACTTGACCTTCCTGGTCCAGTTCGATGAATTTACGACGTGAGCGGTCATAGATGGCATCGTAAATCTTCCGTTCTGAGCGAGAAAATTCAAGTTTCTCGATCGTGATCTGCTCTGAATGATCAGCGCACGTCTCCGACAGACCGCTCCGCAGGGGAATCCACGTACCGTTTTGTCCGGCAGATCCACAATCGGTTTGCCATCTTTATCCTTCATGTTCTTTTCTCTTCTCAACAGACATTGTTCCAGGATGAACTGCACCACATCCAACGCCTTAGGGTCTTGAGCCAAGAATGGCTGGGTGATGAAAGTCCGGAAGAAGGGATATTGACCCCAGGGTTCCAAGCGCAGGAAGTGGAGGAGCGAGTACAGGTCCTCTAGTCGATTGACGATCGGAGTTCCTGCAAGTCAGGCAAACCGCATTAGCGCAAACCAAAACAGTACCGATTTGGGAACATACCGGTCAAAGCCCATCGCTTTTGGCCCTTGAGATCGTAACAAGCCTTCGCTCCTTTCGATTGGCGATTTTTTATAGTATGTGCTTCATCTAGAGTGCCAAAGTATTCACGTCAGGAACACGCTGATGCCTAGACATCGCAAACACATACCCAGTACGATTCGGAGCCACGAGACTGTTGGGGCACGCTCATCAGCGCAGGTCCGTCAGCTGTCAATCAACACGGACTCACTATCGAAAAGTCCCCCTCCATCGTAATTGGGCTTGTCCCTGTTCTTGATCCACTTGCTATGCTCGCTTGCAAGAGTGCCGTACGATGTGATGATCACGTCCACTCGTTCGTCTTTCTCCCCGCCGAGGAGCACATCCAAGTCACCCCGCTCGTTGCCATACCACAACCTCGTATTCAAGCTTCCTTCCACGCTCATCCTACCCAATTCCTCCTGCCATTGTTTTGCCAGAGATACCGGACATACCACTAGCGTAGCGTGAGGCGGCTTGGCATGCTCAACGCCATCGGATGGTTGTTTCTGCACGGGTTGCCATTGTTTGGAAAGGGTCAATTGCCTGAACTTGGGTCTCTTCGCGACAGGCTCTCCGTCTTCGTCTAGGGCATCGTCTCCATCTGGCGATGTGGCTTCTACCTCTCCCTCTCGATTTGTATGTATCAGTGAAGCCAGCATACTAAATACGAATATTGTCAGCTGAGAGCATGGTGCGGTTGGACAAAGTAGCACTCACCATGTCTTTCCCATTCCCATGGAGTCCGCCAGGATACCACCCCTTGCCCTGGTATTTGCGCGGGGGAAGGACAGGCTCAGGTCGCCATCATACGGGCTGTGCAGCAAGGCGAATCTGATTCGTAGTCTATCTGACAAGGGCTGAAGAAAGGGCACTCACTTGAAGTAGAATGTTTCGCCGGTGCCGTCGGCAGGCGCTTCGGCCTCTTCATCGTCATCTAGGTCAATCTCGATGGGACCTCCCGCCTGCTCGTGCTCGTCCTTGAAGCCATATCTAGGAAGGAGCATCGATAATCGGAACAACGTTCCTTTTCGAGATGGTTGCGACTTACTCTTCCCAAAGAGGGTGCATGGACTGATCTCGCAGATTCGCTTCACCCTTTTCGAGACCGGCCATCCATCTGCGCTCCAACTGAAATCAGTACAATGCTCCAGACCACCGGTAATTCCAGCAACTTGCCCTAAAGCCTGCTTTTGGTAAGGCCTCAACGTATACGTAAACGTTTCAGGTGGATCCATTTCCTCGATCAGCGCGTCATGCCTTTGAGCACTGCACGAGTTGACGGGTGGGAAGATGGTCAACGCCCCGATATCTTGCGCTCTTTAACACTACTACGAACGTACCGTTTGTATATGTCTTCTAATTCGTTCAACTGACTCTCGTTCAGCAACTCTGCTTCATCTCCACTCTCCGCTTCGGAATCCTCGTCTAGATCTCCCTCCTTCGCTTTCCCCTTGGCCGGTTTGACCTTTTTCGTCGGACTAACGGCACGCGATCCCGATCCAGAAGTCGACTGGCTGCACGTCCTCGTCCCGTTCGTCTTTCCTTTCGCGATGATTTTACCCTTGTCGGGCGAAACGCTGCGTGACTGCTCCTTGCGCTTCACATAAGCTGGCATTCCCGCTGCCGATTCGCCAAAGTGGGCCAAGGCATCTTCGTTGATCAGGCCTTTACCCTTGGCCTTCTGAGCCTTCGTCAGGGCGCTGGAGCGAATCGGTTTGACGCCCATGCGATCTATAGCCAAACCAGTTCAGCACCATCGCTCGAACACAGAGGATGCGGAGTTTTCAGCACACTCACTGAACAGCTTGCCCAAAGCAGCCTTTCGCAGTCTCATCCGTTTCTCATCCTCGGTCTCTCCCTGCTGTTGCCAAAACCCTCCCGCTCTCGACCTTTCTTCCTCATCACCTCCCTTTCCCGCCTGCATGACATTCTCCTCGAACGCTTTTCTCGTCAAAAACACCTTGAGGTTGAGCAGGATATCACAACCGATCGTCAAGCTCGCCGGCGCGTCAACGACGGTTCCGGTGAGCTCTATCATACCGGGATCCAGGAGCGGGGAGATGAACGCTGCATCGCCGGCAGGGAGACGCCCGACCTCGAAACCCCTATCGTTATTAAACCTGACAACTGCATCGACCTTCTTCACCGGTTTAGCTGTGGTAGTCGCCGCCTTCTTCCCAGTCGCGAATCCGCTCAAGGTCGACTGCTTAGCAGTTCCCCCTCCCTTGATCACTTTCCCATTCTTGATCACGGTCGTAGCCTTTCCCGCCGTCTTCCCCTTAGCCTTCTCCCTGTCTGCTTTTTCCTGATCCTTTTCCGCCTGCGTCTTGTTCCTCTCGACTACAACGCTGGCTCCGCTGGTGATGTAACCTTTCCCCTTGCTCAGCGCTATACCGCTGCAATAAAACGATCCGATATAGCCTCTCTCGAACGACGCCAACTTGGCCGAAGCCTGAGTAAGAGGTGGAGGTGCAACCTTTGACGTAGACGGTCTCGGTGAAGCTTTCCGTTTAGGCGGTCTTGATGATGGTCCAGCTGTGGCTATCGGTTTTTCTGGTGTAGAAAGAATGACGATATCATCATCGCTATCATCGTCCAGCCAGTCGACCTTTGCAGCCTGTTTCTTCTTCTCCAGCTCGGCTTTCTTCTTCTCGGTAGGCTTGGGTGTGGCCGGTACTTCTACGATATCCGATGACCGAAAGCCGTACACGTCCTCGGATGAAGCCCGAGTCTGGGTATGCTTCGGCTTGATGGGTCGGCGGTCCTCCTCCTCGTCGTCTGACGAATCTTGCAGAAAGAGTGCCTCCTTAGGAGGTGGTGGTGGAGAGTCTATCTCCATGGTATCTGTCATTCGAGCTCAGTGGAACGTGCTCGATTAACGAGCTGTATTGGCAGGTGTCAACAGAAGAATCGGATGATCCAAATAGCAAGAGGTCGAGGCGAAATGGAACCAACCCCCTACTCGAACGCTACGATCGAGGCAATCGGGATGATGACGGACTTCTTTCACGCGACGCGTATTTTCGCGTTCATATACCACCAGGTCGCGCGTCGGAATTGGTGATCAAAGTCGTCGCTTGTTTCACGTCTTGCAAGCAGCCAAATATCTCGATCTCTGGAAGGAATGGAGGGAGTCCATGCTCTGGTATTCAAGGCGCCAGTTACTACGATATGGCTCAGTCTACCAGCATTCTCGTAATCAACGTGAGACACGAGCTCACTAATCCTGTCTGAAGTCGAAACTCGTCGTTGGTGATTATTTGGCATCGCGGCCATTCGGATTACATATAAGCCGCTCTTATACCCCTCGACCTGATTGACTGTATTGACGACGATAGACACAAAAGAGGATTCAGAAGCGGAAGCGTCAGGCGACTTAGGGAAGAGAAATTGATCATCACAACGCCAGGTAGACTGTTCATGGCAGAACCGTCCCTGTCAGTGCCACAGGCCACGAGATTTTAGAGTCGATTCTCGAACCTGAAAAACAGAACAAGTCATTACCAAGGGGCCTCTCCGAGGTCGTCCACCAACTGACCCCCCTCGGTGTCTTCATCGTACTGGGTGTTTTCCCAATTAAGCAGCTGGATACCATTCTGGACGAGACTAGGGGCGAGGATGCCAAGACAGCAAGTATTTGCAGCGATTGTGAGGAAAAAGACCTTGAGTGAAAATCCTTGATGTCCTGGGTCTGACGAGCATTCTCGAATTGGTCGAGGGCGCTGGTCATCTTGGTTGCAAACAGGGCGTGATCGCCGTGCAGGGTGGCCAAGTTGCTGGCATAAGGGTGCAGGCTCCGCAGCGTACAATGAGGCCCTGCATGATCGTGCAAATCTTCGAATCGTCCTGACGTCATGCCCTTCTCGATCCAGAAGTTGACGGAAGAGCTGTCATGTCGCAATACCATCGATCGCCAACAGTTGGCCATGTTGACCGAACGCAGCGAGTTCGACACTACAGCCGAGGGGAGCCGAAAGGGTATATAGTGAAGGTGTGTTCGTGCCGCAGTCGTACGTGTGGGTCTGCGGCGTTCGTAATTCTCGATGATCATCGGATCTTCGTCAGTGGCTGTCGATCGGGAGTTGCCCCAATGTTGCTTGCCCGCCGATCTTCGTGAAGCGTCTTATAATACAGTACAGAATAGGCGGATCGTCTCATAATACAGTACAGAACAGGCGGATGTCTTTCGGGATTGACGACCGGAACGCCGGAATGGATTGAGCGACTAAGCTCTGAGGTCTCTTTCCTTATTTCTCTTCTGGCTCACGAAATGAGATATCTAAGCTGTGGACTTGGGTTACTCGATTTCGTCATCTCTACAGTAAACCGCCTGCCAATCGTCTTGCCATTTCCTATGACCCTGCATGTCGTCACCTCTGATCGTTCAAGATGAGTATTGTACCTGGACAGCACCGATCACGTAGAGCTTTATTAGAGCTAGCCTTCCGCCTTTGTAGCCCTCACATATCTCGGTACCCAATTTTCTATCTAGACGATCGCGCTATAGCACACGTCCAGCGCCGCAGCTCAAACACCATTATCTGACATGTGCGGATCTACACCGATCAAATCGTCCAAATTGATGAAGTCGACATCATTAACCACGGATCATGAAACGACTGAAATCTCACTGTTGCGCTCGGCCCAGTTTCCTTAACTGTAGCTGAGGACCTCTTCCATTAAACGCTCAAAATCACTGGGGAACCGGCTGTCGCTGGAGACCAGCTTATTCGTCAGCCAACATAGTGTTTCTCGATTGACCTAGAAGTGCTGGACAGCTGCATACGCGATGGCTCGGACCGCCACGGTTTCAGTAGCGGTGCCCGTCTGACCTTTTCAACCGTTCGGCCCCGGCGCCGCGTCATCGCAATTTCAAGCTGTTTTTGGTTCCGGCCGCCGATACCAGCCGTCGATCGTTTGACCTCCTTATTACTGAGACAAGGCTCGATGCATGCCCTTCTGCGCACAGATTTGGTAAGGACTGGTGAGGTACCATGAGACGCGGCTTGTGTCTCGTACATCTCGAGCTAAATGTGCAGGTCGCAGTGCGCCAGGCGGTTTCACTTCGTGGTGGATTGATGATGTTCTGCAACTGCGAGGTGAAACTCGCCGACGCGCATGACCTCGGCGGTCGACGCAGCGAGATAATAGGTCGAGATGTCAATTGTACAATTGTACCAGTCACAGTCTCTATGAACTGTATACTCTGCCAAGCAATATGCTCTGATCAGACATGTATGCAGAGCATGGACCGACTCGACAGTCAGTAGTTGTACTATTGTACGTCCGTGGTCGTTAGCAAGCTGCAAGCTGAAGGGGGGCCGCGAGCAATTCAGCTTCCGAGCAAGGGAAGAGGGGAAAGAGCCCGCTCGTCGCCGTGCCCCTGCCTGGCCCTCGTCCTGTTCCCCCTCCACGACACACTCACACGGTTGTCACACCCACACACATCCGCTCTGATCTCTGAATCATCATCCATCATCCATCCATCCATCATCATATCATCATCGTCTTTCCCAGATATCCACTCGTCCGACCTAGATCTAGTCCTTTGAAATCGCAGGCAGTCCATCTTTCTGTCGGCACAGACATCGCTACTTACCACTCCACTCTCCTTACCAACGTGATCGGCCCCGGTGACTCGTACGAGCCTTATCACCCGTACTCCAACGCGCAGCCTGGTCTTCTCCCCCGCAATTGATCTCGGATCCCGTGGGTTGGTCGACAGAAACCTCGCGATCCGTCATCACCGATAATCCCTACGAAGTCGCTGTCATCGACATCGATATCACCTTGCGCCTGAGGTCGTTTCGTCAGCATCTTCAGAGGAGCAACCACACACCACTCCCTCTACCTAGCCAGCACCTCGCCGTTAGCTAGCCCTCCATTCGATGGGTCAAACCCCTTCCAAGAAGATCGGTCGGACCAAGTCCAAGGAGCTCTCGCACTATGATAGCTTTTCCAAAGCGGGCAGTCACCCGAACGTGCCTACGGCACCCATGGCAGGCAGCCTGGTCATCCCACCACTCAAAGCGGACTCGGACGGGTCGAGCGGTGCAGCACCTCTCGAAGTGAGCACGCCAGGTGCGAGAAAGGGGAGCGGTCCCACGAGCGCCGTCAGGGGAAGAGGGAGCGTAACTTCTGGAGCTGCTGCAGCCGGTGCAGCCGTACAAGGTCGATCAAAGTCGCCTCCACCACCTACGGCGTCATCTCCTGACGATCCCAACGTCGCTGGAAGCAATCTGGACGCCGTGGCAGAAGGTCGAGGCTTGAACACTACGGGTTCCATCACCAGTCTCGGATCAAAGGCATCTTCCTCGTCGACCGGACCCAACATCCCTACGACGCAGACGATCACCGCGAGCTCACCCGACAGGAACAGCAACAACCCCTTTCGCTCCTCCTCTCCACCTCCACCATCCGCCTTTTCCACCTCGCCAAGCGCCAACCTCTCTGCCGGTCCAGGTTCATCCAGCTTGTCCACCTCGCCCAGCCCGCTCGGACTCGGGACGACGAACAATCCGTCGGGTAACAATTTTAACCGCACACTCGACGTGGATAACATGATCTCCCGGTTGCTAGAAGCTGGGTACAGTGGGAAAGTGACCAAGAGCCCTCCTCTCAAGAATGCCGAGATCACGGCGGTCTGTCTGGCCGCGAGGGAGGTCTTTTTGAGTCAACCGACGTTGATCGAGTTGAGCCCGCCCGTCAAGATTGTCGGAGACGTTCACGGTCAGGTGGGTCGCGCATACGACCTAGACTCACAGCTCTTCACCCCCATCACGTGTGTCGTCTGATTCGCTGCTTGTTTTCTTCTGGTAGTACGCCGATCTCATCCGTCTGTTCGAGATGTGCGGGTTTCCTCCTGCCGCCAACTACCTCTTCCTGGGCGACTATGTGGATCGGGGGAAACAGTCGCTGGAGACGATCCTCCTGCTGTTGTGCTACAAAATCAAGTACCCAGAAAATTTCTTCTTGCTCCGGGGTAATCACGAGTGTGCGAACGTGACGCGAGGTAAGTCCCAATATGCCCTCCAAGTCTCTGTTCTTGTGCTGACTGACATGGTCTGATTTGCTCGACCCCGGACGTAGTCTACGGGTTCTACGACGAGTGTAAACGCCGTACCAACATCAAGACGTGGAAGACCTTTATCGACGTCTTCAACACGCTCCCGATCGCTTCCATCGTCGCTAGCAAGATCTTTTGCGTACACGGTGGGCTCAGCCCGAGCTTGACGAGCATGGACGATATTCGGCGGATACAACGGCCAACGGGTGAGTGTCAGCTCGAATCGCATGTGTGGCTGCATCGTCGACGGGGGTCGTAGATGCGATATGGGGTTGAGAGCTGATCATCTTAACTGCCTGGGTCGAAACGCAGACGTACCGGATTATGGGCTCTTGAACGATCTGGTCTGGTCAGATCCGAGCGATACGGCGCTCGAATGGGAAGACAACGAACGAGGGGTGTCGTATTGTTACGGTAAAGCCGTCATCAATAGCTTCTTGGCGACGCATGTGAGTCACACCGATCCGGATGAGCTGATTCTGTAAGGGATGCTAAATGTGAGGGAACAACGTGATGTTGTATGTTACAGGACATGGACTTGATTTGTCGGGCGCACATGGTGGTCGAGGTTAGCAAAGACGAGCCCTGCGAATTCGACATCGTACTGATACGATTGAATTATCTTTAGGACGGCTACGAGTTCTACAACGACAGAACACTGGTCACCGTGTTCTCGGCACCAAAGTGAGTAAAAGGTCGACGTAAATGTATCGGTTCTCCACGCTAACCATCTGCGCTTCCCTATAGTTATTGTGGTGTAAGCTTTGGAGCTGGATTGAAGCCTTAATGGAGATCATGATACTGACTGTTTCGCCGCCTCGACGCTATTTTGCTCATCAGGAATTCGACGTAAGTCAACCCGTTCACAAGGGATTACCATTACCCGCTGACCGAACCTGTATTATGTTTGCAGAACTTCGCCGCTGTCATGTCCGTCTCGGAAGACCTGTTATGTTCGTTCGAGCTGCTCAAGGTAGGGCGCATTGGTGCTCGTTACCGGATCTAGGTTTTTGCATGCTGATATCGGGCATTATGTCAGCCACTCGATGGAGCGGCATTGAAGAAGGAGATGGCCAAGAACAAGCGGAAAAGGTGAGTTTGACCGAGCGTCGTGTAAAAGTGGGTGTCACTGATCGGATCCTCGGTCTCGCAGTCTGCAACAGCATCAGTCACCGCCCAACACCCAGGTGGTACAGACTTTCTAGGCTTTTTACCTCGTCTCGGTTTCGGTACCCACCTTCACTCCCCCTTTCCCGACGGCCGGATCGATACACGGACGCTACACGTCTCTCTCCCTCACGCTCGCATTCCTCGCTCCGGGTCCCTGGTTCTCCCTCTTCTCGATTGCATCGATACCCTCCACTCCCTCGTCAAGTCATATCTGGAAACACCTCGTCAGGGCTCCCACACGCCGGCGAGTCGAATCATCCTCCTGTACCACCAGTCTCAAGTATCGTCGCTATGAACAGCGGCTCGATAAGGCCTACCTCTTTTTCTCTCTCCGGGAACTTTTGTTGTCTCATATCGCTCCTGTCAATCGGAGTCGCAGTCCCATCAATCAATGTATTTACGCTCAGCTCTGAATCGTCCGAAAAGGATCGCGCCGATGAAAGTGCTATGAAAAATTGTCGAGTGAACGCGGCTGGTCGGGTTTGGCAGCTCGAGATTGAAGTGGAGGAGCCCGGATGACCGCCAGGTGTTCGAGAGTCCTGACGTGGCTGACCTTGAGGAGCGCGCAACGAAAGAGTCAACCAGTTCATATCCTGTTACGTCGGCCTGATTTTATACAAATCACAGTCCTTCTATCATCATTACAAGCTAGACCTAAAACTCAAACCATATCACCCGGCTATCATCCCGGAGCACCCTGTACGACCTCCATTTATCGCCCACCCTCAATACTCATGAACCTCCTCCCTATCCACATGCCTCATCCCATGTTTACTCCTAAACCCGCGCTTAGTCTTGGTCCTGGTCGTGGTCGCCGTACCGATATTCCCCAAGGTCTGAGACTCAGGAACATGATCTTGCTGTTGAGGGGCTCTGGATGAGACCCAGTGGGATCGTTTCCAGATCGACCTCCCCCCGGCGGGACGAGGTTGAGGGTGAGTTTGGTCATAATAAGGGTCTCCTCCGTAAGTTTCTGTTTGGGGTACAGCGTAGGTTTGAGGGTAAGGCTGGGCCGGGGAAGAGGGGACGTTGCCATAAGTCGCTGGCTGCGCTGGGTATGCCTCGGTTTGCGTTTGCGTTGGAGCTTGCGATTGTTGGTGGTATACAGCATGTTCCGGTGCATAATAAGCTCTGTACCACATGCCAACCAGGAGTCAATCCGATCAGCCACGACCGCTCGTCTTACCACCTCCTTGATTCCTGCTTACTCTTGAGCGGGATACCCATATGTCGCAGGATCGTCAGCATACGGTCCTTCCGTATGATCCTGCCGCCCACGCGCACGCCCACGGCCTTTCCGAGAATCCCTGTAGATATCTTGTTCCGTCTGGATCTTGAGGGCCGAGTATTCCCTGCAGGCTACATTAACGGGGTGTCGTATTCGAGCTTCAGTATAATCAGAAAAAGAAACAAAGACTCGCCTCAAGTTGAAGAGGCTGAGCTGGAGATCGAGATCGTGACTGACCATCATCATACCTCCTCAATCGCTCCGCCTCCCTCGCCTCCTTCCTCCCCGCTCTAACCTCCCTCAAACCCTCCCTTAGGGTCCCCCTATCCACTTCCCCCCTCTTCAACCCCGCTCCTCCAGACCTGATCGTCCCCATAATCCACGTCCCCGGCTTGGGCAACCTTACAGTAGGTTCCGGGTGCAAGAACCTCTTGGGCGTGTAATTCGGCCGGCGGGAGGTCAGCGGGATCCGGAGTGGTTCTAGTGGAGGTGGAGCAGGGTCGGTAGGGTTGTATGAAGATGAGGGAGGGAGGGGGCGGTGGACTTGGATATGTGGGCGGGAGGAGAGGTAGGTCTGGTATGGTTGTTTAGGCGGGACGGGGGGCGCCGACTGTACGTCGATCAACGGAGGCTCGGTGCAAAGTCAGCGAGGATACCAAACGGTGACACGAAGTAAGAGTGAGGATGACGTGCATCAGAATGAGCTTGTTGGCGACGACGAGACGAAAAGAACCCTCGTCTCTGTCTTCCTGCATCTTGCATGGGCTCGACGTACGGGTCCATGTCTTGTCGATCAGGATATTGATGATCCGGGTTGGACTGGCGATTACCCATCGTCTTGTCGGTTTCTATTGTGATGACCGGAGGTGATATAGCCATAACGATGCGGGGTATAGGGTATGAAGGTATATCAGTTCGGGATATATATAACCAGATCGAATTCTTCGAGTGAAAATGTGACAATCGATCGAAAGGAATCTCGACGAGGATAAACAACAAAACAAAAATAGTTGATGGGTGTCGATTCTGAAACACGCGCGGGCGCAATCGCGGAGGATGTTCGATGACGTACCGGCTGATCATCACACACAATTCACACAAGGTGCTCCGATCGTAGAGTCTCGATCCAATCTGTCAGCAGCTCAGCAGACGATGATCAGCATGCAGGATGATCAGTACGATCCGGGCAGAGGCAAGTCGTAAGGGCCATGGGCCGGACAAGCCAGGAAATCAAAGAGCTGCAAAGAGAGATGACACGTCATCCTGAACTGAACAAGCACTCGGACAAGCAAAGATGAATGACCCCCGAGGTCTCGAGGTCGAACGCGACGCGACGCGTTCTCCCTTTACCTCGACGGCCTCGACCGACATCATCATCTTCAACATCACACCTCGAGAAGCATCATCTTCACCTTCTCAGAACCGTTTGTCAACTGGTACAGCATTCCACACCACACAGCCAAAACTGCCAGCGATCTCCCTCGCCCATCATGGACCCAACCCCCCAACCCGCCTCGACATCGAGCACATCGACTTTCCTCTCCTCCCACTACCTCTCCACGATCCCCCCCGACTCGATCAACGACCTCCAATCGTTCCTCGACGATCAACGACGAGCCGAACAGGAAGCTAGAGAAGCGATGCCTTTCCAGACGGGAGAGTGTAGTTGGGAAAGAGGGTATGTGAAGCAGAGCGTCTGGGCTTGTCGAGGTGAGTCGTCTTGCCATTTGATTTATGAGATTTTGAGAGGGAGAGAAGGCTGATTCTCGTCCCGCGTTCCTGCTTCTTGACTACCATGTACCTCCTATGGTCTATGTAGACTGCGATGGAAAAGGCGTCTGTTACGGTTGTTCCATCTCGTGTCACGCCGAACACGACCTCGTCGAGCTCTTTCAACGACGGAAATTTCGGTGCGATTGTCCGACATCAAGCAGGCCCAGCACGGATCACTCTTTCCTTTCTTCCTCCTCTTCTTCCTCAACCACGGCCAAACAACCTCAATTATCAGCACAAACGACCAAACCCCGCACGCTGTGTACCCTTGTCCCAAACTCTGCATCATCGTCACCGTCACCGCATCCTCCCAACACGCACAACCGATACACCCGCAATTTCACCGGTAAATTCTGCAGGTGTCCCAAGGGGGAGACTTATGATCCCATGGAAGAAGAAGAGTCCATGGTCGTCTGTCTGGGTTGCGAAGAATGGTTCCACGAGGGATGTCTGGTGAGTCTTTCGAGAAGTCGTCGTTAGTTGTTATCTGGTTTTGTTGTCGGAGTGGTAGTGGTGGTAGGGGTGGTGGTAGTGTCGTTGCTGATATCGTTTGCTTGTGTTGTGGTATGCAACAGAACCTGTATGATCCTTCTAAACCGCCCCCTTCTGATCCGGAGGAGGAGGTCGACCAGCCTCCGAATACTAGTACCAGCACTACCGCCGTGTCGGATATGATCCCCCCAACCAACCCCGCCCAGCCTATCAAAAACACAGACCCGACCGCGACTACAAGCATAGTCACCCGCACAAACAACCCGGCCTTATTACGCCCAGACGCCTACGCTCATCTGGTCTGTAGGGACTGTATAACGAAACACCGGGTGACGAGACGATTAGCGGGTACGAGGGGGTGGATGATGATCCTACCCAAAGCCCGCACGCCTGGACAAGATGCGGTGGCACAGGGCGGGGAGTGGGCGGACCGGTGGGAGGTCGTTGGACTACCAGACGTACGGGATCCGGATGCGGGCTCGAGATCGGGCGGGAATACAAAGGCGGATGAGGGGTCTGAGGGTGTCAAAGACGTGACCGGCGCCAAGAGGAAAGCCAATCAGGATGCAGCCGAAGCAGAAGGGCAAGAGACGAAACGGCCCAGACTAGAACCCACGTCTAGCCCAGCAGAAGGAAAGTCCCGGCAGACCCGCTGTATCCTCCCCGACCCGGTCGAACGCGCTCAAAAGGCCTTGGACCCGTCCAACGACAAAGCCAGCGGGTATCCGGACGGACAAGGCGATGTATTTCTAATCGAGGGGGAGAGGGAAAAGTTGGCAGGGTACCTCCAGTGCGGGTGTGAGGCTTGTCAACTTCAACTTCATCGTCGACGTGCGGCAGGGGAGGAAGAGGAAGTGCCGTTTCCCCTATCCGAGGAGGATGAGGGGGAGGTGTATGAGCCTCCGAGAGAGGAAGAGGAGGATGGGCCGGAAGGTGCGTTCAAGACATTCTAGCCCTTTGGATCTGCTTTCTTTTCGTGGTTGCTGACTTGTCCCCCTTTTGGTCCCTGTATGTCTCGCTCGCGCAGAAACGATCGACGAGATGACCGCCAAGGCATTGAACGGCCTACCGCGGTCTCAAGCGATCGAGACGATGATCAAGTTCAACGAGATGAAGTACGTATGCGTAATCTTATCCTTCTCAAGTCGCACCGAGACGCAAAAGACGACCGCGCTGACCGTACGCTCGGGTCGTGCAGGGACAACCTCAAGGTCTTTCTCGAGGGTTTCAGGGGGACCGACAAGGTCGTCAAAGAGGAAGACATTCAGCTGTTTGTCGCTGGGATGAGGGAGCGGGCCGAGAAGAGATGATTAAAATGAGAATGAGGACGTTGATGAAGAGGAAGATGAAGCTCGTGACACGAAGCGACCATACGACGACGGGGTAGCGAGGACGACAGTCAAATCGGTCCGTGCGGTGTATTGTATCTATATCATATGTAGCTTTGCGAGATGATACCCTTTTCTTGTATGACGATCCGCCGATGTTTGCACCCATACGAGACTTGTCGACTTGATCCTTGACAACGTTGGCTCGGTAGGAAAGCATGGCCGTCCTTTGTGTATGTCGCTGTCACCGGATGTTCTATCACTTCTGCTTCTGCTCCCCCTCTTGTCAGCACTGGCAGGAACCCTCGGCTGGCCACTCCTTTCGTCTCAGAAGATCACCCTCAGGGTTCTCAGAGAGTAATTCACGAGTACATATGTGCACATTGGTAGTCAATTTCGAGGGGATTGCTCATCTCAGCCAATAATCACATGGCCCACGATAAGCCAAGAACCGTCGTCAGCTTAATCTTTGGCGATCCTACTCATCATGAGTGATACCCAGTACAATGGCTCGAACAATGGCATGCTTGACTGCCGCCACCGGAACATCACGTATAGATTAGGAGACAATGGGGATTTGCTGCTCCAGTATTCTGAGAGGACCTACATCCCCGGAACTGACGAAGTCATCTTTCCTATCCGGTATTATTTGATCAAGCACGACTGGTTTGTCACAGCTCGACGCGAGTTGTGGAGAACATCCTCCAAGGGAAGCGGGCAGCCCTGGCCAGCCTGGCCAGACGTCGGGAACCTCAAGGAGCTGGTGACTGCCCGTGATCAGCGCAGGATCCTGGATCTCCTCCGAAGCCGCTTGCTCAACAGTGATCAGTTCCTCTCAACCTGGGCTCAGGACGTCAACGACGTGTACCTTGCGCAATCGCTCAAGAATGGACACTACACGGCCAGGTTCTGGACAAAGGAAGGACCATCAGAGCAATTCTGGGAGGGCAACCAATACGAGCAGGGTTTCATGCGGCAAATGTTGGAGCAGGTCAACCATGATCAAGGCGCTTATGGCATGACGGAATGCTGCTTGGGTTCAGTTTCGAATTTGCCATCCATAGTTTCTTGGTCCGTCGCCCCAGGATCTTGTCAGAGCTCAATGGTGGCATCCTCTGTGCGGTCTGAGGTGAGTTAGATACCTCTGACCTTTACAAAGGAGCGATCACTCATTTTGGTGTCTGTGGCTTGGAATCTCAGAGTCAGACCCATACATTCCCTTTCATAATCAACCCAAGCTACCATGCTATATCCTCAAAGTGGGGGGCAAAGAGGATAGTCTCCAATCAGAACCTTGAAGAGGAGATGTTAGAAGTAGAACGTCAACGGGAAGCATGGGAATCATCAAACGCTGCTTCTACAAGGTAAGTCGCGAAGATATCAGAATATATGTAAGGCAAGCACATGCTGATCTATCAACACAGCTATTCCCACATGCCACGGCCCCAAGATATTGATTGCAACAGGTCATCGAAATGGGAATGATGATCCCAAGTCGCGGACCAGACCCCTTTGCATCATGTGCCTGGATTTTCAGGGTTGTTATGCCAAGGGGTTGCAAGCGACCGTCTACATGAAACTTGGAAGGATTATTACTGCTCCTACATGTTGAGGGTCAGATTGTATCTTGCCGTTTTGCAAGCACATTGCGTCGTCACATATGACGGTTCCAGTGATATAGTCATTTGCGTATGCTTTCGAATCTCAAAGCAAGACACATTGGGAGGTCCCCTTGCAGACTGATCAGAGAATGTGTCTACCCTGTACCAGTCGGACATCCGTTATTACTGACATCACCCTGCCCGTAAGTTGTGGTTCATTGTGTGTTTGAACTCGGTGAGAGAGGATCCGTTGATATTGATAGAGAAGACGTGAGCTGCAATAACAGGCTCGATTTGATGAAGATTACTTGATACTAGGTGAGAAAATGCGCTGCTTTTCCAATCGGTAACGGTGCCTCAGCTCTTATAGTACCATTTCCTCTCATGAGCAACGGCGGGCTGGAACGTCTGTTCTCGAGATGATTGTCATGTCTATCTTCATACGAACCATTCGACCTGGACTGCCGCAAATGGTAGCGGAGGCGCCGGTGTCTGCTCCTCGTGGGGCCTTTCTTTCGATTTTGAATACGGATCCATTGATATCTCTATGCCTCTAGATGACAAGTTACAGGTAATTCAGGTAAACAGGAACCTGCATCACCACTCAATCAACGTCGCCGCCAGCCGAGGATGATAAAATCGCGATATTCAGGTGAAACACGGCCGAACCCTGCCGCTTCGGGCAGCCCTATTCCCGCGCTTCCCTCTCTCGATCGCATTTTTGCTTCCGATGGATTTCCTTCCGCCAGCCTTGTCGTTGCTCGGCATCTGGGTCTGAGCCGAGATTGATGAAATGATCGGCAGATCCAGACAGACCCCGGGTATATCGATACTGCGCATCCTGGCTGCAGAGATGCACGTAACAAATTGGTACTTGTCTGCCAACATGCAGCGATTTGAGCCAACTCGCCTGGTTTGGCTGACGGAGGTCGGGCGTCGAGGCGTTGACATCCCATCTGTCTGGCATGTATGGAGGCGGGATGCCTCCACGGGGGGGCCTGACGCTGACACTTGATCCGCGTCATTATTATCGCTATCGAGAGCTAGTAGGGAAGTCATCCTTTTTTTGGGCGCATGGCTTCAGCAAATCATCGTCTCTTTCGAGGATCGAGGTGAAGAGTCCGGGCTGTGCCGATAGATGACTTTACGCTTGTTGATGCCGGTAAAGCAGTGTATCTTAAATGACTGGCCACCTGTCGAAGCCCCTACGTAGAGTATTTTGAATCGCTCTGCCGCGCATGACCTGAAGGGAAGAGACAGAGACGATGATGATATGACGGGCGCCGCGCTACAAAAGTGCTCAGGCTCGGGTTTCTCTTCGATCGCCGCGCTCTCAATCGTCAACGTCACCGACCTCTATTAGCTATTAGGTAGATCACGACGTAGATATCCTTGACGTCCCCTACATCCACAACGTCTTCTAGCTTCTGATAGCTAGTCGTTCGACATCGTACACCTTTCTTCGAACGACCTCTATCCTTTCCTCAGAGCGCACGCACGCAGGTAAAACGTACGTCGCCCTTTTTACCCCGCATCGCATCGCATCGACCCGGATCGAAGTGTCTACGCGAACCCAACCGGGAGGGGGTGTGACGTCGTCGACCGACCTCCGAACCAAACTCGACCAGAATCAAAGCACGGCCGCGATATCGATTGATACTTCCTACAACCTGCAATCTGCTCTACCTACCATCTTGCTCTCTGGCTTGAACATCAACAAGGTTATTTCTGCCTTGCTAGTTCCGTCAGCCTACATTCGAGCTCGAGGAAAACGCGTCGTACGACCTCAACATCCTGACATCAGCCTTGGACCAGGCTTGTAACCCGAACTGAATCAGAGTCTCAAGGGAACAGGAACAAAGAAGGAGGCTACAAAAAGAAGTCAGGATCGTTACCAGCCTGTATCAACAACTTTCCTCTACTGTTCAAACCTCGGTCACTTATAATAATCAAGGTCCGAATCAGGAAGGTCGAAAGGTCTTTCTTTCTGTTCCTTTACACTCGAAGTAGAAAGAAAAGGCAATTGTCTGTCGGTTCGAGCGATTCGGACTATCTTACCGAGCTAGGAGATACTGCAGGAAAGAGGGACACCACCCAGGAGACATCAGAGCATCTTTGACATCGAGCTCGCAGTCGACATTGAGGAAAAATGTGAGTAGGACTCATGCTGACTAGGAGGTTACCGATTCGACGATGAGGGTTGTTGACAGATATTGTGATCATTGCCGTGGATTCTAGACCAATCAATACAGGACGAACACGATACCAAAGGGCGAACTGCCGGGACCTTGATCGGTCTAACCTATCCGATCTGACCCATTCGCATCATGCCGTCCCTCTTCGCTAGACACCGGCATACCCGGTCCACCGATACCACCACATCAAACAACCCCGCCTCCTCGACATACCAACCCACACACCTCCGAAAACCATCCCTGACCGAGTCTGGCCCGCCTCCAGCTGCCTCGGCTTCGGCCTCATCAGGGTTGTTGGGGAACCTCAAGGCCAAACTCAACGCCTCGAGGGTTTCTTTGCATGAGGACGATCCATCCTTGAGTAACGGTGCGAATGGGGGGAAGAGGAGATTCTCGATCGGACAAGCTTTCGCATCCGGGAACGGCACCAAGGACGGTCAGGATTACAACGCAGGGAGGAGGAACTCTATCGCTCTCGTCAGCGAAGTTCCCGATTCTCCCCCAGCCCCTAACCGAGCCAACTACCCGCCGGGAACCAAGATCATGCCGACTCCCCCACGGAATAGCGTCCTAGGAACTTCCGGGTTGGAGGCGGATGAGAACCGACGACGACGAGAATCGACGGATCTTTTGGATGTGGATCATGCTCAAGATCGAGCTCGAGGGCCAGGTTCTCCAATCAAGCCTGTGGCACAAGACGGATCGAGAGGTGCTGCAGGACTGGACGCTTGGAAACCTCTTGTTCCGGATAACAAGGGTGTCCCACTCAACTCCCCTCCTACGTCGCCGCCTATGCCTACCACACCACTGCGAACCAACCCCAACGCGACTACGCCCGTGTCTAGCCCGCTGTCGACCCTCCACACAGCCTCTCCTCGAAGCACTCGGGCTGCACCGGGCCGAATCGCTTTACCTCCACCAGGTCTCGTCTCGCGGAAATCCACCGCGTCACACGGGATGGGACTATCCATCGTACCCTCCACTCCTTTACCTCAACGGATCGCCAACCTTCCTACTCTGAACGGGAGTACAAGTGCGAGCGGCGGTGGCGTCTCTGAATCGTCCACTCCTGGAGGATATGGGTTCCCGAGTGCGGCTGGTGCAGGACCCGCTGGTTCGAGGCCTGGAAGCGGGCATGGTGGTGGTACGACCAGCCTGCAGAGCTCACCAGGCGCCATGACGAGGACTGCATCAGAGCATAGGTGGGCGAAAAAGGCCATGGTGAGTGCCATATGAGAAAGGATGGGGCCAGCAGGTCGTATGTTCAGCGCTGATCTGTCTTGTATATGCGCTGCTTCTCCCGGCTCATAGCCCGTCATGCTCAGAGAACCTTCTCACCGCCCCGCTCCTCCCGTTATAGCTTCTCCCGAGCAGGAAGGATCCGACGACTCGGACTCGCAAGAGTCGAGCGAGTCTGAATCCGGGTCTGACGATGACGAGGACGACAGCAGCGAGGAGGGTGGCGCGACGTCTACTGCCACTCGTGCTGTCGAACATCGCGGCCTGCTCGGACGCAGGGAGAGGGTGGATTCGATCCACGAAGAACCGGAAGAGGATCAACAGGGCTCTCCGAGCCAGTCGAGTCGACGTCAATTACCTCCCCTGTCCATTCCGGATCGCCGTCAACTCGTCGCCCCGCAGCTCGATGGACTGCCTGAGAACCCGATGGAAACGCAAGCTTCTGGCTCGCAACCGTCGATGCAATCCCGGACGTCGTCGTCTTCCTGGGCACTTCCCACCCCGAAGACACCCGGTGCCAACCAATTTTTCGCTGGTGGAGGTGGATGGACGCAGTTTGGTGCTGCCACACCGACGATTGGGACCCCAATGGGTTCTCCTTCTGCCAAGTCGCCCGGTCGAGCCGCGCTGGGAGCGTTCAATATGCCTAACGGGGTGGCCAAAGCGGCGGCTTTGTCGAGGAACCAAACGCCTGCTGCAGGTATCAAGGTCGGGGAGACGTCATACTTTGACACCGCCAGGCCGGCAACGGACGGGAATGCCACGCCAACGCCGACTTCTGCTAGACCTCCAAATGTCGACGACGATGAGGTCGAAGAAGTCACCACGCCTCGAGCTGAGGAGCCCGAACTAGCCTTTTCGGAAGAAGCTCAATCTGCTACCGCTGCTCCTGCTTTGCCTCTGGACCTGTCCAACCTACCTGGCATGATTCCGGCCACCCAGGATGACCAAGTCTCTTCTCCCTTGCGCGAAACGTTGCGCTCGCAAGAATCCTTGTCAGGCAGTCGGCCGACGACCCCGCTTACTTCTCGTCCGAGGATGCTGACGCACAAGTCTCGGAGCATGGTCGATTTGTCTGCCGCGGCGTCCTCGTCGTGGCGAGAGCCAGAGGCGCCCATCTCCCGTCGAGGCTCTGATGAGGCTGAGGAAGAAGAAGAGCTGGCAGATACGCCATCGCCCGCAGAACAGACGAATCGTACTGAAATCTCTCCTGTGGGGATGATCCCGATTGGCGAGAGCTTGCGGCAGTACAACCCTTCGCCTGCACCTAGCGCCAGATCCTCCGCCGATTGGGCTCGACCCCCTCCCACTCCCGGGATCGGCATGACCCAACCGTTCCGGTTTGGAACCGGTGGTATGACCAGCGGGACGTCGACCCCGGTCACATCCCCCAAAAAGACCGTTCTGCAGCGTCAGATGTCAGAGGCCCGTGGATCCCCTTTGAAGCGCAGGCGATCGCTCGACGACACGCGTGTCAAGCCGCCCAAGTATGAACCTCCCGAGCCTGGTTCGCGGATCCCAAGGCCTAGGGAAGAGGAAGGTCGAGAGAACTTACCTGAATACTGGTGTCACGTAAGCTCATTAGCGATTACGTTCGACGCCTGGCATATCATACTGACAAGGCAAGTTGCATCTCGCAGGTACACATCGAAGGTTATTTGCCCCGAAAGATGGAGTTCTCAGCACCAGGTGTGCAAGCACGAGACAGGAGTTGGAAACGCCTCTACTTTGTCTTGCACGGAACCTCGCTGCGGGTCTTCAAGCACGACGTCAACAAGATCCCGTTCAAGGCCGGATCTATCTCGATCCCTGAGATCTCCGAAGCCGATTTGGCCAACTTGCATGTACATAAACCGGGCGAGAGGCGAGAATCGGTCACCGCCACTCCGGCAGCTCGTCCAGGCGCTCCTGCCGCTCCGACTGGTCGTCGCGGTTCCCTCGTCGAAGGCAGCGTTAACGCTCCTACGGGAAGACGAGGCTCATTGCCCGGAGACCCTGATGCCATCACTCCGGCCGGTCGACGTCCTTCCCAAAGTTCGGTCGGATCCAGCGTCGCGGCGAGCACAACAACGACTGCTACGACGTCGAGCGAAAAGGAAATGTTCTTGTTCCAACCCGCCTCCCAGGCTACCCAGGCGAGACGAGCTAGTATGAGCGTACCTCCTCCCGCACCCTCAAGCGGGATCAACGCTAGGGAGAACATCGCCTCGCATTTGCCTTTTGGCGGCGGGAACGCGCTCGTCAAGCAATATTCGTTGCAAAACGCCGAGAGCGGGTTGGCTGCGGATTACGTCAAGAAGCGAAACGTCGTGCGGGTCCGTGCGGAGGGTGAACAGTTCTTGTTGCAAACCGATAGCGCAAAGGACGTGGTCGACTGGATCGAGGTGAGGCGCAGGACTTCAGTCAAGGCAATTCTGCATTGTCAGCTAACCAGATGAATATCGTTCTATGTGTCCTGCCAGGCCTTCCAAGCGGCGACCAACGTCTCGCTCGAGCTGGATACCCGACCGATGCCAAAGATTATCACTCTGCCTCGACGAAGGAGGAGGAGAAGGCCCGGCGAGGGACCTGCCAACGCTGCTGCCGGCCAGCCGGGTGTCGCGGAGAACGACGATACGCCTGAAGGTGAGTCTATCAACAACGTAGTGTGGGGTTTGGCTCCTGAGCTGACATAATCTCCTGTCTCGTTCTTAGGTAATGCCCGCGCGGTGGAACAAGCCGAACGAGCTGCAGCGGCTGCGGCTGCCCGGGAAACGAATTCTCGCAACGTCAATGCCATGGAGGCCATGTTAGCCGAGGACCAAGCGGCCGCCTAGACCAGGATGTTGGCACTATCAGTGCCTATATCGTGCGGATTTCGACGGCCTGAGCCCGGGCTTGGTTCTGTGGCTATCATTAGAGTGTATCATCCATAATATGCGGAGACCCGCGTGGTTTCCTGTCTGTTTCTCATCTTTGTCAATTATGCCTTACGTACCAACTTGTATCGCATGTAAGGACAGGTAGCTAGTGATATGAACCAGTAATGAATCGCGCTCTGAGAGTTCTTATCATTTGCTGCGCAATCGTGGTTGAGATCGCGCTTCGATTTGGGCATGGCGCGCTTGATCTGGGTGGGAGGGTCGATGATGCCGGCATGCACCCGACCCCGGGGGTTCGACCCAACAACAGAGAATGTCAATCAACATTTCGCGAGGGATCGGCAACTCGAGTGGAATGCGGTATGGCAACTCATCCGTCATCCGTCCGTCATCATCATCTCTCCTCCTTCATCTTCAATCACTCATAGCTAGCGTCGTCTTAGCCACCTGACCGATCCCAGCTCAGTCATATCGCCATACCCATGCGATAGCTTACCCGTCTCAAGCGAAACCGCACATCAACAACAAACATACACCAACTGCAAGGAGGGCGAATCGGATTGAGATGTCTGTCGAAACACCAAGATCGGTGCTACAATATGTAGGAGGATGGAAGTTGGGATCTACTTTGGGTCGGGGAGGGTTTGGTAAGAGCTGAATAGACGTACATGTCTATGCTATGAAGACGTGCTCACCAGAGGCATTGGTTTCAATCACATTCGGCAGGGCACGTTCGTAAAGCGAAGCATTTGGGTACGAACCGAGTCACCGCCTGCAAGATCTTACCTGCTGTGGATCCATCATCTCCGTTGACAAAGGACATGATTATGGATGCGATGGAGGCTCAGAAGGAAGAGATCCTGTTGAAGCTCATGGCCGGATTGAATATCGAGGGGGTGGTGGGAATCGATATGGTTAGGCACGAGAAGCAGTGGAAGTGAGTCGTACTGAATACCCGTCGACTAGCCGACGACAATCACCAAGCCACTGGACTCGTTCCGTTACGTGTGCCAGATACCTCTTTCTCCCCATGCTCCCCCAATCTGCAAGCAGCATCCGTGCCCCCGTTCCGGCCGAACGCATCATCCCCTTCTTCCGACAGCTTCTCCGTTCCCTTCACTCTCTTCATTCCATCGGCGTCTGGCATGAAGATCTCAAACCTGCCAACATCTTGATGACCGAGACGGGCATGCCTGTCCTGGCTGACTTTGGGTTGACGACGTTTTCGCCCAGGTTGAAGAGGGCGTGTTCGGGAGGGGGGACGTTGGATTACATGTCACCAGAGAAGATCGAGGTTGGTGTCTGGGCGCATGCCAGACAAGATGACCCCTTACAGTTGCTCATGCTCGTTGTTACCTTACCAGAACCGACCCTACGATGGTGCCGCCTCGGACGTCTACGCTTGCGGTATTCTCCTCTACAAATGGCTCACAAACCACCACCCGTTCATCCGGGATCGAACCGATGATACAGACGAGGTGATCGAGAATAGGATTCTCAAAGGGGAGATCGAGTTCAGGATGACGAGAGAGCCGGGCTCGGCAGGAGAGTTGATCTGGAAGATGTTGCGTGGAGATCCGCTTCGAAGATATACCGTGAGTTTTCCTATGGAGGTCAACAAATGGTAACGAATCTGAGCAAGGCGGTCGATTGTAATCGGGTTCTTTCAGATCCCCAAAGTTCTCGCCCATCCTTTCCTCAACCCACCGAACCTTCGACCCGAGACCCCTTGGAAACGCCCCGTCCTTGATCACACCCCCATCCCGGAACCTTCCCCCAAGATCGTCTTCGAGGTCACCTTTCTCGCCTACATTTCCAACTTGTGGTACCCTTGTCAGACTGACCAGTGCATCCGGGAAAACTTGGCGAGCCCGTTCCCGGCGTGGGAAAAGACGATGTACCATGCGATCAGCGCTTGGAAGGCCAAGGATCCTGATGCTGACAAGGATATGACCTGTGAGTGCCCAGCATACAGTGTCGTACACGCGATCGTTAGCTGATTTGATAACTCTCCGCGATAGCCAAACCGATGATGAAGGCCTTGTTGCGCGTCATGAGCGAGGCTAGCATCTCTGACAACGTGAGTAGCTGCCGGAGCAGATGAACACCTTTATACTGATCCAGGCAAGCTTATCAAGCATCAAATCCATCAGCAGCCGCAGAACACCGGTCAGCCAGGAGCTCCTGCTGGCAGGATCGTCTCTCCCGAAAAGAAGGCTACCGCCCCGCTCAACGTCAGACCCGCCTCTCCTCAGAAGAAACTCGACTTCCCGCTCATCCCCCAGAACGCACGCGCGAACAAGATCAAGCCTGAGACGAACAAGGAAAATGCTGTTATTGCTCTCCCCGTCGCCACCCTGGGTTTGACAGAGAAACCCGTCGGCACGGCGGTGCAGATGGGAGTGGTGCAGGGCAAGCAGAAGGTGATGCAGGATAAGACTGGCAACGAGGTCAACAAGCAGAACGATAGGGTGGTTGCGGCGATGTGAGTTGGCAACAGCTCCATAATTGCTTAATCTGCGAGCCGTCTATCGGTTAAATGCTGACACTTCGACATCGTTCACGCTGCAGGGCAAGAGTGAAACAGGTCCAAGCCGAGATGGCCAAGAAGGAGGAATCCGAGGTGATCGACTTGTTGTCGGATACGGACGATCAGGAAGTGGACCCCAGCCCACCCGTCAAGGCCGTCGAGCTGAATGTCAAGACCAAGACCAAGGTGACCAAGACGAAACCTGTTCAAGCGAGGGGAAAGAAGGCACCGAAGATCAAGTTGAACGATGACGAGTTGCAGGATCCGGATGAAGAAGAGAACCAGGGTGAGTAGTGGCCCTTGTCGCTCAAAATCTTGGCTAGACGCTATGTTGGATAGGGAAGCTGATTGTCGATCTGTTGCGGGCGTTCTTCTCCTAGACACGATCTACCTCCCGGCACCGTTGCCGAAACAACGACACGCTCCGCGAAGGTCACCGAGGTTACAGGGGATCGCTCCGGAAAACATTGGCTTGGATTTCGAACGTGAGCATCGTCTTTGCCTGTCTTTGATTCCGTCACCTGCTTTGTATGGCCGGCTGAACTGGACTTTCGTTTGGGTGGCTTTTTTTAGCGAGAGCGCGACGAACCCGGATGGTCGTCTAGTTCGCTCCTCTGTGGCGAGATTCGACGTGTACGACCAGTTCCCATCACCTTTACTTTCCGACTGCCTATTAATGCGTGTCCCAGCCTTTCTCCTGGATGTCGGGATCGTTGTACACTTTGTGTAGATTCTAGTGTAGCGAATAAGAATACGACGATGATGTCTCCAACTGACCGGCGGTCTATCCCTTATCGGTTATATCCGTCCCCCCTTCCAAGGGGAGTCACGTGGTGTCACTGTTCCCCCTCGTTATCGCTCCGGGTTGAACGAGACTCTAGCCACAATGCCTGACCCCAATTACATCGTCGTAGTCCTCAAACCACCTTCTCTTTCTTGCAAATCGTATCATAGCCTGCTACTGAGGACATATCTTTCGCCTTTTGCACCATCATGAAGTTTGCCCTCGTCTCGACAGCCTTGACGGCAGCGGCATTCTTGTCGCCGTTTACCAACGCTCAGGGATAGTGCGTCAAGGAGTCTTGCCAGCTACGTACCGTCATTTATATACTGACACATCGGTCTTGTTATTATAGCCAACAACATGCCTACCAAGCTCCATTACCGGTGCATACCCAAAGTAAGCTTTTCCGAGCCATAATCATCAAGTCTTACACAACGACCTTGACTCACCCGTACTTCTGGTTTCAATCGTCTAGACGCTCCCGCTCCAGCTCCCGGAATCGGTCTACAAGTCGCTCAGACTCTCGAAGGGATGACCGGATGGAATGTGACGGGCATGTACGCCAGAGTCATTCGGTCGAAAGAGTTTGATAGGACCAGGGACGAGGCGGAGGGGTTTATCAGGCTGACGGATAGGAATTATGATTCGCTCGTGAGTCACTCTCAAGCTATGTGGAAGGTTTCTCGCTGAAAGAAGGTTTTTGGCTGAAATGTACGCCTTCTCGATGTGTAGGTGAAACATGAGCAGTTACCAGAAGGAGGTAAAGAGCGGGTCTGGTTCTCTATCATGTAAGTCTCTCTCATTGCCCTACCGTCTGCAGCTCACCCCGGAGCAGGCCGACCGAATCCGTCTCATTGCCTAATCTCACGAATATATCAGACACGCCCCACCTTCAGACGTAACTTCCACCGCCTATCTGGACGCGATGACTAACGCCGCTCGGATCGCCCGTTCGAACAAGACGGATCCGCTGGATCATATCAAATGGGGAAGAATCGATTTCCTTACGGAGACGGAACTGGCGGCTCGTTGGCTCGTCTTTAAGTGAGTATCACATTGATTGGCTGATCGGTCGATGATCGCCATGCTGATAAGTCAATCGATAGACCCCCAGTCTTCGTGATCGCCACCGATAGGGGTAAAGACCTCCGATTCCTCACCCCGCGTATGGTCGGTCCGAACGGTACGACGCTCGAGACGATCATGCGTGAGGAACACTGGAAGAATGCACCGATCTGGAACAGCGCCTATGCCCCTGGTGGAAGTCGGTGAGTTTGGGGCCTGGTCTAGATTCGTCTCATGTAACCTGCTGCAAAGCGAAAGGTTGCAATGAGCGGGAAACTTTGACTGAAGATCGGGTACGTTGTTCGGTATAGGGCGTTCATCGTGGACTGGTACGTCAGGCTCGTCCAGCTTTGGAGTAAATTCACGACCACGGTCCCATCATGGCAAGTCCCCAAATGGTCTTCTCTTCCGCAAAGCTGTATCGGAAGGTATTAACGCTTCCAATGTTCCGCTCGCGTACATTGTTGTCACGGAAACAGGGCGTTGTTATTCATCATGCCGATGGCGACGCAACAGATCATGAGCTGGATGCATAGCGGTGCTCCCACCCCCAGTGCTGGTGCAGCTCCCGCTAGTGCTCGCCCAGTTCCGGCAAAGGTTGTTGCCCCTAAACCTACGGCGGCGGGCAAGAAGAGCAAGAAGTAGGCTGGAGGCTGTAGTAGAGGGGAGTGACCGGAGAAGAAGAAGAAAAGACGATTTAGGGGGTTTTGCATTTTGGGTAGCGAAACCGGATCAATACGTGCACGAATTGTGCTGCCTGTTGGCTCTGGAATTGCGCAATGCATAGCTCTGACTTGTCGACGCCGTAACATGGTGAACGGTTTTTAGCCATTCTGTGATGTGAAGCTTGCTCCGAGCGGCGCGATGACCGAGGTTGTCGGATGCCGGCATCGCTCGGTAGACTGGACTCGACAAGCACGCAAGCACTTTGCTCGATCTCTCAGATACTCATCTGCTTTCCTGCAGTCCTGCAGATACTTGTCCACCATACTCACTGATCACTGCGAATGATAGGAGCTTCGTCCATCAAATTCATATAAACATAGACTCGGTATGTGGCGTTCCCCATGATATCGACAGGGAGGACACGCCCACGCTGCGATAATGCAAACGATCTTCTGGCCCAACGACATCAAGATTACGGTCGGCCATGTTCTGGGACTGAGGATCTCTTCATCGGCACATTGCGTAGTTGATGTTACTGTCCGTATCCCTCTAAAATATTGGGCTTGGTAGCTTGGTTGACATATGCGTTTGTTTGCAGCCCGTGTCTGAGAGTCCGATTGATACGCTGCAACACCGTGCAGACTCCGCGAAGAAGAAGCTGTTGATAGGCCGTATCGATGCCACGGATGGGACCCTTGGTGGCAGCACGATCAGTATATTCGGTCAAGATGGCACGGAATCCACGTACGTCTCGGTGGCCGACATCCCTCGTACAATGATGCTTATCCCGATAAACTCGATCCTTTTAGCCTGACTAGCTGTTCCTCTATCCTCTTCACCCCACCGAACCCGAATCGCCTTCGCTTTCTCACTCTGAAAGCAATCTCCGTCACCCCAAAGAAGCTTCTCGAACCGCATCAAGTAGCTCAACTCCGAGCGGTCTCTCAGCTAGACTCGGCGGACTGCGATCAAAAAAGCTTACCGGCGGATATTGAAGCTACGCTGGAAACGGCCGTTCAGGCTATCAACCAGTGTTTCCAGCTTCGAAGGCAGTACAGAACTGGGGTCCAGGCCGTTCTACAAGATCCGAGAACGGCATTCTCTCCCGAGATCGTCCATCCTAGCTCAACAGAATGGCGGATACTAGCATTCTTACTCAGGATCTCGGCAATAGGTACGGACCTTCTCTGTTCCTCTTTAGAGCTCCACTTGCTAAGTCTTCTACCACCTGCAGCCAGACAATCCTGCCTTCGATACACTCAGCTCAGGCAAGCTCCTGCTGAATGGCAACGACTCAAACTGGATCTACACTCAGAAGGATCCTTACGACAGGTCAGCGTACGTTATGTACAGTGAGTATCTTGCGGCATCCCCATGTCATCGGCATGAAGAACTGAATGGCTATCTTTTGCGTTATAGGTTTTGTAATACGATCTGGTTGATCATTGTCAGTCAATCTTTCGCTTGATCACAAAGATGGTTCCGATCTGAACAGTTCCGATATTCGGCAGAACGACTTGATATTCGGCTGGACTATCGTCCGGATCCTCGATAGCTACCGCTATTCACTGATTGAACCTGTTGCTTCTTTCCAAAAGGTGAGTCAGATAGCTTGGCTCATACACGCGGCAAGGGCATCAACCTGATTGCATTGGGATTATATAGCGTTGGCTGGTCGAGGCTATTCAAGCATCTCTTCGGTGGCTTGATGACTGGCCCGTCGGTCTGAAACTCAACACTCCATTGAGCGCCATCTTGTGCATTACATTTGGCCAGATGGCTGATATCTGGGACTGTGAGTTCAAACTTAGACCGCATGCCCTGGTCAAGGCTCATTGCCTTTGACATCATAGCCATATGGACAAGCTCTTCGTCACTCGTCCCCCGAGCCATCTTGCTCCTCTCCCTCGGAAGCTATTTAGGAGGCAGCATGTTCCTCTCCGTCATGCAAGACCTCATCGGACTCTCTACCCTCCATCTCACGGTCATCAGCTGGATCATGCGGCAGATATACCGGTGGGAGGTATCGGCCATGTATTCGCTCTGGAACTTGTTCAGGGGTAAGCGTCTTCACCTGATCGGGTACATGCGGAGTATGAGAGCTGACTAGTGCTATGACAGGTAAACGATGGAATACCTTGCGTCACCGAGTCGACTCGTACGACTATGAGATTGACCAGCTGTTCCTTGGCACACTCCTGTTTACGGTTACTATCTTCCTCTTGCCAACGATTTTCACCTACTATGCTTTCTTCTCGCTGGTGAGATCAGTCCTTATATCTAACCTCCAGTATTATCTGTCTTACTGAACAAGAACATGGTCTTCCAAAGGTACAAATCGCATTACTCGCTTGCAATTTCTCGATCGAGACCGCTCTTGCCTTCATCAACTCGTTTCCCTTGTTCGCATTGATGTTGCGGATCAAGGAGCCTTCGCGTTTGCCAGGTGAGCGTGAAATAGTATTTGGACCCAGCTCAAGACGTTCAGCTGATGATCGAGATAAACACAGGTGGAGTCAGCTTGGAACTCAAACGCGATCGAAAAGGCTGTCGACTCGGTCCGCACTTGGAATTGAAGGTACAGTTGCAGGCTTCTGTCTCAAACGTTGCCCAGACCGTTCTGACAACTTCTTCTTACAGAATGTACCATTATCACTCGGAGCGATATTCTCGGGTTTCGGTTCGTCCGAGCAAGGGACACGAAACCCTACACCATTCCCGACTGAAGCTGATTGTTCGATCCTACTTCCCAGGAGCTTCTTGGGCCGATCTGTCGGCGCAGTACTCACCTGCAAAGTTGTTGCTTGGGATCATCCGGGGCGTATTGTAGCACATATTCTAGCTTATCGCGGAGCGTCTGTGTGCCGTTTATCGTTTCAGACCAACGTAAAGCTGGACCAAGCTCTGTCCACCTATCGCAGTCCTGGGTCGAGGCGCGTCGCGCTTCGGTGTCTGATACGTCACGGCCGTCGATCACCCAAAGGCTCAAAGGATATCAGTATCGATGATCATACCCTTTCGTACCAATAATCGATGGCCTGTCATGGGCAAAAAAGAAGGCTTCGAGTCTTCCACACTGAATGAGAACCTATGGCGAGAAGACCGATACAGCTGTCCAAGACCGAGACCTATCTCATCTGTACCACTCTGACCCCAGGTCATTGGAGGTTAGGTTGAGGTCATCTTGTCTTTAGACAGGTGATAACGCAGCCCTCGCTATAACAACCCTTGGTGCTCTGAGATTTGACATCAGGGGCTACTAGCCGAGGGCACATCATAATTGTAGATGCACGGAGTACCAAATGTCATACCGTTGAGCAGACAAGCCATAGGTCAAGGGTCCATGAGCGGGAGCAGACCTCCCTAACACACAGCGCGGGACGTCATTCAGGCATCGAAGTATATCGCTCTGCGCTCTGTATCCCTATATCGCTGTAGCAAGTAGCTCGATACCTAAACATCGACCGCAATAATCAGGAAGCACCACAGCAACGAACAGACATGACTTCGCTAAACCCTGAACACTTCCCTTCCCGATCCGGCAAGCCTTCGCATGGTCAGGCCATGCACGAGTTGACCCCGGCCAGCAACAACTCTGGCCGACGAGATCGACATCGGCCCAAGCGACCCGTACCCGTCATTCCGGATCTAAGGTGAGTGATCACATCCTCTGCATATGATCACTGTTGTATAGCCTTCTGACTCGAGTCTGATCTTCCACAGGTTCGAGCAGGTAATTCAGGCAGAACAAACGGTGCAGGCAACAGCTTTCTAATCCGTCCTATCCTATGAATAGTCGTACTTGGTTTCAATCCGCCCTTTCCTCCAGCCGAAAGCAGGAAATTCAGCATCGTCTCAAGCTCAAAATCCGTCTGATGAATCGTCATCGGATGTCCGAGCTTCGCACTTGAGCGCTCCTGGAGGTGGATCGGACTCGAAGAGTCTAGTCACTTCGGCTCAGGAGGACGAGATCTTCAGCTGTGGAAGGGATGTCGTAGTGGACTGGAGAATGGCTGGCTGGGTTACGATGAGAGATCAGGTGAGCCGCTCCCAAAGACAAAGCTGCTTGCGAACAAGACCTCATGCAACAATTGCTGTGATAGCTCTTCTCTCCGTTGGTCCAAGGTGCGCTCTGGGGTCTATTGACCATCGCCATGGGTACCCTTTCGACCGGTCTTCATGGAGCGCTCTACCCGGCGTCACACGTACCCAAAGGCCGAATTACGGGAGGACCCCGTGGCAAGATTGGTGGAGGAGAGGTCGTTGGTGGATCAGCCAAGACGGGCTACTGGAGAGGATTCGTACGAAGCATCTTTGGTGGACTCGAGACAGCTGCAGTCTAGGTCTGACCGAACGAAAGACTTGGAGAGGGATGCTTTCACGGTCTGGATGCCATGTTTATGTACGATATTACAATACCAAAGAAATTTACCGTCCTTGTTCATTAGGTAGCAATCGCGTCCTCTCCGATGGCGAACCATTCTGAGTCGGTTCCTTCCTCTTGGTAACTCTGAGAACCCTGCCGATTTTACCTCCTACCTTTCTGATACCTTTCCAGATAGCTGCTCCGGCTGCATCCCGCCATCGGTAGAAGAGCGGCTTTTCCGTATTCAGGCGGTCCAACCTGATCCGGTGCTTCTTGTCCGTCAAAGTGCTCAAGGCGAAGAAGATGGTCAAAAGGCAAGAGAATGCCGATGAAGCCGAGATCACTGGATGGCAGCGATACGGTACAGTTAGCTCCGGTCTGCTGTATTGTCGTATACCGTCTCTTTGTGGGTCTCGGGTCACTCACTGAAGATCAAAATCATCTGAAGCCTGGCAGCCTGTTCTACGCTTTTGCCGGCGATCAGAGCTCCCGTCATCATACCTAGCGCAACGAATTCATCAGCATCTGACACTTCGGCAGACAACCAGTCAAGACTGACCTGGGATTGAGATCAAGCCGATAACACTTTGGAACACATTTGGCATAGGGATAGATTTAGATGAATCGTTTGCGGCTCAACCACTACTCCGCTTACCTCATCTGGTTGATGGTCGGCAAAAGGGCCAGCTTGAGAGCCTCTTTCCCTATCGGTTTGCAAGCTTCGAAACGAGATGCGCCCATAGCGAGGTAGGTCTCGATCTTGTCCCGGTTCTCGCTGTCAAAGTGAATCAGGCTGTTATTGCATTTTATAGCCGACGAGTGGATATAAGATGAAGCTCACGTGAATTCTTTGTGGACAAAATTGACGCTGATACCGATAGCCGAAATCGCATTACCTGTAGGAGACACACAATCAGCTTCGACTAACCCATCAGAGTGGATCTAGAGACGTACCGAGGATCATTCCGATAATCTGTTTGCAGATGAAGATTGAGTTCCCGCTAAGTCAACCTCGCGACTATGTAGACATACCGGAACGAACTGGTTCGGCTTCCAAAACGGTCTTTCTGCCATCGCATACTGCGAACCCAAGACCCCGATCGGAAAGGTCGACGACATCATAGCCAGGAGGACCATAGGGAACATGTTATGAAACCGCTTCTTCGACTTGTTGAACGTGGCCTCTATCGCGCCTAGCACGTTGAGCAATGCGGCGATCCCAAAGACTCCCCAAATGTTTCCGGCGGCAAAGACCTTGTCCAGCACCAAGCCCATGACGCTGAGCTGTAAGACGCATCGTCCGGCCGCGACGATCAGGGATGATGCGATTCCAAGGTTGAAGATGACGGATAGGATCGCATCGATCGAGACGAACGAGAGGGCCAGAGCGACGTTGACCCAGGAGAGGTCTGGGGCCTGCCCAGGTTGAGATTCTGCCAACATCATCGAGTCCATTCTGCTGACACTTTCCTAATTATGTGTGGGCTGTCACCCTATGCCAGCAAGCCTTGTCTCGGGGACGATTTAGTAGATCGGTCACTGAACATACGGAAATGCGAGATCAGCTATTCGGTCAAGTGAGAAGAGAGGCATACCCTAGGTATTTCTCACGACGTCGATATCGGGCCAGTTCCAGCGAGTCTCTGACTGTTATATAGCTGTAAGCCAGTATGCTATGCCTGTCGTGGTGAGGTGTGAGACCCACAAGGTGAGAATAGCACTCAAAGTATACGAACGGGTTTCGTCATATCCCGCCCAGAGCAGCAGTGCAGCAGGTTGCGCGCGTCTAATCGAGAGATCTCGGTCGATTGACCTTGTACTACCATCTTCCTTTGTCTTCAACTTGATGTGCAATCCACATATCAACGATACAAAGACAACGCCCCATCGTTCTAGTAGCGACCCAAGTCAGGATTAGTGAAGCCTGAAAGCGGGCGATGGCGTCGACTGCGGGTGCTCCGCCGCCGATCAAGGATGACTACCTAGCGAAACTGGCCAAACGGAAGGCCCTGAAGGAGAAGAATATCAAGTATTGGGAGGACGATGCCTTGAGTACGCTACCCTGATAAGATGGCCGGAGTCGTACTTCGCTGACTGTCAGACATGATACCTCTTTGGACCACGAAGAAGCCAAGCCTCCTCTCGACTCCTCACTGAAGAAGCACACAACCCTGCTCAACCGTCTGAGGTCCGCTTTACTCACAACATCTGCGGAAGCCTTTCTTAAAGAGCTCGATGGTCTGACTCTTACCAAGTACACTGAGGAGATCCGAACTGCTGTACTTGAAGGTATCTCTGGGACTGCAGCGAAAGGCAAAGCAGATGTCGAAGGAGCTGTGGAGGTATGCTGAGCTAAGGATTGTAACTGACGATCGGAATGCTGATCACGCTCATCCTAACCGTATTGTTTTAGGTCGTGACTCATTTGCATGCTCGACTCGCACCGGATTTCTATCCCAGCTTCCTTCCTGAGTTGATCTCGATCACCAATGAAGCACAAAATGCCGCTCCGACAACCTCTGGTGCGGGGAATGATAAGGACAGAGAGAAGGAGGAAAAAGATCGGATCTCGCGAATGCGGCCGGTCCTGCGGATGATCGCCGAGTTGTCTCTGGTGGGAGCCTGGGAGGGATACGAAGGTGGAAAGGCTATGAAGGGGGTTCAGTCGGAAGATATTGGGCCCACATACGTCTTGGACCGCCTGACCTACCTGGTAGGTCGCTCCGGGAATGAACACTCGTATCTCATCACGCCTGACATTGAACTTCGTCATGATTCGTTGAAGATGTCGAACGACCCTCAGTACAACAACATCCCTCTCCTGGTAACTTTTCTGAAATCATACAAGCGCGCCTACCTGGGTCTGGACGAGCAGGGAGATACCGCTGCTGCAGCGAAAGAGGATTCGGCAGACGAAGAGCTCGTCCCGGCTGCTTTTCGTGAGAAATTTAGAAAGACTTTCGAGGACTACTTCAAGACGGCTGGAAAGGCTCTCGTCAAAGGACAGACTGTAAGCGCGAGGCCTGTTCGCTAGCTTGTCTTTGATAGCCGACCCCGTTCACCTTTGCAGAAACTGCTCGAGCAAGACAAGCGGAATCAAGAAGCCTATATCAAAGCGGGAGAGATATTCGAAGACCGGCAGCACGCATATGAGCGTATGGTCAAAGCGGTAGAGAAATTGCAAAACGGCGTTCAAAGTCTAGCGGACCTCTTGAACATGAAGGTTCCTGAAGCTCCTACCGCTCTGGGTATCTCCAAGACCTCGTTGCAAATCGTCGACTCTGGCCCAGCTTTCGGTAAAGATGGAGAGGATAATCTGGCAGGAGGTATCTGGGACGATGACGAGGAGAGGAAGTTTTACGAGGACATCCTGGATCTGGCTCATGAGGTTCCGCCCAGTATTCTCGGCCTCAAGCAGAATGGCGAAGTCGAACAGATCGAGCCGGACATCCTTTCACCTCCGACCAAGACTTTGTCGATCCACGAGCTTGACGAGGATGCCCCGATGAATGACCTAAAGGAAGACATCGACGATGACACGGGAGAGAAACCGCCTGTCGTCGAAGACGATGGAGACCCACTGCAGTCGGGACCTGCGGCCAGGTTGGCAGCCATCTTCGCCGCCCTTCCTGAAGCCAACAACCGGACGATCATCGACAAGCTCGCTGCGGATTTCGCCTACCTAAACTCGAAACCGGCGCGCAAACGGTGCTACAAGGTATTCCTTTACAACTAGCCAGTCTCGGTCATGGTCGGGTTATAGCTGATCATATTCGTGATCAGTTCTTGGGGAGCGTACCGAAGACGCGTACCGACCTGTTGCCTCATTACGCTCGCTTTGCCGCAACGCTCAACAAGTACATGCCGGATATCGGTGTAGGGCTCGTTGCGATCGTGAGTCAGGAATTCGCGGTGGTGATGCCAGGATCCATAATCAAATCATGGTTGTGATTACAGCTGGACGAGGAATTCAAATATCTGCAACGAAAGAAATTAGTCAAGGAGCTTGAGTCCGTCCGAATCAAGGTAAGGGCAGTTTGTCGATTGCTAGAACAAGACAGTGTCTGATGATTCCGCTCGCAATGCATAATAGAACATTAGATTTTATGGAGAACTGGCAAAGTTCAAGGTCGCTCAGCCGCACACGATTCTTCACGTATTGCAAGTCTGCGTCAGTGATTTGACCGGCCCAAACGTGGACAATGTCGCCAATCTGCTCGAGAGCTGCGGGCGTTTCCTACTGCGTTCGGAAGACACCAAAGAGAAGGCGAAAACTCTGGTACGTACAAAGCCCCTCATCGATCGCATACTTCGATATTCAACTTCCATTCGCGCAGGTCGAAATCATGCGGCGAAAGCAATCTGCTCAGCACTTCGATACCCGACAACAACTGGTCTTAGAGAACGCTTACTACCAGTGCAACCCGCCTGAGCGAGTACAACGGGAACAGGTCCAGCTCACCCCGATAGAAGCCTTCATTGAACACCTCCTTCATGACGTGCTCATGAAGAAGACGGTCGACAAGGTTCTAAAACTCCTTCGCAAACTACATTGGGAGGATCCGGAGGTCAGTCTCGCCAATCATGACCTCCCAGAAGCTTTACAGCTTATCATGTGTTAATATAGGTCTACGGAAACATCCTGAGGGCATTTACAGAGATCTGGGAACTGAAGTATGGAAATATTCCGATGGTAGCAATGCTGGTGTATGATTTGCAAAAGTATCACCTGGAATTCAGTTTAGCAGTCGTTGATCAGGTATTGGAGGACGTTCGTGCGGGTATGGAGGTACGTATCTTCTGAACAAGGGCTTTCGCGAATGTGGCTAATCGGATCCGTCAAATAGGACAACATCTTCAAATACAACCAACGGCGGATCTCGACCATCAAATATCTGGGCGAACTCTATATGTATCGAGTCGTTAACACGCCTGTGATCTTCGATGTCTTATGGTCGCTCATCTCTTTCGGTCACGGTACGTTATGTATGCCTCCCTTGAGACACCGCTCGCTCACGTGCATTTTCGCATCTCTTGTGGTCTGTAGTGGAGGGTCTACCTATTCCTGGACGTTCGTCGCCAATCGATTCGGCAGATGACTTCTTCCGCATCCGGCTGGTCTGCGCTCTACTGGATACATGCGGTGGTTGTTTCGACAAGGGTTCCAGCAAAAAGAAGCTCGATCAGTTCCTCGTAATCTTCCAGGTAAGGTTTCACGATGCGAATGGAGCCAGGGCTCGCGGATGTTGAGATTTGCGTGCAACAGCTTTACTGTTTATGCAAGCAAGAAATGCCAATGGATGTCGAATTCATGCTTTCCGACACGCTCGAGGTGAGGATCGATGCACGAGAGCGACCTAGGTTCCTACCTGACTGATCCAATCTGACAATACTCCATGATGTCGCAGACGATACGCCCCAAGATGGTCCCCTTCAAGAACTTCCTGGAAGCAGCAGAGGCTACTGATGAGCTACTGGCGACCATGTCTCAAGACGGTGAGCAAGCCTGTGCAGCCAAGTTTTGAAGCAGATCTGATTTTCACCTTGACAGTCTTGCCTGATGACGACGACGACGAAGAGGAGTCCGACGGCGAGTCAGAAGGAGAGCATAGGGGAGATGATGACAAGGAAGAGGATGAGGATGTTGACGGTGCAGAAGTAAGTGGAACGAAGCTAGAGACCCGAGAGATGATATTCTTACAGCCGGGCTTCACAGAACGTCCATGAAACCAGGATCGACGATGATGACGATGACGAGAATGTGGTCCTCATCAAGGACGTCAAAGAGGAAGAGTACGATCAAGAAGAGGAGGACGCTTTCAATCGCGAGTTCGCCAAGATGCTAGCCGACACCACGGACGCGCGCAAGGTCGATCGCAAAACTGCGCCGCCTGTCTTTGACACGGCCGTACCTTTGATTCGAAGGCAACAACAGCAACAGGCTCAACAGGACGCGATCCCAACAGAAACGAAAGCAAATCACATGCAGTTTTCGTTGCTCTCGAAGAAGGGAAACAAGCAGCAAGTGAGTGCACTGACAAGCCAAACCGTAGAACCTCGCTCACTGCGGGGTTACTGTGTAGATTCGTTCTCTGGATATTCCTGTCGATTCGGCCATCGCTGTCAATTCGCTCTCACAACAGGAGAAGACGAGACAGGAGCAAGAACAGATGAAACGCTTGGTGAGTTTGCCGCGATGAACGGAATCGAGAGAGTATGACCTGACATCTTCGAATCCACCACAGGTCCTACAAAACGAGCGTCGCCAAGAAGCTTCGGAGAAGGCTGCCTGGGAGCAAAACATGCGATCAAGAGGCATCCGGGTCAAGTACACAGACGGCTGAGGAAACATTCGGCATCAACCTCTATTCCGAAACGCTGTCAGATCGACGTATGCCGCGCCCAAACAGGCCAACCAGTCCGAGCCGTTCGACGACGGTCTCACCGTCGTCGGTGTGCGTCGGCGCGCAAGAAGGCTTCGAAGTCGATCGCACATCTCGGTCCATCTCTCGGCCTAGTGGTACGAGCTATGGTCAATCTACGAGCTATGCGGTCGGCCTGCGCAACTGCGTGTCATCAGGGCTCTCCCTTTGTACTGCCCGTTGTATCCTAGGCGAAGTGATTTTATAAGCCGATACAATATGTGTCAATCTGCGTCCTGTGTTATGATATGACTAACGATAAGCCTTAGGGCTTCCATTGAATCACGAGGGTTTTTCGGTATAGGAAATGATCCAACAGTGGCAGAGACAGTTCAGAGCTCAGTGGTATCCTAAGCTCATAGTCCAACGAACCGTCATGAGAAATGAAGCATCGCTATGGCCTGTCGATGCACGATCTGTGGTACATCTGCCCCTATACACCAGTCCGCGTATAACTTTAGCAGCATTGACGGCAGAGGATACAACCTCGCGCAGTCTTAGCAGATGTCCAACTTAGGTGGATGTGTCGATGGGCATCAACGTCGCCCTGCGCAAAGACAACGGTCATCGGCTCGTAGCCTCTGGCTATGTGATCAAGTGCGCTCACGGCCAGGCTGGTATTTTCACACGTGACGGAACAGGATTCCTGCACATGGATGGCAGCTTGGTCGCACTCGTCGAGCAGGGCAAGAACAAGAACATGCTCACCTGCAGGGTGAGTCTGAACGATGAGGACGAGGACAACTGTACTATCGTAGTACATGGGTCTGATCGCCACTCTGCTGCCATCTTGACTACGCTCCGAGAGCACGGCGCTGCCAACGCGACTGCCATCACTACGACCGACTTCGACAAGACGTGGCGCAAACTCTTACAGCCGCACTTCGGTTCTCCCACCCCCGTCCCTTGCGAGCAGTGGAGCATGCGGATCAGTCGACTCGGCGTTGTCCACGGTTCCACCAACAAGTCCACCATCAAGAGAAAGGTCACCTACCTGTGGTACATCTGTTATGGTCCCGACCATGAGAACGGCGACATCGCCGACACCCACACCCTCGCGGAGCAGTAGGCAAACTACAGCCTTTGTGTACCACCTACCAAGGAACCAAGCGGCAAGAAGCCCAAGGCTACCGCCCCGCCCATCCTCCCCTGGTCGATCTCAATGACGCCTCACCACACTCTCGGTCAGGCGATCGTGACCGGGATCAGGTATGAGCACCCTCAGGTAGTTCATGAGATGGATCAGTTGTTCAGTCCGGACAAGGCGGTCTTTGACCACTACGTCAAGACGACCAGGGCAAACAGTTTGCAGCAGCTCCGGGAGACTTGGCGGAGTATGCTGGAGATCAAGTCGAGGTCATTTGAAGAGCCTAACGTGTCATTTGCCCACGCCCGGCAGGCTCAAAGTCGGATCTCAGCTGACCAGTTGTTTGCATGTTTCTGCCGGATGTACTGATATCGCATGTCATACCAGCCGATACCTGATCGACTCGTGCAGAATCATTCCCCGACCTGGACGACCCGACTGTAGCTGTCCAAAGGCAAAGTAAACCAAAAGGTTAATGCTGTGCTGGAGCTATACAGTCTGCGTGATTACTCCAAGACCGTCTCTATTCACGTGCGTGCACCGAAGCCCCACGGGAAGTCGACCGTGCCAATTCACGATGGGATCGACGAGACTCTTTCATCTCCAGGCTGCCTCTACAGATGATGGCTCCCACCCGCTTGAGCTTCCACTAAAACTTCTTTGAACGTCACCTCACTTGCAAGGAAGGGGCAATATTGGACCATGCGCTTACCCAGCATCAGCAAGCGACTGCGCATTAAGATGCTCATCCGGTGATACCGACGAGTCGAACCCACATAAATATAGCCTTGTAGCGGCGCGCCCATCTCGAGGAGACAGAACGGTGGGTTTGACTGCCATCAGACATGTTTCGTATGCCGGGCATGTCCAAATGCAATGGTAGTTTAGTAGTTCTCCGCCTCTGACCCAGAGACTACCGCGGTTCTCGGCTTCATCCGCGAGCGAGGGTCCATCGATGGTAACTTACGGCGGACTTGTTCTCGATTGAACCTATTCACCTCAAAGCTTCGAGCATATCCTTCTCCATATCTCACTAGGATATTCATCCCCAATAGACAATTCAGGAGAGAGAATCATGAAGGTTGCAGTAACAGGTGAGCTCGAGCTTATCAGCCACGACACGGGGGCACAGTCCGGCTGACGGATCGACTGCTTGTTTGATGTCTGATCTGGCCTGACCTTCAGGAGCATCTGGGGTCCTCGGCAGAGCCGTCACCAACCACTTTCATAATCAGTCCATACCCACCTTGCCCCTCTCTTTCTCCCGTACATCCCCTTCCGTCTTGTACCCAAACCTTCCCGCTCCGACCCCGCTGGACTTGCTGGACGATCAGGCCGTCCGACAGTTCTTCACCTCGCTCCAATCGGACCCCGAGAAGAAGATCGACTTTCTCATCCACTGTGCTGCGGAACGACGACCTGATGTCGCCGAGGCCGACCCTGAACGGGCTGCAAAGCTGAACGAAGCGTCGACCCGGTTGCTCGCTGAGCTAGCTGCCGAACTGGATTTCGGGCTGGTCTACATCAGCACGGACTATGTCTTTGACGGCAAGAAGCCGCCTTATTCGAGCGGAGACGCTCCTAATCCGTTGAACCTCTATGGAAGGCTCAAGAGAGCCGGGGAAGAGGCCGTACTCGACGTTCGAGGGAAGGCTTCGGAACAGGCCAAGCCTTTGGTCGTGCTTCGTGTACCTCTCTTGTGGGTGCAGAATAGCAAAGGAACCTTTGCGACATCGATGACGAATACTTTCTGCGAATTCCTCGATCAGGTATGGAGAGGTGGAGTACAACGGAGAGACGGCTGTCAACCTCTTCGTTGATATCCTCGAGGACCAGAGCGGCAAGAAGTACACCAGTAAGCCCTGAGACCCTGATTGTCGTTTCAAGCTCTTATGAACATCTGCTGTCTCGCGCCCATTAGTGGACCACTTCGCCGTTCGGTTCCCGACTTGCGTAGAGGATGTCGCTCGGGTCATCTACGACCTTACGCGTGAGCAATCTTCTACCAACTCTTTCGCATCGGATTATGAGGCTGATATGATTTCAAATTACAGGTCTGGACAAGCGAGTCCCTGCGATCGTCCACTACTCCTCTCAAAAGGGATTGACCAAATACGAACAACTGCTCATTATCGCTTCGCATACCGGAGCGTCCACTTCGCACGTCGTCCCCGACGCCGAGGATCCGGCGAGCAAGCCTAATCCGTCTGGGGTCGTCAGGCCAGGAAACACGCAACTCAGTGTAGAAGAGCTCAAGGATCTCGGCGTCGATGTCGAGGAGACTGTCAGTGGAGGTTTCGATGCTTGGTGGAAGCAATGGGCTGGGAAGAAGCAGGGTAGCAGCTCTTGAGGAGCTTGGCAAAGGGAATCCCACGAATGCCGCACGTATATTCGTCGATCATACATGGTCGAGAATCTTTCTATAGACTGCTTGCTACCATAGAGTTTGTAGCAACATCGTCAAATCTTGAATGAAACCGATCCATGCAATCGTCAGGTTGCAGGTTGAAATCGCCGGTGTTCTCACGCGGACCGGGTAAATACTCGATCACGTGAAATTGGAAGAGCAAGGCGACGCGATTTTCCATCAGGGCTTCCCTTCCGACCGTCGACGAGTATATATATTTCGTCAAGATTGCAAGGTTGCAGGGTGTTGCATTGTTGGCGACCGTCAGTACGATAGTACACTCGTTGGCAATCGTCAGTATACTCGATGGCTTATCGTCCACCTCGATTGGATCGGTTGACAACCACGGCATAAGACGGTTTATCCGCCCTTTTCAATCGAATTGACTTATAATCCGCCGCCATTGCCGACCCCGCTTCCTCTTGGAAAAGACTGCAAGGCCTCAAGAACTGACGATTCGACAACGACACCCAAGAGCATTTGCCTAGAGACCGGTCACACCTGCTTTCCACAAAGCGGGGCCTTTCACAACGACCCTTCCTCTTACTTGCTTATCATTGGAAGAACATACGCTAATGGTCTAGACAACCGTCATCTTTCCCCATTCCAAACTCGACCCGTCGAACGTCGACTCTCCCTGAGGAGACGGGTGACGGCCGAGGGGGTCTGATGAAGCACGCATTCGTTCCACCCTTGATCCTCTACTCCCGTTATCGTACGGGGGACAGATGGACGATCGAGGACTAAACGAAGGAGACATCATTCAGTTTCAATCTTTCTTAGTTATGCCCCGATAATATACATTATTACGATCACAACTGCATCTCCGACGTGGTACTTTCGTCATCGCTGCCTTGGTTTGAGAGATTGGTTGCTGCTCCCTGGATGGTAGACCTTGACGCTCAGTGATTCCGAGCTATGTCTAACTCTGTTCAGAGGTAACAGCCAGACTCGATCTCAAGGTGACATGACGCAGGGATATCGTATCTCCGGACCCTCATGGCCCGAGTTTCTCTACATCACTACAATGCTATCATGGCAACGCCGCAAAGTCCTCTTCCGTCATCGATGCAAAGACTGTTCGAGCGTAGGGAGAGCGTTCTCTTCAGTCACTACAGATAGCTTGCTCACATTCAGATCCTAATCCAGACTTACCTCGCTCGTACCCACGCTCGCCTGAGTATCAAAGCTCTCTTCCCTAGTGATCGTGCGGTCCGCAGACCCTGGCAGACTTCCCATACTACCCGCCGTGGACGACGCCTGCGAACCTGCAGACGACATGCCTGCTACAGCCCTCATTGCTACGGTCTTCGCCAATCCGCCCTCGACTGGGATGCCAGCCAACTCGGCGGTCCGTACCATGACCCTGTTCTTCTTCTCCTGTTCCCGCTTGTCGATGGCTTCCCGGACCGATCGGGGGAACATGGTCGCAAACGTCAGGTAAGACGTATGTCCCCTGACTTCCGGGACGACTCTCGTCACCCAGTTGGTACGTTCGATGTTCCACGAGCTAGAGACACCCGCCGAGACGTCCTCGTCTTCTTCCTCTTGACGACGATCATCGTATTTGGCTCGTTTCGTCTGCGAGGCCTCATCCGAATGAGTCCCGGTCAGGTCAGCGTCACCCGTCCTTCTCCGTTTAGTATCCCTGCCTTCCTCTGGCAAGTCGCTCCGAGCGCGTTTCCCCTCGGCTGCTGCTGAACCCGCAGCCGCCTGTTCCTCTGCGTCTTCGACATCGACCTGCATTGCCCCACCCGCCTTGCCAGCCTCTTCCTGTTCCTTCAGCTTGGCATTTCGCTTCCTAGCCATCTCCATCTGGATCTGCCGACGTGATTCCCGCTTGACCTCTTGTCGCTTCAGTCGGCTCGAGATGGTCTCGATCGAGACCAATGTAGGTGGCGTCTGGACGACTTCGTGTGGACGGATGAGGACTTCGTACATTTCGATGTCTGCGAGCGAGTCAAAGGAAGGTGCATATGGCCATCGGATCAGTTTCTTTTCAAAATATACACCACGCGAGACTTGATTTTGGACTGACGAGTGAAACCATTGGCATCTAGGGCCTGAACAGTCTTCGTTACCTGTTCAATGCATGGACTGAAACTGCAGATCCTCGTCGAGACGTCGTCCTGCACAGACGCAATCACATCCCAATGACAATATCAGCTCATCTCGTCCTGTACGTCGAGACTGATTTCTCTGCAGAGCGAGACTGTATAAGATGCTCACTCTTAAGTACTTCAAGGTATGGGGGATAGCTTCCCACGGAGCCGGTAGATCAAGGAAGACTGTTTCCGAATCCAACCACCGAGATCAGCTACTCTTCACGAGCAATGCGGCCCCTCGTCTCGTCTTGCTGACCTGCATCGATCCTGGAAGGACCCGTCCCGAAGCCATCTTTACACACGTTGCGATGTTCCAGCTGGACGATATCTTCCAGACCGTGTTCCGCAAATTCTTCCCTATCAACCGACAGCGAGCAGGTCAATCAGCGTCTGGTTGACAATACTGCAGAGTAGGATCTCGGGGCTGAATTTACCTAGCCTTCTCAAACCTCGTCGCATGGTATTCGAAGGTAAACAGTCTCCCTTTGCCCTTGACCTTGCCCTGCCCTACTGTGGCTGAACCAACATCCCCGCCGACGGTCATCCCCAACGAATGACTCATGCTCCCACTCCCCGTCCCGGCTTCGATGATCCTGCTGCCTGGACGGACACGGAGTTCGTTCATGATAAACGAGATGTCGGGGAGATAGACGATCTGGGTTCGGTGTGGCAGGGAGAGGGACCAGAGGGATGGGGTCGGGCGGAGGAGGTGAATGAAGCCTGCATGTGGTGCTGGGGAGGCCATCTGCAGCGTTTTCGTAGCGTACCATTGTCAGTGTTTATTGAGCTAACAAGACAAGACCGGAAGGCAGAGATGGTGAAAGACTCACTCGACTGCCGAATCTCATCCCGATCATGTCGTCGTGCCCGTATCTTCCCCATTTCGAATGGTGAAATTGACCCGGCGTGACGGTGATAGCCAACAAGTTATCTCTCGTCTACAACCCAAAGTTTTCCCTCGAACTCTGAATGAGTAGACTGTGTCGTAAATCGTAAGAATCAGTAGATTCGGAAGCTCACCTGATGCAGGATGACCAGATCGCCAGCCTCGATAAATTGCTTGGATGAGTGGAACATGCTTGGACGTCCGAACGGTCCTTCAGGCTTGGCGGGCAGCGATGATACCGCAGTGACGGCGGTTTCGGCGCTCATGTTGGTAGATGAGCAAGAGTATGCTCCTGTGGAGGTTAGATGCAGGGATAGTCGAGAGGATGGGAGTAATCGACTCGATACCAAGTAGAATAAAAGCTCAGAGATGACTTTTATTTCGAACGGCTTGCTCGCGGAAACTTCGCTGCAGGTCGACGCGCTTTCTCGAGTTGGAGGTTGATATGGTCGAACTCATCATGATCAACCTCTTCTTCATCGACGTCAAACATCAAGGAGCACTTCGAAGCTCAACACTAGAATCGTTACGCTCTGGATATTCCGCTTGGGAAATCCCGGCGTCGATGACCATGGAAAACAAAGCCGAAGACTATCCAACGACCTCCCCTCTCGAGCGTCTGACCTCATACTACTTTCCTGCCTCCTCCTCCTCCTCCTCCTCTTCCACAACACCTACCACCTCGACCTACCCGACAGACCCATCGCTCTTCGTCCGCTTAGAACAGTACCTCCTCGCTTCCCCTACTTCGGTTGCGATCGTCTCGAGCGTCGGGACCACAGGGCTCGTACTGGGCAGCCTAGTGTTCTATAGACGGTATTGGAGAAGGATCCCCAATGCCGAGGCTGTTCCCGGGAGGACGATACAGAATAAACGGTTCATCAGGGGGATAGTCACTTCGTAAGCCTCTCTTCTCAATCGTTAGACTTGTACCGATGCCAATGGGACATTTATGATACGATATGACTTGGTGTGGTTCTAACTTTGATTGTGTAATTCTGGTTGTCGACTCAGGGTAGGAGACGGCGATGGATTCCGGATATACCATACCCCAGGCCCGTTCTATTCGTACCCTTTCAGATTCCGTAACGTTCCTGAGACGTCCAAAGGTGAGCCTCCAGCCTGTCATTTTCAAGATGTCGAGATGCCAGATCTGACCTGTATATCATACCCTGCTCGATTTCGTCTGATGTAGAGCTCAAGGACCAGACGATCAGTATACGGATAGCAGGAATAGACGCCCCCGAGGTGAGCCCTACCACTTCACGCCGCAAGATCTCGCCAGTCTTCTCGTCTACTTACTCATATCCTCTTTCAACCTTGATCAATCTCAATCGACCAACCCAAAACCCGTCCGAATTGCTGAACTAGACGGCGCACTTTGGCCGACCAGCCCAGGCGCACTCTCAAGAATCTCTTGACTGGCTCAGAGAGCGCCTACTCCAGCCCGCTCGGAAACGGGTCAAAGTGCAGGTGTTGAGAAGGGACCAGTATGGACGGATCGTAAGTATTCGTAATAGTCACGCTCACAGGCTTCGTCCGAAGGAGGTTGCACTCGACTCACTTTATATGTGCGATATCGTCCATTCCAGGTTGGAATTCCCTATGTCCGACGCCTTTTACTGCCTGATCAACCGTTACCTATCGAGATGCTCAAGCGAGGGATGGCGGTCGTCTACGAGTCTGCCGGCGCAGAGTATGGCCCTTGGGGGTTGACCAAGTTGAAAGAGCTTGAAGCTACTGCCAAGTAAGCAACCATCCCTTATTGTGTTCAACGCGGTCTGATCCTGATATGACTCCTGTTGATATCGAAAGATCGGCCAAGGTCGGTATCTGGTCATTACCAGCGTCCAAGTTCGAACACCCTGCGGACTACAAGAAACGGCACAAGATCGGGGACGACCCCGTCTCCCCAGCCAGCAAGACTGCCGAAGCGGCTGCGGTAGTAGGGAAGGGAGTCTGGGGATGGGTCAAGGGGTGGTGGAGGCGATAAAGTTGTCGCCGTGATTAGGACAATATCAATCTGAAAGGCTGGAGCTTGTGTTGACGATCTTGACGACTTTGATGACCATGAAACGATCAAACAACTTCAGCTCCCGACATTCTGCCACGGAGCCAGTATGCAAGGCTATGTCACTATGTAATTCCGATGAGCGCGCACCTATATGTAGCCCAGACATCTGCTCTAAACATGGTTGGCAGGAATCAAAACGGTGCACTCATCAAAGGCTTATGTTGGTGTTTCAGAATGATAACCCTGTGGATCTCGGGGCTTCATTAAAGCGGATTTGACGAATAGACATGCTGTGCTCGCAATGATCCCTCGACGAGGATGCTTGCATTTCTACAATCCTTGGCTGATTGACAGATGACCAAAGCCGAGGGCGAAGCGATTGTCAAGATGCAGATCGCCTTTGCGGCAACCAAAACGCGATGAGAGAAGAAGTCAGCACGATATTGCGCAGGGAAGCACAAGATTTCTTTTTAAGCACATCGCCGTTCCAAACAGCGGAGTTCTAGCATTGTTCGTATGATAATATTGAATGTAGGCATTCAAGGTCGCCAGATCCTTCTTGACTCGTTCATTTGGACTTGAAATGAGCAAGAGTGGTGGCGTTGGGTAGGACTTTGCTGCAGCCTACTAAAGAGCCACGGAGCAGAACCTTCCACTCAGGCAAGTTCCATCCAACATTGACAAGACAAGCGAGCCCTTGAGCAAGTGGAACTCCTTCAACCTATGTACGTTGAGAAGGATCTTCGCCTTCAAGGACAGATAAAACGTTCCAGCCTCTTCGAGGTCATACGTGGCGTACTGCAAGAAGAGGTTGCCCTTCAAGGTCACAGGGATCTTGACCACAGCAGGCAGGAACGAACTCACCCCATTCCTGCTCCTTGTGGGGAGGATTGTGAACACCGAGCCTGATGGAGGCCCTGCCTTGCAGGAGCTTGTTCTTCACCTTGCACTGCTCGTTACTATTGAGCCATTGGTTGAGGGCTTCGCCTATGTCCAGGTACGCGTAGATGTACAGCTGGATCTAGTTCTGGTCAGAAAGCATGATGGATAGGGAACAAACAAAGAAGAATCTTTCGGAACCCTCGGAGCGGGTTGCTAAATTGCTAACGAGCGCTATGTTTGAAAAACAACACCGCGCGGTTCAGTCGCAGCGCCTACAACCGAGAAGCGCGTCTTGTTGTCTGGACTGCATCACAACTTGGACAACAGAAATCGGTACAAAGGAGGGCAAGCTATGACAAGCGTTTTCCTTTCAAGATGCAACAGTCCGTCTGCGCTCCATTCGGACATGACGCTGAGCGGAGAAAGTAAAGCCTGCGCGGCTAGAACTGAGGCCGAATCTTGATTGCCTTGGGTGTATAAAGTCGGGAGGAGCGGTAGTCGCTACTCCCTCGCAAGTTGCATACACGCACCACTGAAGCATCACTCAACCCCAGTTCACTGATAACCCGTCCGTCGAAAGCCTTCCAAACCATGTCTGACAAAGCGCATGATCAAACCGTGACCAGTGCCGACGCCGACAACTATCAAGAGAGTCTCTCAAGCTACCCACACGGCCGACGTCGCCGAGGTATGACCCAGGACGACCTCAAACCGCATATGACTTCTTGGGACGACACGCCCGTGACGAAGGAACCATCCAGCACGAGCGTAGCTTCAGGCTCCATCGGCGACCAGACTGAAACTACCGTCTCGAAAGCTACCGCTCAGGGTGATTCGATCGATGCGAAAAGCCCAAAATCCGGAGAATGAGCAGTGGGGTAGTTTGGGAGTGAAGAAAAGGGTGAAGATCTCGTAGCTCGTCGGACCACCTTGTACTCCCGAACATAGCCATGGGCCATCCTAATCACAGAGAATTGAGATCCGTCGGCACTTCCATCAGGGACTGATCGATGACCTGTCACCTGATCGCTGTGGCCTGGTCATTCCGATCTTATCATTATTATAATATGGAAAAAACACAATGCTATTGTTAATCAGAAGTCACCACTGATCTGACGCCCGCCTAAGACAGTTCGTGCACGACCACATCCCCCCACTCGCCCTCCAACTTGGTCCGGCCCTTGGCATCCTTCTTGGTCTTGTAATCCCCCTTGTCCGGCTCTTTCCCCTTGATCTCGACGTTGTTGGCTAGATCGTCGTGCATGAAAGAGTTGGTCATCGAGTTGATCTTGGTGATGAGCTTGGTAGCCGAGGGTGCTGTGACTAGAAGAGGGAAGTCGGAGAATGTTTGGTCTGGAGGTGATACAAAGTTAAAGCTCAGCAAAAGGTAGACATCATCGTAGCGAGCGCGCTCTAAAATGAACTCACGATCGCATCCGATGATGGAGACCAGACTGCCCCCGTTCTTCCTGATCAAACCGCTCAGCCTATTGAAATGCGTTCGCCATAGAGTGAAGCCTTCCGAGTTGATAGCCTATAGTCCCGAAGCGAGCGAATCATCAGCGAGATGTAAACTATCTCTAGTATGTAATCGTCCGATTATACGCACCAGGAGAGGGACTCGAGGAGGCGCTTCCTGCATCTCCTTCGAGGGTCCGGGCATTGGCAGAGGATCCACCCTTCCGATGTGGGCACAAGGCCGATCAGCTAACGTTCATAATCACACGATGCTTTCCGGGATCGACCCGGGACCAGGGATCAGGGCTCACCAAGGATCCAGCGCCACAGCCTTTCTCACCGGTAACCTCCCGAATCCCTCAGGTGGTCCGGTGGACAGGAGATGTAACAGCGTCCCTCCCCCGAAACTATGCCCTACAAGCGTCAGATCATTGACGTCTACCCTGTTACGCCACGAATCCAGCCACACCATCTTCGGGTCGACTTCCGACTTGGACTTGTGCGCGGGAACAGGTGGGGGACCGTCGTCCGTATACAGGTGGAAAGAGGGGAGATCCTGTGGTCCGGATTGAATCAGGGTAGAAAAGGAGGTGTAGGCTTCGTAGACTTCGGATACTCTGATGTCGAGTTGCATGGATCGGAGACGCATGACGTCCGGAGTCTTTCCCGGTGACCAGCTGATTCGAGGTTGTTCGGCAGCATACCGTCAGGCTCGTCAGCAGTAGTCCCGGTATGTATCGCGACCTAAAGACCCTCACTCACTCTAGCTCTTGAAACTTCAAATACCCCAACCGGACCTCTTCCTCCCCAACAACCTCGTTGGGGTAAAGGATGACCCCCGGTCCACTCCCATCCGCATGTGCGATAGCCAATACGACATTCCCCTCACTAGCCAGTGCTGAACAGACGGCCGAATAGGCGTTCTTGGTTCCTGCCAGGCCGTGGGAGAAGATGACTAGTTTGGATTTGTCAGAATCGGCGAGGGAGGCGAGCGGGGCGAGGGGGTAGAGAGGGGCTCCGAGTCGACCTCCGGTGAATTTCAAGATGGGTGCTGCGATACAGGCATAATATCAGTATGAGACGTGCAGCTGGTGAAAGACAAGATAGGACGCGAAGATGCTCACCTGCAGCCCGCATCAGCGGGTGATCGTTGGCGAATCGTCTCCATCCTTCCAGTACGAATTCGATAGGCCTGTATTGATTTGATCATACAAATATCATCATTTAGCTGCAGTCAGGCTGCCATCATCAGAACAGGTCGTCCTATCACTGACCGAGGTAGCCAGCTGATACTCGTCCCTTGCTTATCTCTCTGCCAAAACCATCCCTTGTCCGGCTTTTCACAGGGGTAATAGATCGAGTATTCCACCTGCCTCACTCCCAGGGCCGAACCTCCCTTTCCATCGTCGTCTTTCGATGTGGAAGGTAGACGAGGTGCAGGTAGAGTATACGGATGACTAGGCGTATGACGGAGGGTGGCGTACCCGACCGTGTGAGGTCCGGGAAACGGGATGGGTAGGGTACCGGTGATGATTCCTGGAATGTATGACATGGCGTCCGACGAGCTGGTGTAGATCCTAGCGAGGTAACGTGTGTTCATCCATGTACGATGAAGGGTGCCACAAGTAATTCTCGTGATGATGAGGCGGAGGTGGCGAGTGACAGGTCAGGCAGGCTGACGATGATGATGGCATAGGATGGAGATGCCGGCGAGGTCGTAAGGATCGGTCATCGTCGTCGTCCACTCCCCGCGAAATCGAGATCGGTTCGATGACGTAAGATGATCAGGTGGAAAAAGTCACGCGATTGCGAATGATCGTGCTTCGCAAGGTCAAAAGTGCAAATGTACAAGTTTAGGCCGTCGTAGCACATTCGTTCAGCTGATGAACTCTCTATATCATTGGTGGTGCCGGTCGAAGAGGGCACAAAGTGGGTGATGCGGATGACCGGTAGTCAAATTTCGAAAGAAACGGCTAGTCTCATTGAATCATCACGAGAAAATCTCATATCCTGCAGGCAGCGATAACTGAAGGCTCGTGAAGCGCAAAGGATACAATTCAGTCTCGAGTGTCTGTCTATGGCAGCATTGACTGCTGGTGATTCCTAGAGGAGGTCTCGCTATCGCCAGGACATGATTGGACAAGATTGTCACATGCGTTAAACAGACACTACAGCGATCACAGCGGCCTTCTCCTATAGTAGACCTTACAGCGATCACAGCGGCCTTCTCCTATAGTAGACCTTACAGGGAACTTACGGCCGCTGGCCGCTCCAAAAATTGGCGTGTGAGCAAAATAGACTGTTCAGCCCGTACCAGACAACGAGCAGGATGACGAGCAGTGGGAGGTCCTATTGTGCCTGTATTGACATGGTATTTCACACAACCGACCCGAGCCAGCATCACTGTTCAGGGATGGCCAAGCATGGGATATCAATGCCAGTAGACTCCGACAGACTGGAGCGTTCCTCGATCCTCGAACTAGATTGTTTCTGCATACTTGATGCTTCTTGGCCCTGCATTTCGCACGGACCAGATGTCGCGCATGTGCGCTCGAGACACAACACGGCTCTCGGCTTTAGACGATACGCGATTGTCCAGCAGGACTCCTGATATATCGATCGATCGGATAATAAGAACCTGAATATCGGATGACGGGGTACCTGACCGTTTTTGTTCGTCAGTCATGATCAGTTACGATGAGTCCATCGGGACCGCTTGACCGCTTGTCGCCTTGTGAACTGTTGGACCTGCACGGGAAAAGCCTCGATGGCGATAGAGCTCTCGGCACCAATACATCAGACCGAGGTGTTCGGATCAACCCATACAGCCAAAAGTCTGCGTGAGTACAGTACGTAGTACAAGGGCTTACCCTCTCATGTCCTCTACCGCATGGGAATTAGCCCGGGCAAAACCACCGGGTGGCTGCAAAGGTTCCTTGATGGCTGCCGCCGCCAGCCGTCAGCCACAAACCTTAATTCGCGCTTATGGGGGGGACTCCCCGCGATACGCTGCAGGATTGTGCTCCCATGTGCTTCACCTGTGTGCGCCAGCCCAGGGAGGTCGTCGTCTCGGAATTTCATAGGCGCCCGGCACATGACCCCAGACATCACTGTGACCAGGACGAAACGCGATCGCAGCCGTTGTCTCACTGTCTCACAGAATTGCACCCTCGGAGAAAAGACCGGGTAAAACGCCTCTAACCTTCCGTGAGACCCCACGGAGACATCTTCTGACCGAATGAACCTCTGACCGAGGCGAATGTACGCGTCGCGTTGCACTCTTGTGTGCAGAGCACAAGGTGATGTGTGCAATGATGGACGACATCTTTGTGTCCGTTCACATATCCCGCACGCAAGACATGCTGACTGTGAACGCCTCCACTTCCAAGAAGTTTCGCTCACACCGATATTTTCTCAGACTAGCCAGGGTCAGATTGTCATCTACCGCAGCCGATTCATGAAGCTCCTATAAAGATCGATGACCCTTGGGTCTGGACTCTGTATGTCATCTTTCGAAGCTTTACCCCGAATTCCGCGCTCCAAACCTAGCCCTTCTTCGCCATAATCGAATCGCTTCATCAAACACGATGCGTTTCTTCTTCGTTGTTCTCATAACAGTCGCCTTCATAATCACCACGGCATTATCATCCCCGGCCCCGATCGTCCCCCAGAGCCAGACTACCGCTACGATACCAGCACCCCCTCACAAACTGGATCATCGAGCGGTTCGACAAGGGACGCTTTGCGCCAACGTGCCAATAAAAGCGCGTCTCACCATCTTGACTTATGTGAGTGACAAGGCGTGAAGCTGGCGAAGACCATCTGCTAATGCTTTGCATCAATCTCGCAGAACGTGATCGACGTAAGTCAACCGCAGGCTATAGCAGGCGGCAAGAACGGAGCAGACTGATCATCGGGTATCTGCGTATCAGGATATCTGCCTTTGCACACAAAATGGCCAGCTCACTCAACGGTCCCAGCAGGACCTCAGGACGGCGCTGGATAGAATGGGAACTGGCGGACTCATCGGATCGCTCCTTAGACTTCTCGGTCAGACTTTGGATGGGTTATCGACCCTGTTATTCGGGAATGCAAACACCGAGGTAAGTTCGGGCTTCCTTCAATCCCGTCTGGCGCGTGCTGATATCCTTGCGTATCGAACAGCTTTTGCGAAAGAGAGCCACCTGTGACTATCCGGCCAACTCTATACCGGTGTGCGGCGGTACTTGTACCTTCGCCTGTGCTACCGGTTATAAACGCTGCGGCAACCAATGTATCGCCAACGACCGCGCCTGTGTCTCTAACATACCGGCTCCTTTGCGAAGAAGGAAGATAATGTGCGAGGGCACCAAGGTCTCGTGTCCAGTATTCGGACGGGGAAAGACAACCTTCGAGTGTGTGGACATCGCGAACCGGCTCGAATCATGCGGAGGCTGCATATCTGCTGGTCAAGGTCGCGACTGTAGCGAGATCGAGGGAGCCGATCAGGTCTCCGTGAGTTCTACCATCTCGGATTCGCGATTATGATCGGCGTTCACCTAACCTTCGAATCGTTTGTTGCAGTGTCGAGCGGGAGACTGTGTTGTGCAATCATGCATGCGCGGATTCGAGATGATCAACAACTCGTGCTTGCGAAAGAGCGACCTTTCTTGAGAACGGACTATCGTCCGACTGTGATGACGACTTTTCTTCTTACCATCTTACGACGGGACACGACAACAGATTTTCTTTTGGGATACATGGTTCGCATTTCACTTGTATAGAGGTTGTATGAGTATTACTGTGCTGGACTTGATTTAGTTTGATGTTCGCCTTCCGTTTTCGCACTTGCTAGATACACTGAGAAAGGTATTGTGGACCAGGAATCGTAGGCATGGTTCGTGAAGTTGTAACCCTTCGACGCCTCAGCGAGTGATTCTTGCCAACGCGATCGCTTTCCTTCCACTCGCCGGTCCCGGTCGTACATCACCTTTGAGATTACTCGCTACACCCCATTCCACCGTTTCCATTGATCCTTTCGTCTGATTCGCTACGCACCGTTCACCCGCTCCCATCAGTCCTTCAGGCTCACTTGCTTCATTCCGTTTTCCCGCTTTTGACGGGACCGAGGAGGGTCGCAATTCGTTGCTGCTGGGTACCACAACCACGAACGGGCTCTGCTCTGGGATCGGATCAGCAGCAGCAGCAGTAGTGTCACTATCAGGAGGGTTCAGCAGCTTGTGGTTGAACGGCAAGTTCAGGCGTTGGCCGTCACGCAACCGATGAGGGTCCACGGCAACGCTCTCTCTTAGGTGGGCGGTGTCACACTCGGCTCGATTGTCTCCAGCGAGTTGAGCCGGTGCACAGGCGTGTTTGAGGGGCGCTTTGATGCGGAGAGAGGTTTTGCCTTCGAAGGGCAGCGCGTGCAGTTTGCCGTCCTGCACAAAGCGCAACTTGTGTCGCCCTTTCGAAGCGTGTCCTTCTGAAAGCCGGCTTACTCACAACGATTGACAAGTAAATCCTACATTTCAAGAATTTCCCGCGTCAAGCGCAATTCCAAAACGCCTCTGAGAAAGTGGATTCGCGGAATTACTCTTCATACTCGGAAAAAATACAAAACACGACCTAGATTACGCCTCTTCCCTGCTCAAGCTCCGATCTGCCTCGTCTGACGGACAGCCTCCAACCCGAGGTTATCCGGGACGGCCGTCTCCCCGAGCGGGAAGCTCGCCTTGAGCGCACCTCCAAAGGCGACATCCCCGTTCTCGGCCCTGAACTTGGCGATTCGCTCCTCGATCTCTGGTCGGAAGTTCTTGATCAGACCCCTGCAGTGTCAAGGTAAAATATCATGTCAGCTCGTAGTTTGCGTGGATTCGCCAGGATAGCTTGGACTGACTGGATCGGCCAGGCGGCGGCATCACCCAAAGCACAGATGGTGTGACCCTCGATCTGCTTGGTCAGCTCTGATAACGTGCAAAAACAATGTTGTACCTCGAATATCAGCTCCCTGTTGGCATACGTGTCACGTCGTCTCGCGACCCACCTTGCAGCATGTCAATCTCACGCTCCTGTGCTCGTCCTTGCACCATTCGGTTCATCATGTTGGTCATCCAGGTCGTTCCCTCCCTGCACGGTGTGCACTGACCGCACGACTCGTGCTTGTAGAACGCGCTCTGCAAGAATTCCAACCAAGATCAGCCACATTGACCTTTTCTGTATGTAACAGCTCGACCTCGACTCACGAATCGAGCAATGGCCGAGATCATGTCGGTCGTGTTGTCCATGACGATGATCGCACCCGTTCCCAACGAAGTCCCGTGATCCTTCAACGAATCGTAGTCCATCAAGACCTTTTCGCTCACGTCCCTCGTGATGACGGGGACACTGCATCCACCGGGAATAACACCCTTCAAGTTCTCCCAACCTCCTCGGACGCCTCCACAGTGCCTCTCCAGCATCTCTTGCAGGGGCATGGACATCTCCTCCTCGAATACCGCGGGGGCGTTGACGTGACCAGAGACGCAGAACAACTTGGTACCGTGGTTTCGCTCACGACCGAAGCTGGCGAACCATTTTCCAGATCGACGGGCGATGGCTGCGGTAAAGAAAGGCAGGCAAATGACAATTGCGTGAGCATATGGTCTTCGGTTAAAGCATATTCACGCAACCTGTACTCACTCGGGGCGACAGCGACGGTCTCGACGTTGGCGACGGTCGTAGGACATCCGAACAACCCGACATCAGCGGGGAAAGGAGGCTTGAGCCTAGGCTTGCCCTGTTTCCCCTCGATCGACTCGATCAGAGCCGTCTCCTCTCCACAAATGTACGCTCCGGCACCCCTGTGCAGGTAGACGTCGAAATCGTACCCGGAACCACAGGCGTTCTTGCCGATCAGGCCCGCCTTGTAGGCCTCGTCGATGGCTTGTTGAACGTGGGAGGCTTCTTGGTAGAATTCTCCTCGGATGTAGATGTAAGCTACGAGGTCGAAAGGTCGTGCGGTTCGATCAGTCGGCGTGTTTCTTATCCATTCGATTCTTCAGGGACGCCTGAGACTCACCGGCACTAGCGTTCATAGCTCGTCCGGCTACCAAACACCCTTCGACGAGCTTGTGAGGGTCTCCCCTCATGATCTCCCTGTCCTTGCAGGTACCCGGCTCTCCCTCGTCGGCGTTGACAACGAGGTATCTAGGCCTGTGGTGGGGGCGGAATCGATTATTGTTGTGGACGACGATGATAGGTAGGAGATGGTTTGTCAAAGCAAGAACATTGGAGGAGGGGCAGATGTGATGAGACAGATCAGATCAGCTCCGATGGAAGCCGAGTTCCGCTTAATGGCTGCACGCACCTAGGATCCTTCTCCCAACCGGGCTTGTTCATGAAACTCCACTTCAACCCCGAGGGGAACCCCGCTCCACCTCGTCCTCTCAACCCACTCTCTTTAACTTGGTTGATGATCCACGTATCTCCCTTCAACAGGATCTCCTTGGTCTTGTGCCAATCCCCACGGCTCTGAGCTCCCTTGATACCATGATCGTGCCTAGACAAGAGGTTGGTGAAGATCCGGTCTTGATCTTTGAGACCTCCGTAACGACGGACGGGGGGGTCGGCGACGGTCGCTAGGGATCGGTTGAGGTTTGTCTTGAGGGCGCTCTTGGCTGTGCGTGCGGGAAAGTTATTGTGCGATCCATGGGGCATGGGATAGGATGAAGCAGATGGTCAGCAACAATTATGGCAGGCACGGAGACCAGGACAGGTGTCTTCGACTTCAAGGGAGGAGAGCCGATCGTCATGCATCGATCCGCAAGATTGCAGAAATCCACACCGATCTCCAACCGCCCCATCCCGATCGACCACCTCTACTCGTCGCTGGAAACGCGACACTCACGCAAGAGCACCTTGGAAGCAGCGTTCTTGATCATCTTGAAGAAGAGTGTGCTCGACTATAGCTGTACGCTGTCTTTTGGGAACGCTAGGTAGGTTTGGATTGTATGTGTGGCAATTGTGATTGAGATGTCGATCTTTGTGAACTCTCGATCCTCCCGTTCGCCGTTCGCGAGCCAATCCGAGGAAACGGGTTGGCTCGGGGAAAATGCAGCGAGACGATCGAACGTGGAATGATGACACGTCATGATCTTTCCTCTCGAAAGATACCTTGATAAGAGCAGCTGCCCTGACGTAATGCCATAACGTAACCCAGATCTCCCTGGTCTGCGAAAGGTCTCGGCTCAAAAGATCAACTATCGAACGAGCTGCATGTTCAAGGGCTGCACCAGTGAGTGGTACTGTCTCGAGGCGCAACCCCACCAGGTCTCGCCCGAGACATCACTTCTGTCACTACAACAAGACTCGGAGGCGGAGCGTACAGGAGCTACGTCGAATAATAGCTGGAGATCTGGAGACGACTCGCCAGAGGAACAAGTGAACCCGTACCTCACTGCTATACACCGGGACTGGTCAGTCGAAGCTCTGTTCTTGAGCGCATAGCTCTAACTTTTAAATCGTCAGCTCACATCTCATGTCTGTCCACACTCCATATGTACCTGGGATTCATTCCTGTATCTTCTAGATCGAAATCAACCGCTAGGGAGGACATTCACAGGCGCACCGGACGAGCACGCGAAAAATACCATCTACGATGCACCTCAAAACCCCACCTGCCAACCTGATCACCCAACTCCTCACCTCCTCCCGCGCATCCCTCGCCCAAACATCCTTGCCTTACTCCAATTCTTCCCTGGGGATAACATCAATCCTCCTTCGACACGGCCTCATCTCCAGCATCTCCAAAGGTTCCCCCTCTAAACCCGATCCGACCGCGTTCGAATCCCTCCCTCTTCCTTCTCGAAGACTATGGATCGACCTGAAACATCGTCAGGGGCAGCCCGTCTTGCGTAACATCTCCCTCGTGAGCAAGGCCAGCAAGCGGGTGACGGTGACGAAAGAAGAACTGGGGAGGCTTTTGACGGGGAGGAGGGCCAAGAACGTCGGTGGGGTCGGCTTGGGGGAAGTGTTGATCGTGAGGGATGTCGAGGGGCAGAACGGGTATCTGGAAGGTTGGGAAGCTTGGAGGAAAGGGATCGGTGGGGAGGTCGTCTGTCGGGCTGGTTAGACTAGCGAGGGGAAGAGGGGAGAGGGACAGGGGGTCGACGCCGGAAATCGGGAAGACGGGAAATCTTGCCCGTTTGTATAGTAAAGTACCTCGCAATATCGCATCGTGGTAATAAAGACCTTCCGCAGGGGTGGTTAACTGCAACGAAAGCCTCAAACCAAGCATCTCATCGACAATGTACAAAACGCATATACAATCCGCTAGCCAGATAGAGCTAGACCGCGTTGGCCTTCCTTTGCCTCCTCAACGCCGGCTGATGCTTTGCCTCGATTCCTACTACCTCCTTGTTTGCTGCCTCCTTCTCCAGCTTGGCCAAATTCACAATTTGGTTCATGATGTTCGAGGTGGAGATTGCCTGATGACACATATCGCATCGACACGCTTTGGCTTAAACAACTCTCACACCTTGATCTACATCCCCTGACAACGACAGAGACGGGGGCAAGCACAATGGTGGATTACAAGTAACAAGCTTCTGCAAGCGCTCATAGTCGTTGTCCGCTCTCCCCTTGAAAGAGCCATGCCGACTTTGCGACTTTGCAGATCGGGAAGGTTCAAGGTAAGTGGGATCATAGGCTCCCAGTTTGGAGGGGCAGTAGGGAAAGGATACGGCATAGCACTCCCGCCAAGGCCGAGATCGAGTGTGCTTGGATGAAGTTCGTGCAAATCTACCTCCCTCCGATTCCTCGTGCCATTCGATAATCAACCTACAGCGATTCTACAGCGTTGAAACAGAGCTTGCAGCCCGGAACAAATCTAAACACACTGAAAATCGCAGTGGGAACACGCAGACAAGCCGGCAATAGGTAGAGGGTCTGGCCGACTCCCAGTCATGAGTGACGACCCTGCCCAGACATGGTTCTTTCTGATGGACAACTAGACTCGTACAGCTTGAGCCTGGTGACCACATCTCCAAGATTTTGCACTTCGTAATGCGTTTACATAGTAGCCGTTGAACCAACGTTTGGCATGATACAGTGTAGAAACAGCGGGGTCCGTTTTGGGTTTCCTATTCCTTGCAAACTATGCCAACATTGAGCTCTTACCTTGCGCCCGTACTTTTCGCAAGAACTCCAGCTCTTCTTGATCCGCATTTGCCTCCAGGAGTTCTTGCTCGAGATCATGCACCCTAATCTGCGAGGCTTCGACCTTTTTGCGTAGCGTTTCAATCTCGTTCAAAAGGAAAGATGGCTTTCCAGAAATGTTTCCCTCGTCATCTTGTGCTTCTGATGATTCGCTCTTCTTGCGAAGGATGTCGTGGTTAATTTTCGCATCTTCGAGCTCGCCTTTCAATGACCTAGCAAGACAGAGTCAAAGTTAGCGCCAAGTTGACCATGAGCCGCGATGTGACCCGGCTTACCTGACTTGATCGACAAGGCCATCATGCTCGTCTTGCATAGCCTTGGTGTGATGTTGCATCTGTCGCCGTATCGACGACGTGAGCCACGGCTACAGTGTAGGAGATTAGTCACCAAAACTCACCTGGACGAAAGCGCTTGTCATCTTGTCGATCGCGTCTTTGTAATCTTGAAGCCTTTTCAGGTCGTTATCCCTAGGTCTCGCAGTTTCCGTTAGTTCTAGCTTTCGCACAAAGCATACACAAACCAACTCTGAACACACCATAACAGCTGGTTCTCCTCAAACTTGTCAATCTGCTGCTCATAATCGCCAATCTTCTTGATCTTCGGCTCTGCCTCACGTAGCCTGTTGTCTAATTTGAAAGATCTGCAGACGAAAACGCAGCCGTCAGCGCGATTGTCAGGTATATGTACAGTGTACACGGCTGGTACCTACTTTTCCTTCTCCTTGATAAGCTCCGTCTTCAGATGAGTGATCAGACTCTAGAAACCTCACCAATCATGAGCAAATATGATCGATTGGCAGTCCGCCACGCGCTACACTCACCTCCCTATCCAGAATCTCGTCGTTCCTCGCCCCCTGTTTCTGAGAGACCTGCTTCTTCAGATCTCGGTTCTCGGCCATCTTCGCGCTCAATCTAGCCTTTTCCTCGCTAGATGATTTTCGCGTTCGAGCGAGTTCGTCCTTGACGCTCTGCAACTCTCGGTTCTTTTGCTCAGCAAGGCGTTCCTGGTCCTTGATGTGGTTGTACTGGTAGATGCGTGGCTCGAATCAGTTTTGATGCAAGGTCAAGTATGGGGATCTGGGACGTACCAGGTTCTGTTGTTCCGCCTCCCCGGATCGAGCCGAGACGGCCGACTGGTAAAGCCGGTTGACATCTACCCTCACACACTTCGTTAGACCTCATCTCGCTTCTACCTGTCAGACCAACTGCGACTCACGCTGTAGATACATCCCCGCCAACTTTTTCTGATGTGCCAGATCGAGCGTCAAGACCTCTACCTGCTTCCTCAACCTTTCCGTTTCGCCCTCGTTCCCCGCCCCCAACCCAACTCCTAACCCGCCCGTCGGCCGAATGGCAATCGGATGAGCCGGTACCGGTGCATACGCATTCACCCCCGTCCGACTGGGTCCCGCTATCGATATGGACATCGCCGTCAGGGGGTTCGTACCCGTCACCGGGATCGCCAATTCGGAAGACCTTCGATGTCTGACCGTCTTCATCGAACGCCCAGGTGATCCTCCCGGGGTCATGCTGATCGACATCGAGGTAGACGTATTGTCCGTCAACTCCGTCATCGACCTGAGAGGAAGCTGAGGTCTCTGTTGGTCTGCCTGTATCTTCTCTATGGAAGTCTCGTGCTCCGTCTCGACCAGACCCGGGGCAGGAAGTATAGCCAGCAAGCTCCCGGCGAGGCCTACGATCTCGTCAGCTTCCGTCTTGCTGAACCTGTTTGCGATCCCGTCGAGCTCCGTCTTGGCAGTGCCCGACAGCAGAGCCGGGTTGAAGAGGAACGATTTCATGTACGGCTATAGCATTCACCCGAACATATTCCGAAATCAGCCATACGGTTCACCTTGTCTCACCAACGTTTCAGGATTATCGCTCTGTCGTACTCACCGAAGTCAACCTCGCCATCTCTCCCTCTTTCCAAACATCCTTCCAGCCTCCTGACAAGGCGTACGGACACGCGATCCCCTTCTCCCCCAGATACCCGGCGGGATCGTTGATGAACCGCACCAAGGTCAGTGGGAAGGCGGTGTAGAGTAACGAAAGGTATTCCGCTAGGATCGAAGTCGATGTTGAGGTTGAAGCCGAGTAGGGTTGACCTTGATTCGCAGGTGCACTCGATGATGTCGCAGAAGGAGAAATAGGGTTCCCGGCAGATCGATTCCTCGAATGGCCCGCGTGATGCAGTCCCGTCTGCCTGGGCTGATGGTGATGATGATGATAGAGCTCGAAAACCTCTTGCGCCTCGTCGACCCCATACAACCCCCCAATAGGGTCGTGGTACGTCTTCCACCTTACTCCAGGCGCAGGCTGTAACGAGGACCTGTTCATCGGGTGATGAGCGTGAGGATGGTGCATCCCCATGAACGACGGTGGAGAGAGGGAGAGGCCCATAAGTTTGTCTTCGTTGGAGTTTTCCGACATTGCCGAGACGGTATCGATCGATCGACCTGTCATCATTCCGTCGCTCTTGTGCTTGTGGTTTTCGTTCTCATTATCGTTGTGACTACTGGAATTTCCGGCTCCTTCCCCTGTGATCCCGAACCCTGATCCCAATCCAAGACCGAGCACAGATTCCTGTCCTCGACCCGGATGAGCGCTCGTCTCATCGTCCACGACGGGCAGTTCCTTCATCCCTCTCAAGGGGGACAATAATCCTGCCCCAACCCCAACTCCACTATTTCCTGCGCCTGACGAGCTCCTCCGTCTCCTCATCTGCTCAGACCCAGAGGGAGAAGCAAAGAAGGTATCTTTCTTCCCCCTCATCGTGGTCTGCGAGGACATGACCATCGCTGCCTTTCCCAGTATAGCCAACAAATACCCGAGTTTCGCACTGGAAGGGACGATAGAACCGGGAAGGACAATGTTGAGTAACCGGAGACCTTGTTCGAGGATCCTGCTTGATGGGTCTAACAACAGGCTGAGAGCGAGAGTTGGAAAGAATGACGAAGCAGGGAAGAGCGATGAATGAGCGGGGTGAGCTAGGAAGAGGTGCGAGAGGAAGGGAAGAATATGTATTCGGATAGACGGGGAAGGGGTGTAGAGGATATTGACGTGGTCGAGGATGATCTGCAGCGAGAAGACGGGCGAAATATCAGCTAGGAGAACGATCGCCCAAGAACTCCATCCGACCCACGCTGATATCGTCGCCAGACAACTCGGACAACTTGGTATCCAGACACTTGTCTTCGAGACCTTCGTTCGGGATCACCTGGGCCTCGAGCAGAGACCTCAGGGTGGGTTCCGCCGGACCGGACATGGCGGACGACCGGGCTGTAGCTTTTAAGGAGAGGACTCGTGTGTATGGATGAGTGTAGGCAAGGTATGATTTGGGTACTATAGACTTTTGATGTGACACATATCGCAGATGGTAGACATTTGACATTCACATGCGATAAGGTCAGCCAAAGTAGGACATGGCCGAGTCACCTCGTCAACCGAGTCACGTGACATCATTCGCCGGGACTTGTCATAAAGTTCAGGGGGGATATCATGATCAGGATGATCATATTCGAGGTTGTACAACGACTTGCTCGATCGGAGTTTCAGTTTATAATCAGCCATTAGACTCGCCTCAGGAATCTTCGTCGTTCGATATGGCCTTCATCGTGACGACGCAACAATTGCGATCCCGATCGGTACAGTCGATCGGGAGATACACTGCAAGCCCTTCGTCATCTTTCATGCAGCTCGTCCGACCAAGTCAACGAGCTTCTTCGTCCTCCTCGTCAGCAGCAGCGAAGGCTGAAGTGACACAGAAAGATGGAACGCAAGTGGCGAACCAAGACGTCGTTGAAAAGCCGGGGGAGAAGGCTGGGAAAGCGACATCAGCTTCAGGGAAACGATTGACCAAGGCGCAGCAACAGATGCTGGACAACGGGGCTCGGCTGGCTCAAGCGATCAACTCGGGGGTATCCTATGACGAAGTACCAGTACGAGAAGAAGAAGAGGCCCCATCATTATCATCACCATCATCCGATCCGTCATCTGCAGAGCCTTCAGACATCCCACGCCCTTCACCGACAGGCGACCGAACTACCGACTTCCTCGCCCTCGTCACCGCCTCCCTCACCCCTCCGCCTCAACCGAACATCTCCCCGGACCTCCGTACCCTGCTCACATGCCGCCCCACCAGGCCTCCTCGTCCTCATCACAAACAATACGAATGGAACTACAACGGTCATTTCGAAAAGCTCTCTCGTTCCTTCTTGCGTGAACAGCTCGTCAGCATGTACGAAGAGCTCAGGAACGAAGAGATCGGAGTCTTGAGCGGGATGGACGCGGATCTCGTAGGAGGGAAAGAAGCTCCGGGTTTGCCGGTACTGAAGCGGAGTGCGAAGAAGAAGGAGATCATCGAGTGCATCTTGAGGCAGTGGGGATGGCCGACGATGAAGGAGGTCAGGAAGGAGAAGAAGATCAGGCAGGAGAACTGGAAGAGGGTGGATAAGCGTGAGTCACGGCCGATCTTCTCTTTCAGGCGCAATGATACTAAGCGATATTTGTTATTCGTGTCCATATTCATGTTGTACAGCGTTCCCGCTTTCCCCTGCCGAGGACTATTTCCTGCGTCGAGGTAAGTCTAACCGATACTCGGATATACTATGGCTTACAGGCACTTTTGGCTGATCCGTTCATCCTCTATAGAACCCAATTTCATCCGCGACCTCGCTGGAAGAAACATGCTGAATCTGACGCTCGCTCGAGTGCCTGTTACCGCTACCTCTTCTTCTGGCTCTGATGATGCCGACGCTTCTACCTCTGGCGAACCCACGCCCACTCCCACCACCGCGGGCGAGGAACCGACCTACAAGACCCAGCTCATGATCAAGGGCCGATCGTTCGACGTCCAACAGTTTGAATCGGGCGTCAAGCTCAAGTTTGCAAAATTGTGCGAACAGACGGTCTCCGGCGAAGTGTTCGGTCCCGGGTTGGAACAGTTACACGAGACGATCTCGGTCATGGCGAATGCATTTGTGGAAAAGACAGAAGGCGGGAACGTCAAGATCAGCTACATGGACACCGCAGATCGAGACCGGGCGATCGAGCTGCTACAGGCCGCCCGGAGACACTTGGCTACATCAGAACCGACCTCGCGGGCCGAGATCGTTGCGCTCCGTCCCCCCACCTCTGATCAGCCGCACGCCTTGTACCCTTATCTTCCTCCTACCGCATACGTGCCCTCCGCCCTGAGCGCGTCGAGTAAAGTCGCAAAAGCAGATGTAGGGTCGGACTGGTTCCTCGCGGGACAGAGCTGGTTCCGAATAAGAAGGGTCGGCAGGTGGTTTGAGCGCGGGGGTGAAGAGCCACAGTCGGATGGGATCGTCACCATCAGCGGAAAGGTCGAAGCCAAGACATTAGAAGAATTTGAGAAGGGCGATCAGCCGGATTGGCTCAAGCTGGTAACGACGATAGAGTGAGTGACAGCGTGTTCGACTCCGATGTGGGCTTCGCTCATCTAGCGATATTCACCTGGCCGCAGATACGGACAACTCGTCTTCTCATCCGGGAACGCCGGGAACACTACCTGGACACCACCGATCGACGGCGAAAAGACGCTTGAGGAGCTGAACAAGGAGATCAGCGGAAACTCGCTCTCGACGGTCTTCCTCCCCGGATCCGTTTCACCGTTACACGATGTGGAAGCGTTCGCCCTCCCTCCACTCAGACGGATGAGGCTCCGGTATGAGGAGAAGGCCGAACAGCTGGATAGCGATTGGAGACCGTTCATGGAAGTCGAGTATGATCTGCCAGAATCATCGGGGAGCAGGATGGACGACGATGAGCAAGTATCGCCTATTCGAGGGTCCGCTGGACGGGAACAGGTGCAGTATTGTCTGCGACCTGCCAGGTAAGCAGAAACTCTGTTTCCAGTGGGAGATACCTGACTAACATTTTTTTTTCGTTTCTTTTTGATGGCGATATACAGTGATACCGATATTCGCATCCGCAGGCGTTTCAACAGGCCTCTTTCGCCTGACGAGGTTCCAGGATCGATCAAGAGGTTCTGCGAGACCTTGTCGGCCGATTCCGCTGTATCCTCGTCAGTAGCGCTAAACAGCTGGAATTACGGGATGTCTGCTGATCCCTTCTCCATACAGACCCGAAAGACCGCCAACGGAAGTCATTTTCGATGGCAAGACGTGCCAGCTAAAAAGCGCTACGAGACTCGATACGTACCAAGGGTCAGAGGAAGCTCAAAAGCAATCTGCAATCTTTGAGCATCCAACCGACATCTTTACCGGTATCAAAGGTTCCCGGATGGAGGAAAAGGTCAGCTTCCAGCCCCTTGTTCACGCGACCGAAAAACTGATCCGTATGACCTGCTTTATAGGCTGCTGGCGCCGACATCGCCACTCTACATAAGCTAGCATGATGTTGGTTCTAGAATTTACATGATATACAACATTCGTTACTACATGCATCGGGTATTTGTACCATATTGTTCACACCATGCAATACACCTCATCAGCATCTTGCCATCACCAGCGGAAGCCAGTCTTCTCTTCCTCTTCTTCATCGTCGTCTCGCCCATATCGCGGCAGAGGTTCATCAACCATGCCGTACACCGCTTCAACTCGCCGCCTTCGCAAAAGCTCGGCCTCCGACAGACCTCCCTTTGCATGATCAGTGCTGGCAGGGCTGGTCGTCCTAGGCTTCTGACCGCCGATAGCAGCGACTCTCGGTGCCTCGGCCTTCTTCTGCGTAAAGAAAGCGTACGATCCCCTTGCCTGCCTGGATGGCTTGATTGTATCGAAGCGCGAGTCGTCCAACAGTCCTGGAGGCGTGACTGGGCCTTTGAGACTGTCTCCAGACTCAAAAGACCAGGTTTGACTCTCGGGCAGCGCAACCCGCTGACGATCAGGCAGATTGCTGGATCCGAGCGTGTGCAAGGTTGAACTGAGCTGGCGCGTCCGCTTGGTGGAGAACGATAGCATATCGTCCTCTTCGTCATCGGTAACGGTATCTGCTACCAGCGGAGCGCCAAGGTCTGCGGAACCCAGAGGTCTCTCGGGCGAGGTTTCCTTGTACTCAGAAGCTTTGACCAAGCTGAAACTCCGTTTGGGAGTTGGCGGCCTAGCGTCTCCGCCAATGTCCAAGTTTCGGTCCTCGGCGGCTCTTGCAAAAGTCTCATCGATCCAGTCGGCAATGTCCATAAGTACCGGCTCCACATCATGTTTCATGACAGACAGCATCTGCATCTGTTTAGATGGGGCCAAATCAGCTGAGCGACGCCAAGACCTATCCCTTGAATCGACTCACAAAGCCATGCCCCCATCCCTCGATAATCCTCATACTGAGCCAGTCATCCTCGTCTTCCTCCAAGATCGGATCGTTGTTCCGATTAGACGAGTCAGTCCTGCTCATCCGCAGACCAGCACGTGCTTGCGCAAGCTTTTGTGCAGCCTGCCGTCGCGCTTCTTCCCGTTTGTTACGTTTCGCCTGTCTCAGACGGCCCGCCAAAATCACTGTATCGTCCACAAAGGGGTCTCGCTCTCCGCAGATAAGATATGTCCGGGGGAATTGTGCGAGAAGAACCTCAGGCGTGAGGATAGGACTGATGTAGTAGTCGGTGGCGAAATCTGGATTGTGCCGCGGACCGATGTACAAGATGGCCATGGCTCTCATCTGTCACGGAGGTCATATCAGTCGGCAGGTTCTGAGAACATAGGATCTTATACACATTTACCATAGTAGGGCTGATGATCCTGTCCTGGAAATACCCCGTCCGCGATGTCATAGTCAGTCTCGTCCCGATTGGCATCTTCTCGTTTTCTTTTTCCTCTTGCGCCTCGGCTGCCTTGACCTGCAACTCCTGCTGCAAAGCCTCAAGGGAAATCTCCTCGATCGGCGTCTTGACCCTCTCCCGCAGCGGTTTATCTTCCTCTCTTCGACCGTCTACTTCGCCAATAGCGAGAGCATTCCGAGATGTCGTCGAGGACCTAAACCGACCGCTCAGCGAACGGTGCCAGCTAGACTTTCTTGACAAGGGGTCCGTATCGGCTGCAGATTTCCGTTTGCCTGAATCATCCACAACGCTGAGCGGACTCTTGTGTCGCATGTGATCTTTGCCTTCCATGATGCCGGGAATGTTTCGGGACGATTGTTCGGTGCGGAGGACCTGCAGATCCTGAGGAGTCATCCAACTGTTGTAGTTGAAATCAATGGCTGGGTACGCGAGGACAAGCGCGAGAGGATGAGGCAATTTCAACGGCGACTCCAGTATGTTCAGCATGATTGTCGTGACGATGTTGCCTCCCCTGAAATTCAAGCAATCACACTCAGTGACCGAGCCTTGTCACTTCGCTTCTCAAAGTAGCTTACGCCGAGTCACCGCTCAAAACCATGTCAAGCCGGCCACTCTTGATGCCGATGACTGAGCCCTTGGTCTCCACCAGCGTTTGGTAGACGTCAAAGCCTTCTTCAATCGCCCAAGGATACGGATCTATGGTGAGGGAGACCGTTGAAGCTGAGCTTCGTCGAACATGAACCGATTCCGCCGCAGCGGCACTCACATTCAGGAGCTTTCCCATAATCGATAGCAAGGACCGGTTTCCCCGTCCTCTTCGTCCACCTCCTCAACCTTTCTTCGTGATGCTCAGGGCCCATGGCGACAAAGCCACCACCAGGGAAGTCCAGGATCAATTCAGTGCAATCTCTGAGCTCTTCTTCGGTCTTTGAGAAGAACAGCATCGCTGATATGGGTTTAGTGTGCTTGGAGCCCTTGGGGCGCGGTAAGAGGATCTTGCGGACCAGAGGAAGTCGGGGTCTGTCGAAGTAGGTAAAAAGTCGCAACTGTAGCAGATGGCAACAAGTCTAGGTCAGCGAGGGAGTCTTCGTCACGAATTGCGCTGAGTCAAGGCAAACTTACATATGGATTACTGGTTTTCTCCCATGTCGTTCTCAGCATCTCTACCGTACACAACGACCTAAACCTCCTCAACTGTCACGACCCTTATCAGCTTCGAATACCACTTCAAATCACTACCCTATCGATTCGTCAACAACCCCAAACTCACCTTCTCATCGGCCTCTCTAGCCCAGACCATGTAATACCCGGCAAAGAGCACGCTACAGATATCTCGCAGCCATTTGGGTTTGATCGGCATGGCGGTGGCAAAGCCCGCATCGAAGGAGGTGGCGATGTAGGTCGCTCTATAATATGCTCGAGAATACTGTATAGCAGACACCGGGAACAAGTTCGGATTTAGCGGGGCTGGGCGGCAGGAGCATGGCTGTCAGGAAGGGTGCTTACCATACGAGCCAGTGGTTCCGGAGCTGTATGGCGAGGCATGTTTGATCGACGTTTAGCTTGCTATTTGGAGAGAATAGCTGGCCAGGAGCTTTTCACTCACATCCCAAACCGACCAGAACGTCCAGGTTGCGTAGGGCATACATGAGAGTGAGAGTCCCGACGACCAATTGATATGGGGAGAACCGCTCTGTAACATACGCCTTCGATATTAGCATCCAATCCTTTATGAAGGAGACTAAGAGCGGGCTACCTACTAAGTTTACGGTTGATCAACCCCATGATCCCTAAAAATCCGCCTCTCCTCCCTACCCAACCGCTCCCGAACAGTTCCCCTACGACCCTAGCTCTAGTCTTGCTCTTCCGCTTGAGATCTCCGACGTAGAGTCTCCATGACCAGAACATGATCACCAGGAAGACCTGGACCCGTTTGAAAGCGGGAGAAGGTTTCCCGAGAACATGGTCGATCATGATCGATCGAGGCGATTGAGCGATTGTGGCTAGATATCGGGGTCGATATGGCTACGTCGTTCTGCCGCAGCGACCATATATATTGAGATCCTCTTCACAGAGTGCGCTGCTGTTTATCTTCTTTGAGTTTGCTCTAGGACAGATCCTTTCAGCTCGGAGGCGTAAAACAGACTTGTCAAAGGCAATTCTTGGAGACGTCAATCTGAACGGAGATCGAACGATGGCGAGGCCCGGATTATGGCCACGGGTCGCCACAGGTGTGTCGTGAGTGCTAAAGCAAGTCGCAGGTCGAGTATATGTGTCTAATGTTTCAGCGGAGGACGAGGTGGCTACATATGACGATCTGCGAACAAGCCATAGCTGACGACAAGCTGTGTGTTTCGACCTCGATCTCATGATGTCCCCCCTCCCCTTCGACGGCAACCACCAGTCAGCCGGGAAAGTGGGGTCTCCAGTCGACTTTTGCTTCCGGGTCATGTCTCGGTTCAGCAGTAACGAGCGAGATAAGATAGCAAAGACAGTTCGTACACCTCAAGTGTTTAGAAGATACAGAAGAATTGAGAAACGATTAGGAATCAAGAATTAACATGGATATCCCAAATGCAAAGCTATTGTACAGAAGCCATGGATGTGAAGCTTCAGACGGTTGGTTCGATCCTTTTTGTGTATTTTTGGGTTCTACGGGTATTGCTCTTGCAAAGCAATGTCTACTCGTCCTTCAAGAATTGAACATACGCCCTGGTTCGATCGCAGAAATCGTCAGTATACCTTTGTGCCCCTGAATGAGCTTGACGAAGGAAAGGTGCTCACAAGTTGTTCGTCTCCTCGACAAAGGGGTAGCCGAGCTGCTGGACGAACATGTCCCACTCCTCCGTAGCCTCGGGAGGTACAGGGACAGCGACGAGGACTCGAGCGACATCTGATACGATTAGATCGATGGTCAACATCTATATTATTGAAGCGGCAGCTGGTCCAAGCACTTACCTGATCCGTGGTTTCGGTAGTGAAACATCGAAATGGTCCAATCGCTAGCCATACCACCCAAGAACTTTCTCAGAGCACCTGGTCGCTCAGGGAATTCTAGCAGGTCGAAGCAGGACTTCAGTCATCAAGCTCCCAGAAGTTCACTTCAGGCATGTAAGACTTACCGAACCTGAAGACACGCTCATAAGGTACCTGTCTCCTTCCACCGACCATGTGTCGCACATGGCTTTTGGCAAACTCATCATCGCTCAAGTCGACGGCGGTCATCCCTTCCTTCTCCAAGGCAGTCACGATCTCTCCGACCTCCTTGGCTCGAGCCTCGGGGGAGATGGAGGCTGACGATGGGGAAGAGTTGAGGAGGAATGAAGTGATGATGTGGGCTTCGTGATCGGAAGAGTATCGGTAGGAAAACTCGGTCGTCGCTCGAGGGTGGATGATGGAGTGAAGCTTGATGAAGCTGGTATTGCACGAATGTGAATCGATTAGTGCAAGGAACTCGTCCTGATTATGACTGATGATGCTCACGATCCCGGTTGTTCAGGAACCCTGATGCTCATCAAAACCTCTCTCCGTTCACCCAACTCGGCTCGTTCGGCTACAAACCTTAGTCGTCCGAAGTTCATGTTGGCACCAGAGATGACGGCGACAAACTTCTTTCGTGCGCCGACCAGGTTGTTGCGCACGATGTGGGCCTTGAGACCGGCAAGGGCGAGAGCGCCAGCAGGTTCTGGTACCGATCGAGTCTCTGCAAGGTCAGGAAGAGAATGTCAATCAGATTGACGGGCCTTGAAGCCAGATGCAGAAAGACTGACCCTCAAATACGTCCTTCACAGCAGCGCAAATCTCGTCATTGTTCACCAAGGTGATGTCGTCCAAGGTGTCTTTGCAGATCCTGAAGCACTCCTCACCGACGATCTTGACAGCGGTACCATCACTGAACGGTCCAACCTCGCTCAAAATCACCCGCTTGCCAGCAGCGATACTCCTCTTCATCGCGTCACCGTCGACGGTCTCGACTCCGATGACCTTAACGCTCTCAGGTGCGATTCTCTTGATGTAGGCCGACATTCCGGAAATCAGCCCACCACCGCCGATACTGGCAAAGACACCGTCGAGCTTTTCGAAGTCCTTCATTTGACGTGCAAGCTCCACCGCGACAGTGCCCTGTCCAGCGATAACGAAGGGATCATCGTAAGGAGGAATGAAGTGAAGTCCATGGGCCTTGGCCAGCCTGGCGCACTCGGCCTTGGCTTCGTCAAAGTCCTGTCCATGCAGCACGACCTTAGCACCAAGCCTCTCTACGTTCCTCCACTTGATGGAAGGAGTCGCAAGGGGCATGACGATGGTAGCAGGGATCTTCAAGCTGGCACCGGCCAGAGCTACACCCTGAGCGTGATTGCCTGTGTTACGAAACGTCAGACAGGGTACCTCTTGAGCATCGCTTTGGGCCGCACGACGTACCTGCACTGCAAGTGACAACGCCCTTCCACTTGTCCTCCTCTGGCAGATGCGCCATCAGGTTGTAAGCTCCTCGAACTTTGAAAGAAAAGACGGGTTGCATATCCTCTCGTTTCAGCCAGATTTCGTTTCCGAGCTTGGCGGAAAGGTTGACGGCCAGGGTCAGAGGTGTCTCCTGAAGGTTAAGCGGAGCAGTGTAAACCTTGGCTGTGATCCGAAACAGGTCAATTATATAAGCGATCCAGATAAAGCGGAGTATCGCATAACCAACGTACATAGCAAAATCATACGCAAGTAGTCGGGCGTAGGCTCTTTGTTGCCACCTTGCGAGATCAAGAGGTGCTTCGGCAGCCTTTGATAGAGGTGGGTAGGTACTTCTGGGTCGTCTCCATTGACAGTGTGGGAAGCCGTTTGAGTCGGCATGGGCGCGGAAGAAGAGTATTCGATCTGCGCCGCAGGCGGGAAAGACGCCATCTTGCCATTCATTGATTTCGAATGGCCGTTCACCATCTTCGGTGTGGCGGATCTCTGAGCTCTAGCAGCTACCTCGTCCCTCTCCTTCTCCTTCTGCTGAACAGCTGCGATCTGGACGTTCCGAGGAGCGTGACGCTTGGTCCAGCCCTCGAATTGCACAAAGGCTTGTTCGAGGAGGATGTCAACGCCGAACACGTGGTTCCACGATTCAGTATGTTGAGCAAGCTCGATGAGAGCGCTAACCTTGGGGCGGTAGGCCATCTCGATGGCAACGCCTCCATCTTCGTTCAACAGGGTAGGCTTCAGCAAGATGCCAGAAGCGGAAGGCTCCAGCGTCATGCTGCCACCGGGTACAGTCGATACGATGACGGTTGGCTTGGCGGCAGGGAGATCGTCCAAGCTGGTGACACAGATGATGTTGAAGTCCTTAGGGAAGAACTTGGCAACCTTCTCCGCATTTTCACGCGTCCTGTTGAACAAGTAGATCGTCTTGATGCCCAACTTATGGATCGCGTAAACCGCAGCGCGGCATGTACCACCCGCGCCAATGACAAGACCGGTCGTCGTCTCGGTCAGACGAACGTTGGTAGGCAGCTGCTTGAAAGCCATGGTTCTGATTGCCTTCCAATCGGAGTTATCACCATACAGAATCCTAGAGCCTTCCTCGGTATGTTTCACGGTTATGGTGTTGACAGCCCCGATAGCACGAGCGTCATCAGACACGGTCGTGAGGTGGGGCATGATTGAAAGCTTGTGAGGGATAGTGATGGATGCTCCACCGAAATGAGGGTCCGCCAAGATACGCGAGATACTGAGGTCGACTTCCTCAGTCTCGTGCAAGGAATACTTGTGTGGAAGTCCTAGTGCCTGGAAACCAGTGTTATGGATCGTTGGGGATAACGAAGCGGAGATGGGAGTGCCGAGAAGATAGTAGTTCTTGGCAGGTAAGCGCCCCAACAGATGCAACGCCTGTTGAATCTGGGCGAAAGTGGTCTGTCCGGGTGCCGAAGGGCTCGGAAGCGCCGGATGGGTGACGGGTGTCAGGATCGGGTTCAGCACCCTGGACATCTGACCTTGTTGGCCCATGTTGATGGCAAGCAAAGGCTTGTCGGACGTCTTTCGAGCCTGCGAAGCGAAGACCGAAAGCAGGGTGTTGTCCTCTGGCTCGATCGCGGTACCAACCAGCTTGACAACATCGCCGATCGCATGACATTGTTGATACTTTTGGGCCATCGTCGTTTCGTTCCACTTGGCGGCCCCTGACCAGTCATGCCATGAAGCGACGATTTGCGAGGGACCTTTGTGTTTGATAATCTCCTCAACGCGATCCTTAGGCATGCCGACTTCGATGTCGATGAATTCGCAGCCAGCTCGAATGGCCAGTCGCACGAATTCGAAATACTCGTCCACCGCCTCATCAGGGAAGAATCCGCCTTGAGAAGCGGTCCTCACTGAGAAAATGACGGGCAGCACGACATGATGCCTCAAAGCTGCCAGTTGAAGGGCAACAAAGTCCATGGGAGGAATGGTCGGGTGAGTAGGGGCTGAGCCGGTGGTAGACAGCAAGTCGACTCGGAGCTCAACTGCATCGACACCGACAGTGATGTCGTCCAATACGCTTAGAGCTGGCGTGATGTCGGGCAGCGTAAGGGCCAAGAACGATGTTCGATGGCTGACATCCAATTCCGGGCTGTTGTTGCTCAGGCCGGCGAGCAAGCGGAAGAACCGAGAAGCTTCGGCCCGAGATCCATCGCCTGGGCCGGCGGCCTCATTGCCAACCAAAGCGCCCTTGTAGTTCAAGTAGTCGTGGCTCGAACATTCGTAGTACCAGGGACGACGACGTTGGTAGACATCCATAGCAGACTCTCCATAAGAGGGTCGCAGCGAAGTGTCACCGATCTCGCCGAGATAGCGCCTGATCTCGTCAATCTCCCGGAAGACGTGCACGACGATACCAGAGTCCGCCAGGTAAGCCTTTAGCAAATCTCGACAACCCTGAGTCTCGACAACTCCACCGCCCAAGCTGATAATGTAACCGTCGGGCTTCTCTTTAATGAAGTGAGCGAGATGCTCTCGCTCCTTTTCTCGGAAAGCTGGCCAACCGTTCGCGGCGACGTATTGCGAAATAGGGATTCCAACTTGCTCGGTAAACCAGTCGTCCGCGTCAATGACAGGCCTGTTGAGCAGACTTCCAGCAAGGGTGCTGAGGTAAGTCTTGCCCGCACCCCTCATTCCGGTAATGAAGATGGTTGCGTTCTCGCGCAAGGAACCCGCCAAGTGAGAGGCGTAGGCGCCCGATCCCGAGGTCTGACCTTGATCAGCGAGGTCGACACCTTCAAACTCGATCCCGATGATTCGGCTGAGATCATCCCACCAGTTCGGCCAGGTCTTTTCGACACATCGCTTCTCGGTGATGACAGTCTGGTCGACCACAGTAGCGAGAACGCTGAAAGCCATAGCCACCCGGTGATCATCGTAGCAATGGATGCTGGCGCCTTCCTTGAGACTCTTGAGCGGCGAACCAAAGATGATGATACCGTCGTCAAACTCATCTGTCTGTACACCGAACTTGCCTATTTTACCAGTGCCCGTATTTAGTGTATATGCGGCGGCTAGTGAAAGATACCTGACTTACGGAGTTGATCTCGCATGGCTTGAATACGGTTGCACTCCTTGACTCGCTGGTTAGCGATACCATAAATTCTGGTGACATTGGCACCGAGGTCGGCTTGCCTTCGCGACTCGAAAGGCTCCTGGGTCGCCACGGCGGCGAGGACGCTGGCCGTCAGGAACGCATCCGTCATGGGCTCCATGTCGACACTGTTTAGAGCGCGAAGTTGGCCGATAGGAGGCCCGGTCACCTTGGTCTGAGTAGCCGTCTGCTCGACGGTACATCCCATAGGCTCGAGAACCTCCTTGGCGAATCGAGCATCTCCTTGCAGGGAAGAGGATCCGATGTTGGTCAATGTGCAAGTGGTTCCAGTAATGGCAGCGATGGCTAGCGGGTAGGTAGCACTTGAAGCGTCAGACTCGACGTTGTAGATAGCAGGATTGACGTAAGCCCCATTCGAGATCTTGTAGACGTCCAGCAGGGTTCCATTTGCGTCTTGCTCCCTGACCACCTCGACACCGAATTCGCGCATCATGGCGATGGTCATATCAATGTAGAGCTGAGAGATGACCTGCCCTCCAGTCAACTCCAGAGTGACGGGTTCCCGTGCGTACGGCGCACACAAAAGCACAGCCGAAACATATTGGCTTGACACACTGGCAGCCAGCTTGATGTGACCTCCATTCAAACCCTTGCTGGCGATGCGTAGAGGAAGGCAACCAGAACCTTCCAGGTAGTCGATCTCGGAACCGTTCTCTCGGAGAGCATCGACAAGCGGACCGATAGGTCGCTGCTTCATACGAGCGTTACCCGTGACCACGGTGTGATCTCGGTCGGCTTCAGGTTGTACCAGAGTACAGACCGCAGTCAAGAATCGAGCAGCAGTTCCGGCATTGCCCAGGTATACGTGCTTTCCGCTTTGTGGCGGGTGCATCTTGCCGCCACCACCCTGGACGACGAGAGTCTCCCCACCATCTTCCCAGCTGAAGACAGCACCTTTCAAATCCGAAAGCGCGGCCATCATAACAGCGGTGTCGTCAGAGTGCAAAAGATTTCGCATCCTGCAGACTCCCGATCCGAGAGCAGCGAGGACGAGAGCTCGGTTACTGATACTCTTGCTTCCGGGAGTGCTCATAACGATGCCCTGCTTGTCGCCAGTCATAGATCTGGGGATCCCAGCGCGAACTCTGACGGCATCGCAGAGAACTTTTTCGATGATGGGGTTCTCGATCGAGCTTGCCTTCTCCTCGTAGGTCTTTCCGATCCTGCTGAGCAGAACTACTTTGATGAAAGCACCTGAGTTCTTCTTGTCCACCTTCATCAGGTTCATCAACGTCGATACGCTCAACTTTTTGCTAACAGGAAGACTGGTAATCCTCGGGTCATGCAGCGAGACGGGCAGGCCGTATGCCTTTAGTGCTCGAGTCAGTCGGCCGACTCCGACCTGAGAGAAGACTCCCTTCTGGCGAGCGACCTCGGCTTCAAGAATCATTCCGACAGAGACACACTCTCCGTGCAGCATTCGGGGGGTAAGGACCGCCTCGATGGCGTGTCCGATTGTGTGACCGAAGTTGACCAAGTTTCGAAGCCCAGTTTCCCTCTCGTCGATAGTCACGATATGTGATTTGACATAGATCGATCCGGTCACGACCGTCATCAATAGGCCCTGAGCTTCGGTCCTTGTCTCAGCGAATCGACCCGTGTGGTCCGCTTTTGTGCTGCCCGATTCGACAGCGGAGATGATCTCGTTGGCCCGGGATTCCAGTAGAGCGAAATCGTCGTCTTTCCAGATAGCGGCGGTCTTGACGACTTCTGCCATACCGTTGGCAAATTCACGGTTGCCAAGGGTCTCCAAGAACGACAGATCGACGAAGATGAATGACGGCTGCCAAAACGCTCCGATGAAGTTCTTGCCATGAGGGGTGTCAACGGCGGTCTTGCCGCCGACAGCGGAGTCGACCATGGCGAGCAGAGTGGTGGGGATCTGAACAAACTTGATCCCTCGCATGCTACAGAGCGACTTGAGCTAAGTAACGGAATTTGAAGGGAAAGGTCGAGCTTTCGACTTACTAGGTGGCGGCGACGTAACCTGTCAAATCTCCCACAACTCCACCTCCCAGAGCGATCAAGACGGTATCTCGCAGGCAGTGGTTCTCCAACATCCAATCCTCGATGATCTCCTTCTGCTTTCTGCTCTTGGCTCCCTCGCCAGGCGAGACCTCGTAATACAAAACCCTGGGTCCTACATTCTCGCCTCGCGCCAATTGAGCCGAAAGTTGGGGATCGCTCGCCTGCACCTCGGCGATCTGCTTTTGGAACTCCTTGACGACATCCGGGAGATGCAGTTGACCGATGCATGTATCCGTCACAATTACATAGGTCGAAGATCGAAGGGTCCAGAGGATCTTGTTGACGAAGTAGGGAATGAGGTGGACTGCGAGCGGCGAATGTCAGTCGATCGCCCTTTCGCGATGGTTGATAGCCCGTACGACGTACATCCCACATGGATAGACTCTGATCCCAAGATGGATACCTTGAGAAGGTCCGGGTTGATAGCGCTCTTGGCGTCAACCATGATGGTAAAGTCGAGACTGTTCTCGATCGAGTTGCCCTTGGTCTGACTCTTTAGTTGAGGTAGAGCTGTTCTGGTAGAGTTTGAAAGGGTTGCTTCTCGCTACCTTGTGGTATACTATATTTCTGCTTGTTGTAGTAAGTAGCCGAAGAGGCAGGTTAACGTGGTTGTGTTTGCAGAGATCGCAGAGATCAATGCAACAGAAATGACGGTCCCCGACAACTTCGGTCGAGTCAGATCCCAACTTTCGGGTCACTGGGGTTCGCGAGGCGATCGCGCGAAAGAGAAAAGTACCTGAAAATGTCAGGTTGCCTAGACATGACCAGCAGCGCCCTGAAACACGGTCCGTACCGCCGGCATCTATTCGGGATATGCATGACATGCATGACATGCTGATCGCTCGTACGCATTTAAACATCTACATATATGTACGGTCTAACGTATGGATGGCGTGGATGATGTCGGAATTTATTCTAGCTGCTGTGGTCGTATTTGGTTCAATCGGGGATACTCGTTCGTAAATGAGCTGATGCTCTGGTCGTCTATGGAGTCGTAACGTCTTTTCCCGCTTCGAGATCGTCCAAAAGCTGCCTCATCCGCTTGAGATTCTTCTTGTATTCAGCAGATGCTCCTCCAGTCGACGAGCTACGCGAAGCGCTCATCGAGTCGCCTTGTAACTTTCCACCGTCATCCAGCGACTCCCACCTGTTTGAAGAATTTTCGAATTCAGATCTCGAAACGACCGAGGCTCAAGCAGTTCGCTTACTCTTCCAATTGTTCTCTAATCTCTCTGGCTTTCCTGCGGAAATGTTCGTGGATCACGTCTTTGACTGTTGTGAAGGCAAAGCCGGCTCAGGACTAGCTCGAATGTAGCGGGCTTTTCGCGCGAATGGGCTTACATGGCGCACAGGGCTTGACAATCTGGTCAATCATCGCCGTGTTGACAGCCATCCTTCGTACATTAGCATTGTAAGCAGTATCCGCGGCTTGCTTCACGGTTGAGATGTCGATTCTTGAAGTGAGCGACGTTCGATCGGTTTGTATGCAGACCTTGACCTACTCCGATTTTACTTTCGTAACCAGGCTCACAAGCGATAGGCGATGGTGTTCCCAGAATCAAAGCTTGGATACTGATCAATACCTGGAGTAGCGTGGACTTGTTGGGCTGCCAACCGGGTCCCGACCATGTTCTAGGCGACGAGGCTAATTCAGCGGACGAGACCGGGAATTCGAGATCCACTTCTCACACACCCTAGCAGACTCAAGCAGACCTTTCCTTCGGCGTCTAGACGTCCGAGGGCGGAAGTGTTAAGCTAGTCGTTCTTTCGTAGTCTGCTGCTGCGGAACAGCTCACATAGATTCGGTCCGAACCGATGTCTACAGTGAGACCTGTTCATGAGCGTCTTGTCATCGACCGAGCGAGGGCTGTGGACTTACCGTCCACCAAACGTCGACACGATCTTGCACATGGGGGGAATCTGCGGGACTTCCAGATTTCAGCCGAAGTTACGCCTTCGCAGGCAGACCTGATTTATCTTTAGGCTAACCTGATTGTACTCGCCCGCTAGGAGAGGAATGATGTTCAGATCAAAGCGAAATGATCCGATCGCAGCGGAACTCACGCAAGAAGATATCGAAGATGTAACAGCCATTCTGTAGTATATTGGGAACTGGTCAGCAAATGATCGTTCGCTAGGAGACAATTATGCTCGTTTGCACCAACCCAGTATGGTGACCCTTCAGGACCAATGATCATGGCCTTAATGACGTCCATTCGATTTTCGTCCACTCTGTTGACGCCAAGGTGGTCCTTCTTGTGAGACTATGTGAACCAGTATGCGATATACGACTTACCGTATGAACACGCTCGAGTCCCAGGCAGCTGGCAAATTTTGAGACATCGTTCCGATCTCCTTGGCGATAGCAAGAGCTCTCTTCGAAGCGACTTTCCCATCAGTCAAGGCTTGAATGCTGTCCGAGAAGCAAGAATCCCATGTTGTGGATCCGAGCGAAGTCTTGCTCAAAGAGCAGTAATCAAAGCGGGTCCTGTTGACGAATGTGAGATCTGGTAGAAGCGGGTCATATGAGCTCGCTATATTGGCGCGGATATCGGCTGGTGAAGAGGCGACTAACACTCCTTCCTCTCGTCATCTTTGCTGAGCTCGCCGCTGCTAACGCTTTCTTGCGACACCGCGTTTCGTCCCAAGGCAGGCAGTTCTTCTTTCATCCTTAACATGAAAGCTTGCCCCTTGGTCAAGTTCAACGCCTCATCAACAGAAGCAGCTCTCCTGGTGATCATCTGACTGCAAGGGGCCGAAGGTCATATGTAAGCGTACAATGATGTCTGACGACATCAGAGATTGACGCTCTTACCAGAAGCGTTCTAGCGCAGCGGTCTCGGAGTCTCCTACTGTACTATCTGGCGTCAGAACCTTCTTTTTACCAGGCTTACCCTTGGCCGTTCCAGCCACTTCTTCTGCCTCGAGCTTTCGAGCGTTTCCGAGCGATCTCAAGGTTTCGGTACATTGTATGACGATTCTTTCCAGTAGTTCCCGGGGACTAGCCATACCCTCATAACGCACAACTTTCTCCTCCCTACTATCTCTCTTGTCAATCCTGACCGATGCTGCACGCATGTGTGGCTATACGGTCGTTAGCCGCTGACTAGTCTTCCACGCAAGGTATCGGTCTCACCATGGCTAGTGCGCTCGCCAGTCCATCGTGTTGTGACAGGATCTGCAGGCGAAAGATTTGGTGGAGCAGATAAGCGCAAGGAGAAATCTAGCTTATATCCAGAGAAGACTGTTCACACCTGTAGCCATTCCATCAATTCCGTGAAGAGGGCCTCTCGATGATAGATATCCGTGATACTGTCCGATTGAAGTAGAGAGCACGCGATCTGGTTGAAGCGTCTTCGCAAGTGGCATAGTACCGAGCTGTGCATCATCGTGTCGGAAGACCTAGCTCCGCCTCTTCGGAAAGGATTCGGCAGGTATACCCTGATATCACGGAGCAGTGTCTCCAAGGTCTTGTCCTTCTGTTCTTGTGCTTTCGCTGCATTCTGCTGGCCAGTTTGATCTTCCCTCGTATTGCCCGAGTATCCTGTGCCCGTCCCCGCTTTCTTCTTGACCAGTGCAGCAGACGTCTTCTTTGTAGGGGTGGTCTTGCTCGAGCCCGTCGTCGACATCTTCTTATTGCTAGCTTGTAATTCTTCGTCTGAAGAGTCCTCGGTCGCCTTTTTGCGCTTGCTGGGCGTAGAAACGCTTGCCTTCGTCGGGGCGGAGACGGTAGGGAGTGGTTCTAGATAGATGTCCTGAGCGTAGTGTAGCCCGACTCCCACAAGAATCCCCTGATATGAATACTCGTCTGGTCAATTGCGCTCACATAACAACGATTCGGTAAATGCATACCTGGATGTTTGGACAATGTACCAGCTCTTCGAACCCGCCGCCGACTTCGGTGTTGTCGAGGTTCGTGGCGGTAGTTTTCCCCTTGCTCGAACGGACCGGTTCCTCACAGGCCAAACAATAGGTCGTACTACATATCGGACAATCCCGTCGAATCCGTTGTTGAGTGTGCGACAGGTAGATTCCAAAGGTGTCCTATCACGCGGGCCTTTAGCCTCGGAGCAGTTCGACGATTCAGGCAACTCACGAATAGAGCGAAAAAGTCCGTCTGGTCCCGGTTGATCGTGCCCGAGCATTCCTTCTTTGTACATCGCATTTCTCCTTCACTCAATTGATGATAGAGTTGGAAGAGAATGCCCTGTTCACCTGTTTATGACCGAAAAGACTCAGTCGTAAGTGCCTCTAGGCATCGCACGCAGGCGAATGCACGCAACTCACCCATCTCGGGGCATCCGCTCATCCAGGCTCCCTTAGGAAGGATCTTGTAACGAAGCTCCTCGTTATCTTGTTGGCCCTTCACGGTCATACTCCCGCTTATAGGCTCGTCTTCCACCTCGACGACTTCCTCCACCCGGTCCTTAGAGTAGAAGATATCTATAGGTAGATTCTCTTGAACTCGATGCGTAGATGGCCCGGAGTGGATTCGCAGACCACTTACTTGCGTAAGGATCCGATACCACATGTTGACTATCAGTGGCATCTGATCCGAGCAGTGTTTCTCAGCCGGGTGAAGGCGGCGGAACGATACATATCAAGCTCACCATGCATTCCGAGCTCGTAATCCTCGTCGTCTCCACCATCCTCATTCCAGTCCTCCTCCCAATCGGACTGCTCATCTGCTGCCCCTGCGTCTATTCCGATCGGATTTTCTCTCTTTTCATTCTACGAGAGTCAAGGCGTGAGTCTTCCCGATATCGATACTACATTCAAGTACGTACTTCATCGGGTCTATCATCATCATCACCAGTAACGTCTTCCAAGTCATCGTATTCTCCTCCAAAATACCGATCCTGATGAAAATACTGCTCTGAATGACAGCCATCGTAAGTCTTCTTGAAAGGTCTCTCTTACTGTGGCTGTCATCACATCCCCCTTCGCCGCCTTCAACGCTGCCACAGCCTGAGCCCGGTTGGCTCCCTGTACAGACAAGGTCGGTTAGCTACTAGACGCATCCTTTATGCCTATCCCGGGCCTGGCCTTCTTCTTCAAACTTACCAGCTCCATCAGGCTTGTGATACTGCTCTCGCTCATCCTGACAAGCACTCCCTTCCTACCGTATACACCGCTAATGGCTTTTCTGTTCGTGATGTATGCTTCTTCGCTGATCAGCTCCAATAGGTCGGCTTCTGGTGTTTCGCCGCTGCTCGAGAAGGGAGCTTAATCCAACTTATACCTTTCGCTATAATACTAGCACATAGAGGTATTGTATGGGTTTAGGTAGGGAGTTGACATCTGATCAGGAAGCCGATTTCACACGAAGGCCGAGTATGAAGCATGCAAGTTGAATCAGCTGCATTCCGCGAGCACTCGTTTGATCCGGAAGCAGATCTCGGAACATATTAATCCGTCGGAAGCAATTAACGGCGGCTCCGAAATTGGCGCCTTTGAGTTCCCCCAAGTTAAGGCAACATTAGGCTTGACGAAGGGCTTCTCGCTTCTCGCCACGAACGCAGAAGGTGTATGTACATCTGTTTCAAGCCATGCCTTAGTCGGATCCGGAGCGCTGATGTGGGGATCGATATAACGACTGCAGGAGATACTGCACTTCGAGGCTGCATCTTGACCGACAGTGCGATAGTCTAGCGCTGGGATGTCGATTTGCAAGATACACCGACCGAATACATAACTTCCCTCCAGCGACATGGTAACAAACTGAACGGGATGATGTATCTTCGATCTTCCTAGTCTCACTCCCAATATCGGCCAGTACAAGGTTCGTTCAAGCAGGAGGCATCTCCTCATCATCCGTGTAATCATCTTCGTCCTCATTCTCCCCCAACCATTTCTCCATATCCTCACAGGCCACCAAGAATTCCTTGGTCTTCCTCTGCCAGACGGGGTCTTCCTGGTCGATCTTCTCGGGAAGCGAGAGGACGAGCGCGTTGAACAGTTTGAAGGAGACTTGTCGCATTTCGAACTTGGCGCGTTCGTCAGGATGAAAGTCGCAGTTGAAGTCGGTCATCCTGGCGGTGACTTCGGCAGCCTGTTAGACCAGATAAGACTATGGTCAGTGAAACTCGATCCTATGATGCTTGAGACCTTTGCTTGCGAACATACCCTGGCAGCCAACTCGTCCGGCGTCGGAACCTTTGTCGCTTCGATCCTGGCCTCGTAAGCCTTTCTCTCCTCCTCTTTCTGTTCTTCGGTCTTCTGAATCGTCTCGAGATCCATAGGACCACCTTCAGGCTTCAAGATGTTGGCGAGTGCGTTCATAGTGGAGTTGACGGACATTGGTGAGCAGATAATGTAGGCTGGTATGCGAGGTGATACGGGGATTTCCTCTGAGGAGATGCTTGATTACAGCCAAAGATGAAAACACCCCTTTATATAGCTCTGGATGATTGGCATCGCGTCACTGTCACGTACTTTACTCCTTTGATCACAAAGGGGGGGGGACGTAATCGGAGTCGACCGAAACGCTGCACCCTGACTAGGTGGTTGCATGCGTTCTCAGACCATCTCTTGACCGTGGTTGAGAAAGCAGCATGAAACTTACTGTGGCCACCGTAGCGATCGAACATGAGACGGACAGCTGAACGATAGAATACGACTGACAACCGATTTCTCCTACCATAAAGTACACGGGTTGGATTCTGATAGACGTGGAAACCGCTCTATAATTGCGTTGACCTCCTTGCTCCAATAGAAAGGTCGCAGGCCATCTTCGAGCCCCTTCGACTCCCTGTTTCATACAGAAAGGGGCATCTTTTGTGTCAGAGATCTTGAGGCTCCTAGGAAGGGGCTACGAGCGCCCCATCATGACGGGACAGAGGAGCATCCAGGAGACAGGTTTCAGTATCGTTGAGCAGATTCTCACCTATAAAGAGGCTACAGATTTGGGTTGACGCTTGTATCACAGCTTGACAAAAACTCGGTACGACTACCAGCAGTTCAGGTCGGACAACACTTCATATTGCACTCAACGAAATGTTCTTGAAATCTCCCTTGTACTGGACCGGAATAGGGGCGCTACTGCCAGCCATGGTGCAAGCGTCTGATCCTCTGGAAACCACTCCAAATGCATACGATCGTCTGGATACTGCCCTTACAGGTCCGTTTCCACGTAAGTCATCGAGTTCGCGGTAGAAGGTGTCGTAGTGGAGTACACAACGGTCTTAGCCAAACTTGCGCCATTTTTTTCGTCCTAATTTTACCTGTATGACACCTGGATCAGTCAGTTTCAACTTGACCTTGGGTATCTTTGACGAGGCAAAGGTGGAAAGGAAAGAGGTGGAGGTGGCAGTCACTTACGATCATGAAGCTCTTTTTTGGGATACTTCGAGGGTGCCTAAACCCGCGCGACTGTTCACCTGCATCAGCGTAGAGAGTATCCCTCATGGAGGCAACACGTCTGACCTGGTCTGGCTCCTGGATGCCAAGCAGACGTGGCTCGGCGAGAAGAAAGGCGAAAAAGAAGCGCTCTATGCGGTCAATAAGGTTCTTGCTTATGGCGATCCTGAAGAACTCTGTAGCGTTTACGGCGACAAGGCTACGTGCGAAGAGGAACTAGGCGATACCAAACCTGGAAAGACGAAATCAATCGATTGTGGTATGACCTTTTACCTCAAACATACCTCTTCAAGGCCCAGAAAATGCTGACACTGTGCGTTTCAGGCTTCTGGGACGGTCTCCTTGCTTTCGTGGGTATCAAAAAGAACGTCAAGGCAGAGCGTCCAGAAGGTCTGCCCTCCCGGTCTTATCCTGCAAGAGCGATAGCTTTCGTAGGTCCAACTATGCAGGAGGTTCAGGCGTACAACATGAGAGGATAGTGCTCCTGTGGTGTACGTTTCCGTTTGTAGTGGCATGCATCCTATGTCCATTTGGCTGCTTATACTCATACAATAGTTTATTTAAGATTCGAGATGACCAGCGCCATTGACACTTTGCCCTGATGATTCTGCTCCGCGTGTTGTCATACGATCTCAGACATATGGGCGATACATCGGAACCCTTCCATTCACTCAAGAGCCTTCTTCGTACTGCTGCCGTGATGGTCAAGGCGTCGGCGCCATGCTCCGGCTGCTTCTGTGTCCGTATCAGACTCGATGTTGGCGTCTTTTTATCGCGAGCATCGATGTTGACGTTGAGTCCTACTATATGTGTGAGCCACAGGCGAAGCTCAACAGAACTCTGGTTCCTCAAAACATATCATATGCAGAGCGACAGAACAAAGAGATGCGTAACTATATCATCGCCCATCGCGGCCGTGTTTCAGGTTGTCATCCTCGTATCGATCACGTGACATGATGCCGTTATCGGGGAATATGACGCGGAGTCAGTGAGTGAGTGACGTGCGATGTTGATCGGAAGTTAGCTGCGACCCCCTAGCCTGGGTGGGTGGATGCTGGGTGGATCTCCATCTGTAGATCGTTCATTTTAGCTCGCTCGAGACCCGAAACGAAGTCGTTCTGACCTTCTATACGATCTATACCCAACAACAGAACCGACCTATCAGTTATCAATACACCACCTCGACTGCCTACACCATGTCCCTGGATTCTGCTCAACTGGACGAATACCTCGCCTTTGCGATCGATCTCGGCAAAAAGGCCGGAGAGATGATCAAGGATGGTCAAGCTAAACGTTTCGCCAACAAGTCTTCCCTGGACACCAAGCAAAACTCCATTGATGTCGGTGTCGCGTAACAGACAGCTAAGAGACGAAACTGATATGATACGTGTGCACAGCTTGTGACCGAAGTCGACCAGGCCGTCGAAGCCTTCATCAGCAACGCTATCAAGGAGAAATACCCCTCGCACAAGTTGTCAGTCAGGCACACTCTTTCATTAATCTGCTTTGAAGTATACTCAATATTCTCTGCGACAGTATCGGAGAGGAGACTTATGCCGAGACCCACGAGATGGAGTTGACCGACGAATGGACCTGGATCAACGACCCTATCGACGGCAAGTCTCGGGGTTCAACACGTGCGCAGCTAGAGCCTAGATCTGACCCCTTGTCATAATATAGGTACTACCAAGTAAGCATGCCACTTTCCTTAGCATGCAGCCTCTTCTGACCGTTGTTCATCTCTACTCAACCAGCTTTGTCCACTCGAAGTGAGTAATCTAGTCGAGATAGACAAAGGGCCTGTTCCTCTGCTAACCGGACATCGCCGATCCTCTAGCCCGCTGGTCGGTTGTTCAATCGGACTGGTCTACAAGAAACAACCCGTCGTAGGAGTCATCAACATGCCCTTCCTGAACCAGCTCGTACGTCTATCCTCTTCTAGAATTATCTTTGCTCGGTGTGCCGATGTACAAATTGCGGCGCTTTTTGCTTCCTTTGATAGTATTCGGCTAAGAAGGGCGGTGGAGCCTGGATGAACGAGACCGCTCGTCTACCCCTCACCGGGACTGCTCAACCGCTAACAGAATTGAAGGCCGCTATGATCGCTTCTGAGTGTACGTCAGCCTTGATGTCTGCTTACAGGTTTCAACGTATTGATGAGACATCTGTATTCGGCTTCTGTTACAGGGGGCTCTGATCGACGGGAAGAGACCATCAAACCCAAGGCGAACTCGTTCTCCAAGTTGGCTTCCCAGGAAGGCGTCATGGCTCACGCTATCAGGGTCACGGGTGCAACCACGGTCACCCTCGTTCAGGTCGCTGCTGGTCAGCTTGATTTATACTGGTAAGCACGGGGCAAAAGTGCACTTCTCCGTTTGTGGAACTGATTATAACTTGACGTGTCATGGTGGCCACCCCAGGGATGCTGGTCCATACGCTTGGGACGTTGCTGTAGGCTCTAGATCAGCCGAGAAAGCGAATCGACTTACAACGCTGACCGAGATTGAGGTAACAGGCTGGAATGGTCATCGTAACAGAAGCCGGTGGATTTTTCACCGGCGGTAAAGCGTCTTTCGATCGAGGAACGGATGATCTCGGGAAGATCATGATGAGCCGGAGGTACTGTTGTATCAGGGGCGTTCCTGCTACGGACGTGAGTCGTCTCCCACCATTTGATACCAGACAGAAGTCCTGATCCTGCGTTTTCACGCAGAGCGAGAGCTCGGAACAGATTCAGAAGCGGATCGTCAAGGACCTCTACAACGGTGGGTTGCTCTTCAGAGGCGGCGCATGAATCTGTACAACTAACATAATCTGTGCGATCTGACAGTGGTTGAAGAGTGGACCAACGATACCATGGAAGCTGAAAACCTCTGATCCATCTTACATTTCGTCTCTGAACCCTCGTGTGAAACTCGGGTATGAAGCAAAATTCACGTTGTATATGATCAGATCGGCCTCCAGGAGCCGCCGCAAATACAATGAATTTGCCATCGTTGATGCCATTTGGCAGCCATGTCATCTGTCTCGGAGATAGCCGGCATGATGTCTGCAGGCATAAGCCCATCGCTAGGGATGTGCATCTGCCATGTAGCGCTTCGGGATTCGCAATCCGTGCATTCTCGGATCTGCCGGTATTGTCGTTGTGCAATTTTCGTGGAAGCGGGTAGAGGCTCCTTGGTAGTGATGTCGTATAGTCCTATCTCTATGGTTCCAGTCTCGTGAGCGAAAAGGCTAGCTTGCTGTTTGATTATCTTTTGGTCGTTCGTCAAATGGGTGATTATTCGGGCCTCGAGACCCTCAGCGGTATCGGGTAGGGTGTATTTGAGGAAAAGCGAGTGTGTCCACTCCCGAGACGAAATGTCTGATCGCATAGTATCCCCTTCGGTCAGCGAGCCCAAAGCCTTCTGAGCGGTTATGACTCACCTCGCGTTTCCGTTGTGGTCAACTCCTCGAAGCTGTCGTAAATCCGGGACAGGGCGCCGATACTGACGCCCGCCGCATCGAATCCTTCCCGCAGATCCGCCTGAGCCAGCCGGGTCGAGGCAAGATCAATTTGTCCGGGCTGCCCTAAGGCTGGATGAACGGGCAAAGGTGCTCGGCACCTGGTGCCAAATATGGCAAAGGCCTGCACATGATAATGCAGGTCACGCAATATGCGCCGAGATATCGGGTTGATCATGAACTGAAGCGGCGAAGGATGGTCTGGAGCGAAGTATGGCAGCATGTTTAGCTCAGAAGGCGAGTATATTCGTTTCCGTCAGGCCTACCTGCACCAGGCAACCGGCCAGAAGCCGCGAGGATAGCTTCTCGTATGATGGCGCGACTAACACCTAGATACCACTTCATATGAGAAAGCAGTAACCAGAATGTGCCTGTTTCCACCAGTCATCAGTCTGATTCACGAAATTTACCGTGGCTATACAACTCACTGATGTCATACGAGTGCTGGCGAGACTTTCCAGCGTTCTCGCTTTGCGTGTCGCTCCCCGTCGAGCGATAACTCGTCGTGAAAAGCTGCAAAGCCCGGACGCATTCGAGCATAAACAAAGCGCTTGACGCCCGATCATCGCCAGTGCTCCTGGTGTGACCCATAGGATCGTTAGCTACACAAATACCACGCTGCAAAGAGACCGGGTACTGACCTGAACATTCCATGTTGGACTTGCAGGAACGGCACGATGTGAATCATACTCGGCAACGGCCCCTCCGAAACGCAACATATTCTTTTCCACACTTTGGTAAGCGTGGAATCGACACCAACTGCGAGCAGACAGCTGAATCAGCGCCAATGCTGCGACAGGAGTTTAGACCCTACTCACCCGGCCTGAGGGTGAGACTCGCTGCTGCGTGAGAGCTTCGATCTGCGATACCATTCAGAATCGCGACGCAGATTTTATTGGCAAGTCCATCACTTGATACGCTGTTTTCGAGTTGACTTTGAGCTGCGTGACCGCTGCGACGAGACGGGTCAAAACCTCACAAGTCCATTTCCTGCATCTCGATTCGCGTCCTCGCATCTGCTGCTGCCCGCCACAGCAGCATGTCTCTCCCGGCGGAAAGTGACACCTCAGTGAGAACTGATCATCGACCATTAGATTCTCCTGCATATCCTCCGGGATGCGCGTCAGAGACTCACTTTGGCCTGTTTTCATCAACGAATCGCGAATGCGGGGAGATTCCAGGTCGTACCAGCACAACTCGGTCTCCATGCGGCCGAGGCAGTTCAGCCGAGACTCGATCATTGTTAATAGCTTGTTTTCCCTCTTGCTGGAAGGATTATCGAGTATGGTCAATCGCCCTTGAACCTCCTGGGTCCGTGTCAAGTGCGTGATCTGCCTTGCCGACAATCAGCAGTCTGGCAAAACACGGCTTTCGTCCTGGTCGACTTTGACCTACCCATTCCGCTCTTCCCAAACCCGCCAGGTCCAGCTTTTTTGCAGGAAGCGTTGGTGATCCTAGATTCGCAAACGCGTCGCTGAGAACCACATTCCGTTTGGTGATCTTGTACGTAGCCAAGCTGGTCTTATCACTCTTGGGCCCGCTCGAAGCTGATAACGCTAGGATCAGGCCGAGCGGTCGATCAGGATCCAGGTTCAAATCAGGATCACTCGAACGATGCACGTTGTCCGACCCGTTGATATTTGAGGTTGTCGTCCCGCTAGACCGATCGTCCAACGGCTCTGTGAACGCGATTCCAGTCAAACGGAACCCCGAGTTGGCTAGACTATCCGCCTCGGAATCGGGAAACCTGATCCGCGGGATCGGCCTGGCGTTCATAGCTATGCTCAGCATTGATGAGCGATGTCAGCTTGTCTCCCGACTTCGTTTCTCTTCGCTAAATGTCTTCTCTTCAAAAATGACACGAATAGACTTACAAAAGACATTTTCATGCAGATCCAACTTGACCTCTACGACCTCGACCCAATCTTCCTCCTGTCCTTCCTTGTCGCTCGCCCGAAACACGCTCCTGGGCGGAACCCCTACTCGTCGCCTTAGCTCGCCTTCTACCTCCCCGGCGGTTCCCATACCTCTCAGCGTATCCAGTGCCCGTCCGGGTACTCCATCTGCAGAGGATGAAACGCTCCTACCACCACCAACAGCACCGTTCGGATGGGCTTTATCTCCCAGTCCTGTACCTGCATCAGGACGGTCCTGACCGTGTCCATCCTGATCGCCTTGTTCGTCCAAAACCCACACGCGCCTAGGTCGAAAACTCCTGAATCCGACCCAGATCGTCTCATCGCCCGGCCGAATATCGATCGTCGCCTGTCCCGGGACGATCAGCCTCGGCAAGGATGAGGAGCCGTCAGCCGTCACTGCTGAACCCTGTTCCAGATTCAGATTCACACTGCCGTCCAAATTCAAAGAAGATGAAGATCCAGGTGTCGGCTGAGCCATAACCGTTGAGGGGGTCAATAGTGGACAGCTCATGACCTCCAATTTCGGATACCTTGGAGAACTGGGCTTTGAGATATCGGTGTTCATCCCGTCCCCCTGTAGATCCAGCCCGAGTCCTAAGGCTGTCCCCATCCCTGAACCTCCTATTCCCATCCCATCATTGACTAATGGAAGAGCATGTAAAGCCGAATAGAAGTTTAAGTGGTGGTTGGCGAACAGGACGACAAATCCCAAAGGCGAGTCTGTCGAGGATGCAGAAGATGGTTCCTTTGCCTGAACGTTTTTGATAATGACAGGTTTAGGTCCACAGAACGGTCTGCGGAAGAAGTTCAGGCTCGGTTCGTCCCGCTCCGAGATGTCTCCGTTGGGTAAACCATTCGGTTCAGATGAAGATGTTCCGTTCCCCTCCACATGATGATGTGTATCCACATCCATCCCGTTCCCATTCACATGCCCATTCCCGTTCATCTCCACGTGCTCCGTCTCAGTTTCCACCTTCAAACCATTCTTCCTCACGTCCACATCCCATCTTCGAGGCTCAAACAACCACCTACACGTCACTGGCTCGTAATCCGTCTTCCAGTACGAATGCACGTCGAACGTAAAGAAATGGGTCGGCCGGGTTATTGATGTCGATGCTGCAGGTCGAGTGTACAGAGCGAGGATACCGCCCTGAGCTTGATTTTGATCCGAGGCAAGGTAAGGATGGAGCTGTTCATCTTGGAGAAAGTTGGAGGTAGGTGATGGGTCGGGGATCGTTGAACTCGAGTGCAAGTCCGCAGCCCTTGAGCTAGATGTTGTTGACGCTCCTGAGGGATTTACGGCTAAGCCCATCTCAAATCCCGCTGTCAACCCGGAGCCTGAATTTGCCGCTGATTGAGACAGTCGTGCAGCTAGTTCATCCGGAAGTCTAGGCCAGAAGACCAAGAAGTATCTCGGATCATGTGATCGGGAGAGAAGCGTCGGTCGACCGTAGGTATAAGGGACGAGCGTTATGGGTGCTGGGAGTGGAAGGGGGTATGATTTAGGATCGACGGTCCGGGGTGTTTTTGTCTTGCCATTCGAATGTGTCTGATTATATAGGTATTTGGCCAAGAGAACAGGAGCTGGGCGGATAGGTGATAACGGAGGACAGTGTATGAGGACGTTCGATGAGAGCACGAGAGATGTCCTGCAGATTCAGACATTTCGGTTTGAGCGACCTATGGAGACCTGACAGGGCATACGAGAGCAACAGCACGTACTGTAAACGCCGCCTCGGCTCATTGCTCTCGAAAGTCTGCCCTCGACTCGACGAAGGCCACCCTAAACGGTTCAACGTCTCCAGCAAGTCCTCTTCGCCCGAATCTGTGATCCGGTCCAGCTTGCGTTTCTTTCCAGCTTGCCCGACCGGCATTGTCGTCGACGATGCAGCTTTGCCCTGCTATATCGATATCACGTATGCCAAAACTAACGCATTCTCCCGCAGTCTGGTAGTTTCTTCAAGTTGATGTGCTGTCAATCTTGAGATTTCGATTCTTGATAACATGAAAGGATATCTTCATCCCGGCCAACCCATCGATTGTGAGTACTTCGAGTACGGGCTCCCTCGGTCGATTCGGGGAATAACCCTCCCCCAGAGCGAATACGTAACCCTCTTACGGCACCCACCTCACTCATCATCACAAACGCGTCGCGTCGCGAAGTGCGAGATCTCATCAGACCTTGACCTCGTCAAAGTCGAGGCATCGTCTTTACAAGCTCTATTCTGATATTCTCATAGTTGCAACAACTCAGATCCCCAAGAGGCTAGCTTCTCCTACAAAATCTTCGATCGCCATGTCGCTCTTCGGACCCACTCGTGAGCTCAGTCCTCGATCGAGCCTGCCCGGCAAGCCGATCGCTCATGAACTCCTGCTTGTCGCTCGCTTCAATTAGCCCGTGTCAACGCCGCCCGTCTGGCACAATACAAATCTCAAACCGTCCGCCTGACCGGCAAGGTCGTACGTATGGATGGGGATACTGCTATTATCGAGGCGAGCGATGGGGGTCAGGTAAGTCGGTCGGTCAGAGATCTTTCGATATTCTCCTGGTACTGATTCATCATCTCTTGTCATAACTCTCCGTAACTACTCGCCCATCCTACAGGTACAAATCAAGCTTCATCGGGAAGCCAACATTTCCGATCCATTCGTCGAGATCCTAGGAAAAGTGAATGACGATCTGACTATCAAGGTGTTCAGCAGTATGAACTTGGGATCCGATCTTGGTGAGTCCTTCATTCCGCCTCCTTTTCCGCTGTGGTCTTTCATTACCTGCCTTGTTGTCCCCGAGATCTTTCTCAAGCTCTCAAGCTGATCCGGTACCTGTACAATGTCTCTACGTAGACCTAGGAGTGGTGGAAAAAGTCGTCCAGCTCGCACATACAGACAAGGCCAGCGGGGTCTTTTCCGACTGATCGATCGAGTTTTCAATCACGCCCCCATGCATCGAGTACGTCCTATGAGTCTGTTCTCGTGTAGGTCTCGACGACAAGCTGAACAGTCATTGTGTTTCTCGATCCACTGTCCAAATCCGAATTGCCATAGGTTATGTACCACCTTGTACCTACTAGTTCCCATACTGTAATCAATCAATTCATCCGTTCCGTGGAATCGCTCGTAAATAAATGTAGATCTCTTGAGCGAGTCTTGAGTGGATTTTGCTTAGAGACAGGCCAATTTCGTGCAAGCCTCTCAAGAGTTGTTCAACACCAGGAAAGCCGCGCAAGCTGAAATGACCCAGTCCTTCCTAAGTCAATCGCATTGCAGTAAAATCTCGTAATCGTCCTTGTCCTGGTGTACGTCTCCAGCTGCGAGACCACCCTTCGTCAGATATGCCCCTTTCCTGCTACAGGGACATTGGCGTGTCTATTTACAAGGTAATCTACTCCGTCTCGTTATTCAGTCTTCGTCTTGAGCTCCATGCGGGGTCGTTTAGTCACGTCGGCATCCCGGAAAAAGGATATCAAGAATGCCAAGAATCGCTCTCCATACTCGTCGGGCGGGACGCAAGATACCATGTGCTAGAGGAGATGACCAAGAATCAGTCATGGGCGCAAAAGAATGTGGGCATTCATCCGGACTCACTCGATCCTTCTCTGTCAAGCTCCGCCAGAGATGTTCGAGCTTTTTCGTCGTATTGTATGGCGTGAGGATGTCGATGACTCCCAGATAATAGATAATGTCCATGGCGTCGTTAGCCTCGTCGGTCGCCCGAAGACCGCCCTCGTCTTGGTAGAACAAGAAATGCCGTCGATCGGCAGAGTCCGAGGTCGGAAGCTCTGCTACGGCCGAAGTCAAGGCCTTGGGATCGGATCGCCTGACGGCTTTACGCATGGCCGCCGCCTCGGAACCCCCCTTGATCGAACTCGGTTTCCTTCGCATAGCGGTGTTAACGTTAGGTTGGAAGACGCTTAGTTGACCTTCGCGGATGTTGTCCTTGTTGCCTCGTTCCATGTTGTGGATCCCGATCAACAGCGAATAGTCCATGACTCCGATGTGACACAAGAAATCGCGATCTCGTCGAAGCTGTTCCCCAAACAGGGCTCGCTTTTCTGGTCCGAGCTCGAACATTCTGCCTCGGTGGAACCAGTTGAGGTCCTTCAACGTGGCCTTGGGGTTGATCTTGGCCTTTTCTTCCGGGTATTCTCGGCCCACCGCTGAACCCTTGAGATCGTACGTCTCGTGGATATCGCGATGTGGCGGGAACAAGTTGTTCATAATGACAAAGTGAATCTTGCGACCGCGCGGCAGCTTGACCCGATGGAGACCGTAGAACCGAGACATGAGCGTATGAGGGTTGTTCTTGATGTGCGCATGGTAATCTTTGAGGATCGACCGGAGGTACTTGTGTTCGGCGTGGTGAATTGTCTTGATGATGAAGCGGTAGTCTCGCGAAAAATAGAAGAAGGATCCCGACTTTCCTGGCGATCCGAGTTCGGACAGGATGTATTTCGCCGTCAAGGACAACAAATAGTCGGCCGGATCCAGGTGAAAGTAGTCCTCCCGCAATTCTCGAAAGACCCACGGCGCATAATCCTTGAACTTGAAGTCGTAACGAGCTGATGGCGTTAGTTCGTTACCGACACTGAGCCAAGCAGATCCAGGAGAATCAGCTTCAATAGACTTCGTCGAGTCGGAACAGGTAGGACTCACATGTCAAAGGAATACTTATGCTTGGCCGTGAAGTCTTCGGGCGTAAGCGGTCGCTTCATCTTTGCCTGACATCGGGATACCTGCAGGTGCGTTTATTCAGCAAGGCGGATACGCGTATCGTAACACGGTGATACTCACTCCTATCCTGATACCCGTCAACATGTTGTACATCAAAACGTAGTTGACGTGATCTTCGCCAATCAAATTGCCCACGAAGGCCGAACCGTCATTGAGAACCACTGGTTGAGTTTCCGCCTGTTGTTGACCCGTGACCGGAGCAGCTTGTTGTTGCATGGATGTGCGCAGGGCCACCGTACTCTCCGGCTCGGTGTGCATGACGGGCGAAGCAGTCTGACCGCGACTCGGGCCAGCCTCGAAACCGGTAGCAAAAGGCGGTTCCGGGCTCCCTCCCAAGATGGTCGCCGTTTCGTCCCCACTGCTCCTCTTGCGCTGCCGTTTCGATAACCGCTCCCGTCTCAGCTTTTCCGCCTCGGCCAGAATATCCGGATCGAGCGCCGAACCTTGCAATCCTGGCACCTCGGTCTGACTAGCGCGCCTGAGACTGGCCAAAGACGGCTGCTGATCCCATGCGAACGATCCTTGCGGCTGACCGATAGGTGTGCGTACCGATTGCATGGCCTGCATAGACCCGGACGTGTTCCTCCTCTCCATACGGTGTCCGGCGAGAGACGAAGGGCCGGCATGTTGTTGACTCGAAGACCCAGCCGAAGCGGTAGACATAAATGATGCCGATGATGGGTGCAGCATACCATCCAAGTAGGTCGCTGTTTGTGCGTTGACGGGTTGCGGGAAATAACTCCCTCCAGCACCTTGTGGCACGACCCCATGAGCTGGAGGTGGAGCTTGATTGGCCGAAGCCATAGGCAGGGGTACCGCACCGGTATTGATCGGCGCCTGTTCCGCAGCTGATGGGATTGGAGGTTCTTTCGAATCGAGTCCTATCTCGACCTGCCTCTGCGTTGGTGATGGCACACGTAGAACCGGTCCGGACGCAGCATTAAGCCCGGGCGTACTCATGCCAGCTCCAGAAGTACCAGCAACTCCGGTCCTAGCTTTCGAGGCTGCGATCGAGCCGGCCCTGATCGGACCTGAGCGATGGCTCATGGCAGAAAACGCACCTCCACTCCCGTTTGGGGCTCCAGCAGCGATCCTATCCAGCGACGTCCTCTCCGCTCCACCAAAGGTCGCCGAGGAAGGTAGATGCCCTGTCGAAGGCGCCGAATCCGTCCCTACCCCTGTACCCATGCCGAGCCCATTCACGCCCTCCATTATCGTCTCGACCGATCCGTCCCTCTCCCGGTCCGACCTTGGTTCTGATGGCACCCCTACCGCGCCTGAAGTAGCCTGATCGATGCTCATCGGCTCCTCGACAAAGTTCTGACCCGAGATGGACACCTGTCTCTGCAGATCCCCCATCGAGCCTCTCAAACCAGGATCATCGTACCCATCCTCACTATCCGCACTCGTCTCGTCGTCCGAATCGCTATCGCTTTCACTCTCGCTATCCTCCTCCCCGCTTGTCGATTGATTGTCCTCAACGCTGATCGGTGGGGACAACGGGGCAGGGCCAGAAGGCGCCATCCCCTGTTCGTCAGCATCCGAAGGCCTGAATCCGTGTTCCTCCTCGTCCGGGTTCGGATCCACTCGAAGTTGTCGTTGTTGTGCGCTTCCATTGTTCCCCTTCCGGCTGCTCCGTTTCTTGCCCGTAAAGACCCTCTTGACGAACCCGTTCGTCTCCGCATGCCCGTTCTGCACCGGAACCTGTCTTCCGCTTCCCAAAGACCCATTGGAACTCCTCCGTCCGTCCCGACCGTCCCCATTGGCGCTGGTCAACCTGACCATCCCATCTACTCCCGGATCCTGTGCTACGATCTGTACCGAATCCCTCCCGACCTTCTTGATGTGTACCGTTGGGATCACAACGACTCCGTCGGGGGACAGTGATGGCGGTCTTGTCAACGTCGAAGCATAGGCGGCTCTTTCCAACTGAGCAAGGGTTTGATCATTGGCCGTTCGTTCGAATTTCGAGAGGTGCTTCTTGTGGGCTGGAGGTAAGGGCATGGAGGTTTGAACGTGGCCGTTACCGTGAGCATTGTTGGGATCGGGATCGTACGTATGATTAGGGACAGGTTCGGGGTGAGAGAGACGATGAAAGGGGTTGATAAACTCTTCCGGTGCTGTCATCATGAATCGTAGATTCCACATCGTGAGCGAGCTATTCTGATGCTGCATATGTTCCCGGCTCAGGCGAATAGGACTTACGAGGTCTGAACTGTGAGTCAGCTATCACATTCCTCTCCTCACTCATACCCACACCCGAATCTCCATCCGTACCATCCACATCGACATTCGCATTCCCGTCCACATCCCCGTTGTGCTGTGCACGCTCCGAGCTCCCATTCCTCCTCAGATCCAAAACGTCCCCCTTGGTCCCCCTCTCCAACACCTGATCCACGGTGAACCCTTTGATCCGGAGATCTTCGTCGTATATCTTTTCGCTAGATAGACCGGGAGACATGTCCGAAGTGGAGTTGGCCACTTTTGAGATCGAATTGGGGTCTGAGAGGTGGATCGGAGGTCCTAGTCCAAGATCGAGGTTGTGGCCGGGATTGGAGTGTGGATGTGTTGAGACTTGACTAGAATGGGAATGGAGGTAGGAAGGATGATGACTCCCATTGGAGATGGAACGAGGTTGAGGTTGATGCAGAGTCGGGGGTATCGCTGTTGATGTCGATGCCGAGGTAGAGCTCGACGTAGATGTTGATGGGAACGTCGAGTCGTAATCCCAAGCTAGGTCGAGCTTCCCGATTGAGGGAGAGATCGGTGGTAAGGTCGTCATCCTTCAATGATTTTCACCAGCGAAACGAAGGTAAAGAAGGAAAAGGTTGACCGAGAGGACAGAGGTTCGGTCTAGGGTCTCTCCCGCCCGGACCAGCCCAGATCAAGGATGACGGTCTCTCCGCAGTCGAGGTAGTCACCCGGTCTGATTCGCAGTAAATTCCCTCGAGCCGTATCACGCAGGCTGCACGATGCCGGATTTCGCTTCGTGTGCCGTGATGATCTCTTTTGCAGTTGACGGGAAGAAGCACGAAAGGTTTCGACTGCGTATAAGGTATTGCGGGAGAGTCGGAGGACGGAGAAAGGGTATAAGGGGGAGGGTGCGTCTATTGAAGCGTGTGGTGGCCGTCCTCGCCCTGGCGTGGTGTGAATTTGTTACAAGTGTCTATCTGGGTCCCAATGATCAGAGTCTGTATGAGTGTAGATTGTAGATTGTACTGCAAAGACTATTCGTCGAAACGTCGTCCGACTTGATCTCGCTATCGACGACCTTCCCTTGCTCTGATGATCTCTGATCTCTGATGATTGATCCCGAGGGGACCGACTTGGGTTTGTTGTGAGCAGCCAAGGCCCCGGCAGGCGAAAGCTGTCAGACCATAGACTCGTCGCCGTCCCAAGGGTTATGACAAATCACGTAATGAGTGGTAGTCATCATCCGCAGTCGCCTTGGCAATCATCATCACACCGGTAACAGGCGATTCTCACAGAGATCAGACGGTTACGGAAAACAGATTTGTCTTACTCGAAGCTTCGGAGTTGTGGTGCAGCGACCTGTATCGACTTTGGACGTCAACCTTTGACGCGCCGACCGTTCGGCACAGCTCTGACCGGCGGCGGCGGCCGCGGCCGCTTCCTCCAAGCGAGAGGCTGACGCAGCTGAAACGCGTTTCACGCGGGAAATCATCAGCATCATCGATGCGTCGGCCATATCTCCGTTTGATCCGACGGATTTCTAAACTATCTTCCGCGTTTTACAATTCAGCGTATGGAATATTTCGAACAGCACAGCATTTTATTATTGCATCAGGCGTGATCAGACGTCATGACACGGTGCGGTTCGGCAGAACGAACGCATTGAGTAGTTTCCGTGAGCCATTGCTGTAATATCGATGCGGTGTGGCCGTGAGATGGCAAGATGACTACCCGATATCAGTGCCATTACCTGGATTGCCGTACAGTCTGTTCAACACGGCGGCGAGTATTTCAGATATATCGACCGGGTGAAGACGAACTCGGAAGCGTGTATCTGCGTGGGATCTCGTGCTCTGCAACATATAAAACCATTATCGGTCTAGCTCTTCATCTCCGCTCTCTCAAATTTGGTCATGCATGCCGGAGAGCAAGAGCAGGAATCGATACCCTTGGGATGTCCACAAGCGGGGTACGCAAACCGCAAGATCACGACGTGCTAAGTAGCGACATTGATAGAACTGCGTTTGATTTGGTTGGAACGTGATCCCAAGCACTGGCGCAATCAAACTGGTTCGTCTATCTTTACGCAATCAACCCTTTGAATTGCATCTCTTTCTGTAACCCTTCCAGAACCCCTTCTACCTCGCTTCCGACCAATCCGCCTGTCGTGCCAAACCCGATCTTGAGTTGTTCCAAGGCCATGATCAGAGTTTCTCTGGCGAGACCTAGGCGATCCGAAGCGTGGACGGGGAGTTGCCGCTGTGCTCCAACCTCGCTCGACGTTGATGTCGGCTTTGGCGCTGTTTGATCCGCGCCAGCCTCGGCTTCAGCGTCCAGGTTTAGGAGTTTCCCCAACTCGGTCAAAGCCAAGCCCAAGCTTGGGTGTCCGGTGGGATATACAGCCTTCATCCCTTTCCATACCATCGCCTGGCTTTCAATTGCGTCGAACAGATCTTTCACCGTCTCGGCCATCGGCTGCCCGGGCATCGTAGGTGTCGGTCGCGAGGCAAGCAAGCTCCGGAGTCGAAGTAAGGGAAGGAAGGGGTAGCTTGAAGGGAGGAAGTATTCTGATAAAGCATCCGTAATGGAGGGGACTTTCGAAGCGTGGAAATCACCTACCAGTCGTGCAGAAGATTAAGGATCTTCAGCTGTCTTACGACACGAATGGATGCAAGCGTCGATTGAGAACGACTCACCGAGCAGACCATGCGCGTCCTCCTGCAACAGCTGCTCGCTAAACTCTATCAGGTTGTTCAGGCGCTCCACATCCACTGTGTAGGATTCTTGACACGTCTCACACCGCACGGACGCATCGGTCTTCAAGCTCAGGTCTGGTCTCATGAGGGTCGCGTCAATTTCTGATACGATCACAGAGATAGAGACGCGAGACTTACCTGGCATCTGCACCGGACCTCCACAAGCTGGGTGTCGTAAAGCCCACCTCGGGTCTACTTTGCCGGCCTGCGTTATTGTGCAGAGAGAACAACGACAATCGAAGTGGTATGTTTCTTGTAATTCCTTCTGGCGCATGTGATATGGCGAAGCGACATCAACATAGCAGGTCGAGACCTATCACAAGAAGTTACCTGATCAGCTCATTTTTCGATGGTCAAGAGGACATCAAGGCACAAGACCGATAGCGCACCTCTTCCTCACTGTCAATATCACGCAAGGCGACGAGTTCCATTCCCTTGCCTTCATTCGCTGCGCCTCCATTCGGAAAGACGACGACCGCATTGGGCTCGCAAGAGTGATTCAGAAACGAAAGCAAGGGGGATACGGCCGTCCCGATGGGTTCTAAGGAGGAGGATGCCAAGGTAAACGAATTGGAGCCGAACTATTAGACGGGTCGATGATTAGCCTGACCAAGAAAACTGGGACCCATGTAAGGCCAAATGGGCTCACAGCAGTACAGAGGTCCAAGACCTCAGGTACATCCCTGAACCCGTAATTACTCATATCCACCGGTATGAGCTCTTCCTCCTTCTCCCCCTCCTTGAGCGGCTCGGCAGACGAGAGGTACTGGTTCAACCTCAAAGCGAGCCTAGCAAACGGTTCGCGCTGGGGTGTGTCTAGATTTGATCTATCTATCGTGCGCAGGGGTCCAGTGTCAGTCTTGTAAGTTTGGAATGTAGAGCAGGTGACTAGCAACGTACGAGATTGCATCTCGGCGATGGGAGCCCACTATGAGTGGTGTCCAACGGCAGTCCATCAGTAATTTGCTTCTTTGGCAGCTCATACCTGGAGACGATACTCACATACTCGCCCTCTGCCTGAGGACCTCCCTTCTCCCTGGCCTTCCTCCTCCCCCAGACCAACTTTCCCAATAGCCTCACCTCATCCGGAGGGATCCACCCTGGTACCCCTCCTTCCTCATCATCTTCTCCAGTCATTGCTTTCAATAACCGGGTCTCTTCAGCCTGAGCGGGGGTCTGAGGTTGGATTCTTGTGCGTTGTTTGTTTTTACGGGTCACTCGGCGGAGTCGTTTGAGGGCTCGGCATTCTTGAGCATGGGACGGCCAGTCGGCGGTTTGACAGTCCTAGACAATGCATCCGGAAAAATATGAGCATCTTTATTCACAATTCTAGATGACTAGAGAAAGGGACTGGAATAGGACTCACAGTAGAGCAATATCTGACCACCTTGCAACCCGTACACCTCTTCAACCCCTTCTCCTCCTCCTCTTCTTTCTGCTTCCCAGAAAGCTGAACAGCTCCGACCCGGCTCTCGTACTCGTGCATTTTCCCCTGTGCGACGGATAGTTCCCGCTCGTCCAACCAACATCGACTACACCTCGAGCTCAGGCGGCTGGAAGAGAGGGCGGACGCTATGGGTTGAGTTTTGATTATCGATTCGCCTATATGGCCGGGACGAAATAGGAAAAGATCGAGCTTAGCTGGATAGAGTAAGTAGCGACCGGAACAACGGCTCACCTTTCTTTATCGAGGATCCAGATTTCACGTTTAATCCTCGACCAGTTGTTCTGGCGATCCGGATCTCGAGCTTGTCTGATGGGAGATCTGCGTATCGAGGCAGACCTTTGACAGGGACAGACGGTTCTCCAGTGGCTGTCGAACGCTCGATCAGAGCGGCAGGTTCCAACTCAATCGTTTCAGGTAGCTGATTATTTTTTTGAGGTGGATTAGGCTCCGTATCGATGGGCGTGGTGTTCATCGGTATGGCCTCTGCCGGGTCGATCGGTTCTTCACGAACATCAGGGCTCGGTACGGCATGCCTGTCTCTCGAAGCGAGCGGTTTCTGCCTGTTGGCTCTGGCAGCCTTGAGACTTGCGAAGGACGAGGTCATCTCGTTCGCTCGTCGAACCAAATCTAGGTCGATATGAGTGGTCCGTTGATGGTCGAGAAAGGGGCGTTGTTCGAATTGTTAGTTGTCTCTCATCGAAATTTCGAAAGATTCGAATATGCTCTTCGAGGGCGAGGGATGAGGTGTCGGGCCCCGAAGGAAGCGCGAAAGCGGTGCGTGCGACCCCAAGACTCCCTGCACTTCTAGGTTTCTGCTTACTCCTAACACTTTGACGCCGCTTAGCTTTCGATGATAGCTATGAGTGGCTGAGCATCAATCCCGATTGAAAACGCCTGTAGCAATAACCGGGATACATCACTACTACGCAGCTGGCCAAGACACGCGTGGACCGTAACCGAAAGCTTCATCAACACGAATAGCTAATCCCTCACCACCATCTAGCAACTGATGCAACTGAAAAGACTCGGAGAACTGTCCCGAACTCAGCAGCGATTGTAGAGGAGTCCATCGTCGCAGAATCCTTGATATTGGGCGCCTGTGACCAGCATGCGTCCTCTCATACAAATCCCCGGATCATACATCCACTACGCCCACACCTCGGTAGCCTTCCTAGCATTTAGCTCGGCTTTCGTTCTGGCGTCCGCTTTGCATTACAAGAAGGTCGTCAAGAACGGGATCGCTGGCTGGCCTGACGAGTGGTTACCTAGCGTCAGCGCTTCGTAAGTTCACCACCATGCATACCTGTTCAATAACCTGATCAGCTGAAGAGACAACCGTGTCCTTGCCATATTGTTGTATCGCACGCTACCGACAGGATCGGAGATTGGGCACCAGAACGTCCCATCTTCCAGATCCTCATCGCTCTCTGCTCTGGACCCCGATTTCTACTCATCCTTGTCCAATGGCTAGTGACCCGAAGAAAAGCTCCCTTGATGGAGAAGAAGCAGGACTTTGTCAAGGAGAAAGGTCCTTCCGGCGGTGAAGCGGGAGGTTTACAGACGGCGGATTGGTTGGCTATAGTTGGGGTTGTGAGGACGTTTTGTTGGTGAGTTTGCAGACCGCTTCGATATCGCATTCCAAACCTGCTCACAAGCCGGTCCCCAAAAAACGTGCCTGATGTTACAGTGCAGGTTGGGTCTATGTCACGTCTTCGGACCATCATGGTAAGCCAGCATGACCCGCGACTCTGCTGACTAAAGCTTTAGCTCACTCGATTTGTTTGAGATGGTCTCATTATACAGACTTTCACGACGCTGCTATGATTGCATATCTACTGTTGACTCTGCCATGGATGGTCGGAACTTGTTTGGCAACTCCGCCTTCCCGCCCGTCGACCCTGCGAAGAAGGTGACTATCTGAACATGCCACCATTCAGCTTCTGAGACCTCGCTAATATTTAGTCTATGATAATTGCAGGAAATACACCGCCATCACCTTCCACTCGCTCCTCGTCCCCCTCGTCTACTTCTTCATCCAGCACAAAGTTTACAAGGTCAAGGGCGCCTATAGCTATTATGCCATCTTCGAATGGAGTCTCGTCCTCGTCGACGTCCTCTTTGACGCTTGGGGTGTGCCAGAGGTGAAAAAGGTTCAGATCCAGATCGTCTTGTTGGAAGGGGGAGAAGCTGCGGCGGGGTCTGGATCTAAGATGTACGTAACGTGACGAGGATAGACCGTCCTCGAGCGAAGTTGTTGTAAGCTAAATCAAATCCGCATACCCATTCTCCTGGCCTTGATATGATAGCACCGTCGAGAACGGTAGTCCGGTCAACAAGTTTAGCGTGACCGAGGGTCTCTTACCGGCTCTTAACATTTCGAGGGAAGACATGTTGATGGAATGGCCGGCCGAGAAAGCTGGATGGACTATCTCCGAAAATGAAAGACGAAAGGAGACTGGGTTCGTGAGGTCTGGAATGAGTTTGCTTGCCGATGTCTATCTCGGTAAGCAAGGACTTTTTCGGAATGTCGGTTCAAAGGTGATTGATGGTGTCCTCAACGGGTAGCTATGTGTTTCTGGACGATCTTCACTCAACTTGGATTGCAACTATTCTACTTTTCGGTATGGGAACTTGGTACGTCCTGCTTGCTGAATCTCACGCCCATCGGCTCTCGCTTACATTACACATTGGAACTAGCTCTTTCTGGATCGGAGCTGGCACTCTTGGCAACGCTTTCCCCTTGGTTCCTCACATACCCCTCGGTTTCGCGATTCAGCACGTCTCGCAAAGGAACTCTTACACTCCGCGCCTTGTCGCTAGTGCTCGGTCTGGGAGCGTACAAGCTGCCGCTTCCGTCTTTAAGGCTGTTGGCTGTCGTTTTGGGCAACGTGTTTGCCTGGATGGAGGTTGCTGCGACTTCTAAGCGGCTCAAGGGAGGGAATGCTGCCAGGATGGAAGGCAGTTGTGAGTGAATTCCCTCTGCGCATGAACCTTTACGGCGCATTAACGACTTGCGTGCATTAGACCTCATGCTAGGGCTCATCGGTACATTGGTACTAAAATTGGTCAACAACTCGGTCAATCCGTTCTGGTGCATCGTGGACGAAGTCTCCGGAGGATGGAACAAGACCGGTATCCTACTGGCCAGTGTCGCTTTTCTCGAGAAAATGGTCCGCTGCAACCGGGATCAGCCTCAAGCTCCTAATCCGCAGGACGTCAAGGAGGCCGCCGATCCTGAAGAACCTCTTTCGACGTTCCAAAGGCAATCAATCATTGCTGGGATCGGTTCCCTGATATTCCTCGTTCAAACCTTCGTGACTGACGCCGGTACAATCATCGCGTGGAACTGGACCGGTTTCCCGGTAACAGGTCCGAGATTGCTCTGGCAAGGTAGCTTGGTCATCGGGTCCGCTGCTCTCGGTCTCATTGCTCGATGGGCTCAGGACCGGACTTTGTCTCAACAAGCTCGTCCTTACAACCTTTTGACTTTGACAACAACGATATTCGCCTGCTCCACATTCTGCGGACATTATAAGGCAATAATACAGTCGAGCTACCCGGACGTCGTTAACTGGGTCCAGTTTGGCGGTGGCTGTACACTGGTCGCATCGCTCGTCTACCACTTCCCTGCGCTGTGGCAAGAACTTTCCCGATACGACTACGACGGACGCCTTCTTTGCCACGCGTTGGGCTTCAACGCTGTCCTGGATGTGATCTCCGTCATCACGGTCGCATATGCCTTCGTTCCCGGAGGTCATCTGCTTCGAGAAAAGATGGCGGAAGTGGTCTTTCTTACAACGGCATGCATCTTCAACGCGGGTTTCGTCTTGGACAAGCTGTCTTCGATCTACAAGACGACCTTCAAAGAGTCACGATCGCTCAACCTCAGAGACAAGCGATTGTTCTTTCAAGGCTCGACGATGGTCGTTGCCTTCACCGCCGTTGCCGAGCTATTTTGTCGACAGAGACGAGCCGGCATTGTTGTCAAACCCCACCATGAGGAGACGGGTGTATGGACTTCGGCCATCTGGACGGTACATTTTGGCGTAGACCTCGCTGGCCGGGACAGTCAGAAGAGAATGCTCGACCTGATTCGAGACGCCGAAGTCGATGTTCTCGGTCTTCTGGAGACCGACCTGCATCGCTTCGTCTACGGAAACCGAGACCTCACCCGAATGATCAGTGAAGAATTGGGTTATTACGTCGATATCGGTCCTGGACCGAACAAGCATACTTGGGGAGCAGTGCTCTTGTCCAAGTTCCCGATTCTCGAATCCACTCATCATCTTCTGCCATCACCGAGAGGCGAGCTGGCGCCTGCGATCTCGGCCAAGCTGCTGATCAACAACCAAGTCGTCAACGTTATCGTGTCGCACAACGGCCAAGAAGAGGATCCCAAAGACAGAGAACTACAGACCCAAGCCATCGCCAAGATCAGCAGTTCATGCTGGCCGGAGCCCTTCGTCTTCTTAGGCTACGTCGTGACTCGTGTCGGGGCAAAAAAGCCGGCTCCGTACGAAATTCTGATGGCGGACGGGCGCTTGTGGGACATCGAGATAGCGGATCGAGACAGGTGGTGCGAATACATCGCGTTCAGACACCTGTGGCGAATCGCTTATGCTCGAGTATCGCACGGAGATATTACGGATACGGAGATGCAATTGGCGAAATTCGTTACTCTCGACTCTACACTACCGGTCGACTATCAGTCGAACGACGACCTCTACTATCACACTTACGAAAAGGCTTTACCTGAATCCTGGCAGTTCCCCCAGAAATTCAGGGGCAACGGCACGAGGTGAGTACTTCGACAGTCGGTCGCGAACGACTCGCTCAGTCTGACCGTGTCTGAACCCATAGGAATCATAAGTATCACGTCTTCGATGGACCTATCTACTACTTGCCTCCAAAACGCTTTTGGGATCGCTATAACAGCACGCATTGGGATCATGTGCAGGGTTCTTTCGTTGGATGATATGACGATGTCAGGATCTGATTGCAAATTACGAAACTATAATTCACATGACAATGAGCTTTTGTGCTTTTGACGAACAACCGGATGATCAGTTGGGGATCAGCGGATCAGCGTTTCACAATTTGATTCCGTCTTTCCTCTTTCCATGCTTCTCATGCTTCTCAAGAAGGTCGAACGTATGAGTATATATGTACACACACACACATGCGAGACAAGGGGATAAGAAGCTACAATAATCTTAACCTGCATATTCAGCTTATACGACTTTTCCGATTATCTCGAACCCCTTCACTCCAAATGCCACCTGTCAGGAAATCCCCCCAGTCGCCGACTAAACGATCGCCGAAAAAGGTGCAGAAGCCGGAACCTCTCGAGCTCGACATTATCACTCCCCCCGTCCTCTATCAAAGCGGTATCACCAATGACCTATATCATCGCATCATGATCAAGACGCTTGAGCACGCCTTGAGCAAGAACATGGACTGGCACAAGATGAGCCAGGAAATCCTGGCCGACGAGGAGGCTTCGGGAATTGTTATGGACAAGTTGACGAAGTCTCCGAAGAAGGGGAGAGCCAAGGGCAAGGGCAGGGGAAAAGCTGAGGATGTTGATCCAGAGAAGAAGGGGAAGGAGTTGACGGGTACCGAATTGCGTGAGTTGCGAGCGAAACCGTGGGGCGATCGCATTCAGAACTGATAATAGCGGGAGCGCGTGGCAGATGATCACTTTCATAACACGATCTTCCCAGGTCTTAAGTCTGGTGTTCCTATCTGGCTAGGTGTCGTCGAGACCACTACTCCGACCGACGACGCCACTACCCCCTCCGGCGAGACCAGCACTCCGACCGACGACGCCACTACCCCCTCTGGCGAGACCAGCACTCCGACCGACGAGGCGAAGGACAGCCCGATGATGGACACCGTCGAATTCACTCCCTAGGCTGCCTGCATCCACCCGGTAGTCTGACCTAAAGGAATGTCGCCGACTACGAGATAAGCAATAATGGATATGATAGACGATTGTTTATCGAAAAGCCTGGTTCGATTCATGATTGTCATAAGAAGCTCTGTACGTTATTACACTGACTCAATTGATGCGATGCAATCCTCCGCCTCTTCTTCCACTTTTCCACACCTAGTTGCCCAAGGCCATCTTCAACAAGGCAGCGATCTCTGCCTTGTGAGCACTCTTGCTTCCGGTGGCTACCGACGAGGTAGGGTTTCGACCGGCGTACGAAGGGACCTTGCCCTTGTGGTGTTCGGTTTGCTTGAGAGCGGTGATCAGACGAGGCTGAACGTAAGTCCAGGCACCGTTGTTCAGAGGCTGAGAAAGGGTAAGATCACGATAAGTATGCGGACTCATATCGCGGACAACGTCGGGACTAGCTCACCTCCTCCTGTGCCCAAACAAGCTCGGCGTTCTGGTACTTGTCGAGGTGAGGGGTGATCTAGCGCCAAGAACCAGGTCGGTTAGTGGTCATTACTTCAGTAGTCAGTCGATGAGCAGACATACCAAGTCGTAAGGCAAGGGCGAGAGCTGCTCAACCCTAGAGATGGCAATGTCCTTGATTCCCAACCTTTCTCGCTCCTGGAGCAACTGGTAGTAAACTTGACCTGATGACGGGAAGGAACACAGGGTCAGAGGAGGCCTATCTTCCGATTCCGGGCGCGGGACGGCTTACCAGTACAGAGGATATGACGCTTGATGTTCTCGGGCGACTCGAGCTCGGCAGGGTGAGGTTCAGGGAGGTATCGCTCAAAGATGGTGTCGCCGGTCATGTCTTCCAGGTTCGATCGGGCGAGAGGATGACGCAGCAAGTTCTTCGAGAAGAATGCAATCAACTGTGCGGGCCGGAGGGTAAAATTTAGCGGTCGAGCCCTCTATCGGAGACTGATCTGTTAACTCACAGGTTTTCGGAACTCTCGCTGCTGCTGACGACGCAAGACGTGGAAGTAGTTGGCCGGGGTCCTGGTTGGTGCCGCCATGGATCAGTATGAAGTCGCTAGTAAGACAGCGGACCAGGTTCGTGCTCACGAGGGGTATACGATCTGCATGTTGCAGTCCTGGTGTTGTCGGTCAAGCTTCTCGGGAGGGGGGTAGACTCGTGGGTCGTCGTCGGTCAATTGCAGGAATCGCTCGAGACGACCACTCGAGTGCTCGGGACCCTGTCCGTCGTAACCGTGGGGCAGCGACAAGACCAATCCGGTTCGCTGCAACCACTTCTTCTCTCCTGAAGCGATGAACTGGTCAATGATACACTGAGCGTTGTTGCTATCGAAGGGTCAAGGTGCTTGAATTAGTGACTGCACGCGTGAAGGCATGTAGCTCAATCATAAGACTCACACAAAGTCACCGAATTGCGCCTCCCACATGGTCAACGAGTTGGGCGAGACCAACGAGTACCCGAGCTCGAAACCAAGGGTACCAAACTCTGACAAGTGCGAGTTGCAGATGGTGAAGCTACCCTGATCAGGCCCGACGTGCTTCAGGGGCTTGTAGGATGACTCGTTCTCCTGATCGTGAAGCACAGCGTGTCGCTGAGAAAAGGTACCTCGCTCGACATCCTGTCCGGAAACTCGAACGTGAGTGCCTTCCAGCAACAAGGATCCGAAAGCCAAAGACTCGGCTGTGGCCCAGTCAATGTTCTTTCCCTCCTCGACCGACTTGCCACGGGTGTTCAAGATACGAGCCAAGTTTCGGTGAGAGGTGAAACCTTCAGGGGTGTTCGATACGACCTTGCCGACGTGCTTGAGGACGTCCTCCTTGACACCAGTAGGGTGATGAGGCAAGATGTTCTCCGCCAACTCCTTGGGAGTAGGGAAACCGTCCCACGAGGACGAGAGCCACTCCTTGGCCGAAGGCTTGTACCCCTTACTAGCATCGAGAGCCTTCTCCAGCATGCCCCAGACCCAGTCCTTGTGCTCGGTGATCTCCTTCTCGGTAAAGCTCTTCTCCTCGACCAACTTCTTGCAGTAAATGTCGAGCGCAGTCGGTTGTTCCTGGATGGCCTTGTACATCCTGGGCTGGGTGAACGAAGGCTGGTCGGTCTCGTTGTGACCGTATCGTCGGTAACAGACGATATCGATGACGACATCCTTCTTGAACTTGGCCCTGAAATCGGCAGCCATGGTGCAAACAAAGTTGACGGCCTCGACGTTGTCTCCGTTGACGTGGAAGATCGGCGCGTCGATGGCCTTTGCGATATCCGAACAGTAAGGCGTCGATCGCGAGAATCGAGGATCGGTAGTGAAACCGATCTGGTTGTTGACGACCAAGTGGAGCGTACCACCGATTCCATAGTTGGGCAAGTGGTGCATTCCCATGGTTTCGTAGACGATACCCTGACCGGCAAAGGCGGCGTCTCCGTGGAGCAATACCCCGAGAGCGGTGTCGTGGTTCTCCTCGTCACCCTCAAAGTGCTGGATAGCCCTGGTCTTTCCCATGACGATCGGGTCTTCAGCCTCCAAGTGGGACGGGTTGGCGACCAAAGAGAGGGCGACCTTCTTTCCGGAAGGCGTCGGTCGGACATAGTTGGCACCCAAGTGGTACTTGACGTCTCCACCACCCGTGTCGTCCGAATCGGCGTTGCCCGAGAACTCGTTCAAGATGGCCTCGATGGGCTTCCTGATGACGTTTCCGAGCACGTTCAATCGACCACGATGCGGCATACCCATGACGATGCTCTTGACACCAGCGTCGACCGATCGGTCGATCAAGGCCTTCATACCAGGAATCAAGGACTCGCAACCCTCGAGACCGAATCGCTTCTCGTTGGGGTACTTGGAAGCGATGAACTTTTCGAAGAGCTCGGACCACATCAACCTGTCGAGGATGACTCGCTTCTCCTCGGTGCTGTATGACCACTGCTCAGGCTTTTCGATCCGTTCTCGGATCCAGTCGCACTGGTCCTTTTGAGGGATGTGAACGTATTGCACACCGATAGATCGAGCTATTCGCACGCACATGTTTCGACGTTAGCCTTCATTGTCCAATTACCTCCACACGCAACCAGCTAGCCAACTCACAGTACATCTTCTTCAAGCTCTCGATGATCTCTCCCAAAGTCATCTTCTCGATTCCAGCCTCCAAGAACCTAGGCAAGATCCCCGGTCCGAGGTTGAACTCTTTGGTCAAGTCCTTTTCCGTCCACCCGTAATGCTCGAGGTCGAGCTCGGGTACACGGCTGCTATCAAGGTCGGGGTCCAGGATCCCGAGGGGGTCGAGCTTGGCAATGTGATGTCCTCGGACTTGGTACGCACGGACGAGGAGTTGGACCTGGGATTTCATGAGGTAGGCAAGACGAGAGTCGAGTAGCAAAACAGAGATCAGCTCCTCGCCCCCAACCCCTATAATACCAGCCTTCCAACACGGCAGCCCTTTGACTCACCTTCAAGTGGTCGGTAACCTCGCTTCCTCCAGCTCCAGCCATAGACATCCCCGGTGCCGCATCGACCGGGTGATGACCGACAGCAACCTCGAGCCCGGCACGGTAAGCGGGCGGAGGGGTGTAAGCGGCCGAAGAGGGAAGACCGCCGTCGAGCCCCTTGAAGTAGGTTTGCCATGAGACGTGGACGGATTGGGGGTCCTAGAGATGTGGAAGGTAAGACGACGAGCGTGACAACGAGAAGGTAGGTCAGTAGACTGCGGCGATGAAAATAGGTGAAGGTAGGTTATAGGGGTCTATGAAGTTCACCTCTTTCCAGCATCGGTACATCCTAAATTCCGCCAAAAATCAAGTTGAACAGATCAATCTCTATCCCTTTTTCATACCATCATTGCTATCATCGCAGCGGCAGAGGTACACGTTCTCCGACCCCTAACCAAACCTCGAACTCACTCTTCGATGTAATAAGCGTTCTGACCGTTAGCGAACGAATCCCCGTTCGAAGGCGTCGCATAGCTCCTCTTCTGTTGTTGTAACCGGGCGACGGCAGGGGTCGAGATGGCGGCACTCCTCCTCGTGGAGGTGAGCCGGGCCGTCGAGGCGAGTTGACGGAGCATGATGTCCTAGGTTGTTGTTTTTTCGCTCTTCTTCAAGATAAGATGAGAGGAGGTGGAAGGGAAGAAGGGGGTCGACGAGCGAGAAAGTGGTGTGTGCGACTCCTTTGTCAACGAGCTTTATATAAGAGGCCGTGAGCGTGTCTATCTGTTTTCTCTTGCTCTCGAGGTAGCGGAGATGTAAAGATATGCAGAGTGAGGTGGTGGAAGTGAACGAGGCAAGGGTGATGATGGATATTCCAGGATGACAACCTGCAGACAACCTGCAACTGCCCATGTGCCAGCCGCTGCCGCCGCCCTGCCGCCCTTCGACCGACTAACACCAACGTCCCTCTCGCGCGGGAATGAAACAGAAAATCACGTGATTTGCTAAGAGGTTAGCCGGCCGTTCGGTCTTGGTCGGTCCTATCGCCCGAACTGACTGATGTTCACAACATGCTCGTAAGAAATGCTTCGCTTTCTGCATAGGAGACGACAATGGAACGATAGAAATACAATCCCCCATAGACACCAAGACGTATCATGCCACCTTGTACCTTCCCGCAGGTGCCGCCCTCTCGTCGTTCTGAGCACCAGTGCAAAATGAGAAAAGGCGTGATGTGACGTAAGCGGACCGAACAAACGAATTGACAAACCAGGCAGCAGCCCGGTACTCACCAAAGCGGCCACACTCGCATCCAACAACACCCTCCGCAACTCGTCCACGGCCAACTTGACCCGGAACTCGTCGTTGCTCTCGATGAGCAGGTGAAGCTTCGGTTCTTGACCCGGTCCAGGTTCCTTGCCAGCTTCGTAAAAGATACCTGCAAATGACGAACGTCGCTTTCTGTAAGCCGCGAGACAGAAGGTAGAAAGCAAGAAAGGGATCCCAGCACATACCCTTGTTCGTGATGGAAGCCCCCGACAACTCCTGCAACTGAACCATCTGCTCCTTGTTCGTCGCCTTCCACCTGGCCTTTTGCGGATAATCGTTGATGGGGACGATCGCGTGATACTCGGTAGCGTCTGAACTCTTGGCCGGCTGGTCCTTTTGCGGATTCTGAGCCGAGTTTGCGGCATTCTTCTCGGCCTTGGTCTTGTTCAAGTGCGCGGTGATCCTCGCCACGGCAGATTGCAGGTTCTCCATGACGTTGCCACCCTTGCCAGCAGCTTCGGCGCGTTGGAGCGCGGCGAGCGTCTGAGCGGGAAGTTTCGCCACGTCCGCTCCCAATGTGTTTTGCGGTGTCGAAGGCGTCGCGTTGGCAGGTTTCGTGGATCCGCCGGGAGCCACCTTGTCCGGCGCAGCTCCCTTGACGATCTCGACCTTGAAGTCGAACCCGTAATCCGGGGGCACCGTCCCACCCGCGCCATCCTTTGCCTTGTCCTTGCCGCCAGACCCAGTATCGCCAGCTCCATCGGCTCCGGGCTTCTTTTCCACCCGAGCGCCATCTTCCCCGTAGAAAGCTCGTTCGGCTCGATCCTTGCTCTCTCGCTCGGCTTCAAACTTGTCTAGACCTTTACCACCGAACCCGGATCCGGCGACCTTGGCTTTGCCTTCTCGGACCTTGACCAGGAAGTCTATGCAAAGCGGTGAAAAGGGTCAGATCAGCAAGGTGAAAACGAGAGGCTCTTAGGGAAGTTACGCGCGACCACTTACCTTCGGATAGCTTTTCGAGCTCGGGCGGCACGTTGGCCTCGCTCGCCTTCAAGGCGCGGACGATATCCACCGCATACCGATCCTGATCCGTCTGGATGAACGTGATACACGTCCCCGAGTTCCCCGCCCTTCCCGTCCGACCTGCTCGATGGACGTAATCCTCCATATGGTTCGGACAGTCATAGTTGATGACGAGCTTGAGCTCCTTGACATCCAACCCTCTAGCGGCGACCGAGGTGGCGATGACGATCGGAATGTACCCGGCCTTGAAGTCGGAGATGGCTTGGTCTCGATCGACCTGATCTTTCCCTCCATGCAACGACGTGCAGATGTATCCCTTGCGCATCAACTCGCGGAAGAGCTCGTCGGCGGATTCTTGACGTTCGACAAAGATCAACGTCCTGAAATCCTCTTCGTCTTTGTATTTTTCGCCCATCTCTCCGAGAATCTCGAGCAGGCGCAAGAACTTTTGATCGGCGTCCCGGATCTCGACTTGTTGAGTGATCTCTTTAGCGACGACTGATCGTCCTCCGACGGTAATCTCCAACGGTTTGATCAGGATCTTTCTGGCTAGAGCGTCCATCTTGGCGGGGAACGTAGCCGAGAACAAGAGCGTCTGACGATCCGGTCGGATGTTGTTGACGATCTTCATGACCTGCGGCTCGAAACCCATATCGAACATTCGATCTGCCTCGTCCAGAACAAGATACGTGCACCGCCTCAGATTGGTGACTCGACCCGAATTGGCGGTCAACAGATCGATCATCCGACCCGGTGTGCAGACAACGACCTCGGCTCCCTTTTTCATATCACCAATCTGCTCCGACAACGGTGCTCCACCATAGGCGCACACCGCCCTCATATTGAGTGCCGTCAAAAAGGGCTTGCTCTCCCTCCAGATCTGCGTAGCGAGCTCTCGCGTCGGTGTCATGATCAACGCCAACGGTCCTTCTCCCGTCTCCAACGGTCTTTGATCCTTGATGTGTCTGAAAAGGGGCAGGAGGAAAGCGATCGTCTTTCCCGAACCCGTCTTGGCAACACCAATCATGTCTCTTCCCGACATGATGGCCGGGATCGCCTGTGCCTGGATCGATGTGGGCGCGGTATATCCGAGCTTCTTGATCACGTCGTAACAACCCGCAGGTAAACCGAAAGCTCCCCAGTTCTTGACCGGTCGAGGGCAGTCCGCCCCTCGAATCTTGATCCCGTCCATCTCGATCCTCATCAACTCGACGTCCTCTTCGTCCATGTCGTTCGTCTCTTGGTTGGGCACGTAAAACTTTTTCCTGAACGGCTCGTAATCGATCTTGCCATGCTGAGCTACGGGCAGATCCTTCTTCTTGGCCTTCTTCGCTGCGAGCGCGAGGATGTCTTCGGCCGTCATGGGTCCATCACGCTGAGGTTCGTCTTCCTCGCCACCCTCGTCATCCTCGTTCAAGACCTCGGCTCGAGGACCCGAGGTGACCGGTCCGCCGAACTTCTTCTCATCCTCCTTGTTGACCTTTTTCACCTCTTCCGTGTTCCCCTTCATAAAGGCGTCCAGTGGGTCCTCCTCCTCTTCCTCGTCGACTTCCATCTGGTTCGAAGCGGACTTGGAAGTGGAGCCCAAACCGGGGACGACCTCGTCTTCATCATCGCTAACAACGTCCAGGTTCTCAGAGACCATCTCATCAGGTGCCAAACCGCCAGGCGCAACAAGCGGGTCTACAGGCGGGAGGTTCAGCTTTTGCAACTTTCGATCTGACGCGTCCGAGTCATCCATGACGAGACCGGCAGCGGGCTTGGCTGGAAGACCTGCCTTGATTGGCAGACCGATTCGAGACAAGGTAGCGGAAGGGAGGGAAAAGGCGGGTTTGGCGGGAAGGCCGACTGTGGTCAAACGTAAACAAGACGGGGTAGGAATTAGGATAAAGATCATGTGTTTAGCATCATGTGTTACGAATTTCTACCGACCGCACAAGTACTTACTAGCAGGCTTCGCTCCTCCCAGCTTGTTCCCTATCGACACAGCCGCACTAGCAGCACCTGCAATACTTCCGCTGATCGCCTTGCCGACCTCTGCCGCAGCGGCTTTGGCAGCCTGAGCTTTTCTCCAAGCTTCCAATCGCTCAGCCTTTCGACGCTTCTTCTCTTCTTCTGCGGACAAGGGTGTATTGTCAGGCGGAGGCGGCGGTGCAGAGGAAGTAGTGGGCGCGGGTGAGTTCCTGTTCGGGGCGAGAGGGGATCCTGGAATAGCAGCAGTGTTCCCGTTAAGCGGCGTCGAAGGAGAGGCCGCACCATTCAAGCGTCCACGAATGTCGATCGATGTAGGGGGAGGGAGAGCAGGATTCGCTTTGTGAACAGGGCTGTCCGTCGTCTCCCGACCTAGACTTCGATCCCTTACCCTGGTCCCTCGATCACGATCGTCCCTCGTCCTATCCCTTTCCCTGTCACGATCACGCCCTGCGTCTCTCGAATACCTGTCGTCATCGTTGTACCGGCCGCCTCGATCTCGGTCCCGTTCCCGGTCGTCATACCGGCTCGACCGATATCTATCGTCCTCATACCTCGACCTATCACTCCTCTTCCTATCTCTCGCATAATCATCCTCCCTATCCCGATATTTCTTGTCTCCACCTCGTCGTCTATCATCTTCGTACCGGTCTCGTTCCCGTCGACCCGAACTAGACCCTCCAGCAGGCGAAGGTGAACGGTCCCGGCGGGAAGAGCCGGTGCCCTCGTACGAGACGCGAGGACGTTTCGGGTCAGGCAGACGCTCTCTAGATCTTGATCGTGGCATTGTTGACCAGTGATTCGTAGTTTAGAATGGGACAATGCAGCTCTAGATGTTGAACAAGGCGAGGAAGTTGAACAACTTGGTGGCTATGAGGACTAGGTATGGCTATGGTGCCATGTGTCGCGCTTGTTAGGCTGCGCTTCTAGTTGACCAACAGTATTCCTATCAGGTTGACCTCCACCTTATGAGTAAGACTTTGAACTTTCGATCATTCTCGATACACAAATTCAACTTCTACGTTCCATTCACTTAACAGTCGCATTAGAATTAAACAGAACCTCCAAACGCCACGTAGTCAGTGCTCGAACTCAACAATCATGTCACTTCGACCGTCCGCTCACGGCCTCGTTCCGTTCCTCAAGCAGGCACTCCGGCCTCAACCTCTCGCCTCCACATCGAGACTACCTATTCGGCCCGCCTTGCCCCTCGCACCATCTTCCTCAACAACCTCGTTACCTTATGCTCAATTCGCTCGTCGATTCAAATCCACGTCGACGCCGACGACGGCGGAGTCGAACACAGAAGAAGGGACTTCGACGAACCTGAAGTTTGTGGATGAGAATGGGAACCCATTACGGATTGAGCCTAAATTGCAAGTCGTCCTTGCGTTGGCTCTTACTACTTATCTGATCTCCGACTAATACAACATCAACTCTGTTTCATCCGATGCAATTCGAATTGAAATAGATCCCTGACATTCACTTGCTCGGTGGACAAGTGCGGAGAACGCTCGACACACGAATTCGCTAAGCGGAGTTATACCAAGGGGATCGTCATCGTACAATGTCCTGGCTGTAAGAACCGGTGCGTCTGATTTCTCTTGTCCCCTCTCCTATCTTCGCATTTGTTCCACAAGCATGGTATCTGACCTTTGTTTCTTCCGTTACATTGTCGTCACAGACATCTGATAGCCGACCACCTAGGCTGGTTCAAGGAAGTGACAGAGGAAGGCCGACATAGAACTATCGAAGACCTTATGAAGGCGAAAGGCGAGAAAGTGACTCGGGGCAAGGTCGGTCAGGACGGGGATATCGAAATCATCGATTAGAACGATCGAAAACGCGTCGAAAGGTCGGAACTAGACTGGAATGGTTGGCCAGGGTCAGGAATAGAGGGGGAATATGGTGTAGCATACTGGTCCGATTGATGGTGATACGACACTTGAAAAGTTGTATCCATGACCACTCAGCATCAAAACAACAAGAAATGTATGAAAGTCACCTTTTGTGGCACCAGAAACGCTTAGATCCGCGCAAAACACAGTCAAAGTGGATGCTTCTTGTAAATGCGCCAAACATACGAGGCTGGAGACACCTGAGAGGAGAAGGTATCGACATAGGCACATCAAGCAGCGTTGCCACCAGTCATAAATGTCGAATAGCTTGATTGCGCTAACATTCGCGACCAGCTCGTTCGAGAGAAATGCGCTAGAGACGCCATAGTGATAGGGCGAGCGGCATCCAAGTATGTCGCTGACGATAACACCGATAAACAGGTGTTCACAGCAGACGGTCTGGCTTGTTATAACTCCGACTCGGAGAAACAGGACACGGGTCTGTCGTTATATCTGAGGGAATAGTCCAGTCCGCCTGGATGGCTAGGCGCGCCATCCTTGTTCCAGAAAATAGATAGGACATGCCAATTCAAAGAAGAGGCAAGAGGCGCTGGGATCTCCTATCCTTGGTGTAAACAGCCCTGTCGTCAAAGAAACCGAAGATCGAGATTGATCTGAAAGCTGATGTGTGTATGTGTGTGCTGATGCCGAAAGCACACTTCTTGATTCCTTTGTGATGAAGGGAACTCTTCTGATCGAAAACACAGTCGAGGACGGGACCGTTGTCGATGTCAACAGGGTCGACGATTCCTCATTGGCTCTGACTCAGATGAAAACGATGACTTTGGAGAAATGTGGGATTCATGTGGTTGTATGTGAGGTTACCGGGCATGAACCTGAATTGGCCCGCCCGGCAGCGTCTACTGCTGTACAGCTATGTTTGCGCTCGAATGGAACCTCAACCCTGTTAAATCGCTTTTAAAGTGTTCCATCTGCACGTGGACCTCGCAATAGCGGTGGCGGGCTTCTTGAAGCTATCATTATTTTGTCATTTTCCCAACAAACGGCGGTATTTTACTTTACAGGTCAGACCAATCACGTCCAGCAGATCCACCTGACGGTTGATGTTCTCCTTGTTCAGCCGTCAGTAACCGTTTGCTAGCAAAAAGAGCCGCACAAACTGGGTTCCTAAACCTCTTAATCATAAACCTCTTAATGCGCAAAGATAACGAGTGAAACCAGCCCGGAGACCACGTGTATCGAGCGTCAGAGCTGGTCGACCCTATCGAACCGATCAAGCTGATCGAATCAATCGAGCTGATATTTTGACTGTCGAACAGAGAGATGAAAGGATTGTCCTCTTTGGCAGCTAGCAGGTATACGGCGGTGCCTGGCTGTCAAACATTTACTGAATTTATTGACAACTCCGCTTTCCACTCATCCTTGTTACAGACTCGGCTGCTAGCAAGAATCGGATTGTAGCGGGGCAACAGCACCTTGAATGACAGGATCTCAGTCTGTGGGTTCATGCAGTACCCGAGAACGGATACGAGGGCCAGGCAATCAGGCTTGGTGTAAACGTCAACAACGACCTGTTGGATCCTCAACAATTTTCTGAGAACATCTCTACCACCCAACCGTTTCTGATCCATATTGACGAGGAAGGAGCACCTGTTGGTGCTCAGGTGAGTTATACAGGAGGCTTTTGACCGAGGCCGCTTCGTGACCTGCTGACTGATCGAGAGATGTCGTTGATCATAGTACCTCTACCACGCGAGGACAAACAACCTTGCGCTTGGCTTACGTGGAGTCCAGCTCGGCAAAGGGATCCAGGCCCCCTTCTCCCCTGGAGATATAAAGGTCACCAGATTCGAGTATGTTCGCCCTAAGGGTGTGATCGTTCTCTGCTCGAGGCGAATACGCAAACCATCTTGATTACAAGCGGGTCAGCGGGAGAACAAAAGAAAATGAACGCGCGCGTTTCAGATCAAACTCTCTCTCTCCTCTTCGGACTTGGCCGGCCGGGGTGACTGGCGGGTTCCCCCATCAACTCATCGATCATACGATCATCAATTGATCGATCAAACGCATTACAACATCCTTCAGCTCTACTCTCAACCTGTCAATAGCGTTTTCAAGATCTATCGACCATCAGCGAACTGACAGTAGAAGCCCCGAGTCAGCAAACCATGGTCGCTCGGAATACCACGGCCGATTTCCCCTGGTATCCTCATCAAGTCCAATTCGACTGCTCCACGTCAGACGAGTTGTCGGGTCTCAAAAAGCCAGAGCCAGACAGGTCACATCCGGAAGTGGTGAGTCGACTTTCGATTAGCGTTGCCCTTACTGGATGCTTACAGTCTTCGTCTCGAGTTGTGCCTAGCGAGGCAGAGGCTTACGTCTTGACCTGGAAGCACCGCTGACGCCAGAAACCCATCGTGTCTTCACGGAGTCATTCGGGAAATGCGAAACACAGCTCGACCATACTGGTCGTTCAGGCAAGTCCAAGTGGGAACCTTTCATTGAAGATATACTGACCCTCGTACCTGTGTTGTAAAGGGATTGTGTGGTTCTCATCTACTCGGGCTGGTGAGTTCCGCTCTTCTGTCAGCCAGCATCGCAATCACCAGTACTGAATCTCTCGCTCCGGCTCGCGTCTTAGCTGAAAAGGCTTTAACGATTCACCAGTCAAGTCTAATTCAGACCCAAGGTCAAGGCGGCTTCCGGTTGACCCCGCTCCACCCCTCCCCCCGAACCTCCCTCGCACCTGCTCAGATCCGGATCCTTACCGGATTTCCTGCCGCACTACCTATCGGGGAAGTGTATGACGCGATCCGACCATGGGGACCTTTACACAGTCTCAATCTCCTACCAAGAAACAAGTCCAACTTGTGGGAAGTGGGTTTCTGGAGGGAGAGCGATGCTGAAGTATGGGAGAAAGAGTGGAATGGATCGAGTTTCGATGGAAGCAGGTAAGTCTGCGTTTCCAGTTCAGACCCGACTGTTTACTGACATACTGCCCTGTAGCACAATCTCTATATCTCTTGCAGACCAATTCACTACCCCCTCGAAATCATATCTCGCATCACTATCGCTCTCGCTCTCGCAACTGCCTCCTACACCTATATCTCCTCTCCGACGCCGTAAATCTTTCGACCTCGAACGCGAACATCCTCATACTCCACAAAGATCCAGGTTGCGGACGGAATCCAAGGAATACTGGGTAGCCGAATACCACGGTAGTACCGAGCGTACACCAATTCAGGCTCCCGGGACGGCTGGCCTGGGGCCTGCGCATGAAATTGGCTATCCGATGACCCCGCCGAGGGAGGAGAAACTGGTTCCCATCCGATTGCGACAAAGGACAACTAGCTGGGCGACGCTGAGGTGCTCCAACTTGCCTACTTCGGTCGATTCGGTTATATTGAATCAGTACATAGCGAAGGTAAGAAATTGTTCACGGCGCAGGCACCCTCAAAGTGTCTGACAGAGCTCGATGAGGTAGGTTTGTCCAATCATCAGCGTAAAGGTGTCGAGGGAAAGGGATGGGCAAAGTCGAGGGGTGGCAATCCTGACGTTCGAATCTTGGGAGACGGGTAAGTCTCGAGTTCATCTAATATGATCGGTGACTGAAATGAGCTAGCTATGCTGATACTGTCAACTAGCTGCCGTTGCCCTTAGGAGGCTTCACCGGGCTAGCATCCATGGTACTAGATTATCTTTCACCTTCGAAGACACTGGGACACCTTCATCTCTCGGTCGGAAGCTTCGCTTTCGAAGCGCGACGGAAGATAGCAGCTCGAGTTTGACTAGTGTTTCAGCACATCCAAACTCCTCTGAAACGCCAGTCAAGGCTTGCACTTGCGTGGCAGTTGAGGTTCCGACGGACCCCTCACCCGAAACGGCGGGTGTGCAGACAGACCCCCGTCCCGACCTGATATGCACATTGGCTCAAACGGATAGTTCCCCTTCTTTACGCACCATCGCCGTGCAGACGATGGAGGCGCCCGGGTCGCACACCATCGCCACCCAAACCAATGCGGTTCCTCCCTCGCAGCCCTTCGTGAAGCGACCTGAAGCCGAAGTTCCATTGCCCCCACCGCCGACCAGAAAGCAGAAGCGACGATCCACCACCGCCATGACACTTGATCACTGGAAGGACGTCCCAGCGATCGCACCGGACAGCCTGCAAGAGCTCTTTTTACATCCAGCCCGGGACGTTTGGATCTGGCTATCCAACGCCTCTGAGACGTCACGTAAGGCTTTCAGGCTGCGCGAGCCCGAGCCCGAGATGCAGCGGTTGAGCATACGTTGGATGGAGGTGGTTGCTGCGGGAGATGAGGCCGTGCTGCGGCAGCATCTTTTGGGTAATATGTTACGGTTATTAAAGGCGAGTTAGGCTGAAGCCGAGTTCCATGATAACCGCGAAACTCCAGCTGATCCCTCTTCTGTTAATCAGACCTGGGGCTATAAAGATCTTGGTCCGAAGGTCGCCGAGCGGTTGCTGAACGAAGAACACCTACCCAGCATCCTCATGCTCATGAACTGTTACCCGATTGTGCTGCGGGAGATGATTGCCAGGAGACGCTATCTACCCAGATTGTGATTGGCAGATATTCAGGATAATGCGATTCGGTAAAAGGGATACAACCTTTCGTGAAAGAGCGGGAGAATGTCGTAATCTTCCGCCCACGGCGATATACGACATTGATGAAAAGCAAGAGCCAGGGTGTACGAGTCGTAATCGGTAATGTAGTTGTTGAGCGTCCCCAGTTGCCGGGGTGGTCTCATGCTCGGATCTCCTTCGTGGCGAGTTCGTAATCCTCGAAACCCAACGACTTTTCTACCACGTCGAGCGGCGCATCGGGTTCGAGGTGACCTTGTTCGTTCCGTCGCGCCCTGATAACATAATATAGCCGGGCATGAATCAGCTCTGGAACATCAACCAAGATACGACACAACCCGCGCGACTCACTTGAAGAAGGTATAACTGAGGACCATGTCGTCGACCTGTTCAGCCGAAGGGTCGTCCAGGATGTCTTTGTCAATGAAGAAGAAGACCGGAAGATCGACCTGCTCGCCCGCCCGGATCTTTTGTTGTTCGAAGCAGAAGCATTCGACCTTGGCAAAGTAGGGCGAGACCTGGTACGGCGAAGTTGATCATGAAACACCAGGAATCAACCCCGGTACGCTGGATATATTCGTGGTGAAATAGATCACCGAGTCCAGACTCACTCTTGATGGTGTGATGTTATAGGTGGCAATCCCCACCACATCCTCCTTGCCCCAGTTCTCCGCCGTATAGAAGGCTAGCGCCGTCTCTCCAGGCAAGACTTTCACAAACCTCTGTTGCGGCGTAAACTTCCACTTCAGGTCATCGCTCGCCGTAGCCTCGAAGTGCACGGTGATCCTGCCTCTCTTGTCGGCGTCGTCGTCCGGGTAGAGACGATCGGGGGTGTATTTGGAACTGTCTGTCACGGGGATACCTCCGAAACCGGTCGCCCCGCAGAACGCTCGGTAGAGGGGAACTGATGCGTAGGTCACTCCGAAAGCCAATATCAGCTGCGAGGGCGAGGGAAGACAGTCTGCTAATCAGCTTGGTTGACCTCTAAGATGAAGAACTCGAAGCTAGACTCACACTCCCAGCTCCGTAATACATGGCGTTCTTGGACTTTTCTCCTCGAGCCTGGTACATCCGTCTTTGGCGCTCATGCATCATCTCCCTCGCTCGTTGCATCTCGGCCGGTGTAGATGCTGTTGCATGGGTCGTCCGTGCGCTCGAACTCGTCGATGCTGATCTTGAAGAAGTTCGTGCAGTCTGGTGGATCGGCTTCGTGAGGAGTGTTGACCTAGTAGACGAAGCTGATGACTGGTTCGATCGAGAATGAGATGGGTTCAGTCGAAGGAGGGGCAAGGAGGCCGATGATACCGACGACGTACGGTGGCTAGCTGGCGCAACCCAGTATCAAACAGTCGACAGGTTCTTGACATTCTAGTGGTTTGTTGAAGATAATGCTATTGAGACTGCTCTTTACTAGAAGCCAGATGGCATGGTAGAGATTTGAGCAGATCGAAGGGTTTGGCCGATCGACTTGAACTTTTGGGTTCGGGTAACCTCGGACGATTACGGCACCAGGCTTACGAGAGCGAAAGGGGTCGGTCACCTTGCTAGCAGCTAGCAGCTAGCAGCAATACATCATCAGTGCAACAGGCATCAGGAGCTTAGGAGCTTGGGTTGCATCCAGATGCATTCGTCGAGACTGCATCATCGCATCATCATATATCTTTGGCCTGCTCTGGTATCGAAAGTATCGCACAGTTCCGCATATCGATAGGCCTCTCGCAACTCAAACAAACATGGCCCAACAATACCAACCTCCAATTCCGACCCTGCCCGGGAACATCCAAGCCCTCCTTCACCCTTCTCCTACGCTCATCTGTGACTCGCTACCAGACTATCTGACGAATAGTATGATCCATGTCCTCAGGGATTCTAGCCGACACGCGACGAAACGGCGGAGAGGGTTCGAGAAGGAGCTAAGGGATGCTGGACTCGACCTAGATGCCCCTGGACCTTCCAATCGGCGGAAAGGGACAGATGAGGCGGCTGAGAAAAGGAGAGAAGAGGAAGAGGAGGAGAAAGAGGTGGAACAGGGGCTGAAGGAGAGGCTGGAAGCTATCGGACGGGTCGTCGGCGCTCAAATTACTGAACAGTCAGTATTACATCCTGGACTTGTCCCGCCTGTTCGGCCTCTCTCGCTATGAAGCTAATTGCTTTAAATCGACCTGGTGGCTCATTTGCTGGTATAGGATCTCGGTACATCGTCCACCGCCGCCGACCCACCTCGAGATGGTCAAATTCATCTGTAAAGAACTGTTCCTTTACGTATACGCCAAACAGATCGACAACCTGCGGACAAATCATCGGGTGAGTTGACTCTTACCCCTCTCGCGGAACTGCTTCTTCAAATTACAACATCATAAGGTATCGATATTGAAGCCCTTGAGGATCTTGATTTTTCTTGTACTGGAATATGCAGGGGACATTCGTATTACAAGCAAACGCACTTCCACCCTTGATCCCACTCTCAACGGTAGCGGGCCCTGCAGCCGACCTGGAGAACACAAAGATCGTAAGCTCAGACTCGATGCGACTCATCCTCTCGGATCAAACCCTGATGATCTGGTCTTTTGTATTTGTAGTATCTGGCATACCCTGCAGCCATGATCCAGGGAGCTTTGGCGAAATTAGGGTTGAACGCGACGGTCACTGCGGAAAGTAGTGGGTTACCGCAATGTCAGTCTCATTCTCCCCTCTCCTGATCGTATCCTAGCCGTCGTGATCTGCGTCATATCTTGTGCTAAGCTTGTTTCGGCCGCTCATTGTTCTATCCTTGTTGGACACTGTAGGCACGTTCCAAATCAAGACTTCCAGGGTACAACCGGTCGGATCGGCTTACTCCACATTGACCGGCAATCCGGCTACCGCGGCTGGTGGGGTAGCTAAGTAACCCGAATGCGCTTGGACGAAGACGACGGAGCCAACGAGTGTAGCTTCGATATGAACCCCTGTCTTGTTGACGACAATAACGATATACATTATGCCACGATACAACGATATTGCGGATGCCTGCCTCTTTCATTCAATTGCAGATGTCGTTCAGTGCAGGTTACGAGGCATCCATCAATCTGAGTACATGAGCCTCGATCAGCAAGAGACCTTGCTATCCAAGGGTAGATCACACTCACTACTACACAGCGAATTGCATGACCCGTAAACATACACGACTTAGACAGAAGGATGTACATCGGCTTATGACCGCCGGCACCAAGACCCTCATACCTAACTGATCATGCAGGAACTTTGAGGTTTTAATGACCTCACAGAGCCCATTAGTTTGGGGCGCGATTCATCGAGGCGCTCGAACCATTCTCTGCAACTAGCGTTACAGAGTGTCCAGTCCTCAGTGAATGATCCGGTCTAGAGAAGCGGAAAGATCAGTGGCCAGTAGTACTATCATCGAAATACTGCCCTAATTGAAACTTCAAATATAGACAGCTCATGCAGCTCATCAATGTTGATACAACATCGCTCATTGCTCGATCGTAAAGTAATGGGGAACACGCATCCGGCATGGCTTCGCGCGATAGTTGTGCCTGATCCTGAACAATTTGACTGACTCCCCTCCATCACAGACTGCTGACAAGAGAGGGCTGGTCAATAGTATTGTCGGCATGGTAAATCCAACCATCGATCGATTCCATTACGATGCCTTGAATCCTTGAAGACGACATCTTCCAGTGACCCCAAGCAAGTTGCAAGTTGACCTTTCAACTTCTAGACACCCATATCCTCAACGGAATACGGGTATACGATCCGGAACGGGCAACGTGCGAACGCTTCCGAGTTACTTCCGGTGAAAGGCTCGCTTCGGAACTATATTTCCTCAGCTGTACCGGCCTCGGTCAACGACGAAACAAAGAGGGACAAGGTCGATTTTTAGCAATTAAACAGACAACTCACAGGTTTCGTTGTGGAATAACGATCAACCCTAGAAGGACAGCACATTCTGCTCGTCTCCTCTGGCAAACCTCGCCTACAACCTAGCGGAATGTCGCGACCTCTCTCGATGCCGGCACCCCGACATCACCCTTCTTCGCAAGCCGCATCTCATACCTCGATAGCTTCCTTCTTTAGCAATGCCGGTTCATCCTCACCCTTGCATCGACGGAGTCCCAGTCCAGAGTTGAACGAAAAGCGTCATTCGGTAGGAGATCTGGAGAGGGGGAACTTGTTAAGTAAGAAGGAGGCGCTCGATTTGGGTGTCGACCGGGTGAGTTATAGTTTGGGGTCATTCCGGGCTAGTCTGGAATGTCAAAAAAGCCGGATCTCCTTAGCTTACGTTCGGATTGGTCTTGAATATGGGTTTTTACAGTCTCTAAAAGAGGATCTAAATTCCAAGATCCCATTATCAACCGGCGACAACAAGAAACGAGCCATTTCTGCGACTATCATCGGTAAGTTCTCCTCCCTCTCCAAGCCATCTTCCTTCCACCTATTCAGAATTAACCAAACACCTGCTATCTATCCGGCTTGCTGATCGTCCTGGCGATATTCCTCGATTGCAGTGCCGGTCTGGATCGCACTTAGTGCAGGTGTTATTGTCTTCAACAGCAAGTCCATGCAACCCCATACAGTCTAGATCCTCAGTCGCTGAGACCTCTTTTTATGTCTCCAATACTGTGTGATCAGAATGGCTATACTCGACTGCCGGGTTCCCTTACGTAAGTCTTGTTGAAGAACGTTCGTCTAATATCGACCAGAATGTCACTGACCTGCTTCAACGTCATACCTGTGAATTATAGCCGATCTTTCTGACTTCGTACCACTTGGGAGGCGCCGTAAGTTGTCTGCGTTATTCATATCACATATGCCAAGAATACTTGCAGCTGATGCTTCGTCTACTTCCGATACTCTATAGGCTGTTGGTACGAGATTATTGAGGATGTTTACTCCGTTGATGAACGGGCTGGATACGATCGATATGACGGTAAGCCTTGCCAGATCTTATCTATATGTGTCAGCATCGAGCGTAGTTGGAAAGCTGATCAACAATCGCTTGACTCTGAATCGTAGAGAGAGAAATATATTAGGAACATCCTTCCGATCGGAGTCTTGTTCTCTGGTAGCTTGATCCTGTCCAATATGGCCTACCTCTCGTAAGTCCATACCGGCAAATCTGATTCACACTGATAAGATATCCCCTTATCGATTTGAACATCTGTATGGCCTTGTTTTTGTGCTCGCAGGCTATCGGTCTCGTTCATCCAGATGCTCAAGGCTTTCCATCCGGTGGCGATCTTGCTCATCTCTGCCGCTTTCAAAATCCAGAGTTCGTGTCCTGTGCTTGACAACGACGAAGAAGCAGAATTGAAAGCTGAAGAGACCGCATATCCTATTATCTGTAGACTTGACTGGACGGTTGATCGTGATTGTGCTGGTGAGCTACTCTCAGGCGCTGATGCCGGTCTATGTCTTGATTCTGATCTTGGCCATTTCTGTGGATACTGTAGTGTATCTCCGTCGGATGTGCCATGGCCGCGTTGGGCGAACTAGAATTCGAGATGTTCGGATTCTTGTGTCAAGCCTCGGCCGTCATTGTGAGTCCCGCTGCTGGTGGAGGTACGACCTCCTAGTAGCAAGTACTCACCTGTATCCATCTTCAGTTCGAGTCAAGTCGGCTGGTCATGATTCAGCTCCTGCTTCAGGGCCTCAAGGTGAGTGTTGTTGCTGTCTCGTATGGGAACGATAGATCAGGACGGCTCTGCTGACCTTCCAGCTTGACAGATGGACCCTCTCTGCTCTCTGCACTACTACGCTCCGATCTGCGCAATCATCAACGCATGCTTCGTACCCTTTACCGAGGGCTGGGCGCCGTTCTTAGCATTCCCCAAGATCGGTTTCACAATCATGGGCTTGAACGCCTTGAATGCGTTCTTGCTGAATGTGGCGGCGGTCTTTTTGATTGGTGCTGCAGGGGGACTCGTCCTGACGTTGGGTGAGACTTGATCTTTTGGCCGCACTCAGAGCTTATCGGATTTACAGCTTGGATCTACTTTGCAGCCGGGGTGTTCAAGGATATCCTGCTTATCTCGTCAAGTACCTTATTCTTCGGATCCGTCATCTCGCCCTTGCAGATTTTCGGTCAGTCTGTTTTCGCTTTTCCGCTTGCGAGGTCGATACTGAAGATGAAGTTCGTCTTGTTTATCCAGGTTACATCATCGCACTGGTAGGGCTTGTGCTATTCAAGACAGCAGGCAAATGAACCGCCTTGCGAGAGAGACCGAGCACTTTATAGATTAGAATGAAAAATCGGATAGAGGTGTAACTTTAGTGGCTACAAGGCATAGATCGTAATCTTCGTCCATTGAGCGAGCTCTAGAACAAAGTCACGCCGACCTGCAGCGTATCTTCAATCTAGAACGTGCTGGGATGATTGCGAGACGTGACCGGGTTGATACCACTGTCTCGCAAGACTTCCCTCCAGATGGGTCTCTCGTCCCAAGATCCTTCTCGTCTGCTTTCGTCACCAGGACGGTTGGACTCGTTGGTTGGGTAACGACTCAGGTCGTCGCCCTCTCGCGCGTGGTATGCCAAAGAAGTTGCTGACAGGCCTGACAGACTGAGTGTACGAGTACTGATCTGCTCATCATCGGCGGGCGTGAGCGTCACCCTTGCTCCGGCCCGCTGTAACATCCGGGGTTGTTCGCCTCCCAAGGGTGCTCCGAGGAGTTGATTCTGGTTTTGACGGACAGGCGTTACAGCCCGCCCGTAATGGTAGACGTGACCCTCATCAGAGCCCGTGTCGATAGGGATGTTCCGGAATCGAGGTGGGACCGGAGGGACTTGCGGCGTTTGAGGTGAGGCAGGACCGAACACAGAGATCGGTCGAAACCAGGAACCAGTCCACCTTCTGCCGAAGAGATGCGTCGATCCGCCTAGCGACCGGAGAGAACTGCCATGGCTGAATCTCGACACCAAGAGAGGTCTCTGTTTTCATGCGCGTATCAGTGCGGGATCATACCTATAGCAAGCGCCTGCGAACTTACCTCAGAAACGCTCGTAATCGAGTGAGGGTAATCGTCGTTCACGGCAGGAGCAGGACTGCGCATGTCAGGAGCGAATATCAATGTGGTTTGCTTGTCTCTCTGTTTCCTTCTCCACCAGAGCCAGGCTGCCACTAGCAGGAGAACAGCTGCTATGCCACCAATCGTTCCAGCAACGATACCGCCGACGTCGTTCCCGCTTTTCCCTTCCTCTACCGTAGAGGAAGAGACAGGGGAGGTCCCGGTCAGAGTTGGAGCATGAGACGCTGTGAGGATTACTTCTGTGGAGATCTTGTCGCCTGCTGAGCTGAGCTGAGCTTCAATGCTCCCGGCTCGAGTCGAGGTTGTGTGTATCGTTCCAATTTCAGAGTGCCCCATACTGCCCAAATTACTAGCTGTCTCGATCGCGGAGAGAAGGCTGGCATCGGTAGGCGATCCTGATGATTGTATATCACTTGCGACGATGATCATGGTCGAGGAAGAAGAGACCTCGGAGGGTCCACCTTGCAAGAATGCCGTCTCGATGGGCTGCGCCTCTCGCGGAGAAGAAGTCGCCGCGCCTGAAACAGCGACAGGATTTGCTGTGACGCGCGTTGAGGAGGATGATGGCGCAGAATTCTGCGTGGGTTGTGTGGTGGGTGACGCAGAACAGCTTGGAGTGAATGTCCAGACCTCGCTGCGGATGACTTGCCTGAAGCTCGTCAATGTTGTAACTTCTCGCGATGTGACCGTGTTTGCTACGGCAGCCCATTCAGCGCAGAAGCGACCGTTTTGTCGCGGCCTGATGGAGGCAAGCACAGAGCGTTGCTGACGGCGTCTCCATCGACCATACCTCCAGCCACGATCCCCATCAGGGTTCCAATCAGCCCCTCTTTCCCCGTCATCGTCGTCACCGTCATCCTCGTTATCGTCACCAGCAGCGGTCTCCCAGGGCCTCCCGAATGATATGCATGACGACGTCGTCGAAGGACCCCGGCTGGTGTAAGTCGAAGTGACTAGTTGGGTGACAGCGGTTCTAGTTGGACCGTAGAGAGTCAGACTGTGCAGTATCTCAAGACATAATATATTTACTTACGTCTGCGTAGATAGCTCGGTCGTCACTGTCGGGGTGCAAGCCATCTTTATCGATCAAACGGCTGAGCGACATCCCGCGTATTCGACATGTTGCTAACATACAAACTCGACCTGTCAACCATATATGTTGCAGTATAAAGGAAAGAGTTGCGTCACCAGTGCGTCCAGGTGTTCCACGCTCCGGCTGTGCAAAGGCACTCGGCGATGTTCACCTGAAAGGGATCATGATTTGACGGTCATTTAATTCCTTTAAGGGGGATCCTTTGACGACCGTAGCCTATAAGACCCCTTTCGGCATCGACCTCGGCCATGATCGTCATATGTTTCATGGAGTGAGAGCCGACCGATACATGTGCCATAGCAGAGCGCTTGCTAGCACGTTTGCCATTATGTAGATCGCATATGTGTAACGGGGTCCTAGGAGGAAACTGCAGATCGCGAGCGCAAGCGATGCCGCCTCGGACAGTCTGCAGAATAGTATTGACATCAGAGAAGTAGCCTTGTTCGTCTCAAACATCCGGTCGCCTTACTTGGAACCATGATGCATCAGGGATTTGCCTCCCGCGCAGCCCTCGCACAGCAGAGCGAACCCTATAACCCCTAGCAAACCCCAATGGGAACCGAAGCGAAAGGCATGCTTCCAGTCGACTGCGATCCCTCTGACCCAAACTAAGACCGTAGGTGCATTAAGGGGAAGCAACCAAAGCATAAGGAGCAAGAGGGAGCGATATTGCTCAAAGCTCTGTGTCATGTAAGATCTTATGAATGACGATACTCACGCGTCTCACCAAGCTCGAAAACTCACCTCGTCCAAACGATTCGAAGAGGTAGTACTGAAATGCATCAGAAAGACGATAACAAAGGCGAACTGATATGGTACGAATGTCCATAGCAGCACAAAGAGGCATGCGAGCCCAATCATTCTTTGTTTGACGATCGATTTGGCTTCTGGAGGCGAAGTTCTACAAACAAGCGGGTCAGTCAAGATTCAGGCACGATGTTGATTGGCTATGCCTCATCTTACCTTGGCGGATGCGAGAATTTTGAGATGACAGGGGACCAGACCCGTATCACTACTGTCAAACCGATGTGACTGATCCAAACCACACCCAGAGCAAGGAGTAGTGCGGGAACGACCAGTGGCACCAGTGTCCACGAGGTGTTTCCGAGAAGGTATTGCTCGGGACGATCAACCAGTATTGGCGCGAATGAAGAGCATTGCAAGGCACCGACCGCTATGACTGTCGATCCTACTAATAAAGCCTCCTTGCCAAGCAAGCCGAGCAGCGAGTTCGAGAACGTAGGATATACACCTAATATCAAGGCGTTCAGCCTCGTGTCATATTACTCTAGTAAGACGGGAAACTTACCTGTACTGCGATATGCACGCATTTGACATGCCCATACGAGAGCGATCCAGCCTATGCCCCATGCGATCAATACTGTTCGATAGCGAAGTACCAGGAGGCCAGGTGCTGAAGCCCAATCCACGCTGAGCGATGCCCCTTCAAGCCAGCAATCATCAGAAGGATCCTGGAATACCTCGACAGAGAAGCCTTTGCCGTCTGAGGACGATATGAAAGGTGCCGCAGCGGTGTGCGAATGCAGAAGGACCGATGCATTCGCTCGAGGATGATACCGGCTCTCATGCGTTTCTGTTAAGGTCCCACTTGACTGAGCGGTGTGTCTTATTATGGGAGCCAACAGATCGGAACCTATCAGATTGTCAATCAGTGTCAAATCAGGTGAACATCGGCTCCGGTCATGCTTACACCTCTTGCCAGCTTGTCTGTCCAATGCTAGACGATGAGCCAGCAAAGAATGGTCAAGCCGATCAAAGTGCCAGTGGCGTCGGATCGGCTTCCAGTGCTGGCCTGTCAGCAATCAAGGCGATCAGTATGGACTCCATCCTGAAGATGTAGCTATACTTACCGCTGGTATCGCCTTGCATGCTCACCACTGCCCATGTCTTCGGCTCACTAACGATGATAGCCTTCTTGAGGAAACGCAGCTGAACGTACGTCAAGCCGGCATCGGCTCGGACTCCTTCTCCCGGTAAAGGGAACGCTTCAAGGGGAGAGTGTGAAGATACGGGTGCAGAAGGTGGCAAGATCTCGATAGTGTCCAAACCAGCCACTACATGTCCATCATGCTGCTTTTCGCCAGGTCGATCGCCAGTAAGGATATCCAAGGCAGGTTTTCCATCCGGCCCAATGCCGCGGACGGAAAATTCGCCTAAGAGCTGGAGGGTACATCCGCCGTCTCCGCCGTCAGAGCATTCGACCAGGTGCGTTCCGCCACTTCGCCCTCGAATAATTGGATCCTGGGGCGTCATTGTCACGACGCCCGTACTCGGCAACGTCCGTGATGGGCTAGACGGCCTCAGGACGCTCTTCGGTGCCTGTCCGAGGAATTCTGTTCGTAAGATCTCCACCATGTCGTCTCTGGCGTCATCCTTGTTCTTCTTCGACAGTACGGCTTGTAAGCCGAGGACCGCTCGAGCCACACGTGATCGGATCTGGTCACACCAGACCATGGCCTGATGGTCCACCCCTGTCCAGATCCCATGCATTCCTGTTGAGAACACGGTGAAAGTATCGCTATCACCAGTGACTGGATGACTGGTGTTCTTGTGTTGCGGCAATACGCATGCGTCGGAGGAGATCTGCGTATCGGCCGTACCTCCACATATAGAGACGAGCACAGGCACCTGGACTCCTTGCTCCCAATACGCATTGATGTCGGCATAAATCTTCTCCATCGTGCTGTCGATCGATACTGGAGGCATCGCGTGAGGTGTCGACATGGTGATGATCGCAGCGACCAGGTTGGAGATGTCGTCCCTCGGCTCATCGTACCCCGACTGCACTAGGGTCAAGCAGAGCCTGGCTACGATCCCACCCATGCTATGCCCGAGGAGGACGATGCTCCGAGGAGAGGGATAGCGGGATACGATGTACCGGATAGAATGAGCGACATAATGCGCTTGATCTTGTATAGAAGGTGAATGAAAGGCGGAGAACTCTTCGTTGAAGTCGACTATTTCATTATCACCAATTTGAGTTAGTCGCTTCAGCTCCTTGCAACAATAGTCCCACATAGTCGTTCTCGAACGCACCAGTGTAAAAGTCCAACTCTTCCCAATCCCCGGCTTTTGGTACGCCCGGCCGACTGCGGAACCGCGGGTCGTCCTTGTTCGTCCGGGACTCGAAATACTGATGAGCCGCCGACGAAGCGATGGATCGGACTTGTTTCGAAGACCCTGCGTTGCCTGGTATGAACAAGACCGGCTGACCCGTCGTCTACGCAATCGTTGAAGAACCAAGACTCTTCAGCCTCCACGCATATGCTACGGCCGGCTTTGATCGTCGCATACCTCCAGATGTCCCTGTAACCCTCCTTCGCGGTACAGCCACAACCCATACTTGTCCTCCAGCCCACCCATCCCCTCCCGTCTCGGTCCATCCATCTTGATATAATTCGGGCTCATCCAACTCATCCGACAACCCCATGTTCCCAGATCCAGCTGGAGGGCGGTGTAAGATCGGAAGATCAGGTAGGCGATGGAGAGGGAGAGGAAGGTGATGAGCCATAGCGGGGTATACTTGTAGAGCTTGTGGGCGAGCGAGGTTGAGGTGGGTGACGATTTCGTTACATCTTTAGAAGAGGTGGACATGTTCTTCCGCACATAAGCCTGTGCTTGCTTGAGCTCCTGCGCATGAGAGGCATCCCACATAGAACGTCAGAACGACATGTAGAGCATTTAGTATCCATAATGGTTGCCCTCGGCTGATGTGCCGCGACGTTCGGCCATCCCGGACCTTTGTCACGTGACCGACGCGGTCAATCGCACCCGGAAGTAAAAGCTCCCGGGGCTTCTCTGAACCTTGATTCGAATATGCTGAAACAACTGATGTGGTTCTGAGCAGACATTATCGTTTGCTTTGCGGATGAGATGGTGTGACGTGCTTCGAGAAGCATCTAAGTACGTCTTCAAGGTAGAAAGTGGTTTCAACAGGATTGAGAAGCGTACATCACGTATGTCTTGGCGATCCCCGCTGACTATGTGTGTGTTTTTAGATCATCCGTGACCTCGCGGAACATATGATCACGATGATCACGACAAGTTTTTATGGTTGCAGACTGCCATGGTATCGCTCTGAACGTACGTATAAGACTGCCGAAATGGACAGTACATGGTGTGCACGTTTTCTTTATCTGATCTGCATGGATCGGAACTCCTTGGCTGGTCAGGGGGCGAAGCAAACAGAAATGCACGAGAACGAATAGCGTAGACCTCGGAAATCTTTGAGATCGAAACCCTATCCTCGCCTTCTACGACTTGCAGTACTGTGATAGAACAGCAAGACCGGGCTCATGTTAGACCTGCAACGACCAATAGATCCTGCCTTAGGGACGAATTGCCCCCGAACCATGTTTTACGTCATGGCTGTATCGACAATCTGCTCCCGTTCGCCTCCGAGCCGAGAAAGAGGATCCCCCTCTCTTGATCAGGATCAAAATCAAAACAGCGAAAGAGACTCTTGATTCGACCTCTTTCTTCGACACAAGGTCGTCACGACCTAAAGTGTCAATCGTCACCATAACGATTCAACGTCGAGATCATGAAGTTGTCCTTCGTATCACTCGACAGGCCGGCGTCTCACCGGTAGTCCCCGGATCCCTACCTTCTTGAGCACCGACAAGCCATCAAGACGCGAGGATGAATTCGTCCACCTCAACTCCCGTATCACCAGCGGTCGGGCCGGGACCGTCCAATCCACCTCAACGTCCTCCGATCAAGATCAAGATCGTCAGTTGGAATCTGGGCGATTCTCTACCCAAGGGAGACCTCTCCCCGTTGTTCGGAGAATTCCCACCTTACGAAGCTCCCGACCACCTCCCCCTCGATTTCCCCGACTTTGGGACGGAAGATGGGCATCCTTATCATATCATCGTAGTTGCCAACCAGGAAGCCCCGACACAGAGTGGGGTACCTCGAGGGCTGGGAGGGGGGATCACGAAAGGTCTAGCTGGGCAGAAGGAGAAGGAGAAGTTGAAGGAACGGGGGAAACTCCAGGGACAAAAGGAAGCGGAAAAGGCTAAGAAGGATGCTCTAGCTGGAGGTGTCGCTTCAGCTGGGGGTATCGGAGCGTTGGGATTGGGAATGCTCGACGTGCCGCCCCTAACAACGGGAAAGGAAGAGTTCTCCAAACAGGTCGATGTGGATCCTTCGGTCTTGAGCCCGACGTATACGCCTCACCATGGGCATCATACGGTCCATGTGAATATGGGTACAAACAAGGGCTGGTCGGATATCCTCGAAGGTGAGCCAGGTCGAAAGGTCGTAATAACATAGTCTCGTTCTGATGGGAGTGCTGTTCCGCAGACTACCTGTCCCATGGCATACAACAAGCTGTTCAGACCAATGGTCGGAACCGTGGAACATCTCGTAGCAGCCGAGACTACAAGGACCTACCCAAACTCAACTTCTTGTCTACCTCGGGGTCCGAGTCTCCTGAAGTCTCTTCACCAGCTACCATGACCAGACAAGAGTTGCCAGCGGTCCCCTCGAAGACGCCTAACGGCCTTGTCCCTCCTCCACTCGTCAACCGTTCTTCTTCTGCCCCGCCTGATCATCCCTCGTTGGCCAAAGAACAGCAGCCCGATGGCTCGAACAAGAACGGGAGTGGGACGAGCGAATTTACGGCGATTGTCACCCCTAGCACTCCGGATCCTATCGCTTCTCCTCGTTCGGAACGAGCTCAAATGCTAGGATCTAGCATCGATCGGATGCATAACGCTTCCCCGTTGTCCATGTTCTCGATGAGCTCCGAGTCGACCGCTCCAACGATGAGTAAATCGACGATTCCGGTACCGATGTCTCCGGGGTCTTCCGGTGAGGACCATGACAAGGATAAGGAAACGGAAAGGAGGAAGGAGGAGAAGACGAAAGACAGGGATGTCAAGCGGTCTTCTTCGTTACTCTCAACCCCATTGTTAAGAAAAAGGGACAGCGCCAAACGCTTGCCACCCATCTCGATCCCGTCGTCTCACATCTCTGCCAACTCTTTGCAATCGGCCGTCTCGACACCGAGTGGTAACGTGCCCGAAGTAGGGCCAGGGCAAAAGCGCCGCGGAGCCGGACCTTACCAGTTCTTGGTCAAGGAACGTCTTCTCGGGCTTTACCTGGCCATCTTTGTTCACAAGGACTGTGCTTCGTGGGTCGAAGGGTATGATCACGATTTTGTACCCACCGGTCTGATGGGCGGGAGGATGGGTAACAAGGGAGCTATCGGGATCTCGCTCAAAATGGCGGGACATCGGTTCCTCTTCGTCTGCGCTCACCTGGCAGCCCATGCGAGTCACATGGACGCCAGGATCAACAACGTTGACAAGATCAAGACCGAGCTGGCGAGAGGTTTGGATTGCTTCTTGTCCCCTGAAGAACTGGCTATCAAGGCGCCTCCGGGCGGCACGGTCGAGGATCTCGACGTGACGGATAAGTTTGATACGACGTTTTGGTTTGGTGACCTTAATTTCCGCCTCGAAGTTTCGAGACTACACGCCGACTGGTTGGTCAAGCACAAAGAGTACGAAAAGGCGCTCGAGTTTGATCAGCTTCGGAACGCCATGCGGGAAGGCAAGGTGTTTGACGGGTTTGTCGAGGGGGACATTGATTTCGCCCCCACGTTCAAGTACGACGTCTGGCACTCGGCGAAAAAGATGCGAAAGCGAGGGGAACTACAGGCGCGGGACAAGAACGTCTTGCCCGGAGTCGAGGAGGCTGAGCAGGGGGAAGAGGACGAGGACGACTCGCCGACAGACGATCAGGCGAGCTTTGTCTCGGCTACGACCATGACGATGGATAGACGGTGTTCGGTCGATTCCAACATGTGGTTGGCAGGGCAGATCGATGAGGAAGACGAGGATGAGGATGGCGATTCGATGAGCGGGGTGCGCACTGTCAGCCAACCGGTACGACCTATCGCCGCCATCGCCAAGACGGGTGCGATCAAGGTCAAGCATCGATTCATGAAGATCATGAAGAGCGCTAGCCAGTCGCCTGTTTCGAGCTCGCCTGTCATGACACCTCGATCGCAGTCGCCCACGCGAAGCATGGAAACGGCGTCGTTCTCGCAAAAGAACTCGGACAGCATTAGTCAGCAGCCTAGTCGGCTGAGCATGGAAAGCACGAGACCGTCGATAGACAGCGAGACAAGTCGGCCTGGTTTGACGAGGCAGATTTCGAAAAACTTGAAAAGACGGCTGAGTGGGAGGGTGGCACAGCTGGAAGACTCGGCGAGTAGTAGCGAAGAGGACACACGTGAAGGAGTATACGATACGTCGTCGAAGCAGAGAGTGCCGAGTTGGGTGAGTACAGCAGAGAGGGCGCGTCGTTGGCTAGCAACTGACTAGTCCCTTGTCTGAAATCGGCAGTGCGATCGCGTGCTATGGAAAACACATGTCGAGCAAGATATCGGTCCCCAACCACGGCAATTCGAGGTGCTGAGCGGACAGGCTCGATTCAAGCTATTTGGCCATGCTATCGCACAAAAATTCCATCGCAAGACCCGAGATGCCCGGGACCGCAGTGATCAGCTTCAGACGAGGTTTACTCGGATGATGGCGGATAATCATGGGCCATATATGCACGCCTTGCCGCCTCCGACGACGATCACGACTCCGGTCTTGGCGAATCGGGATTCTCTCGTTGATGGCGATGTGGATACTCCACGAGCATCCGTGTTCAGCACCAAGACGGTCGTTCCAGATGCGAGATCGCCCTCGCCCACAGACGCGACAATGGGTTCGGCTCGGCCGAGACCGCAGTCGGTCACAATGGTCGAATCGCTTGCAACGGTGAGAGGGGACGGCAAGGTCGAATCGCCCATGGGCATCACTCTGGGTGCCCCGATCGTTTCGGAGCCCAAGGTCGCGTTGATCTCGGCGCAGTCTGAGAAGCCTGAGTCGCCCCACCGCCACCATTCTGGTCTCGATGCATACTATCCCCATCGAAAAGAACAGTCGTCCCAATCGGTCCCACGCAGTAGAACGATTTCTGGGCTGCCACCGCACGATCCGACGCAGCATGATTTCTTGGGCGAGACCTCTTTGGCATCGGCGCGAAGATGGTTCAGTAACCTGCCTGGTATTCTCTTGCATCCACGTGGATCTATTGATCAACATTACGTCGCACCGGAAGAGCCTGTGGTCGCGCCAGAACCCGAGCCAGAACCGGTCGTCCGCAGGCGCAAGGGCGAAGTAGACTGCCTCGAATATACGACCATTGACGATGTCGGCATGAGACGCTTGGAAGGTCGATCGTGAGTGTGGTGCCGCAATCGATTAATATCTCTTCGCGACCATCTTGCTGATCTCGTCTCTCTTTCTCCTGCAGAGACCATCGACCCATCATCTTCGCAGCCGCAGTATATACATAGATGCCAAATGACGACCCCTAAATACTAAATTCACGACCAATGTAACGAGATCAAGCATGCACATTTATAATTCAGGAATTCGCTTGGTATCGCTTATTACAAGCAGGGCGTGCGTGTGTCGTAGGAAAAGCATTCATTAGAAAAAGCAAGAAGATTAAATCAAAAATAATATGACGGCAGAAAGGCAAAACTGTGTCGTGATATCATAACGGTCGCTAGCGGAGGAAAAGCTTGCCCTTGCCTTTGCGTCGGGGCGGAGGTGGAGGCGGTGCTTGGAATTCGCCAGGTTGGGTTTGTATCCAGCCATGAGTCTGAATGTCATGAGAGGTTAGCATACCAATCTCACTTAGACGACCACGAACTTTCCGACTCACAGATTCAGGCAACTCAGCCGGCGGCACAAACAGGCTCATGCGCGAAGGAGAGCCCGACTTGCGCCTGCTGATGGGCGAACCGGTCAAGAACCCGTCGGCACCCTCCCCCTCGTCGTCTTCAGCCTGGACATCGAGTCCCCAGAACCGCTTCGACGTCGAGCCCAAACTCGAGGTGGTATTGCTACTCCGCTTGCTCGACGCGCTCTCCCAAACGCTCGGTGTGGACTCCATGTCCCCGAGCTGTTCGTCCCCATATTCGATCGATTCCGTGGGGGCATCCACAGCAGACATGTCGAAGCCAAGCCCAACGTGGTTTGAGCCGAAAGAAAAGCCTCGACTCAGGCTGCTCTTTTGCCTGACGTGTTTCCTGCGCGATTTCAACGGGGTCACCTTGGCCCTAGCCATCGGACTCGTCTCGATCGATCGACCGAGGAGGTCGGACGAAGTGGAGGTGGGCAGGAAATGGTTCGTCAACGACATGCTCGATGCGCCTCGGCGATGACCACCCGTCTTCTTGTCGCTGGCACGTTTCTTGCTCCGTTGTTTGAGCGGCGTGACTTTGGCCTTTTCAAAGGACGACTCGGAATTGTCACCCAAGCCAGATCCGGCCGAGTGGGAATGGGGAAGGAAATGGTTGATCCCAGAAGCTGATGATGCTTCTCGTTGATGTCGACGGCTGGCGCTGGTGCTAGCGATAGGACTAGCTCGACACGGCGTGAAACCGAAACCGAGACCGTGAATAGATCCGGTAGTGGGCAAGCCGTCTTCTTGCGAATCCGATCGACCGAACGGTCGTCGTTTCATAGGTGAGGGCGAAACTGGCACAGTCAAAGGAGCATCCGGGACTTCGACGATAGGCTCGAACGTGAAAGCCGAACCCAAACTTCGATGAGTCCTCGTCTCCGAAACGGGCGCTTGTACCGATTCGATCACCCTCTCCCCGACGGGCGGGACGTTCTCCTTGCCCTTTCCACGTCCAAACAACCCCTTGACGCGGGTCTCTGCGCTGACGACCTTGTTGGGTCCAAAGAGCCCCCCAGTCAAGGGCGCGGGGAAAGCGGGCAAGGCGAACCCACCGAGGTCCTGCGTCGGGCTGTTCTCGAGCGGATCCATGTCTTGCAAGGCCGGCGCAAACGTCGAAGTGTAAGCCAAGCGCGGAGCCTTGGTCGAGTTCTCGGTAGGAGCGGGGAGGAAGACGTCTTCGCCAAGACCTAGACCTGCTGCAGGTCGAGGAGGTTGAGCCACCTTCTTCTGTTTCCTCGTCACAGGCCTAGAGTAGATCTCATCCTCCTCGTCATCTACCGGCACAGGCGCGGGTACAGGCAGGCTCGCGCTACTGGTCTGGGCGGACGAAGTGGAAGTTGAGGAGGAACCCGCCCGTCCTGCCAACGCGTTTGAGCGACTCGACCCGGCCCGACCACCCAATAACAACTGCCTGACAGGCGTATTCCTTAGCCCCGAGATCAAACTTGAACTCGTCGACGGAGGTTTGCCCGCTGTCTCTCGTAAGGCCGTCCTCGAAGCTTGTGCCGACCAGGTCGCAGGTCTGGTTTGAGCGCTATTATTATTGTTATGGTTGTTTGCGGTAGTGTGCGAGGTCGAAGCCGAAGACGTGCCAAACAACCTAGACTTGATCGTCTTGCTCTGATCCCCCGATTTCCCACGTCGGTGCGCATGCGAGGAAGAAGACATCGAGGTCGTGGTCGAAGTCGCGGTGGTCCTATTCTCCACCGTCTTCGTACCTACTCCCAATCCGAGCCCGGCAGTCGCATCCGCATTCGCGCTCGAGGACTTGGCCTTCTCAGCTCCTCCTTCCCTTGGGTTTTCTTTCCCCTGTCCTTGAGTTGGAACCACCCTTACACCAAACGGCTTGACCTCCTTCTTCCCATCCTGAACACCAGCGGGTGCTGCGCCTAGGTTACTCTTGTTCCCCAGTACGTTCCTCTTTGCTCCCGCTACACTCGAATTCACATTCTTCACACCCGCGCCGGTGGTGACGTTCTCATCCCTTCCTTGTCCGAGCCCCAATCCGAGCCCGAGCCCAGGAGCAGTACCAGACTTGGGACCGAAAGCCGACCTCCCCCTAACGCCAGTAGTCGAGCTGCTATGAGACGTAGAGGCGGGTCCGGGAGAATCTTGGTGGACGGCGAATAGAGCGCCTTTTTTATGTACGGCTGGCATGGTTCTTTCTCTCTTCCCTCTATTTATGAATGTGCTTCCGATCTGTTTGGTCAGCTTTTCGCTGCTGATACTAATGGCCAACGATGTCCGTCACTTGCTTTGCTGCCCGGTGACGATCCACTATTGACAGTCGGCCCGAGGTATTCTGATGATGATGACGAGGGTGTTTGTAGTGACTAATCTGGGAAAGAGTGCTAGTCCCCGTGTCGGTCGTGTCGATTTATCGCGTTGTGAGAGATTGCGTGAATTCGGCTGAGCTCGTAAGCGGGCCAGAAGGTGTAGAAGAGTAGAGTATCAGGTCCAGGAAGTTCCAGCAAGAACGGAATGTGTTCCGAATATCCAAAGATGTTGAGGTTCCAAGAAAGATTTGTCGTACTAGTATCGTCAAAGTCGCGTTGTGATGTCGAGTGTATTGTGTATCGCGTTGCGTCTCGTCTCGTATACGTTCAGTCTATCGTGTAGATCTCTGAGATCGAGGTCGTTCAAGTTCGTCTGTATGATTCATGACATTAGTACCATGTAGAAAGAGATGAAATCTCGAGGAGTCTCTGCAGAGAGCAGTCGGCGACTCACTATCCGAGAAGTGCGAGAATATCTTGTGTCTAAATCCTGGTCGCAAGTTAGAGGTCGAGGGCGCGTCGGGTGAGATGAGGATGACGACTTGTGAGGTGTAGTTGTAGTAGTCAAGATGGGAGGACGAGGAGAAGGACAAGTTGATGATCGAGAGCAAGAGGATCGAGGACGAGAGAAGAGCATCTAAGGAGAGTCGACGTGCTTCTTCTCTTTGGGGGGGTACGTACGGGGTGGATGATCAACTTTTGTTTTGATCCTTTGGCGAGAGTGAGCACGGACCACGCGAGCGAGTTGACCCTTGGTGGCGTCACATCGGTCATCGACGCGCACAAGGTGAGACAAATAACGTAAAACGAAGACGTAACGTGAGGATTGATCACGTGATCTCGGCCGAGGTTGGATCCCACCTGCTTGGGTCGTCATTCAACAATTCAAACATCTATCGTCTAGGTAGCAAGTAGCAACTAACGACACCCACTACACCTACAACCTGTGAGCTGTGATCTTATCATGAAAGCGGTCATCCAACGCTGTCTCTCCGCGTCCGTAGTAGGCGAGTCACAAGCACTAAACACGACTGACCAGACAGCTGATCGTCTTCAACGTCTCACTCGTTATAGTGGAAGGAGAGACCATCTCCTCGATCGGAAAGGGTCTCCTAGTCTTGGTCGGAATAGGGCACGGTCAGCACTCAAACGTTAGCTGATTGTAAAGATTTGAAACGCTGATCTGTACTTTGTATGTCGCGACGGACAGATGATACCCCGTCAGATAGCTCTCAGTTGATACGCAAGATCCTGAATCTCAGGTTGTTCGATGCCGACGCCGAGCCCCTACAAGCAGAGACAGGTATTCTGCAGGGTTCTGCTCCTTCTTCTTCGACGATGCCGTCGGTATCACCAGAAACGGGAGTAGCGGAAGGATCGGTGTCGACTCCGGTCAAAGAACGCTCCCGTGCTTGGAAACGCAGCGTGATGGACATCGACGGGGAGGTATTGTGCGGTGTGTTCCCAGCTCTAGTCTCTTATCCTGACTCCCGAGCGAAGTTTACCTTGCTCTGCTGACCGGAATTGTATTGGAAACAGTTTCACAGTTCACGTTGATGGCACGGACGGAAAAGGGGTCTAAACCCGGTCAGTCACCGATCGGATCGAGATCATCGGCTGTCGTCCTGACTTTCTTTTCCGTCTTTTGAATGTTCGTACTCGCCTCGCTTTGAACCACCTCGATGTTATATCTCTGTCCCGTCCAATAAACCTCTGAACCCAAACCTATAAAATCCTCATATCGCTCCTGGATACAAAATCGCAATCCGGAAAAAACGATCGAAACAGACTTTCATCAAGCCATGCCAGGTCCGTCTTCTAAACCGATGTACGACGAGTTCCTGGCTGGTCTGGGGAAGGCTTATAAGCCGGAGAAGATCAAGGGTGAGTCTGGCCTTATCGCGTTAGGTTTACGTTGCGTTACCACACGTCGAGTTTGATGTAAGACGGTCCTGATCGATTCTAACACTTCTTGTCTTGTCCGTGTTTTGGTGGACCGATCTAGATGGAAAATTCGCGGCGATGATGAACGTCTCGCTATGTAACGAAGGACCGGTGACGATCCTCCTGGACACCAAATCCAGCTCCAGCTCCTCAACTTCGAATTCGACTTCTAATTCCTCGCGGCCCGTCTCGCCGTCCACGTCAAAGGCTCCAAGCAGAGCGGGGACGCCGGCACTACAAGGATTGACCTTGGAGGAAAAGGCCGAGAAAGGGAAGGAAAAGGCGAGGATGACGAAGGAGAGGAAGATCCGAGCGAAGGCGGAATGGGAGGCTAAGAAGGAGGGAGGTGGTGATCAAGACGCGCCAATAATGACAGCGTCAGACTAGATTTCATTGACAGGGAGACGGAACACAACGTTGTAAAGCAAATGGAACAGAGCATAGATCCCACCACACATATATCAGACGACATAGTGAAGACAACTGTGGAGACTACCGGCGCCTACGTCTTGAATGCGGGGATCCGCACATCCACCTCCTCTTCCCCACTCAACGCGTCATCAGAATCCGCCGCGCCGAACAACCTCCTCTTCTTCCCCTTGTGGCCCCCACCCATCCGTTTACTCCTCGCCCTAGCTTCTTCCTCGTTATTGTGCCCCTCGGCGTGCGTCCGACGGAGGACGACGTTCTCGTTGCCGATATCGGGGATCAAACCGGTCGAGATGAAACGACGGCGACAGCGCTCGCTACCGTTTTCCATGTATTCTTGACGAGTGATCGGGAAGGTGGATAGGTAGTCTGGACGGAGGGTCAGGGCCTGGGCTCCGTAAAAGACTGGTTTGGTGGGGCTAAGAGGATTTCTCTGGATCAGTAAGCAGTCGCGGAGAAGACCAAGAGCTATAGACGGCCTCACTCTTCCGCCTCGAAGATCCCAAGCTCGTACTCTGCCGGACAGACAGCCCTGAGATCATTTTCCCTGTATGGAAGACCATCGTAATTGTCGTTTCAGCTCACGCGCGCGACGCACAAATCACGTCGATGAGGAAGGTGGGGGAGGGAGAACTGACAATCGTTCGCCAAACCCTTCCGTGCTGGCCAGTCCTCCGAACAGCCCGATGTTGGCCCACAACATCCCTTGGATGTCTTCAGGCATGCTCTCGATTACTTGAGCCACCGTCTCGACCAGGCCGGCTTGTTGCAAACCTACAAGTCAAGCGTTATCATCGATCAATCAGCTCTCCGCATATCTTATACAGAACAAGGTGGCATTAGGCAAGACCCACCGATGTCGCCGGGATTGAACAGAACCTCGGGAACGGAAAATCTCTCGTTGCTCATGTTGACCACATGCTCTTCACCTGTCGCGGCTGTACCTTCGGCTTGTTCTGGCGGTGGCACAGCATTAGGACCCGACTTGATGTAGCCTCTCGGGTTGGATGGGGTAAAGTCTGGGAGGCAATATTCCTGGACGATCGGGTTCTGTTTCGTTGGGAGTCTAAAGCGAGGAACCAAGCTCGGTCAGGACTCCGTCTCCGATCGTTCTGGAGGACGACCTGGGCTTTACCTAGCCCGCTCGAGATCCTTCTTCCAATCGTTCGTGACGTAACAACACTCTTCCCTGATCCGGTTGACGATATGCGTCTCGGCCATGAGGTCCCATTGCCGGAAAGACAACAACCTCTTCAACTGGTTGGTCAGCAGTTTACCGCCGACGTCGATCCTGAACACCCGACCCATGATAGTAAAAGGTCAAGCGCGAATGGTATGATCGTTTCAGCAAGCGCAACGGTGATCGGAGTCCGTGTATGAGCTCAACCCCCCGCGACTCACCTTCGAATCCCGCTCCAGACGACCTTGCCATCAACAACAGGCGTGACGTGCGAATAAGAATACCCCACATCGACCAAGATCGAGCAAGGCGCGTTGGGCGATCCGGGAATCTCGAAGAGACCGCCGTAAGGGACGAGTGCGGCCGCTAGTGAAGTTGATCGCAGCGGAGCGAAGTGGGGCATGTGGCAAGTACGGACAGGGGTAATTTTTATAGTTTCGGTAGTTATGCATGGGGTACAATAGAACAGGAGCGACAAGAGAGAAAGCAGTATAAGACACTTTATTCTGAACGATGACTGAATCTGAAAGACGGGAGATGCAAGCATGAAGAAAGGACAGACACCCTGACACGACCTGGAAGTGCCACCCCTGACCAGACCCTAACCACACGCTCAACTCACCGCAACTCCTGGCATAACTCGCAAACTCCCATTCTTCGAAGATCATCTGATCGTAATTCTCCCCCAAGGCCGGCGGGTTCAGGTAAGGTTCGGTGACTAGCAGCGAGGTCGTCGTCGCGTCAAAGTTGGGGAAACGGGTGAAGATGTCGTTGAAGATCAGGTTTTCGGGGTTCCAGGAGGTCAGTAGGCCCTAAAAGCGAATATCGTAAGCGTCATCGTAAGCATACGATAGTGCCGATTATAGGCGACTAGGCACCGCGCTCACCTTCTCGAACGGCCGGCGATAAACCAACCCGCCATGATCCTGCAAATCCTCGATATCCGCGCCATAATAGACTTTCTTATCCCGAGTCTTGACTAGACAGTTCTGGAACACCCTCGGTTCGTACGGGTCCACCGGTTGAACTTCGTCCACTTGCATGCTATTCTCGCCGGCATCATCTTCCTTGACCTTGAGATTGTTGCTCTTCTTTCCCCGCTTAGCTTTTTTGCTAGATTTCTTCTTCGGTCTACCGCCGGACGGCCCGGCTTCGGCTTCGAGTTGAGCAGTGTACAGGCCATAAGGGTCGTTATAGGGCGAATAGTTTGCCTTGATGGTATAGGCTCCGTTATCGATGATGAAGATGCTCGTCGGGTCCGTCATCTTGACAGACCGAGTAAACAGTATTGATTCGTCTTCGGAACAACGGATAACCTACTTTGATAAGTGGAGATACGTAACGGTTAGCGTGACGATCTAGAAGCAACATGACAACGATAGATTTTCCAGCCTTGCGAGATAACAGGAGGATGGCTTGGTTTGGTTCAGACATGCGATCTTAATCAACGCTCTAGATGTCTCAAAGGAGAACAAGGCGAGCTAAGCAACAGCCTTCTAGTTGAATTTTTGATTGAAAGTTGCGATTCATCATAACACGACAATTGCGCGCTGTGGGCTTCGATGGCGGGAAGGAGTAGGGTTACAGAACGGGAGATAGGATTCAAAAACCAAGAAGAGAAAGATGATGCTTACGATTTTTTGGTGGTGTTGTCAAGAAAGGAAAAGAGAAAGGCATGGGGAATGTGGAAGAGGTTGAGGTTGTGGAAGTTGAATCTGCGGTATTTGTACTCGTCGAGCTCAAGGAAGGAAAAGACGCGTTAGGGGACGTGGTTTGACTTTGTCATCCGCGGTGTCGCCTTTCGGTCAAGCCTTGTACGTGATTCAAGGCGCCACGTTGGGAGAGAGAGGGAGAGCGAGCGCCTTTACCTTGGGAGCGAGAAGTGTCCGGAACGCATCATCGTCGAGAATCATTCGAATCGAGTTTCATACCATAATTCTCAAGCTACTCTCACGAACAGACATCCCTTTATCACATCTAAACCTACAAAGGGTTCGAAAAATTACAGAGAAACGTAGGTCATCCTTTGGGTCCTGAGAGCTCGGGACGATCGTCAGCGGCAGTTGGAATGCCCCGCACGCAAAAGCTGACGTACGAGACATTCCATTCTGCTCTTGTGAACCTTCAGGCATAACGACCTCTCGTTTCGGTGCCCTCATCCTTCTCATCACACACTCGAGGGATCCAGGAGAATAGATATATCAGCATAGACAACAGCGCATTTCTTCCTCGAACCATGTCTCAACCAGCTCAGGATTCGGCTTCGGCTGCTACCAACGGCTCGGCCTCTGCTGCCGCCAAGCACTCGGCTACTCAGATCGGGTTCCAATTCGTCAACCAGTACTAGTGAGTCGATCTTGAGGCTCGATTGAGGTTGAGAGGTGGAGTGATTGCTGACAAGGTCGGCATAATCTTGGGGCGAATTACAGCACTTACCTGAACAGCTCGACCGAGAAGCTGCATAGGTTTTACACCAAGAGGTCTACTTTCTGTCATGCTACCGAGGGAGACATCGATCCGCCCGAGTACTACGGCCAACAGGTGAGTCTACCAACCCGTACCCGTTAGAGGCTTTTCGACAAGCTGACCTTGACTGATCTCGCAAACCGTTTCCGCTCTTCAGGACATTCACAACAAGATCATGTCCCTCGGATTCCGCGACCCCAAAGCCTTTGTCCACCACATCTCTGCTCAATCATCTGAAGCTGGCGGGATCCTGATTCAGGTCATCGGCGAGATGCAGAACGGAGACGACGCCCCCTGGAAAAAGTTTACCCAGACCTTCTTTTTGGCGGAACAGCCTAACGGGTATTTCGTCCTGAACGACATTTTCATGTACTTGAAGGAGGAGAACGAGTTTGAGGAGGATGAGCCGGTGCAAGATGAGGAGCATGGGGATGTTGTCGATGCCGAGGAGAGCAAGCCGGTCGAGGAGGTCGCCGCCAAGGAGGAAGCGCCTGTCGCCGAGGAAAAGGAGGTCGAGGCAGCGCCCGCCCCCGTCGAGGAGAAGAAGGAGGAGGTCGCCCCCGCTCAGCCTGAAGAGGTCAAGCAGGACGAACCCGCTCCTACCCCCGCCCCCGCTGCCGAGAAGGAGGAACCCGTCGAGGCTGCCCCGGCTGCTGTGGAAGAGGAAAAGGCAGAGACCGCTCCGGAACCTCCTGTTAGCGAGCCTGCCGAGACTCCCAAGGCTGAACAGCCCGTGGAAAGGGTCGAGCAGAAGAAGGAGCCCGAGCAGCCCAAGCCTCAACAGCAACAACAGCCGGCCAAGCCCGCTGCCGCCCCAGCTCCTCCTAAGCCTACCGGACCTCCTCCTCCCAAGACCTGGGCTTCGCTTGCCGCTCAGGGATCCAAGGGAGCTTGGGGCAACTCGCTCGCCAGCAAGGAAGCCGCTAGTACGAGCGCTGCCGCTCAACAACCCGCTCAGACCCCCGCCGCTGCCCAGCCTGCTAAGCAACAGCAAGCCAGGCCGGCACCCAAGGAGCAACAACAACAGAGTGGAGCTAGTACCCCGGCTGCTGCTGGGCAACAGGCGCTCGGAGGTCATCCGGCCGGAAAGTACCCCCAGCTCGACGCTGCCAGGGCCGTCACCACCAACATCTGTTTCGTCAAGGTGAGTCCTGCGCAAGTGGAAAGCATCAGGCGGGATGGCTGATTTTCTAATTTTGTTCCGGCAAACTCGTTGCCCCTTTCCAGTTGAACAACTGGCAATCGCAGGAAACGACCCCTCCCGTGTCCGAGGCCGTCCTCGGTAACACGCTCGGCAAGTACGGCGAGATCACCAAGATCGATTTCGTAAAGACCAAGGCTTGCGCTTTCGTCGAGTACAAGTCGGTAGAATCCGCACGACGGGCCATCATCGCCTCGTTGAGGACGGTCGACGGAGGAGAGGGTGGGATCAAGATCCCGGCCGAGGGTGGTGGTTACCAAAAGATCATCGTCGAGAGCAGGAAGGAGAAGGAGGACCGGGGCAAGGGAGCCTTGCCTGTTGGAGCTGGAGGCGCACAGGGTCAGGGTGCCCAGGCCGGGCAGGGGCCTAGGAGGCAGGGTCAGCAGGGTCAGGGTCAAGGTCAGGGCGGACCGAGGGGCGGACAGGGTGCAGGTGGGCCGAGGGGAGGTGGACGAGGCGGACGGGGAGGACAGCAGGGCCAGGGTCAGAACAGGCAACAACCGCAACAACAACAGTAAGGGCTGGCAACACGCTCGCTTCGCTCGCACTCTTCTTTGCATTCGGAAATCAACTACGATCACGATCCCTTCTTTTCGATTCTGAGCGATCAGGATGAAGGAAGATGACGGATATAAAAACAACGCAAAAATCCCCAAAATAACGAACTCGCGCATCTCCCCCTCTCTCCTTCCCTCCCTCTTGTCTCCTACCCCGCCGATTTTCACCTCCCTTCCTTAATCCCGACATACCCCTTCCCTCTACCCTATCCTGCCTCCCGCTGCTCTCTCTTCGCTGTACCCAACCTCGATTCGCGGATGAGGAGAAGAGTATATTCTTTATGTTTTGTTCTTTATGTAGAAAGGTGGAAGCTGGGGCATAAATTGATGAAATTGATGACATTCAGGTCTGTTGGGTTACAGTTCTAGGTGGTCGTCTGAGCTGTGATCGGATAGCAATATGCCGATGTTATCGACAATCAGAATTCAGGTGCCTGAGAGCGATTCGATGCCGGCATTAGTGACGTGATCCTTTCTGCACGGTAGTCGTCGAGTCCATGGTCTGATCAGTGGAATGGGGTGAGCGTCAACAACAACAACAAACGACAAATCAAACAAACACCATCGCCCATCATCATCAAGCTCATCAAGCATGAAGCACATCAACAACTCGACAACCAAGACATACCTACACGTCCAATCTTCTTGATCGGCTCCATTATTCTTGTGTTAGCTCGTTAAAGCAGGGACTTGCAAAGCAACTCCGCGTGCTGAAGCAACACTCTCGGCCGAAAGAGAGAGGTCTCTTCGACCGTCCTCTGCCGGTAAGCCAAGCAATCTTTTCGGGCGATTGATATTCCACTCAAGAGATCTAATCGTGCCTCAAATCTGCTTTTCCCACCGTCGCAGTGATGGCCTCCGTACCGAGCGGTGCGTCTAGACGTACGAGCCAGATGGACGACGGGCTCTCTGGACTGCCCAACAACGCTTACAACAACCATTCGAATTCCAACTCTACACGCGGGACCCGGTTTACGGCTCGTTCCGCCGCTCATTCGACACTTCAACATAGCAATGGGACTTCAATCACTGGACTGCCGAGGACCGAAGTTGGGATGGGGTATTATCACAACGCTTCGGATTCGGATGGGACAAATCACGGGGATGGCAACAGGGACGAGGGTGACATGGAGGAAGTCTTGGAAGACCTGTTGAACCCGGTCTCAAAGCAGCTGGACTTTGCTAGTCGACTGGGGCAAGAACTCGTTGCTCAGCGGAGTACGTTGGAAGAGCTGCAAAGTCGGTGGCAAGATGCGAAAGAGCGGGGAGAGGTGGATACAGCTAGGGATGTCGAGAGGGAGATCAAGATGAAGAGGGAGGAGTATGCGGGGACGACGATCAGTAGGCTCAAGCAGATTGCCGAATCAGTGAGTTCGCGAGCCATTTCTACGTAGCACTCAGTGCGACTCGTCAGCTAATCGGGTTTGATGTCATGCTCAGGGAGAATACCCTCTACTCAATCCCTCGACCGTCCCCCAGACTCCATCCCGATCCGCAAGACGCAAAACCGAAGACGATCCCTTTATCGACTCATGCGTCTCGGCCCGCCGAACCCGGATGAATCAGACCCCCACTTCCGCCCGTTTTATGTCGTTCCCTACCACTTCACACTCGATTGCGGACATCGAGAACCACGATATCAACGATCAGGACGAGACAGGAGCCGGAGCTGGGAGCGGTGGGGAGATGGGATTCTTGGTCGCTGAGCATATGACGACGGAGTTGAGACGGTTGATGGCCTTGCTATCGGAAAAAGACGTCGCGCTCAAGGAAATGCAGGAAAAGGCTAGAGTTCTTGGAGAGGAAGAAGACGGCCTTAGGAAAAGGTTAGAAATCTCCAACGGGCAGCAAGGTAGGTGCCGAGCGTTTGAAAGATTGTGCTTGATCATGCTCCGGTACTGACCCTCGTGATCACGTCCAGAACGCACAACCGAAAGGATCTGGGAGTTGGAAATGGCAGAACAGACCCTTCGCACCGAAATCTCTGCCGCCCAGGCCTCCCTGAAGAAATCCGAAAACGAGCTCAAGAAGACGGCCAAGGAACGGGACACGGCGAGGAGCGAGGCCGAGACGTACAAGTCCGAGACGGATCGCTTGACCTTGGCGGCGCAGACCCAGAAACAGCACTATGAGACCGAGATTGCCAAATTCAAGGGCAAGGCCGGGGCGCTCGAGAGGGACAAGAGCGATCTGGCTCAACAGCTTCAACGGGTGAAACAGCGCAAGAGCGTCGGGTCGGGATTGCTGGGGTCGGGTGGAAGATCGCCGACGGCTTCGCCCTCTCCTGGGTTGCTCACCCCCGACGATGCGAAACGGCGCGGACGTGGTAGTCTGGCCGACGACGAGGACGTCTTTGGTGCTGGAGACGAGAACAAGAGGCGCGGGCCGGGATTGGACGCTAATGGTGATCCGTTCAACCCGGACGATATTTACGGTTCCGATTTCGGTGACTCGCCTCATAACTCGGCGTTCGGATCTGAAGCTCGGGACAGGAGCCCGCTGGCGCCCTTGCCGGATGTCAACACTTGGGAAGACACGCAGGCCCGGGTTGTCGAGCTGGAAGAAGAGTTGGCGAGGCTGAAGGATGAACAAGCTCGACGGGAACGAAGATCGCCAGCTCTTGATTCGACGTTTGACTCGCCCATTGCGCATATCAGGCGAGGAGGTGCGATCCGAGGTAACCCAAGGGTCGTCTCGAGGGGGATCCGAGGCGTCCGGGCCGGTCGTGGAGGTAGGCGAGGAAGCGTATTGGCGAGGTATCCGTCTACCAATGAAGGAACGCCCAGCAACTACTCGGCCAGCCCGGTCCGCCCGTCTCCTCTGGGTAGCGGAGGTTACTCGAACGCTTACAGTGCCGATGGCATCGAAACACCTGCAAGACCGTCCTCACGATTGGCTCAACCGCTTGGAGATTATGGCGACCTAGATTCTCCCGACTCGGCACGTAGCGAGGCGTCGACCGGACTGGATCCTTCGGAAGATGGTATGCTCGTCAGGGATGCCAGTAGCTTCCAGGGAGCTGTTGGGACGCTCGGTGACGAGTTGGACTTCGACGAAAGCGACGAGACTGCTCAGGTGGAGTCCACTTACGTCGATGTTGGTACTATGACGGATCCAATCGAGCTCGACATCGCTACTGCTTCGGCCATGTCTATGCCTGATACCGACACTTTCGTTCAGACCTTGGAAACTTCAAGCAGCTCCTCTCACGACTATACCACACCCACCAACTCGACATTTACCGTCAAGGCTCAAACGACCGCATTTAACACGCCCCGAGCCATTCCCAGGTCGTCGACCATCCGGGGCGCTGTCGCGCGGACCTTGAAACGGTCTGATTCTGACGAGACTATTGGTCCCGCTGACACCGAGACCGAGGGTGAGACCGATTATGAAGATGCTCGAAGTATCATCACCGTGACCGCTGGATCTACCGCTACGGATACGGATGCCTGGCACACCGGGGCCGAATCGAGCGCCGACGATGACAGCGATCAGGAGAGCATCCGAGCGCCTCACTTTTCGAGATTTAGCACTCAGACTACCCCGCGCATGGCCAGTCGCACATTCGCCGCGCAACCCCAACCCGAGATCAGGGAAGTCATCAAGGAGATCCAGGTCGAGGTCGTCAAGGAGGTGATTCGCGAAGTGCCCAAGCCTTACGAAATCATCCGGGAAGTCGAGGTCATTGTGAATGTTCCCGTACCGTTCGAGGTCCTACGCGAAGTCGAAGTGGTACGAGAAGTCCCTACGCCCTACGAGACCATCAAAGAGGTCGAGGTCATTCGGAAGGTGGAAGTAATCAAGGAGGTTCCCACGCCGTTCGAGGTCATCAAGGAGATCCCTACGCCTTATGAAGTGATTCGGGAGGTCGAGGTGATCAAGAAGGTACCTATCCGTATTCCTTACGAAGTCATCCGCCACGTCGATGTGGTGAGGGAGGTCCCTACACCTTACGAAGTCATCAAGGAGGTCGAGGTGGTACGAGAGGTACCCATTCCTTACGAGGTCATACGCGAGGTCGAGGTGATTCGCGAGGTACCTACACCGTACGAGGTCATCAAAGAGGTCGACAAACTGGTCGAAGTACCGGTTGAGGTATTCCGCGATGTGTTCGTGCCGGTACCGATCGAGGTCATCCGGATTGTCGATCGCGAAGTGATCAAGGAGATGGAGCGTATTGTCGAGGTACCGGTCGACAGAGAAGTCATCCGAGAAGTGCCCGTGATCGTGGAGAAGCAGATCGAGATCGTCAAGGAGGTACCGATCGATCGCATTATCGAGAAGATTGTCGACCGGGAAGTCATCAAGGAAGTGCCAGTCGACCGGATCGTCGAAAAGCTGGTAGATCGGGAAGTAATCAAGGAGGTGCCTGTCGACAGGGTCGTCGACCGTGAGGTGATCAGGGAGGTCCCTGTTGACAGGATTGTGGATCGCGAAGTAATCAGAGAGGTTCCCTTCGAGGTCATTGTGGAAAAGCCTGTTGATCGGGAAGTAATCCGGGAAGTACCGATCGAAGTCTTTGTCGACCGACCCGTCGACCGGGAGGTCATCAGAGAGGTGGAGAAGATCATCATCAAGGAAATCCCCGTCGATGTTGTCCGGGACGTACCGGTACCTTTCGAAACGATCAAAGAGGTCGTTGTGGAGAAGATCGTCAACGTGCCAGTGGAAGTCTTTGTCGATCGAGAGGTGGTACGCGAAGTCTTTGTCGACAAGCCGGTTGAAGTCATCAAGGAGGTTATGGTTGACAGGCCTGTCGAGGTAGTCAAGGAAGTGATGGTGGACAGACCTGTCGAAATCATAAAGGAAGTTATGGTCGACAGGCCGGTAGAAGTCATCAAGGAGGTGATGGTAGACAGACCCGTCGAGGTCATCAAGGAGGTGATGGTGGACCGGCCGGTTGAAGTGATCAAGGAGATCATGGTGGATAGACCAGTCGAGGTGATCAAGGAGATTACCGTCGACAGGCCTGTAGAAGTCATCAAAGAGGTCTTTGTGGATCGTCCCGTCGAGGTCATCAGGGAAGTCATGGTGGATCGGCCAGTAGAAGTGGTCAAGGAGGTCATCGTGGATCGACCGGTAGAAATCGTGCGAGAAATCGAAGTAATCAAGGAAGTCGAAGTTCCAGTCGAGGTCGTCAAGGAAGTCTTCGTGGACAGACCTGTGGAGGTTATTCGCGAGGTCGAAGTCGTCAAACAGGTCGATGTCCCCTACGAAGTCGTCAAAGAGGTCGAGGTTATCAAGGAGATTGTGCGAGAAGTGCCGGTCGAAAAGGAAGTGGTTCGCGAGGTCTACGTCGATCGAGAGGTCATCAAGGAGGTCCCCGTAGACCGGGAGGTCGTTCGCGAGGTCTTTGTTGATAGGGAGGTCATCAAGGAAGTTCCTGTCGATCGAGAAGTTATCAAGGAGATTCCGGTTGATCGAGAGGTCATCAAACAGGTCGAGGTCGCCAAGCCTCGTGCCGCTCACAGGGACATGATGACGCAGACGGATACCGTGCCATCCATGTCGACCAGCTTGAGCGCACCCGCTCCTGACATTGGTCTCTTCAGGGTCACGTCGGGATCCAATATGGACTTCCTCAAGAACCCGCCCTTGCCGTCTGCTTCAAGCAGTACCTTTGGTCGACCCACGGTCCGAGTCAAGCAACGCTCCAGCAGTCCGACCAGGCCGATTCGACTGGCTGTGGGCGGTCGAGATGACGAGTCTGATTCCCACGCCCCGTCTGATCGAGAGTATGCGCCCAAGTCGCCCGTCTTCTCGATACGCTCGATCGCTTCGGTCGACAGGTCGCAGCCACCGGTCATGTCGCTGCCGCCGCCCCCAACCGCACCACCACCTCCGGTCTTGCCTGTCAAACTCGCTCCGGCTTTGCCACTCGCGCCGCCTCTGGCTGATCTGAGCCAGAACCGTGCCAAGACCCCCATGAGTGCCGAATTCAACAAGCCCAAGGCATTCTTGGTACCTGAAAACGGATCACGAACGAACGCAAACAGCATGCCGCCCCCGACCGCCTCGAGGCAGACTTCGAGCGCAAGCTTGCGATCCGCCATGAACAATATTCCTACCGATGAGAACCGATACGGCACTCGCAAGAGCATTGAGCAGAGCAGAGACGGCGTCAAGCGTCTTGCAGATGTGGTGGTTGGCGGGCGTCCTGGTGCTCTCAAGGCGCAATCCCGAACCGCCAGTTACGCATCCTCGCGATCGAGCGACTATGGTCACACCAAGATGCCGACCGGTCTGGCTAGGGAGTTGGGCATGCCTTCGTCTAGCGATCCGGCGCTCATCCAGGCCATTACCCAGGTCATGATTGGAGAATTCATGTGGAAGAATACACGAAGCAGGTTGGGCAAAGGGATGTCCGAAAACCGACACAAACGGTTCTTCTGGGTACACCCGTACGTCAAGACGTTGTACTGGTCTCCTGTCGATCCCGGCGGTGAGAATACGGCAGAGGCACGGTCGAAGAGCATCTACATTACCGGGATCAAGGTGATGAAAGAGGGGGGTGCAGCGGATCCTGGCACATGGCACGAAAGTATCATCATTTGCTCGCCGACAAGAGAGGTTCAGATGACGGCCATGTCCAAGGATCGACATGATGCTTGGGTCAATGTGAGTCCGCAGTGTTGAGATCCTTTCGAGCGCATTATCAGCTACTGACGATCGTTGTTTCTACAGGCCTTGTTGTTCCTGTGCGAGCGACCGGCACCATCCTCGAGGCGTGAACGCGCCAGCATCGTGCCCATCGAAGCCTTGACGACGCCGATACGGAAACCGTCCAGACCGGAACTGCCCGACGACTTTGGTCGACGCAAGACACCTCATTCGATTCGAAGCATGAAAACGTATGCTACCGAGAGCGTGACCCCTCGGGCTGGGGACGGACCCCGAAGTCAATCGGCAATGTCGATGCGATCGACTGTTCGAGGAAAACGACCGGGAACGCCTGCACACGAATATCTGTCGAGGCTCGACGCCGGTCTCCCTGTCGACGGGTTGCTCAGCGTGAATGGACGTGCGAGCATGAAACAGGACCATGATACGCTGCGTTATGGCGAGGGGAACGATACGGTCGGCGACTTTGAGGACTTGGAGAATGTGCGAGGTAAGTCGAGCGTGCAGACCAAGCCAACGAGGCCACGCGCACTGACCAACAATACATACTTGAATAGTGTCTTATGAAGGCGACCACCGATCGATGTCTGGCAAGAGATCCCTTGCGCGGTATCGCGATGCCGGTTCGTCTCGACGCCCATCGGTTGCATCACAATTGACCGCCCCCTCCCAGCACTCTCGCAATCATCCACCACGCTCGCCGTCTGCGTGGTCTTATCGAAGTGGGATGAGACGGGGAAGCGAATTGTCAGAATCATTGTCTGCGGTGGGAGACGAAACGTTGACGCCTGGGAAGCTTCGACAAGCCTCGGGGGACTCGAGCATCCGCCTGCCGCCTGTACCTCCCATTCCACAAGACAGTCGGCGAGACACCGAGGACGCTGGCGCCACTCCCAGCATGAAGAGTCGGAAAAAGAGCCTGATCAAGAAACCGAGTCTCAATTTTAGGGGATTCGGGTCGAAGTCGAATCGGTCTCAGAGCCGCCCCAATTCGCCCTGAGCGGTTGAGGCAATGGCGTTACGAATCATTTTGGGTCGAAAGAGTTTTGCAGAATCGGAATACCTTGTACGAATACAGAGATCTGACAGATACGACGCGAACGATAATATGATTGCTATGATTGTTATGAACGCCTGGGCTGTACAAGCGCGAACCAAATGCGACATGAGTAATATATTGCAAGTGATGTGAGGAAGATATCTTTTTCGATGTACTTCAAGCAATTAGCAGCTGGTATAGTAAAGAAGACGATCCGAAATGGAAGATGCACAATTTCAACAAGATAATCCATACATGGCAGCCGTTCCTACCGCAGCTAGAACAATCTTGCTGAAGGGCAAGTCGGTCGTCGTATCGCTAGCAGCTACGCCACTCGTGACTGCGTTGATCTCATCATTCAACTTGGCCACGTACTCGTTGTACTTCATCGCCACGTCTGCCCAATTCTTCGGGTCCTCGGCCTCCTTCAAAAGTCGGTCGAGCATGTTCTTGAAGTCTCGGTACTTGTTTTCTTCATCGGACACCGTGCCCAGCTGCTCTTTGGCGTCTGCAATGATGCTCTTGAGCGCCTCGTATATGTCAGGATCCTCACCGCCTGGACCCCCATCTTCTTCGTGTACATCAGTCCCCAGACCCACAGGCAGACTGTGATGTTTCGAGTAGAAGTTGTTACGCCATCTCCCGCCGAGCGGTGTTGTGGACAGACTTGTACCGCCGCCGCCTTTGCCTCCTTTACCACCACCACCACCACCGCCACCTCTACCTCCGCCGCTAGCTCCGCCACCTTTCTTCTCGTTCGTCTTGGCTACAACGATGACCTTTGCGTCTTGATTGCCAGATGTCGCGCTGGACTGGCCGTCATCAGATTTCGAGAAGAAGCTGGAAGTCTCGGTGGGGGCGGTGTTTAGTCCGAATATTGTAGTCATGCTCCCTTCCCCGTTCGCTGCAGTAGCTACAGTAGAACGCGTCGGCATCACCTCTTCTAACCATAATGATGACGCAGGGTACACAGAAGACATATCTTGAGACGGGACGTGGGTTGTTTGAGGTGGATGAAAGGGTGAGACTGAGGGTTCCCTGCCGAGTAAGATGCAAAGTGCTGTTATCACCCAGTACGTTTCTGACCCTTCCCGCTATATACTGCGAGAGGACCATCTAATCCTGATGTGTATCAAGGGGCGATGCACAGCATTGGTCGACTTCCTTTGATCTCACTATAGTCGCGTCAGAAATCGTGATACAGCCACATGAACAACATCCCGCGGCACGCGAGGCGCGAGGACGAGGTGAAACACGAACATCAAGTTCGTCACACGCAACTGATGCCAAGCCGAAAACGCAATCGATGATTAGAACCCGGGGACAAGCAAAACGCCTTTATCCACGAGGACAAGGGGGCGATGTGACGACGTCTAGTATGAAGATGACAAGAATGAGAGTATCGCAGAGCAGAACCGAGACCGGGAATGCAGGATGAGGAGAGACGAGGCAACCGGAGAGGGGTATCGTTCATGGGTTTAGTAGCGAAACAGACCAGACCAGGATCAGAGGATGGACCTAGATCAGATTTTTAGTTGGCGGGCTGTATGTGCAAAACGGGTCAAGGAGAACATGATCAGCTGATTGTGGATATGACGTGATCTTGCGTCATGAAGTCGTGCTCACCTTTCGGACGATCCACAAAGCCATAGGACTATACGTCAACACAATCAAAGGAGAACCCCACCAAAACCAAATCAGCTCCTGCGCTTCAATACACATGACGCCCACACCCTGAATATCGACTCACGTGAACAACTTGCTCTGTCCACCGGCGACGAGCGCGTTTCCGGCCGTCTTCAAGTCCTCGCCGACCGAGTAGGTTCCCTTGGGGACCATGCCGAACTTTTCGAGGCACCAGACGACGTTCTGGGTGACGGCGGACCCCATTCGGGAAGTCCTCCAGCATGTGAAGGCTACAGCGTATCATCAGGATGTTCGGGTCAGTTCGGGTGAGCGAGGTAGATGGGGTCCGGGAAATGGGAACGTACCGTCCCACAAGGTCTGGGCCTTGCGGATGTCACCCTCGAGAGGGTAGTACCAAGGAACGTGATCGTCCCTCTCGGCCAGATCCTCCTCGTGCTCGATCACAAACCCAACGCTCTTCAACGCCTGCCTGGCGTTATCGTACCCCCTCATCTCGGGAATCCCGTCACCCAACTCGATCTCGTGCGCGATCTTCCTGTGTTGAGGGTTCGAGGCGTCGTATCGGTCCGTCATGACCCATTCGTAGACACCGAAGACACCACCGGGCTTGAGGACCTTGAAGATCTCGCCGTAGACGCCCTCAAAGGTCGGGGCATGGCAGGTGGCCTCGATGGCGTAGACTACGAGGTTGGCAGGATGATGCAGATATGCGGTCAACGCACTGTTCTACAGTCGAGAGTGACTTGTCTTGCCTATGCGAAGACCAGGGACTCACCGGCATCGAAAGCGTTCTCCCCAAACTGCTCCGAGAGCTTCATAAAGTCCCCCTTTTTGAAATCGACCAAATGGCTCAACCCAGCCTTTTCCGTGTACTTTCGAGCCCGGGCGATCTGGAAATCGTTGTTGTTCAACCCGGTGATCCTGGCGTCGGTAAAGTTGGCGATCTGACGGGCGGGGCCACCGACACCGCAGCCGACGTCGAGGACCTTCATACCGGCCTTGATACCGATTTGAGCGGCGAGGTAGTGTTCGTGACGAGCGAGCTGGGCGAGTGGGAAAGTAAGGTGGGTATCGGCATGTTGTGGTTAGCTTTGATGGACGGTAAACTCTCAACGAGACGACCATCACATCACGGGTACATCCCCGTCGCCGGACTCGACAACGAGGACGACAATGGCGTGTGGCAGACTGGAAGAGAGATGAAAGAAAGGATCTGTGTGGCAGCACTCACCGAAGCGTTGAAACCCTCTCCCTTGTAGAACCTGGAAAAGTGGAACGAGGTACCCCAACCGTACTCGTACAGCTCGGTGGCTCCGTCGTAGTATCCTGCGTGGCCATAACGCACGTAGCACAGTATGATGAGAGAGTACCGTGATGTGATGGTTGATTGAGCGGTGGTAATAGGAAAGGGGGAAAAGCGTAAAACGGAATTGATCAGCCTCTCGTATCATACCGCATGATCACCCAAAAACAACCGCTATGCGGGCGACCATGGTGACTCTTACCGTTGACAACATCGGTGTACTGGTCCAGTCTGTTACCCTTGTCGGCCTCGGTGTCCTGAGCGGAATCCTTGTTCCAGAAATTGCTGTACTGGCTCGTCCTCGTCTCTGACCTGAGGTCGCCGGCCTTGTGAGCCTTGTGGGCAGGCTGCGACTTGGTGGAAACGTGGGCCGAGGCCGGGAGGGGCTTGTTGTTGATCGAAGTGACGGACATGGTAGGCAGAGTCAAAGGGTGTGAGGTTGAGCTGAGGGTCGAGGACAGGTGGTCGGTGGGCGGGCAGGTGGTTGACGAGGTTGATTATATCAACGAATGCAACGTACCACGCTGCTGCTCGCTGTTCGTTCCTCGTACGATCAGACGATTCTCTCCATCAACCACCCACGCGCGACGCGCAAACAAAACAAGATCGTGTCGTTCCCTTCCATCATTCCACTGGCCACTGGGCACTGGGCAGATCGTACCACCCAATCGCACCCTGAACAATTCAAATGGGCATTCATCGCTCCTACTCTTCGGTCATCGTCGAATTTGCTGCCCTACCGTTCCGTATCTAAAATCTCAATGGAGCCATCAATCCCATCAAGATCCATCCATTCCCAACTTTTCTGAAATGCCACGCGCAAAAAAGAAAACACGCTCTCTCGCTGCTCGGTAGCATTTCCTGCCAGAAGTGGCTTGTGGAAGGCTTGCTTACGTAATTTACTTCCGATCAAACTTAGCTTCCGGATGACCGAGGGTTACGAACGTCGTGCAATCAATTTCGATGATCTTCCGAACATGGTCGTCAAGTATGAAACGCCAAAAGAACCCACTTGGTAATTCTAGTCACGAAACAGCTTCGATAGATGGATAGAGCATGAAACACACCCTCGATCCTCGCCGTCTCATCTCCTTCTTAGCGCTCCTCACCGTCTCCGTAATCTTCCTGACGAGCATGTGGAAATCGACTGCTACCAAATCCTCTTCGGGGTGGAAGAGCAACTTGGGGCTTTCGCGGTTCGGAAAGGCGGGCAAGGAGGCTGTATCAAAGTCTGAGCAGGTGGTTCTTGGTGGTAGTGGGAATACGACGGTAGAAACGGGTGAGGGAGAGAAGGGGAAGGGTCAGGAGGTACCGGATGGGAAAGTCGGGGAGAAACCTGGGAGGAGAAGACTCAAGATCGTCACCGCTCATTTCATGGCCAGTCCTGCCCTCTTTTTGGTTCCTTGATGCCTCAACTCTCACTGATTCTGCTGGATCTTTCCCTGCTCCTCCTCCCTCTTCTCCCTGTTTCAATATCCCTCGGCCGACTGACAGCTAGGGAACACCTACCCCTACACCCCCTCCGACTGGCACCAAACCCTCGACCTAGCCTACCAAACAGGCTTGGACGCTCTCACGCTGAATCTGGGGCCGGAGCAGTGGCAAACGGATCAAGCTAGGGTCGCTTATCAGTTGGCTGAAGAGAAGATTAAGATTCGAGATCAGGATCAAGGTCGGACCGCTAAAGTGGGGTTGAAGCTGTTCTTGAGCTTGGATATGAACGTCCTACCCTCCTCTACCCTCGAGGAGATGGACAGGCTGGTCGATCTCGTCCTCGAGCTGGGATCTTCGGCTGCCCAGTTGAGGATATTTGATTCCGAGGACGACGACATTGATGAGGATGAAGATCAGGCCAAGAGGAAGAACAAGAGAAAGGGCAAGGTCGTATTATCGACGTTTGGGGGTGGAGATTGTTCGTTCGGAGGAGCTGGGTGGGAGGGATTCTTGAAGGCTTGTCGAGGACGAGGAACCGAGGTGAGCTGGTCTATCACTATTTCGATACAATCAATCACATTGTTCCTCTTAGCCAACGATATACTGATGACCGATGAAACGCAAATCGCACAGATCTACTTTATCCCCGCCTTCTTCCTGCCACCCGAAAAGATCCTGGGGATGGATTACCTGGACGGGACTTTCAATTGGAATGCCGCTTGGTCAGTCCTCCCCTGCATGACTCCCGACTCGAGAGCAAGATCATCCTGAAGCTGAAGTTTACGACCTGATTTCTGCGTGAAGGCCGATGGGGAACTATACGACCTCGTCAATCGAGGATCGTCCTTTTCTCGAGAGCGTGAGTCCGTGACACGTCTCCTGTCCTTTGGAACTGGTTAGGATCGAAATAACAACATGGACGTCTTATGAATGATTTTGGTTAGGACAAAGCGTACATGGCAGCCGTCTCGCCCTGGTTCTTTACGCATTACGGAAAGACGGGCGATTGGGCTTGGAACAAGTGAGTCCCTACCTGTCTTCTCTATTTTGTCCACGAAATCCCGACCTTGACAGCTGACGCAAGCATCATACCGTTCACCTTTTTTTCCACCTGTGATCCCTCTGCGTGAAACTTAAGAAACTGGATTTACCGGTCAGACGACCACCTTTACGCAACGCGCTGGATGAACATCTTGGCATCGGACTTTGACCCAGAGTTCATCCAGATCATCAGCTGGAACGATTATGGCGAATCCCATTGTCAGTCCTCCCGTCTTACCCTTCGTGTACACGTGGTGGTCGTCGTCCTGTTAACTGACGAGTCTGGAATCTGTTTTTGGGCTAGATATCGGCCCGATTCTTGGCGCTCAACCTGGTTCGGAACGCTGGACGAACGGGATGTCTCATGAGGGATGGAGGCAGTTGACCTCGTGGTTTATCAGACGTTATAAGGGCATGCCTTTGAGCGCGGAGAGGGTGAGTCGATGAGATTGATTCGTAACCTATCCTGGAAAGCTGACACTTGTCGAGGATGGGTCTGCAGGAGACGAGAGTATACCTGAGTTATCGGTTACAACCGCGGGACTGCCAGGTCGAGGGGGATCCAGTGGGAAGGCCTGATCGAGCCGACTTCGTAAGTCGCACTCGTTGTTTGATCTTTCAGTCGATGCCGTCACTAAGCAGATACGCCTCGTTTCGATTAGGCACAAGATGTCATCTCTGTCACGGTGACGGTACCGAAACACATGGAAAACAAGTCTCGACTCGTCCTCGCTGTGCAAGCTGGTAGGGACAACCGTCAAGAAATTGTCCTTCGCCCTAAGGGAGGGATCGCCATGGCACTCGTCCCTTTCGTCTCCGGAAACGTGTCATTCAGTCTGCTGGCGGATGGCAAAGAGCTTTTGGCTGGTCAGAGCGAGCCAATCGCTTACAACGACAAGACAGCGTCTCTGTACAACTTCAACGCCTGGACTGGATCATGGGCCACACAGTGAGCCGAGTGCTGTCATATGACAATACGATGATGGTACATAGATGCGACAGAATTACGATTGTGAGATGGGTCGTAGCGACCGCTGATTAGATAGATATACCCGATTGCCCGGAACGCTTTTATGCTAGAGATGCTTTGATGCCCAAATGAACATGGATGCTTGAAATAATGACTTGAGACCGATGAGACCCGTCGTGTTTCGTGTTTCGTGTTTCGTGATAGATCGTGTACTGAGATTGATGGCGTTTATCAAGGAGCAACCGCAAGCGGTGTAGCTCGGATGAGACTGTCAGGGTCCGACGAGTTTAGCTGCATGAGACTTGCGGGCAAACCAGTCAAGGAAAGCTCGCTTACGTTGGTCAAGAGGATCCTCCCTTGTATAGCATAGGACGAGCCCCATTGACGACGTCGGTTCTGAGATCGGCGGCCAATTCGGCAGCCTGTTCGGCCCTTTGGTTGTTGCCAAACAAGCTCAATGGCAACCTGCTCGCGCCTTCCCGCGCAAACCATCGGTGTCGTTTGACTTGTTCGATGGTGTAACGCGAGTGAGGGTTCGGGTGCAAGCACCTCTGCATCAAGCTGAGGGCGTCTCGCGTGATGGTATGCTTCAAGCGGATACGACCATAGACGGCATCCCGCTGGGTCTCAAAGGGTGGAACCCCGGTGAGCAAGATGGAGAGCAAGACTCCGAGGGACCAGACCTCGGCTGGAGCGGCTTGATATGGGTATCCTTGGAGGATCTCTATAGTCGGTGCATGTAAGCGTCTGTTCCTCTGTACAAACGGAATATCGGCTCACCGGAAGAAGCAAAGTTGAGAGTACCGAAGAATCGGTCATAGTAAGGAGGCTCGAACCGAGCGTCATAGCAGACGGCACTGCCAAAGTCGATCAATTTGACCTGTACGCGCAGAGGTTCAGCTTTTGCTGGCGGATTGCACCCAAACCAAGTACTATGGCTGACCTGTAGCTTGTCATCGATAACGATGTTTTCATCCTTGATATCGCGGTGGCAAACGCCGTTCCGGTGAAGGTAGGCGACGGTATCAACTGACAAGCGCCGAAGAACGCGTGTCAGTATCGTCACAGGGCGGGACGAGTGGTACTAAGCGCTGCTCGACTTACCGACTTGCTTGAAGATGTACCTCGCCTTGTTCTCGTCAAATCTTTCGTTGGCCTCGATGCATTCGAACAGATCGTGACTGCTCCTTCGCTGCATCATGGGAGGTCGAGAGGGAGGCGATCCGAGACCGATATTGGGAGCAGATCCACGGCGATAAGGATCGTTCGGAGTGCTAGGGTCGGACGTGTCGCTGAAACTCGAAGTCGAAGGCGATGCATCCATCTCGGAGGCCTCCGAGTAGATAGAGGCGGTAGATGAGGACAGAGACATGGCGCTAGGAGATTGTGCAAAGGTTTGGACGTGCGCGCCGGCAGAGTGAGGTCCCATGAAGGTGGCGTATTGCACCTGCTCGGGTGTGGCGTGTTTGGCCCAGGGCGAGCCGTGCAGTTCTTGGATCTGCGATTTGTCACACCGAAACGCATCAGTGCATCGTGATCGAGGAAAAATCTACCGCTCTGACTCACCAAGTAGAAGAAGGTTGAATCCTCGAACAACCCCTTGAAGTTGACGATCCCCGGATGCTGGACAAACTGAAGGATGGCGGCTTCCATAGGAATCAACCTGTAGCCACTCGCACCCCCTCGGTCCCGGTGCAAGATTCCCGGCGCACTCTCTCTTCGATGCCAATCCTTGACGACGGCTCTCTGATGTAACTTGTTCTTGTAGATAAACTTGACGGCGACTTCGACGTTCTCGACCCTGCTCCAGGCGGAACAGACGAACCCGAACCCGCCCGAACCGAGTTCGTCCCTGATTTCGTACAGCTCGAGAAACCCAGGGTCGAGGGGGTGTTCGGCCAGAACCTTTTGAGCCACGCTGAACTCGGGAGCGGTGTCTTGTTGATCGTTGTCCATACGCAAGACGACTTCCTCCTCCTTGATGGTCTTTGGCAACCGCGTGGCGGTGCGGTCGGGTGTTTCAGGCGAGAGCGGGGTGACAATAGGTGGCGACAATAAGTGTCCTTGGGTATGGGAGGTCTTGTTGTTAGAAGTCGGCGAGTGAGGAGGTGTAGGAGGTCGTTTGGTTCGAATCTGATGGTAAGCGTTCTCTGCCTCGTGCTTCAATACCGATTCCTGAATGGACCGCTTGACATCGTTCGGGTTCCGGTCGGGCGAGTCGGGCAAGCTTTTCGATCCAGGGCTGATGTTTGCAGATGGGTACCCACCGTTCGCTTCACCTCGTAGGGTTTTGACGACGGGACTGGGAAGAGCCATCAATCCCTGACCGGGTTCGACTTTCCCTACTGGGCGGGCAACATCTTTCTTTCCGAGACGCAGGGGCAAGGGAGGGGGTATCTTGTATCGACCGTTCGTGGCGGGTTTAGGGGTACTGGACGAGAAGGGGCTGTTGAAGAAGCCGTTCGAGGGTGGTTGTTGTTCTTGTTGAGCAGGGGAAAAGAGGTCATCGGTAGCTTTGGGCTGTCGAGGATGCTGGGTCATGCGGGACTGTTCCAGGGCAAGTCGGAATCCAGCGTTCTCGTTAGGGCTGTGTGAGGTAGGTGTGGGAGGGGTGGCCAGTCCTCCCCGGTTGTTCATAGAAAAGGAGAACGACTTGAAGGACTCAAGAAGCTGTTGACGGCTAGACTGGGGTGAAGGACGGAGGCTCGTCTGTCCACAAAGTCTTATCAGCATTGAGAGCGCGGATTGTCGACCAGAAGACCGGCTCAACTACTCACGTCCACGTTCCCACCCATAGCGTTCGCCTGCAATCCAGCTTGCAGGTCCTGATCTCCAGGGTATATCCCTCTCCTTTGCATCTCGTACATGTGCGGGTTATGCGTAGCGAGGTCGATCTTCACGGCGTCGAACGAGGGGCCCGTCCCCGACATCGCACCGGGCGGGGCGAGGTCGTCAAACGGGTTCGAACGTTCCGTTGTCGGGCATGGAGGGGTCATCTCGGTATCGGAAGCCTCTTGGAACTGGAAACGGAGGGTGTGTTGTTGATATGTCATGGTTGGTGAACGTAAAGGATGCAAGATAGGGGTATGTGATCAAGAGCGCGAGGTCGTGTGATATGGGTCGTTCGCTGGTTGTCGAGGAGCAACGATGTCATGAATCAGTTTCGGTTACGGAGAATGAAGCCGGTATACGAGAAGTAGCAGGGGACTGTGCTGGGAGGAGCAGGGATGACGGAAAGGACGCGGTACGATCATGGTTGCTTACGACGTTTTCCTGTTGAGAAACGTCGCGACGGCGACGATACCACTTTTGATGGCAGCGTTGACGAGTGCTCTAGATCGCTCGAGCTAGAAGAGATAGCAAGGCAATCATCTCAGCATGATTGTACGGTGATTAGAATGGGTGGCAAGCCGAGAGGAGACTTACTTTCGAGGTCGTAACTTTTTTTGATGGAATGATGATCCGGGTGTGTTGGATGTGTGTGGTTGGGTGATATTCTACGTGCTTGACGGGTGGTGGTTGAGGTATGAATAGAGAGAGTGTTGAGAGTCGATTGAGAAACGAAGTGGCGAGGTATATATACGAGAAGAGGCTGTGTCCATACATCCATCCTCCTCTTGATTTCCCTGAGGACGCCGACCCCCGGGCTGGGGAATGGGAATGTGTGGAATGAGTTGGAACGAGCAGTCTGGAGCTAGAAACGAACCCCTATTTCTTCGATCATCACGATATACCCTCGAGATCGCGCTTGATGGATATTAACTTCCGAACAAGCCCCGAAATTAAACTTCCGACGACGGCCTTTTCTTGCTTACGTACGGTAGGCATCTAGGATCTCGAATTCATATCCGCCATGTCCGACGGTGCGATTCGGTCTTGATGCAATGGGTATTCAGGTCACGCAGTGAGTGGCGAGCAGATAGCATAGGCAGGCACCCTAGGAACCGGAAACACTGATGCAGCCCTTGATAACTCCAATCACTACAGTCCGAACAGTGCAATAGAACCTATCCTCGACGAAATCACTGGTTGGTTCAGCCCGACCAGGCAACTTGAACGCAGTCCAAGGTAGACCAGACCACACATGATCCTCCTATGACGACAGCCTTGAAACAGATCTTTCTTATGGATGTGCCGAACGACCCTCGCACGGCAAGAGATGATGGTCCTCGGAAATGAACGCAAATGCTAAGATGATTACAGTCCCGTTGTGTCTGTATCTGTTCGTTTAATTCACTCCCCAATGCAAGATGATTTTTGCTGTTTCCCCGGCTCGTCCGGTCAATCGCTTGTCTAGTCTTCGCTGACATCACCGAACCTGCTCGGGAAGAATTGAAAGACTATCAACCACTACCCTGGTCAACACAACTGTCGGAAGACGGGACTCACTCGAAGATTCCAAGTCGATCACGCTTAGCTCCCTCCATGGCTATTAAAACAACAGCAGACCCAAACCACATCAGCACTTGTTTCCATAACCACACCCACGTTACGGTTCGGTAGACACTCACCTTGGTTGAGCTTTTGTACCACTTGCGGGTAAGCAGCTGCATACCGCACAGACTTGTCGATCGTCGCAAGACCTATACCGTCAATCCATCTCCACAAGCCGTTAGCAAGCGTCCCATCGCGTAAATGGCTAGTGCACGCTTACCGTCTCGCAACAGATCGGCGTTGAGACAAGCCAACGGGTCCGAGGCTGCCTGAGGATCGCTAGGGTCGATCAGGCGCAAGTGCAACAGTTGTCCTTCGCGCTGATCGACGTTGGCGATCAATTTGCGTCCCTAAACCATAACCATTCCGCAATCCGTTTAGCAGCGAACACTTGAAGACGAGGTATAGCCAGGACCGACTGACTTCGGCCAACTGTTTGAACCTGTCCAAGGCTTCGTGGCCATAGTCCGAGTCCAGGGAAGCGGGCTGGACGAAACTCAACCTGGCCTCCTGAGCCTGACCCGGCAAGCTCTTGAAGGCAGCGTCGAGCGGTCGCATCCTAGCGTAGGCCGTAGTCTCTTCGTTGCCGCTGATAATATTCACAATCGGTTAGCACAAGTTCGATCCGGTGTATAATCGGTCTTTGCCTTACTAGTCAATGAAACGGACCTCGGCCTGCTTCTTCATGTTACTGGTCCTCTTGACCTTAGCTCGGTACCTGCCATGGCCATTACGTCAACAAGGCGCACACGAGGTGTCGAAAGAGTAAAGCAGGCTTACCATTGGTCGTCCTCGCTGAATTGGGCCGAGACGATCTCGCCCGTCCTCGGTGTCCATCCAGCAGGAGCGCGTGCGGTCTTGTGATGAGCGGCAAAGTCCTTCATCAGCTTCTCCAGTGCAGCAGCGCCTGCGAGCAGAACGCCGATCAGTATCCCACCGATTGCGAAGTCTTGCACACAGAGCAAAACTTACTATCGGTCGAGAGGACCTGCACTGAGAAGCCGAATGGAGCGGTGTCCTTGACAGACGAAACTACTACGTCGAGATATTGAGGTGGGAGAGCCGAGCCGCTTTGGTCCACCTTGACCTCCTCCTCAGCTGCCTCGTCGTATGATGACCAGATCTGGACATGGTGCGCGGATAAGCGCCAGCCATAGACCTTACGAAGGTGACCGTCACACTCACGTTCTTCTTCGCCTTTTTGGCTCCGGCCTCAGCATCGTACAGATCTTTGGCATAAGACAAGTTGGCGGCAGAGTATTCGTGGGTACTTGCGAGACTGTCGAAGAGAAGAGGCGCGTCGTCGTTAAGTGATTCTTCCCGAAGCTCTGGGAACGACGCAAGCAGACCCACCCTTCTCGGAGCAATTCTACAGCAACATTTTGCCCGTTGCTGTACATGGTACCGATGAATCCACCTTGCTTGTCAGTGCTGTCAAAAGCTGCGATTGTCATCAGGGTTCAGCATGCATACATCGTCTCGAGATGGGCAATCGCGCTAGACTAACTGATCTCGACATCTCGCTGCATGTAACGGGTGTTGGTCCACTTTTGACCCTCGGTCCCGTAAGGCTCGCCCTTCTCTCCTGCTCGAGCAGCACGCGGAGCCTTGACACCTGGACGGACGGACACAGCTCGGATAAGCACATGGTCCGGAGACACAGCATAGATTGCAACCCACCAGCCAAGACAAAAGTCATCTTCTTGTTTTCCTTAGGCAAGAACAACTTGAATCGGGAACCAGAAGCGACAAAGTCGACCAGAGCTTGATGCTTTCCAGCCCGCTTCCAGGATGGCAGGAATTGCGCAGCTTTGGTACCGTTCTGAAAGAGGGCTGCCAATCAGATCCTCGGGGGCCTGGTGTGATGTCTGATGTGATACCGCAGGCTCAAGACTTACCTCAGAAGCATCGACAATACGAGGCAAGGCGACTTCCTTGCTTGAGTGCATACCCCTTCCTTCCGTAACGGCGCTGGAAATGCGTCTACTGTCAGCGACAAGTACTCTGCTAATAGATATCGCTGTAACTCACGTCTGTTCGGCGACGACCAGCTTGTCAAGCTCCGTCGAACGGTCCTCGTCATCCTTCTTGTGCCTCAAAACGGTAGCATAACCCTTTTCTACGAGCTGCTCCGATACGTTGCTGTGAATTCGCAAGAACTATCAGATTGGATCACTTGTGCTTCACAGGTTTCTGTGTCACTTTACCTGTGAGCACCTCCGTATCGAACAGTGACGCATTCCTTCTCGTCATAATCGCCTTCCTTCGGCTTGACATAGTCGATGTATACGTTGACCGTCTTTCCAATGAGCTTTTTACGCAAGAATCTGTTACGCATGAGCGGAATCGAGGATCAGAACTTGAGCAACAAAAGTAAAGCCCTGTTCCCGACTTACTCCTTGGCCTCGTTGGCGTAGAACAGGTTGCGGTTGTCGTTACCTCTGTCATTCGCGCCCGAGCATTAACCATCTCGTTACTCTCCAAAGGCACTAGATTCACTCGGGCTCACCTAGGTGCTCGGACCGAAGCCAAAGTCATCCGTCTCTCTTTCCCGCTAGCATCTCCCTTTTCGATCACGCTGATCGTATCAGCGTTCCAGATCCTCACGACGGTGGCATCGAAAGAAGTTCCCTTCGTTTGAGGTCCAACAGGTCCTGTTGATCCGTTGGTAGCGACCCCCTGGGCCGATCCTCCTTTGGCGGGAGCCGAATAGTTCTCCCAAAGTCCCGTCTTCTTCTCCTTGGCAGACTTTTCGGCCGCACGAAGTCGGTCCATCCCGCCTGCGGACGACAGGATTCCCGCGTGCCAATCGATGACTTTTGCTAAACCTTGAGCGAGGAGGAATTCGGCGATGTTCCCGTTGGGGTGGATGGCGGTCCCGATCATGATGTTGCTTGTGACCGATTGAGGAGCGGGGAGTCCACCTACAGCCGCCTTGCCTCCTCCGACAGGGGGGGCGCCGAGCGAGATGGGAGCCGACAGAAGCTGGACCTTGATTCCTCGCTGCAACAAGCGACTCTCGGTGAAGAACTTGGCCTCTTCGCCCCACTCTTCACTCGTCCCGTTGGATTCTCCATCTCGTCCGCTGAACGCCTTGGGGGACTTGACACCTGCAAGCGCGAGGTTGACGAATTGGTGTGAGCCGTCCTCGAGCAAAAGCCTGACCCGGATACTGCTTCCATCCCGGACCTGCTCGACGATTGCATCGAGCTCCTGCCCCTTGTACTCGTTCAAGAATGCCTGAGAATCAGCGGGCATCTGGAAAGACACGGTCCTCTGGCTCTCCCCCGTCGGAGCCCAGAGTCCCTTTTCCGCCTGCTGAGCTTCAACTTCGGCCTGACGCAAGGCCTCCCTGCGCTTGGCCTCATCCGCTCCGAGTCGACGGACGGCATCTTCGCCTTCACCGCCAGCTTCGCGGACTTTGGCCCAGCCGTTTGAGACGGCCATCATGGCGATATCTTGGGGAGGTCCACCGGGGCTGGCAGGCGCGGCGTACATGATCCCGTATTCACGGTCAACCTGGGTAGAGTGCGATTATCGAAATTAGCTTCAAAACCCACCGTCAGACTATCCTAGGCTCAACTTACAAGAGCTCCATTCGAAGCAGTCTTGTGTCCTTCTACGCTATGGCTGATGGTATATTGAACGAGCTTTCCGACGAGCTGAGGTCGCAGGAATTCTCGAGCGGCAAACGCAAATGGCTGTGATCATGAATATAAGTCAATGCTTGTCAGTTCGGTAATGCACACGTATGCGATGGAGCGTATATCAAGCTCATCAATAATGGTCTGGTTTAGCACTGACCTCATCTTCACGAACCATGCTACCGAGTCTCGGCGCAGCAACTCCAGAGAGATGGATCACGCTACGGAAGATGAATGCAGCATGTAAGCACGAATCGAGTGGAATGACGGCGCAAATCGACCTGACATACCGCTCTTTTGCGGCCTGACCCCTGACAGGAGGTTGTTCCGGCCTGACGATGATGGTGTCTCCCGACAAGACGGCTGCAGCGACGGAAAGCAAAGCGAGACGAGATCAGCAAAATATAGGATACAAGCTAGAAAAAATCATAAAGCTACTCGCATTTCACGATCTACACCGGAGCCGGAATGTGGCAGTATAGGTCGTCAGATCGAGGTATGAGTAATCGTTTCCTCATAGCAAATGTCGTGTGCCGCCAACTTACGCCTCGTTGCATGGCCATGATTGCGCTATCGTTTGATTTTTCTAAGGTATTGGGTGTGAAGGATATATTTGCGAGGATTCCAAGCGATGCAAGACTGGTCGAAGAGCTCGTGGTGGTGAGATGCAATAGCTGGGAGTGTATTTCAAGTTATTTGATCGACCAGTTGTCCTTGACGCTGCCAGCAGCATCTCGAGAATGCGGGGCACCATCCGCGGGAACGTGAGCAAACCCATGAGACGGTAGGTAGAAGCGCGCCGACCTCACCGCAACTCCCATACTCGTACCCTTGAGAATTACAGTCACTTTTGACATTCCTGCTCAGTATCACCTTCGTAAGCTTGCTGAGCGGTCGTCCATAGAGTTTAAACATGGCTACGGTAAGATCCCACAACCCTTACTATACCGGAGGAGTCGCTGCTCCAGCGGAAACGCGACCGGGGATGACGACTCGACGAACCGGCGACGGTTTCGAATGGGTCGATGGGGACGACGAGAACGCAGGACCGTTCCGAGTGATGATCACCGGGCTTCCGCTGGATGATGTCGGTGATAACGATGTCAAGGTGCGTCGTCCTTGCCGCTGGTAGCGGGTCGACAAGCGAGACCGGAAATGCTAATCTTACCAATTTCGATTGACATTCCGGACCTCTACAGGAACTCTTCGCCCACTCGGTCGGCGAGAACAACGTCTCGTCAGCAAAAGTCTTGTATGATCAGAACGGGCTTAGTATGGGTATCGCTCTGGTTACCTTGAGAAGACCCTCGGACGCCAAGCGGGCGTACCATTCTTTCAACGACAGTAAGCCGCTGGTCGGTTGCTTGATTTGTCGCTATTTCAGCCATTGACCTTGTTCATCTGCTTGGAATTGGGGTAGAGGCTATCGACGGGCGTGAGTCGCAACTCTGAGATTGAAATGCTAGTAGAGAATATGTGCTGAAACGCTGTTGCATTATATCGATTACAGAGAGCCAGCGCAAAGTTCACATCATCTACATTATCGACCCATCCGAATCCCTCCCTTCCTCGATCCTCAACCAACTTCAGCCCGACCTCCCCGCACCCGCACCTGCTAGTACGAACCGAGCAAGGCCTTCTCCGCCTCAACAGCCCTTGTACAATCGAATACCCACTGGACCAGCCGCCGGTCCGAGCTCAAGCTCGAATCTAGCTGCCAACCCGACCCCCGCTCAAAGATCTACGAATAAGCCTACTCCGACCGGTCCGAAAAAGGCCATCAAGCCCACTCCTACAGGACCTGCGAACAAGAAGGTCTCGGCGAAACCGGTAGTCACGGGAGCGAAGAGCTTGTTGAGCAGGATCGATGTCAGCCTGAAGGATAGGATTGGCGGGATGGCTCCCGGGACGAGCAAGATGGCGAACCAGGTTGGTGTGGGAGGGTTTCAGGATACGTCCAGTCCGGCATATCAAGCTGCGTGAGTGATATCATCTTGTTTGTGGAATCTCTCGACTAGCTAAACTGTTGATCGCATTGCCTATCAAACTTCAGTTTGATCCAAGCTCAAAAAGCGAGGAAAGCCGCAGCTACAGCATCAAATGCCAGTCAAAACCTCTCCTATCGCCTTCAAACCAATCCCAAACTCGCAGCCAAGGCCGCCAACTACATGCAAAATCAAAACCAGAATCAGAACGGCGGCAAGCCGGTCCAACGGAAACCTCCGGCTCCGCCCACTCAGCCGAAAGCTCAGGCGAAACCCAGGGAGAAGACGCAGCAAGAGCTGGATGATGAGTTGAGAAGGATCGCTAGGGCGAAAAAGTTTGGGGGCGGGGACTCGATGGATACTAGCTAGACTGATGAACGAGGATGGTGGTGCAGATGGTGCGATTGTGGCTCAGTGGGATTCCGGAACAACGATAGATGTCGAAGCGCTTTGATAGAGCTGGAGTCTATCTTGACGAAATGGATAGAATGGATCTGGAACGCTGTCCAGGTCTCATCCGCATTGGACGTCTCAAGAGCATCAGCAAGCGGCTCGTCTCTACCTCTTCCTTCATACGTCTTTGCTGGGTCTCAGCTTTGATCTTTGTCATCAAATGAGCACGAGCGGGATCCGAGAAAACGACCTAATCATTTCTCAACAATGGCCGCGATCGGGGCTCTCGCAAACGAACGGGGGAACCGCGTTGCTGTTGTTGTAACATCATATGCATTTCATCCTACCTTCCCATCGAATGAGGGTTCCAGGAGGAGGCTCAAGGCGAGGTTGTAGTGCGGGAGGCGGAGAGCAGATGCACTATCTCTTGGACTTTGGGGTGGTAGCGAGTGGTTCATCCTCGTCCTCCTCCTCCTCCTCATCCTCTCTCTCTTCCGAACCTTCCCGTCCAAACCTCCTTCGTCCGTCCTCATGATCTGATCCCTCCATATCCCGAGTCTCCCCTCCCCGTTGACAAGGAAGAGACAGAGGAAGTCGCGTGTAGCGCCGTAAACAGGTTGGATGTAGTCCTCTTCCTGCACCCATTTCCTTCTCTTCGGAGCCTTTAGAGATCCATTCGCTAGCCTTTGCTCAGGACAGGGTCTCTCAACGACTTGACCGGGCATGCTGATCAGGAATTCGTAATTTGGGTTGATCAACAAGTCGCAAACGTCGTCATTCTATAGCAGGTCTGATATACAACAAGCCCCAACCGCATGTCCACCCAACTGATACACGCCAGCTCTCTTTCCAAGAGAACAGCATCCCAGACTTTCATCGCATCTCGACATCCCCCTCGCCCTCTTCCGGTCGAGGTTCCCCACGCATCACGCTCGTCAAGATTTCTCTCCTGATCTCCGGCGAAATCTGCGCGTGAGGTCGAGCTCGGATGACATCCAATAGTGCGTCCTTCTGGTCTGGCGTCAGGTCAGCTCCGTACCTGGCGGGTTCGAAAGCCAGATACTCGAATCAGCACCGCGCAGTTGTTTCCCTCGATAAATCGGGCAGGAGGCCGGAACTCACCTCTGGACAAAGACCAACAAGCTCTGATGCCAAAGCACCGGCAACTTCTCCTCTTCCTCCTTGCTAATCCCCCTGACTCCCTTCATCCCCGTGTTCGCCAGCCTGATGAAGTGGAAGACGAGCGCGTCCACCACCTTGTATGGCAACGCGTACTTTTTGTCGAGGAGCACTCGGATGAAGAGCGAGTTGGGTCCAGTGTATTCCATGTTGCTCAGACGGAGGAGGGCGGCGGCAGAATGAAGGACGGGGATGGAGATTTTGGTCAAGACCGAGGCAATGATGGTGGCCTCTTTCAAGGTGCATCCCCCCTGCATGACCGCGACAGACGCCACGATACCAGCTACAAGCGTCAGCCTGACGATCCCGAATACGTAAAATATACGAAGCCTGACGGCCGGACTCACCTCGCATAGCGGGAACAAGATCCCCTTAAACCAAGCCGCCGGCTTATAAAGTCCCTTCTTCAACGCCTCGTACAACTGCACATCCAACTTTCCCCCTTTACCCCCCTTGCGACTCTCGCCATCCATCATGTTATCCCTGACCTTCTCCAGGAGGATCCCCTCGAGGAAGACCTGAACCTCGGTAGGTTTCAGGTTGGACACGAAGATCTTGGTACAGGCGTAGGTCGCGTGAGGGGTCCAAGCGGGGGGTTGGGTGAGAGCTAGGAGTTGGGCCCAATGTGGCAGGGAAGGGAGGATTTTGAGTGCTCGGGGGAGTGGACCGGACTTGTAACGAGAAAGGAGGACGCCGACTCTGCGCAAGTCGAAGTTAAAGCCGGTCAGCAACCAGCTCCGCACAGTGTGGTATGAGATGAGAAGGAACTCGATCCGGGAGACTCACTTGGTATACACCTCGACGACCTTGGGGTTCAGACCGACCCTCGGGTCCAAAGGTCCGTCCATCCCAGCATCCATCCCCGGCTGATTCGGTACCGCCCTCACCCCCGGTACACCTCCAGCACCCCCGTCTGTAGAGTGTCCAGCTTCGTTAAGCTTGTTGAAAATCAGGTCGGCTAGAGTTCGGGGTTCTTCCGTGGTAGGTAGGGAGGAGAGGAGGTCGGTGCTGTTGTTGTTGGGGTCGTTGAAATCGGGGATACCGCCTCGACGGAGGGTAGCCAGGGTTTCGTAGTCTTCCGGGTCGATTTCCTACGAAACCGATATATATTTTCTGTCAGCCTTCTGTGCTATTTTGACCGGTCTAAACCAGAAGGGCGGCGGGGAATAATATGACTTACCAACTCGGCATACTCTTCATCGCTAACATCTCCTTCTTCCAGGTCCTCCTCTTCGTCCGCATCAGGCCGCTTTACCCTCTGGCCGGTCCCTACAGCCCTAACATCGTCTTCCTCCTCCTCGTCATCTTCTTCGTCTTCGTCATCATCATCGTCCTCCATCTCGCCCATGACCTCTTCCTGTTGATCCCTAGCCAGGTCCAGAATCTTCCTCGACATCCTCCCGCCTACCACCCCGCCCTCCTTGTCCTCGCCATCGGCTTCGGCATCGCTTCGACTGGCTCGATCTTTACCCTTTTTGCCGTTCGTACTGGCTACCCGACCGAACTTTTGCATGTCCGAGTCTTTGGAGATGTCGACGTGCAGGGGGGTGTGACGGGGTTTGTGGTTTTTGGTAGCTGATGTTGCTTTGGGCATGGTGGTGGTGGATATCGCAGGAGATGAGCTCTGGGAAGTATATGTACGGTACAATCTAGATTGTATGGTTGTAGCTGTTGCTCCCTCGTTGTTGAGCAAGACAGCCTGGAAGACTTTTGAACTTTAGGTGTTCCAAAGTTCTAGGTTGCCCCTCCTCGCAGAGCGCCGACGACTTTATTTGTAGATCACGTGATATTACCTCAGGGGATCTACTTAGGTTATGCATTACGTTATATCACGTTACGGCTTCCTGTTCCCCAGAGTCCGAGGTTTGATCGATTCGCATCTCGCATCTTGACAAACAACGCTGCGACTGGACAGATACCTCGTGCTCCCATACTCCCCTTTCGCTCTACAAACAAATCAATCTATGACCAGAAGCTAGGAGCTAGGAGACGTTATCTTGTGGCGAGTCCCTCCACGATTTGAAGCTCGGACGATACCACCCTTGGACACGGCGCGCCGACGCATATTCGATCTTGTTTGCTCACCGGGACCCTACGCGTAACTTGCACCCGAACTGCGGCCTCCCCGGAAAGACCTTTGACGTCGCCATCGCCATCGATCAGCAGCTCAACAGAGGGCAATAAGGACTGATTGCACTGTATTCACTCCTTTGACTGCGATCCCAAAAGCCCAGTCAACAATCGGACAGGACGGCCGGATCGGTTCAACACGGATGAGAAGCTAAATCGACATCGATCATCACGTTCGTGTCCTTGCCCGAGACGCGACTGCGTTGCCTCTGCGGATCGAGCTCTGTCTGCAACTACATCTCAGCACGAACTCCCCTAACTTCAGGGACCTCTTTGTTGTCGTCTTTCCCGGAGAGGCTTAATACCACCTACAAGCCAGCTGCAATTTTTCACCTCACGGACGGATCGCAGCGACAGACAGGATGACGATCACGCTCCCCCTTTCATTAGGCTGTCATCCGGTACCCAGCTTGAACTCTAACTCGAGGAGCTCGGCGACGACAACTACGACGAGCTCGGAATCGACATCAAACATACCTGCCATAAATGTTGAGACCACATTCGGGACCACGACCATCCCGCCCGCACCTAGATTCGCACCCAGGACGTTTAGAAAGACGCTCTCTACGCCTGTGCACAGGACGTTTCCCCAGGCACTTCCCTACGCATCTTCGTCTTCTTCCTCCTCTTCTCACGCGTCTTCGTCTTCATCGAGTCCACTCGAAGTCGGAGCTACGGGGAAAGGTAAAGGCAGATCGGGCAAGGTCGAAAACCTCGAGAAAGACCTCTTAATCCCGAATCTGAAGCGGAAATTGGGGGTCAGGTCCAAGACGTACGAAGATCTCCCGGCCTCGTCTTCCTCTCTGGGTTCCTCTTCCAGTGCCAGTCCGGCTTTTGAATCAGGATCGAGAGAAGGATCTGGCTTCGGAGAAGTTCCGGATGATGTGCGGTACGGGTTGGCTAGGACCGCTCAGGCTGTGAGGAGGGCGAGGAGGGTCATCGTTGTTTGTGGTCAGTCTTTTTTCTCGCTTTTCGTTTCTTCTACATTGATCGGGCGGCGCCAGGGGCTGATATCATGTCTCTATGGGCTCTTGCATCTACACAGGGGCAGGGATCTCGACCCCCGCTATACCCGATTTCAGGTCGTCAACCGGCTTGTTCAAGACGCTCGCCAAGGACCCATTCGCCAACCTCGGCACGAGTACGAACGCTGCAGGTGGGATTGAAGTAGGAGAAGACAAGACTGAGCCGACTTCGACGGCAAGTTCCCGGAGAGGTTCCTGCACGGGACTAGGGGTAGGGAAGAGGAGGAAGAGCGAGGTTGGGGGTACTTTTCGCCGGACGAGGAGTTTCAATGTGGCTGCCTCTGCTACAAGAGGGGAACAAGAGGAAGAAGACGATGAATTCGATGAGACGAGGTCAAACGGAGAGTTGGGAGATGATACTGATGCGGAATCCGTGGCGACCCCTATGGCACCGACTCGGAAGATGACGGTCGGCGGAGTCGGCGGGATCCGAAGCGGGAAAGATCTCTTCGACGTACGATGCCTCTCCGACCCGTCCCTCTTGCCGGCTCACCATTCCCTGCTCAATACCCTCCATCGCCTTACCCAGAGTACCGAGCCTACGCTCTTTCACAAATACATGAAGACGCTAGACGAGGAGGGGAGGTTATTGAGGGTCTATACGCAGAATATCGACGGGCTCGAAGCCAAGGTCGGCTTGGATCTCAGGGCCCCGGGGGATGTGAGCGAGGGGGTGAAAAGTGAAAGGAGGTGGAAGAGGGAACGGAGTCGGAGAGAGTTGCAGATGGGATTAGAGGCGGCTGCGGAAGCTGCCAGAGTGCAAGAGGCGGCTGAGCAGCAAGAGCCTCCCGTCCAACAAGCGCAAATTGCCCCGGTCGTAGAGGATAAAATGGCCGTCAAGGGTTACGACCGGTTCCCGTTATGTGAACCGGGGTCAAGCCGACAAAGCACTCCTTCTCGATTGTCCACCACGGACGAAGGCGGGGATAGCTTGAGCGAGGCCGAGAGGATCGTCTCGGAATCCGAAAGACGCAGTCGTTCTGGCACGCCTCAATACGCCTTGCCTACCGTAAATGAGAACCTGAATCTACCGGACACTCCGGCTTCAGCTCGATCGGTCTCGTCGGTACATACGGACCTTTCCGCACAGTACGGCTTCCTGAGAACAACGCCGACCAAGATGGAGCCTATACCTGATGCGAACGCCCGGGCCAACGCCTTGCCCAGAGCTGTACCTCTCCACGGCGTCTTGTCGACTATGGACTGTACGCGGTGCTCTTACAGTCAGAACTTTGAGTCCTATTACCCCTTGCCTGCGGATCTCTTGTCCTGCCCGTCATGTGAGGAGACGCAAGAGGAACGTCTCGCTGCCAACCAACGCGCCCGGTCTGTCGGTGTGCTTCGTGCGAGCGTCCTGTTGTACAACGAACCTTGCAAGCACGATACCGCTATCGGCGAGATTGTCGAAAAGGACGTCCTCGGCGTACGCAAGGACGATCGGCCGGACCTCTTGATCGTCGCTGGTACCACGCTCAAGATCCCGGGTGTCATCAAGATTGTTAAACAGCTTTCGAACGCGTTGAGGACCAATTATCCAGACGAAAAGACGAAGGCAAGGAACCGGCAACGGGCAGCGAACCGGAAACGCAAGCGAAAGATGCGTGATGAGGGGCTCTTGCCACCCGATCAGGCTAGTGATGAGGAAGATACCGAGACCGAGCAAGAAGACGCCGACGAGTTTGATGTGGATAATTTCCCTATCCGGACCATCCTCCTCAATAGGGACGCACCGGGCAAGGCGTGGGAAGACACGTTTGACGTCTGGGTACAAGGCGATCTGCAGGATTTCATGTACTCGTGGGTCACTCACGGTCCCACCCCAGCAGACGTGGAGGGCACCATGGAATGGATGTGGAAAAAGGGAGCTAGGGAGCGAAACCGGCTAGCCAAGGCCAAATTGAGCGGGGCGTTTGGTCCCGTCGGACTTGATCACCTCTCTCCTACTACGGCTGACGTGAATGCAAATTCCGTCGCTCCTTCGGACACGATCAAGAGGAACAAGATCAACCTCTCCAACCGTTCCAAGGCTGAAAAATGGATGGAAACCCAGTCGTATGGGTGGGAACGGCCTACGTATTTCAGCCAGCTGGTCACGGTATCTAGGGTGCAGGCTGAAGGGACCAAGCTGAATATGAGCGTTGTCAGACGAGATTCGGGCGTGCAGGAGAAGATCGATGAGGAGCTCGAGTTGCCGCTTGAAAAGGGGGAAGAGGAGGGGGACGGGATGAAACTTGGTGCGGAACATGTCGAAGAACCTGAAACTCAACCCGAGACGGCAACGCCGGCCTCGAAGAAACGGGGGAGACCAAAGAAGATTAAACCTGACGACGGCCAAGAGCTACAGTCAGCGGTCGAGACCGTTGGTTTGACAGTGGCTTCCGATATCGCAACGCAAACGCAATCGAAGGGACGGGGCAAGAAGAGTAAGAAGGAACTTGCGCCGGTTCGAGCCGAGGAGAAGGCGGTCATCATGCCTACGGCGACGACAACAAAGAAGAGACCGGCTGGGAAGAAGAACAAGACCAGCAACCCGGTCTTATCTTTCCCTGTGAGCAAGCCTGGGACAGGAGCACCAGCCGAGAAGAAGGAGAAGAAGAGCAAGAAGAAGACGGTCGTCGTCCCCTCTCCGGTTCAAGCTGAGGTTGAGGAAGAACCTGAACCTGAGAGGGAGAATTTGAGCTGGGATAGGCTCATCGAGGGGTCTTTATCGCCTGCACCGTCATCGGAATGCGGGGAGGAGGACCGGGAACTTGAAGGAAAGACGGTTCGGATTGTTCCCCCGGCGGCATCTACGTCCACTTCCAAGTCGGGCATGAACAGGAACAGGAAAGGTCGGATCTCGATCGATCTCTCGCTGTCAGCGGATCTTGCCCGGCTCCAAGATGATGAGCTGGAGCGGGATCAGTCGGTCCGAGCGGTCGAGCGGAAGGAGGATGTGGACGTGGTGCAGGACGAGTCTGTGAGAAGGAGCTCTCGAAAGAGAGTGGCAAAGAGGTTGTCGATCGGTTGATCCGGTGGGCGTCGCCGATAGATAGACTGAAACGTCAAGGAAGCATTCCGCAAATGTGCGATCGTCTTGCCCATCATTCTGTACGCTCTGTAATCCCTATGCTCGTGTTTTCGTTTTCGCTCGTCCTCCCCTTATCACGATATCTATTTCTAACGTTTCCATGTGGTTTGCCCTCCTCTTTTCGGCCAAGTCCGATGGCTCATGTGATGACAAATATCCCAGAAAAGGTGGTCGCCCCGCGAAGGTCGATGATGATTGCTGATCTTGTGCATCGATCGGGTCAAGGCATCGACGATAAAACTATCAAGCTATCAACTTCATCGTCACATCAATCACTTCATCAGACTCTCATATTGAAATCGAGGATATTAACACCAGTAGCCTCTGCTGGTACTCAATCGACTCATCTACAGCTCAAAGGACCGCTTCGATATGGACGCCTCATACGCTTTCGCCGACTCTGGATCGGCTAGGAAGAATGACCTTCCCGAATCCATCGACCTGAGCCACCATCTCAACCTGACGACCAGGTCGAGGACGGCCAACTCGCTCAAGGGGTTGTACAAGTATATGAACGCACCGGGGATGTTGTCCCTCGCTGGAGGACTGCCTAACCCGGAAATCTTTCCCGTGAGCATATTGATTGATAACCAGGTCAGGTATGCTGGAATGCTCTTGCTGAAGATTCTGCGTTTATCAGTTCGAGAGCATGTCAGCCGAAATATTGCCATGCGACGCTCTCGCCAAGAAACCTCCTACCTTGACCGGAGACATCTCCAAGGACACTGTCAAGGAACAATCTTTCCTCTCCTGGCTCTTTGGCAAGAAACCTACGAAGACCATCTCCGTCCCTAAGTCCCACACGCCTGTCCACGACCCGGCCGCTGTGGACTTGAGTACGCTCTTGCAGTATTCATCTGCGGAGGGACATCCTGCCCTGAAAGAGTTTATCAGGAACTTTGTGGAAAAGGTGTATAGGCCTGGGTTTGCGGATTGGCAGGTCCAGCTGAACGTGGGGGCCACGGCGGGGTGGAGCCAGGTCGTCGCGATGTTGATGGAGAGGGGGGATGCGATCTTGGTGGAAGAGTTTACGTACCCTGGGGCTATGAACGCCTACCAGCCGCTGGACATCAAGCCCGTCTCGTGAGCATACTCTTTCGACCGTGTGCATTTCCGCTGAACGCCGAATCTTGAACCCTGATCCTTCCCCTTTTAACGTGCAGTGTCAAGATCGACGGAGAAGGTCTCCTCCCGGAAGACTTTGACAGGATCCTCGCCAACTGGGACGAACAAAAGGAAGGTCGTCGACGACCCCGCGTGTTGTACACGGTTCCTACCGGACAGAACCCTACAGGAGGGACCATGTTGGCCGAGAGGAAGCAGAAGATCTATGACTTGTGTGTCAAGTATGGTAAGCCTGCTATTCATTGGCTGTCTGCTCAAAGTCCCGAGCTGACGACTGTTTGGGTGGAAATTGACAGATGTCATCATTGTCGAGGACGAACCCTACTACTTCCTCTACTCTGATCCCTGGGTCCCCCGAGCTGGCAAACAGTCCGGTCAAGCTCTTCGCGCTTACGACAACTTCAAGGACGACAAGAAGGGCGTCGAAGAGTTCTTCAAAAAGTTGCCCCCTAGCTACCTGAGGTTTGATTATCAGGGACGGGTCATCAGGCTGGATACTTTCTCAAAAACGATCGCCCCTGGGTCTAGATTGGGATGGTTCACCGCGAACCCGCTCTTGTGAGTTCGAGTAGCATTGAAAGCTCTGTAGAGGTAGCTGTCTCTGGCTGTATGCTGATCGGCTGTTATCCACGTGCAGTACTGAACGTCTCCTGCGAGGATGTGAATCGGCCATTTCGAGTCCCAACGGGATCGGTCAGGCTATGATCACCAAGCTTATGCTCGAGTGGGGCTACGATGGATACATCCGATGGCTCCGTGGTATCAAGGCGACCTACGCCATGCGACGGGACTGGATGGTAAGTCCTGGCAGATCGGTACTCTACTCGTACGATGACCCCGTCTGATGAGAGATTCCTGTCTTTGCCAATTCATAGTGCGACCTCTTGGAATCGACCTTCCACCTCGAGTTTAACCAAAGCCTACCAGTCAGCCAACACATCAAGTGGATCACGGCCTACGAAAAGACGGCGCCCGGTATGGGAGGCGCCGTATTGGACGAGAAGCGAGGCTACAAGGCGCAGAAACCGCTCGTCTCGTTCGTCCCGCCTAGCGCGGGAATGTTCGTCTGGCTCGCTGTGCACCTCGATAGTCACAAGGACTTTGAGAAGGTGAAGGCGCGGGGCGAGGACCCGAACAGGGTCTTGCTGGAAAAGCTGTTCATCGAGTTGGCCGAGCACAAGGTGAGTTGTTGCATGAAAGACAACATTCATACAACGGGCTAATTCTCGTCGATGTTACTCGCAGGTCCTTGTCGTACCCGGCTTCTTCTTTGACGCGCAGCCCGGTCAGCCTCACAAGGGCTCAGAAAACATCGGCTTTTTGCGATTGGCCTTTTCATTCGCACCACACGACGAGATGAAGCAGGCGCTCGAGATCATGAGCCGCGTGATCATCAAGTTCTTTGCGTAAAGGCGTTGAGAATGTCCACGCTTGTCAGTTGAATTGAGAGTCTGTATCCACGAGAAGGAAGCTTTGTAGTCGTGTTATCAGCTGTTGAACGTTTATGGACCATATATGTATCTCGTCCTCGCAACCAGCTCCACCTGCAGGATTGTGTCGATTCGCACCCGAAATCCTGTGGCTGAATTGCTAGCGAAAGTTATCGAAAATCCCCGTAGTCGAATCCTTCGAAATATATCCCGAAGTTGTGGTTGCCTCGCCTTGAGTGGAACTCCCAGAAGAGCTGTGCAGTCCAAGATGCATACTGAAAATAGGTTCTGCTTGTACGGGTGGTTGGTAGATGTGCCACAATCTCTTGCTCCTTGTCGCTGGTCTTGCCATATCTTCTGTTTGGAAGACATCGATACCCATTCTGCGTGCGAACTCAAGCACTTGGATGGAGCCACAATGTCGCGGCTTCAAATCTCAGCGTTCGTCAAGCTCAAGTCTTCCTTTCAGAATTCTCATGTTCCTATCATTGCTTGCTGCCCCTCAACCTGGTTTCAAGAGGTATAAAGGAGACGGCTGGAATCAAAGGTATAAATAACAGCCGATGAACGGAGGACATACCAAAGGAAATCTTGCGAATCAAAAGAGGACGGTACGCGTAAAAGGAAGTATGCCTGAGTCTCGTCTTTTATGGGCTTATGCTTGCACGTCCGCAGCATATAAATACGGGATCCATCTCGTCTGGTTTGCATCAACAGAAAGATCCTCGATACATCCAGACACAATCATCACTCTCCATCAGACCCTACTTCCCCGACAAAGATGTCCCTCACACCCTCCTACAACACATCCTTTTTCATCCCCCGCCCCACCTCTCCGGCTCTTTCTACCCATTCTCAAGAGACAGCCAGCACTTTCGTCACCGAGAATTACCCTCTCAGCACCGATCTCTCTTCGGCGCTTGCTGGACATGTCGACGGCCCTGACCGAGACACTCTGACGGTTGACTGGTCGGTGGCCAATGCGGACTCCGATTCGGGCTCGATCGAGCCGCGAGATCCGAAAGGAGGATCCAGTGGCGGAGGAAAGGGCGGTGGTGGGAAGAGCGGTAGGAGCGGTAGGAAGGGAAGTCGAGAGAAGACCGACTTCGGCAAAGCGTTCAAGAATCGGTTCAACACGAAAGCCGTCCAGGACAAGTTTCAGAGTCTGCGCGCTAAGGCGGGAGGCGCCGATGCTCGTCGAATCTTGCGGGAATTGCGCGACCTCGTCGAGGAATTGCTGCAGAACCAGACGGGGGATGAAGGACACTACAAAGAGATGGAAGACAGTCTGGGAGATGCCATTGCGCCTGAAGGATCTCCTTTGGACGAGAACAAGGTGTCTGCCGCTGTCAAAGCCTACGATGACACGGTCAGGTGGCTGGATGGAGAGAAAGAATCAGCTGCCGCCGCGAACGGGCCGTCCAGCAGGAGTTTGTTGTTCGGAGTCGTAGGAGCGGCGGTTCTGGTGCCATACTTTACAGGATAGACTATGTCGAAAATGTTTGTGCCCTACTGTGTTCTCAGTTGTGGCCTTTTGAATGTGTACTTGTTAGCTCTTGCGATCGATAACTGATATAGGCCGCGGATCTCTTGATCTTGAATCCGGTTCTGATCGATACTCCACGTCGAGAGTGTGAATCTGAACTTGCAGTACGCTGGATGCGGAGTATTTCGAACAAAGGAAGGCAAAAAGTCCGTCTCCTTCTCCGTCTTGCAAGTCGGTCAGGTCTTATACATCCAGCGCAATATGTATACCGCAGGGGGGGTGCCCCTTCCGACCTACCTACTACATATCATCGAAACTCTCCAGCTTGTCCACCGAAGCAAGTCACCAGAGTCATGTCGTCGGTTTCTACCACCACAAGCTTGTTCACGGCTCCCACGGCTACTCAAGCTACCGACGATGCCCAGTCTTATCCGCCGGCTACCGTTCATACGAACTCTGCAGGAGCTCCGTTCATTTCGGATTCCGTACTACCAGATGGGCACCAAGCTGTCCCCGATCTAGGAAGCGAAGGAAGAAAATTTGCAGAGCTCCAAACAGCGCCTTCGGTCGTGGGAACGATTTTGAATCCTGTCGTTTCGATCAATCAAAGTTCTGTAAACATCGAACGTCGATATAAAGGTCTGTCCATGGTCGCACGAGGCGTGGGGGCCATTATCGTAGCGAACGAAGTCTTAGGTCAGGAAAGAGAGGACGATTGATAGCGGTGTTTGCTGTTATTCCGGACTCCAGCTGTAAGAGCCGAGTGTTGCAGGAACAATTCATATTCAAACTTTGTTGGTTAGTGGCGGATAGCGCATTGCCAGGTTATGAAGCCAGAAGATACATGTCAAGCGCGATAAAAAAATGATGTGCTTTACCTGTAGATGAGCGAGACTATCGGTGCGATCTTGGCTGTAGGAGGCGTGATCCTGCCTCGCATCGCCGTCCGCGCCTTGCTGAGGCGAAAAGATCAAGAACCTCAGTCATCAAAGGAAGTTTATGACGTGCTCTTGACCAATCAGATGTCAGGTCTGGGTATAAGAGGTCAAGGTGCAGCGTCTTGATATTCTGCTCCCATCAAATTGGTCAAACATCTCTGCTGTATCCTTCGCCGTGCCCACAGTCGTTCATACCGAAATGGCTCTCTCCATCGCCCCTACCAATTGCGTGCCAACAACCACGGACCTCTCGAGCATGCCCTGCTCGAGCGGTCTCTCGGCGATATTCCCAAGTCCCACTGACACAAGTAGTGGGACAGCTGCCAGGACGCCAAGCTCGATGGATGCGTCGATCATTCTAGTTCTACGGTCGGACGGACAGATCCCTATCGTCAATCCACCGAATTTCCTCGATAGTTGGTCGCAGTACTACTATCCCGGCATCTACAAAGCTCGACTCGCATTGTTGGAAGGTCTCTTATCGGATAAAGACGGCTTCTTGATGGCGATCGAAGGGGCATTGGAGGAGGCGAAAGATGAGAGGAAGATGAGTGCAGGTGGTGGCGGGATCCCGAATGCGGGAATTATTCGCATGGACTTTCTCAAAGAGTTGGAGGATGTCGTCTCGGAACTCCGAGATCGCGAGCTTGACGAGCCTCAGGAAGAGACCGCTCTGAGAGTCTGCAAGGTGATAGGCGAGGCCACGGATGAACGTGTCAATGAATTGCGTCCAGACCCACCTTTTCCAGAGCCTTCACATGCCAGCGGGTCTTCTCTGACCGCGCCTGTCGCTGGAATGGTGTTGCCGGCGGTGGCAGCGGCGGCGTTGTTTGCCAGTATATGAATATGTCAAGTGAACCCTCATGTTCTGATCGGCCGTGTGCCCTGTCTGTGTTGTATATGCATATATGTTTTGAACCCTTTACAGGCCCTCTCAACCGAAGGTTACTGTACCCTTTCATTCCACCACCCGGCCAATGCTCGTTCAGCACGATCTCATACTTCTCTACAAATTTCAAATGTCATATCATCCATAATAAAGCGAAAGCACAATCCAGACACGTAAAAAGACAAACTCGTCATATCCCCTTCATGCGACCCTTCATCTAGCCATCCCATCCTCCCAGTTGGCCACCAGGAGGACGTTGACCTAATAACCCCCAGCAGCGGGCGCCTTGTCTCCCTCCCTCCTCAGACTCAGGAGGATCTCCTTCATCCTGGCCAGATCCGATCCACCGGGTACAGACGCCCGGAGGGTCTTGCTCTCTATCAACCCAAAAAAACATATCGTACAATCAACATCAACATTAATCTTCCTCTTTCATACAAAGATACGGAATATGGAGAAGAAATAGGGCAGGGGACTCACGGCTGTTCTGCAGGTCGACGAGGTCGGTGATGCGTTCCCAAGTGGTTCCCTTGGAAATGGATTCCTGCAACTGCTCCAAGAACGCCTTTTCGTCCTCCCTATCAATCCGCGCGCAGGATACGTCAGCCACCTACGTCCGCTGTACATCCAACGACGCGTTGTGGAACAGATCGGAGAAAAAGAGCGAAAGCGACACCTACTTGTTCTTCTTGATGCTCCTCTCCTTCTCGCCATTGTACCTCTCGTAGAACCCATCTATCGCCTTTTCAGCCTTCAAGACGACCTCCTCCTTTTTCCTCTTTGACTCCTCGTCCCGTTGTTTGATCTCGGCCCGTTGCTTCTCACGCCACGCTTGGATGGCGGGGGAGTCGGATTCGGGCACTTGGGTCGAGGGGAAAGAGGGAGGGGGGAGGACGGAAGTGTAGTTGGAAGTGGGTTGTTGGAAGGATGAGGTGGTAGGGGCGGTGTAGGGTTGAGCGGGGTAAGGGGTGGCTCCGTACGGGATGGTCTAATGCGTTTACCAACACAATTCTCAACAGATCAGACTTCCATCCTACGCCAACACAACAACACGGCGATCCGGTTGCTCACCTCGATAGCGCTAGCCTCCCCGCCGATATCAGGGAAACTGCTCTCGAACCTCGCCCTCTCCTCGTCATCCTCGTTCCCGGTCCCCTCGAGACCAGTCACCTTGAACTCTCCGCCACTACCGCCGTTCTGGTTGGAAGGCGGGTCGAAAGAGGGGAAGTTGGACATGGGGTCAAAGTCGTCCGAGGCGGTGTTGTTGTTGTTGTTTGCGGGAGGTTGAGGCGTGGAGGTTTGAGCCGGGGGAGAAGAGAGACCAGCTGTTTGGATAAATTCCAAGTTCGAGCAAACGTATACACGGATATCGTAGTGAATCAGTAGGATGAAGGTGATAGGTGGACGACGAGGTGTGAAATGCTCACCGAGATCCGGGAACCCGTCCATTCCACCTGCATTTCCAGCTCCGTTGGCAGCCGTATCATTCGCCTTATCGTTACCCGACCCGGAGAAGAGGTCGGCATCTTCTCCTGCATTCCGGGGAAGAATGTTTCATATTGCATCATGATCAGATCAACTTCGGAATGCACCCTGTGTACGCCAAGTAGCCGTGGGTGCTCGAGCTTACCGAGGGCTGCTCGTTCTCGTGCGAGGTATGCTGCTACGGCGTCGTCGTCTGCCATGATTCCTGCTAATTTTCTGAATTTCTGTATGATTGCTTTAACGAAAGAGAGTAGGGGGGTTGGGGTGGTTGTTGTAGCTCATTTCGATACGACGAGGTCCGTTCGTCATTGCGTGTCAACCGAGATCGTGTTCACAGATTGACACGTCACAATCGTCGACGGTGGCTGTTTGAAGGTTTATTTGATAAGCAAGTCTCTGCCGGCATTATCGATAACGGCATTTGTGTGGCATTCGCTTGACGACAGGTCTCTGGTCAAAATTTCGATGGATAGAGGGACCAGTTCAAGGTGCAATTGATACGATCATACGATATGGTGATCGTTGGGACATGCAGACACCAACAACCTTCTCGGTAATCCCACTGTCGTAATCCAGAGAAATAGTCACGATGGGTCTATCCGAACGCAAAAACAAGCAAAAGATCGCACCCGATCCGAGGAATCTGGGATGGAGTCAAGGTGAGCCCAGGACGTTGCTGAGTTGGAGAGATCGAGCCTTGTCGTCTGATCCCTCAACCGATGCAATTGCGAATACAAGACACCAACCGTTTTTCATACCAACACCTCGCCAAGTTCGGGTGGGATCCGACCCAGGGTCTCGGTTCGGAGAATAATCAGGGGAATCGGGAACACATCAAGGTCGTCAGAAAGTTGGATTCGTCGGGTATCGGAGTCGCCCGTGCGATGAAAGAGGGCGCCGAGATAGGAGGAGCCGGGGAAGGGTTGAACTCGCTCTTTGCACGGTTAAAGAAGGCCGGCTCGGCCCATGTCGAAGGAGCGGAGGGTGAGACGGTGGTGGTCTCACCAGGTCCTATGGTCTTTGACACGGTGTCGACATCGGACGAGACCGACGCCGATGCAAATGCAAATGCCCCTGTGATCATCGCCCCGGAACCTCGTCCACTCGGCAACTCTTCCCGTTCGAAATACGTCAGGTCTAAACGACTCGCCGCCTCCTCCCCAGCCGCCATGGCTGAGATCCTGGGGATCCCCATCTCTTCCCTCCCGGCGCCTCCTTCTCCGTTATCACAACCCCCTACCCCTGGTCCATCATCGCTCAAACAATCAAACTCACGGAGCTCGACCTCGGAGGCGGAAGACGTCCTTGATGATCACAAGATTACCGTCGCCAAGATCTCTGTCGGGGAATATTTCCGAAGACGGCTCGCACAGAAGAAAGCTGAGCGGGAAGGAGGACCCGTCCCGGAATTCGATGATACCAAGCCCGAGGTGTACAATGAGGTCGCTAAAGGGTTCGAGGGGAAGAAGATCGTGTTTGGGGGCGACGAGGATGAGGAGGATGTCAAGGTCAAGATGGAGGTCGAGGAGGAGGAAGAGGAAGCAAAACAAGCCGAACGGGGTGTCGGTGGAGCAGGATTAGGGTCGGCCGGGGATCTCAACGCCGTACGATCTGAAGCCACTTCGCCCGTACCAGAGGTCAAGGCGAAGAAGGAGAAAAAGGACAAGAAGGAGAAGCGGGAAAAGAAGGACAAGGAGAAGAAGAAGGACAAGGGCAAGCAGCGGGCGAACGTGGAGGAAGGCGAAGCGGACGTACCCGTCAAGTTGGAAGAAGGAGTCGAGCAGGCGAGGGTCAAGCTCGAACCCGTCGGTGAGGCTGATAAGAAGGAAAAGAAGAAGAGCGATAAGAAGGAAAAGAAGGAGAAGAGGGAAAAGTCGGGAGAGAAGGGAGAGGGGAAGAAGCGGAAACGAGATGACGACGATAACGACGACGAGACGAGCGAGTTGAAGAAAGAGAAGAAGGCCAAGAAGGAAGTGAGTCTAATTGAACCAAGGTCATCGGAAGTGAGATCGACCAACTGATCAATCTTGGTCGTGATCGTATTGACAGAAGAAGAGCAAAAAATCGAAAGACTAGGCTGAGCGCTGTTTGACCATTTCTTGACCCGATTCGTCGCTTCTTTTTACATTGTATCTGGGTCTACCTGGTGTACTGTTGGCTTTCTTCCTGGGGTTAATGTATGACCTGTACGACGACGATACGAACAAGACCATGTATGCAACTGGCTACCACAACGTGAGAGGCGCTTGGGACGCGCTTCTACTTGTCGCGCGGGGAGAGCATCGAACAACTTCAGTCACTACCTTCTCTTGATATTTCGATCAACTTTATATGCTGTTGACCAGACTGCCATACATCTCGTCGCAACACATCACCGTCAGACCTCACTCTCCCTGTCAACATGTCACTTTGTACTAGCTGTCACCGCTCACTCTTGCGACCAGTCGTCTCGACGGCCTCGTCCTCCTCCTCATCGTCCTCGATCAGGACCTACACCGCACGAGCACCTGCCGCCTGGAAATCCCGAACACATACTCAAAAGGCCGCCAGGATTCCCAACCCCCTTCCTGCCATCTATCCTCAACTTGTCATCCTCTCGGACGGCTCATCCTTTACCTCATATACCACCTCGCCATCCCCCGCAACCCTCCGACTCACACGAGATGTGACCAACAACCCGCTCTGGAACCCGGCTAGCGAAGGTCGAAGAGGCGGCGGAGAGGAAGAAGGTGGAAGGCTCGCACGATTCCGAGCGAGGTTCGGAGCCAACTCGCCCTCGTCCGAGACGCCTGCGGGTGAGCAAAAGGCCGGGTCGAGCAAGCAGAGCTCGAGCTCGTTTGGGGTCAGCGATTTCGACTGGATGGGAGAGGAGGCTGGAGTGGCCGAGAAGGTGTCGGCCAAGGAGATGAGCGGGCCACAGAAGGCTACCAAGGGCAAGAAGAAGTAGGAGGTCGGACGATAGAAATCGAGGGCGTTTGGCCAGATCTGGCATTATGCGGCGCTGGTCACGACTGCCTCGACAAAACCTCCCCTCCCTCACGTTCACGACACATATCTTCAGCTTGCCAAATCACCACCTGAATCTCGAAGGACAGCTCGGAGCGTGTGGGAACAACGCAGATGGGCGTACGGTGCTTCAGTCGAGGTAGACCACCGAGAAACGAACGGGTTTCACCTAATGTATTACCAATGTACCCAAAATATCCGCCAGAGGATTATACAACCTTTTCATGATCAAACTCTTTGCCTGGCTCGTAAACTCGGTTGCGTCCACGATCAGTCGCTTAGCACCGAGATCAACCGGAACTCGGTCCCGCCCTTTGGATCCAGAGTATCTGCCAACACTTCGCATGTAAGAGTATGTTGACCCGGTAATAAGTCTTCCCTGATGGTGGTTATCCTGTCGACGACGATGGCACACAGATGTCAGCCTTCTTAAACATTCTCAACACGAACCCCTTGAAGAACGAGACGCACATTCCCATATTCCGTTCCTTAATGTCCCACCATCCATCCACCCTGGTCTTGTCATCCTCCCGATCGTCCACCCAACAACCGATACTGCCAAGACCCAAGACCTTGCTCCGCAGGTGGCCGATCTTGACGTACCCCTCGCCCTGCCCGTCTCGTCCAGGTTTGGCTTGAGTGACGAACGGGAACGTGATTCGCGATCCTGGCTTATCTGAAATAAGGTACCGTTTCTCTCCCCAGTTATACGTATCCCTTATTGAAAGCACAGAGAAGGTCAGTGTTGAGCGACAAATCGAGTGTCTCGAGCTGGAGACGACTCACCATCCGCTCGACTTTTCCGGCAAGACCAGCCTTCTCGATTCGAAAGCCGAGTTGGTACTCGTGCAGGACGGATTCGTTCGCCTGACCTTCTTGTTAGGAGCATAAGCCGAAGCAAGCAACATGCCGGGAATATCTGTCAGCTCGACATCGCTATCGAACGATTCGTCCTCTTCGTCGTCCAGGTACAGGTCATAATCTTCCATCTGAGCGATTTGGAGTTGTAAATAGTGCACAACCAGTTCCGCGAGGAGACTGTGGCCATGGTGACTGATCTGAACACGGCGTTGACAGGAGGATTCGCATTGTAAGCAACCCCGCCGCCCCGCTTCTAGCGATGACATCGACTTACATGCATCAGATCAACCCCGTCCACAACCTTTGCATCCCCCTCGATTCTCTCCTCCTCAGGAACATTCCTGAACCATTTCTTCACCTCCAGCCCGACCTTGGCCGCAGGACCTAAGACACCTCCAGGTGCCGGATTGGAGGTCGGGTCGTTGAGGATGCGGGGGAGGAGGACGTCACGGAGCGAGATGACGGGCGTATCGTAATACGCTGCGACATCGATGTGTAAAGATGATGCTTGCGATAGGGTCGAGAAAAGGAGGGTAAACGTTCTGACGAGGTAGATATCCCTCACCGTTAGCTATGCAGAACCATCTCGCCATAGCCAGGCTTTCCCGGTGATCTCTAACTCACTGTACATTGATCACCGCCGGCCTTGAACCCATCTCCAACAAGCTCCGCAACAACAACTCGTAATTCTCCATAGCCTCGAGACTTCTGGCATCGTTGATTCCCAACTCGACGATGACGAGATCGACATCCTCCCCCAGATGTTCTTTCCAACACCCAGCGAAATAATCCGATCCGATTCCACCTTGGGCACCGTTGATGAACTGGTTAGACCCGCGATGGTGCGGATGATGTTCGTGGCCCGGCTCGACCCCGCTAGTCAAGTTTGCTATAGGCGTCGATGATTCCTCTGCTTGACGTGCTTTTCTGCTATAACCGTACTCGAGCGGCATAGCCGGGAACCTCTCGTTGAGATACTCGAAGACTTGCATGTGCATGTTGAAGGGGTTGTATAGGTTTTGGGTCTTGGCCGGGTTCCGGTCTTCCGGAAAGGAAGAGGAGAGGAGTCGTTTGTGTTTGTTAGGATGGTCCTGGTGATGATGATGTGTCTTCGCATCGTTGCCCTCTTCTTTCGATATTGCGGACGATATCGACGTTGAACCCGATTCTACGTGTGATGATGGCGACTCTGATCCACCGATGACATACCTCCCGACTTCGACATCGAAAGGCAATTTCGGCAAGCCCCTTCCTTTACTCACACTCCCTCCGACGACGGCTACGACGAAGCCTCTCCCGCTCCTAGCTTTCTCCAAAAACCTCTGAACTCTCGCCCCGGTCCCTTCGTATATAAGCCCTCGAGTGTATTCCCATTCTTTGAAAGCCTTGTTCTCGAAGGGAAGGTCGTCCCAGTCTGTCACACGAGGTCTTTGCGAAGTGGAAGAGGAGGTCAAAGAGGAAAGCTTGGAACCGAGGGTGTTCCAGACGGATGAAGACTTGTTCTTGACCGTATTCCAGCCATGGGTCAAACCTAGCCCGGATGATGACGGTGACAAGGGCGAAGAAGGATCCGATCCTACTCCTCCATCTGAATCGAACAGCCCCGCTCCACTCTCATCCTCCGCTAAGGGTCTCTCATCGACAGGGATATACCCGCTCCCGAATCCAAAGTTGGCCCGGACCTTTTCCACGACGACCCATCGGATCCCTTGGGCTGCCGAATCCTTGACCCCCCATGGGTCGAACCGGGATCCTGACGATTGTGGTGTCGGCTGGGAGGAAGAATCGGAAGGTTGGAGGACGAGCGAGACGAGGAGAAAGATGATCGAGGTCAGGGCGAGAATGAGGGAGAGGACGAGTTGACGGCGGGTGATATGGGGCAAGGGGATCATCGTGGGGCGCCGGATGGAAGACTTGTAGAGTTTTGAGTTGCGTTTATAACTTTAGTCTCATTCTGATCCCAGATCTAGACTTGTGATGTGGATGGTGGACAGAGTACAGAGTAGTAGTCGACCTTTGCAACTAGCAATTAGAGTGTTTCCCGAGGTTCGATGTGAAGTTCGAGACCTCTTGGCGGCTCCCGGATGGATATGCTTCCGAACAACTGGATTTGATTCCGAGCGACGGGACGTTTGATGGCGAACACTGCATGATACATGAAACACATTTATGGCTCGCAAAGCTCATTTGGTCGAAACTAGGAGTGGCACGGCGGAAGCGATTTACTCCAGAGTTCTCAGTGGCAAGTTCTGCTTCCCAAGAAGGTCCACAAAAATGATCTGTTCTCGAGTCAAAGGAAGTTGGTTACATTCTCGGCTCATCGGGCGGAAGTCGGGCGAACTGGCCAAGCGTATATAATAGGCATGTCTACTGTGGGGCAAGCATCTGTTCTTCTAGATTCCCCCGTCCGATTCAAGATATCGTCTCTGCCCATTGAACCAAGCCTTGACCCTGTACTTCTGCTCAAGCTGCAACCACCAAGCTCGATGTCGCAGTCTCAAGAACAACCTCCCAAAGACGACAAAGACTTAGACTCTAACTCTTCCGAATGGCCTGCTTCTACACGCCCAGCGGCTTCTCAGTTGAGACGGAACGCACTCAGCCCCCTCGATCGGGACCTTCCTGAGTTCCAGAAGCGAATGATTGAAGAAGCTGCTGCAGCAGGCGTGTACGACTTGTCCTCTTGTACAGCGGCCCTTTTGTCTATCGCTGATACAGGAGATGAAGAGTCGCGGAAGACGGTATCTGTCGAAAGCAACCAGTAGTGATGTCACTATCGTTTTCGAGAGTCGTGTTGCGTTGTGTTGAGACCATGTACATTCTGCCAGATGAATATGTGATACAATAAGCTTTGCTGGCCATAGGACGCGAGCCTTTTGCTTGGTCGTGACATTCTTGCCATATCGGCGTTTGGCACGGCGAAAGGACCTTGAACTCAGCAGTACATTTTTGGCCGTGCCCAGGCAGAAAGCGGCCTGACATTGCACCGGATCACTGAGATTATTGGCCATTCGTACCCTGCGAATTGAGAAGCCTAAGAGGTAGTGGTCGTCTCAACAATGTCACAAGTCATTGTTACATGTATCGTTTGCAATAGCCGCTGACTGGTCCAATTGAACACCAGTCATCCTTCTTGAAACTCTCATCCTCGGCTTCCACGTCTTTCGCAAGTGACTATTTCCGTTGAATTGCGGCCCAAAGTTCTCCGGCCGCACGGGGCTTTGATCCGATCCAAAACTTAATGGAGCATACCATATCTTTTCCGTTCTTCTCGCATGGTCTGGGTCAAGTTAGAGAATCCAGGTAAAGAAGTCCACGCTGAAGTTGGTGAGCTTAGCCAATTTGCTCGCGACTGATGGTAAGTCTCTAACGTCGATCGAGGGATTCCAGACGGTTCTCCAACTCGCGCGAGTTAAACACAGGCGACACATGACCGGTCTTTCCATATGCATGACCTTGTTACATGTACCGGATAGACCTGGAAGCCCCTCATGCCGCTTTGACCTTTTTCACCTGTTTCGACACTTCCACTTCGGCTGCCTTTCGTTTACTCGTCGATTCTGCCTGGTTCTCAGCTTCATCCTGGTCTATTTCCATCGTCGTTGTCGATTCCGCTGCTGTTTTCACCTTCGTTTCTGGCATGACCATCCTCGGGACCGACATGACCCCCTTGTACGCCCTTCGAGCCTCTACAAGGACGAGACGATGCAAGATCAGCGGCCGGACTAGGAGAATCAGACGGAGTAAGCAAGTGAGAGTAGACGGCCTGGACTTACGGGCCCGCAGGATGACTTTGAGTGGGGTGTCCATGACGGCCTCTTTCGCCTGATTCGCTGGCATTCCCAAGAGCGTAGCTCTATCCTCCCACAAACATGAATCTTTCAGCCAACCAAACCCTCGCTCACGACAGAAGCCCCGTACGCTAACACGTCTCGAGGGACACTCACAGGTTGATCAGATCAGCCGGACCCCGAACCCCGGACCCATCCCCCGAGCTGAAGATGATCCCACCCCCACCCTTTCCTCGTTTGTCCACCCCGTCTCGTCCACCTCCACCGGATACGGCCATGATCACCCTCACGGCCTCTCGAGCGTTCGTAAGGAAGTTTTGTCGGGCCTTTTCGTCGTTCTGAGAGCCGAGGGCCGAGGCGTAACAGATCTCGAACTGCGATTCGATACAATACAAATCGTTAGGCATGATGTTGAAAGCTCATTGCCTAAACGTCTTAACAAATTATGGTCGACACTCACCACAGCCCCATTCCTCAGTGCGGCCCTGACCAGACTTCTCTTCATGCCCTTGAACGGCAGCCTCGCTCCACTTGTCGAGACGGTGATGATCCCCACCTGGTTCGCTCCCGGTCGAGTGAGCTCGGTACAGACCTTCGAGAAGGATTCTGGGGTGAGCGGTTGGAGGGAGATCAAGTCCCAGGTTTGTAGCAGAGGGGTTTGGGAGGCAGTCTACAAAATACAAGTAGATCGTATATGGGTAGAACGTCAGCGACTGAACGGCAGCAAAGACTTGTGGGCAGCGGTATGAAGGTGAGGAAGTGTACTTACCAAACCGTGAACGTTGCTATCGTCGACGACCAGATGTAACCTCCCCATCTGCCTCACCCCCATCCCACCGGCACCCGCTTTCTTCCCACTTCCACTTGCCCATCGAGGGTCATATTCTGGAAAGGGGACCGATCCAATAGGTTCTCCTATCTGCGGCTGTCCTTGAGATTGAGTTTGCGAGGAAGAGGAAGATGATGGGTAGAAAGGGTTGATAGGTATCGCACCCGGTCGAGCGGGGGTGATCGTATAAGCTACGATCGAATATCCGACTATGTGATCCCAAACCAGCAGGGCCACCCATGGAAGAATCGATATCGAACTATCAGCTCTCGCATCGTAAACATTCGGCCAGGGACCGATACAATTGGCAGAAGCAAGAAATGATACTTACAATACCCAGCCTGAGCGACCAACCCTCTCTTAGCCTCCTTCTCTTCCCTACCTCCAGGCAGAGCTCTCCAGTACTTTTCTTCTGCCCATCGAGTAGCCTTGACTATGCCCGAAGTCGAAGTCGAGCTCGCAGTGTCGAAGACTTCGGTCGGTCCAAGGGTACCGGCTGGAGACCCTGCTCGTGAGCCGTATGGCGATTCGGTGTTCCCGTTGGCATTGACATTGCCGTTGGCCTTGTTCTGTTTACCTTTCTTTGCCCCTGATCCTGAGCCTGATCCTGGGGTAGAAGAGGAAGAACCGGCGGCCACTGGAGGGTGAGGGAAAGGGAGGAAGAGGTCGGCCGCGTTGTACATCTCGAAGTCCTGTGTCGCAGCTTTGTCCTGGTCTTTTCGGTGTAAGGTCTCGAGGACGCTGGTGTACCCGTGATAGGTTCCCCCTGTTGAGGGTTAGGGGAAGGCAAGACGAGTCCTGGTGTGATAAATGATAGATCTAGCGTTCGGAAAATTTAATGAGAAGCGGATATGATATCCATAAGGCATAATTCATAAGGTATAAGATTATTAAGTATTCATAAGGTATAATTATTAAGTATAACTTTGAGGAGACAGATTTCAAGATCTCGCTCAGATTTCGAGCGCGGTGGTTCCGATCTAGCTACCATTCGTCTGGAAAAGGTGTACGAGGAGTAGCAAGGAGATTGCACAAGGGAGCAGTCAGAAGCAGAAGAATATTGATGTCAAGGATCAAGTTGATCGCTGACGAAGGACCACCGGAAATGAGCAGGATCGAAGATCGATAACTTCAAGGTCTAAAACGATTACAACGATACTTTCCACTAATATTACAAATGTGCAAGCCACTTCGACCCACTCGACCACATCCGGTCACGCCCCCAAGAGAGAGCGACCGAGAGCGAGCAGGAGATACGGACCCATCAGAAGCACAAGTCTTCTCTCATTCTCCCCTCTCTCGACCACCGTTTGCACCCACTCGCCCTCCCCCGAAGAGGCGGTCGAGCGGGTCGATGGTCGATAAACTGCCGATTGCGTACGATATTTCCGTCGAGTATTTTTTAGGTGGGAGTATTGTTGCCAGGTATCGGGAGGGTTGAAGGAGAAGAGTAGAGGAGGTAGGTCGTGGGTATCTGTCGAGGTAGGAGAGATTTTGATTTTGAATGACGAACAGGAAGGGCGAGCCTAAGCGGGAGAAGCGGACATCGAGCTTGGAGCGTTTCGCATGTCCGCTCGAGTGATTAGAAGCCGGATGCGTAAAACGTCTTCATGTCCGCTGTATCAAGTCATTTCATCGAGGGTGACGCGACGCGACGTCGAACGCGTTTGCGGTTCACAGCGATCAAGTTCGATCATTCGACCTCTTGCTCACACCCCGATCAGATAGTTCGATAGATCAGTCTTCTAGCTTCTTGACCGGGTATCTCATGTCATTCGACCTGTGTCCTGTAACACTACTCAAACCTTCTCGTATCATGTCCTCTCCGCTCCGCAAGCCTCCACCACGTAGGACGTACGGGAGACCCAGACCCGCAGCTGGGAACGAAGCGCCCACCACGACAATCACGACGACATTGACCACTCTTCAGTTTGGGAAACACGCCGATTGGAGAAAGCAAATCGAGGAAGATGAAGTTGACGATGAAGATGACGATGACGAGGTGGATCTTGACATCGGACTCGATTCCGCCAACTCGAACGCCGAAACTTCAATCAAACGACGAGCGCTGGAGAAAATTCGTCGCATACGCGAAGCAGATCGTCTCAAAGAAGAAAGAGAACGAGCCGTTCTCTTGGCCAAGGCTCAACGGGCGGAAGATGGGGATGAGGATGGAATCGAGGCTCCTAGTAGTCAGAACAACCGGGGTGGTGGGTTCGGGAGGGAGAGGAAGAGAGTCGGGTATGGGTACATGTATGGGAGAGGCGATGCGGCGAGAGAGCATAGGAGTGGGAGTGAGAGTGATAAGGAGAAGGGAGACTTGAATGGAGAAAAGTCGGACGTATCAGACGTGGGCGAGGATCGAGCCGAAGCACCAACGGCCTCGTCTTCTCTTCCCCCGCTCACCTCTTCCTTACCTCCGGCTTCTGCTTCTACCACTCGTCCGACCGCCCTGGAAGCCACAACAGCCATCACCACCGGTAACAACCTCAACCGAGCAATGTTCGGTTCCTCGACGCTGTCCCCTCCCTCAGGCCTCTCTCCGTCTCATAGGCCGTTTCCGTTCTCTTCCCCCGCTCCTCGAGCAGGATCACCCTCGGGATCTCGCCAGGAGAGCCCATCGCCATCCCCGATCAAACGACCACGGACTGGGACCGCTCGAGGGAGGGTGTTGCGGAGCTCATCTCCCAGCGGGCTCGGTGCAGAGGATGATTTACAGCCGGATTTGGGAGTAGGGATGGACTTTGAGGAGACGTACGCCCCGATCAAAGCTGGAGTAAGAAGACCCCGAGGGGACAGAGGAGGTGCGAGGAAGAAGGTGGTTGGCCTGGATAGCGACGACGAGGAATCCACAGCAGACGAGCACGGACGGGACGCAGATCTGGATGTGGGAGATCGGACAATCACCCCTTCTCGTCCGCATGACGCAGACGGATTGGCCAGCGAAGTCGGCGAATCGGAGGATGTTCTGGGTTCGTTCTCGACCCCTCGCAAGACGAAGCGGGACCGGTCGTTGATCATCGCTACTTCGGGGATCTCGCCGGAGTCGCCTTCGAGGTTGATGTCGAAGTCGAATCTCAAGGCGAATTCGAAAAGGCTCGGCGGCTCGGATGGAGGGGAAGATGCGGAGATGGACAAGGATGAAGATGATGATGTGGAGATGGACGGGATTTTGGGATCGCCAAGTGTAAGGCAGAGCAGGAAACGCGCTGGCAGAATCGGGCAGGGAGAGGTGGATAGCGAGGAGGACGGGAGGGTGGCCAAGGCACCCAAGATCCGAGTGAGTTTCGCTCCCGTTCAGTAACTCGACCTTTCTGAGCAGACGAATAGAAGGTATTTAACACTCGTTGTTCGATTTCACACAGCCTCTTTCCAAGAAACAGCGCCTCGAGATGGACCGAGAACAAGCCAAGATCCGGGCTGAAAAACCGATCAGACTCGCTCCGTCTGCCCGAGCTCGCCCGTCTGCGCCGGGAGCCATGATGGGTGGGCTGGGGATGACCGATTTCGTAAAAGCGACTCAGAACGCATGGATCTCCGCGAGGAGAACGACAGTGCTCGGACCTGCAAAGGAGACGAAACCGATGACTCAGTATGTCAAGCTATCAAGCTTGGCACCGGGGCCTGCAGGAGCTGCCAATACATCGGAGGTTCCAATCACCTCGGAAAATCCTGGCGAGATGCAGGAGGAAGAAGAGATTGGGAAATTCAGTAGCGGTGGAAATAGGAATATCGGCGTGCTGACCGGAGGGCTGGGGTCGTCGCCGACCAACAAGGGTAAAAGCACAATCAAGGGCAAAATAACTTTGCGCTTGAGCAACCTGGACGGAGATGACGATGATGAGGAGTTACCCGAACTCAAGGACGTGGTCGCCAAGAAAGAGCAAGAACGGTTGATCGCTCGTAAACGTGAAGAACTCGCCCGTCAAAAGGCCATCGCCTACAAGAGGATTCAGGAGGAGAAGTTGCGCCAAAATGGGGATGACGAAGACGACTTGGTCATCGAAGGAGTACCAGACTCGGTCAAGAAGCCGCCACCTGTCAAGCGGCAGAACGGGGGCACGGCTCGGGGAATTTTCGATCACGCTCGAGAGGCCAGACAGGGCAAGGGTCTCGACGCTGGACAGCGGCTGGCGGCGCTCGCAGGTGTCTCTACCAAGCATCAGGATACCATCACGGAGAGCTTGGTTTTTCATGCTGGTCGCGATTTCGATCACGCAAACAAGAAGAGAACTGGAGCTTTACCGTCCGGCTTGGAGAAGCGCAAGGTCCAGCTGATCCCGAAGGACCGCTTAGAGGCGGACTTGCTCAAGAGACAGCGCGAGTTCAACTTGCAAGAGCGTCAGCGAAAGGAAAAAGCCAGTGGAGTCAAAGCTAGGCGGCTGGAGGATAAAAAGCCATTGGAGATCGAGGAGTTGATCAAGGACGAACGCTGGGACGAGCAAGCAAGCGATGAGGATCCAGAAGACGGTGATTACAAGCCGGAAGTCGAAGCCGACGTCGAGATGGAAGCGGTCGACGTTGGTAGCGAAGTCGGGGATGACGAGCGGTCGATCATTTATAGCGGGGAGGAGGAAGACGAAGCCGAACCAATTGTTCGCGCCACGCCTTTCTCAGGCAACTCCGTCGGGCCCGACGATGAAGCCGAGGTTGACCTGCCTCGCCGATCCCGGCCTCGGAAAACGATCGTTCATACGATAAGAGATAGCGACGACGAAGAGGCTACACCCAAAGCAGCGACCAAGGCGTCCTTTGCCTTTGTGCCGCCGTCAAACTCAAGACCGGATCTCGACATTGCCAATGCTGTGGATCCGCTCGAATTTGGGGCATTCGGCGAGGACGATGGAACGGATTTAGGGGGAGGATTCTCGCAATTCTTCGGTGCGACCCAGGCTGGTGACAGCGAGGTGAATAATGGGCGCGACTCTACTTCTCACGTTGCTGAGGCTGACATGTTCCTTCCCGATTTGATCACAGGCCGACGCATTCGGCGGCTTCGATGTTCTGCGTCACGATAAGACCGATGCAGTTCTGACTACACAGGTTCACCTGCCGGACCCCAACATCACTGCCACGGCTCGTCGCCGTAACGAGGAACTCCTCGAGGGCGAGATGATGCTGGACGCAGACTCTATGGATATAGAAAAGGCTGAAGCAGAGAAATACTTCAATGACAAGGGGTAAGAATAGCAAAATATCGTGATTGGACAGCTTGGCTGATATATATACCTCACGTAGACTCCTCACGCAGACACGTCCGACCGGACGAATCCCTCTCACCAAGGCCGACACGTCGGTCAGTATCACCAGCGAAGGCGCATCCGAGAATACTTCGATGCTATCGATGGCTCTCTCTGCCACCTATCGATCGCCACCGTCCTCCACACGTCACGCTCAAGGCAGCGCCCCGAACACTGCGCTAGACGAAGCTGCGCCGTTACGTCGACTTAAGCCTCGGAGACCCTCTTCCATACATTCTTCCAACGACGAGCGTGATGTCACGCAACCTAGTTCTGAGGCGCATACAGGACCCAATTCGGATGCCTTGACGACGACCGATATCGCTTCGGATCCCGCTCCCGTTGCTCAAACGCGGCCCAAGAATGCGTTTGATGTGCTCAAAGCAGCCCGTCCGAGTCGACCGAAACTGGATCCTAAGACCATAGCGGAACGAAAGGCACGGTTCGTCGAAGGGGAGGCCGAGGAAAGTGACGAAGAAAACGGTTGGGGTGGCGGCACCAGGCAAGACGATATCGAAGAGGACGAAGATCCCGACGCCGTGCTGGAGGAACTAGTCGACGATGCACAAAAGACGGCGGAAGAGCTCGAGAGGGAAGAGGAACAACGTCTCCAGAAATATAGGTAAGCTTTCGATCATGACGGTCGGGCTCACGCTTGGTCTCACCTGTGACGTTTCTTCAGAGAGATTGCCGAACAGGACGATGAAAAGAGCCGTAAGCTGGCAGAAGATCTCACCAAAGGTATCTACCGAACCGGGAAGAGCGGCAAGATGGGCGACATCGAATTTTCGGACGACGAAGACGAAGAGCGCAAGAGCAAACGAGGGAAGAAACGCAGAAAGGAGCGCGAGCTGAAGGGCGTTGGTAAGTCAATGAGCAGGTGTATGGGTGACCGATTCTGATGATACGGCGCCACGGTCTAGATCCAGACAGCGCGTTCCAACAAGTCTATGAAGAGCTCGCAGCGTCCAGCGACGAGGAATTTGAGGAGCCAGAAGACGATACAGCTGGCTTCAGCGTGCGTCTTTCCAGCCCGATAGCAGAGGACAGCGTACCACAGAAGACGATCAGCGACAAGGCGAGACAGCTAGCGATTGAAAACGTTAGTAACAAGAGTAGATCTGGATCGCTACGTCCGTGACTAATGCAATTCGGTCCGGCAGAAACGGAGTCGTGACTTGGCTCTCTTAGAATCAGCCAGTGATACTGAGGGCTCGGATGACGAGCAGTCTTCGTTCAAGCTTGAGCGCAACGACTCGCAGAGTCTCGCCCCGCGACCGGTAAGGGCAATCGGCAGTAGGATCTTGTCGAAGGTGCACTCATGCTTGCGTTGTACATCCAGTCGCTGGTTTCGCGTGATTCTGCCAAGTATGCCCGACACCTTGAAGGAGAATCGCAGAGGAGTACCGATACGCGCAAGATTGGTGGATCGAGTTCGGTATCGGGCGCTGTAAATAGAAGATCAGGCCGCAGGTCAAGCTTTGGAGCTCCACTAGTCAACAAGGCGAGCAAGGCAATGCCTCCACCTCGCGCTCAACCTAGAACGCTCGGCAGGGTTATGGACAAGAGCGGACGCTTCGATAAAGATTAGGACCAGGATTGTATGACACAATTGTATCCAGTATTCAGCCTTGTAGCCCACTTTTGATATACCACATGCATCTGTATTGTATGATTCAGTACAGGCCATGAAGGCGTGCTCAGCGGGTCGTGCAGGAGCGTGCGAGAGTCCATCTTCGTGACAACTGCACAATAACACTGACACAGTATTAAACAGTATTAAACAGTATAGACGCCTGGTATCACTAACGGTCTTACTTCATCTTTGCAGGTACTAGGCTATCGTAATCCCCGCTCGATAAACGTACCTTCCGATAGAGAATACAATCGACCAAATTATAATTCAATCCCATCTTGTCATTGGTAATGTCGTGTATAGCGATATCGAGGGTCTTGAGGAGGGCCACGAGCAAGGAATCTATACGATCAGGACCGATACCGAGCATGAACGTGATGCGTCAATGGTGTCCGTCCGAGCACGACCGTCATATCATTGGCCTTCTTGGGAAGCAGAAGCAGTGGCAGTCGAGTTGTCAGCGTTTGTCAGGTTCCTGAGTTCGATCTCGTGCATGCTGACTATGGCAGCTCCGGACCACATTGCATGTGCGTCTACTCTTCGCCTATCAAGACCTGTGGCAACGTTGAATCACTTTGACGCTACCATGTTAGCGATGAGGTGCCTGACTTCATCGGTCGATACAATACGAGTACCAAAGAAAGTTGTAGAAACACTGGCTGAGAGTCTTTCGGCTTTCCAAACATTAATGCCAAACCTAGTCGAAGAACTTCACCCTGTGTATATTATTCGGAACCTCGACAATCACGGGAAAATTACAAATGCCTGACTCCTCCTCCAACCTATACCTTTTCTAACGCTTTGCTCCCCGACTCAGGTACGCTCTTTTGGCTGATCGCTGAAGGATGGGATGGCTCTTTTTTCGCTCTGGGTCTGATTTTGAGTGTGATCTTCGGTCTGTTCTTGTTGCGGCGAGGAGTTCTCTACAGGGACCGTCTGTCATTAGCATCTTCGGATTCCGTGCAGAAAGAAACCTTTACTTACTTGAAGCGGTTGCTCTCGCATCAGTTCCATCAAACCAGGTGGATTCTTCCTTGGGGCCTTGATGATATGCACGGAAGGACGACGGACCGCGCAAGACTGGTGACATGTTGCCAGTCCCGATGACGCGAGGGGAACCTCTGGGTACGATGTAAGAGTTCCTGTTTTGATGCAAAACATCCTCAGCCGAGATCCCCTTTCAGACCATAGTAGTTCAACTTGCCTCAGTCCAGACCCAGTAGGGGTCTCAACATTCTCGTCGTCTCCACGTTGGCTGTAAGATCAGATGAAACGCGAGGAGATCAGCACCGCGCGGGACCAAAACGTCGGTCAGTTGGGACGAAGACTCGCCACCGAAGATTGCCTTGAAACATCAAGGACGTAGCCAACTTGGAAGAGAGCTCATGGATCGACGACGGCGTACTGGCTCGTGGAGTGGGAGGACTCAGAGGTACGGCTCGTCTCTCGCCTTCCTCCTTATCACCTTGCCATTCCTGCAACCTTCGAGTAAGACCTTCGACAAGGGGCGTCCCAGTCCTCCTGACGGGAGACGTGTGACCCTTCTCATGGTGATGAGCCCCAGCAAGAGAGTTGTAGGGAGTGTGGGGTTCGACGGGAGAGTTTGGGAACTTGTACATGGGAGTAAGAGGTCGGGACATGGCTCCTTTCAAGGGTTTACCCTGGTACCGTTGGCTGGGCGAGAGGGACATGATGCTGACCCTTTTAGAACTGCCGGCCCTGGTGGGCATTTCGGGACGGATAGGGACTTGCATTTTCATTGACGGTCGCACGGGAAAGATATCGGTTGGGAGAGTCTCGAGATGAATTCCGAGGAGGAGGAGAAAGTTCATTGCCACTGACGAGAAGAAGCAAACACGCCTTACGGCTTAGGCTTTATACTTCTGTGGTCAATGACCTTTCACCCGAAACGTTTGATCCTTGCGCTTCCTTTGATCTTTTCGGATGGACGTTTCGTCACGAGCACGTCACTCGAGTCGCGGATGTACAGCGGATCAGATCGGCCGAATCTCGAGAGGTATGGTATCGTCAATTCGTCGTCATCTCGGTCAGATTCTCAAGTCGTACATATTGCGCTTCGTGACATCATCCTCACAAGCGTAAGCTTTCGTTCATCATGAACGTACTCGCTTGGCGTCCGGCGGATAGGGTATTTCCGAATCATTCAAGGTCCCAAGTACTTGTCGTGCGGTCGTCAATCCAGGATGTCGGCCTGGCCTGCTGTATCCGAATCTAAACCAGAGGTTTAGGGTTCCAGCCTCGGTAACATCATTGACAAACGACGCAGAACCGACTCACCCATCTCCATCGCCCGGACTGATACGCTTCATACCCCTCGAGCTCGACCCTCCTTCATCTGTCGACCCGCTAGTATCTCCCACCGAATCTTCCTGCATCTGAGCTGCGATCGCTTGTCGTCGTTTCGCTGCCGCTTCCGTTGGCGAGAGCTTCTTGGCCTGTGCGTTTGCTGACCGGTCTTCCTGTCCATTACCAGACTAGACAATTCACAAGTCACACAGCAGATCAGCTGACTGACGTGGCGAGCCTTCACATCTGCTGATGAGGGAGACCACATGTCCTTACCTGATTTTGAGGATACACAAATCCACCCGCCGAACGACCTCTTTGCAAGCTCGGTTGCGGCCCGACAACCGTGTTCGTCTCTGCATTGTCCCTCGCTGATGCCATCTCCGTCACATTCCCAGGCGGAGGAGCCCCAAACCCGTCCGTCCTCACATCGTCCACCATCTCATCCTCTGCAGTCTCACCCATGCCAGCCTCTTCTGCCGTCAGGAAGTCCGTGCTGGTCAACCCTACCAACGGATCCTCCATATCCATATTCGCAAACAGCTCGTCGTCCTGCGCGTAATACTCTTCCACCTCGGTCGTCGTCGGTCTCACTATCGACATGCCTGCAGCTGCCAACGCCCTCGCTCTAGCTTGCGCTCCTGCTGCTCTGGCCGCGGGATCCTTGTTGGCCGCCGGAGGTCGGTTTGGTGTGGCGGTTGACGCGGACGTCGAAGTAGATGCTTGCCCTTGCGCCTGGACTGATGGACCGGGTCGTGTAGGCGTACCACCATTCTGATTCTGGTTCAACAACCTCGCCGGCAAGGCGGGTCTCACGAACCCTTGTTCGTCTTTGACCTGGGTAGACGCTCCTTCCTGTCCGCCGTTAGGCATCTGCGAGCTCAGGTCATTCATCGGATGCGGCCTTGAGGGTCCTGCTTGCGCCGAAGCTTGGAAGGCCTCGTCAAATTCGGGGCGTCTCCATAGATCTTCTGGTTTGAGCGGTTTCTACCATCAGGAGTATTACGTCATGATGTCAGTCGGGTTATGAGGATATCTTGAATCTCGAATCCCCCTGGGCGACTTACGGGAACCACCTTGATCTTCTTGATATCCGCCAGATACTTCTTGTCATAGAGACAGTTCCCGAGCACGTTCCCAAACATCCTTAGCGTCCTCTTGATTCCGTCCGTCACCGCTTCTTTTTTCGCCTATCATGGTCGCAAAGCGCGAAGAGAAGACAGAACTCAGTAACCGTAACCGCTATCTTCGGCCCCACATCGCTGGGTAGAACATCCGACCCGACCCACCTTGTCCAAAGCCGACCCTTTTCCCTTCAGATTCTCACCTCCACCGTATCCCGTATCCTCATGAAATGTCCCGTCTCGAAGGGTGATCCGGATGATGGCGGTGATCCCGATATTGAACCTGCCAGGTGATTGTTCGTCGCACTGTGAACGCGTGTCGAGGGATTATCGAAGACAGCAAAGATTAGGTGACCGAGGGAAATAAGTGGATGGGAGGACGGAACATCTCATCTAATCAGCACACCAGATTTCTGTCTCTACGAAGTCCTAGGCGGTTTAGGGGCGATACTTACGAAATCCGTATTCAGGCTGATGATTTGAGATGACCAGCCATTGAAGCCGAATACTTCGTTAGCGAGGTTGATTGCTGCGGTGGGAACGCGGTATTGTGAGCGAGAAGAACGAGTCGAATAGTCAGTCGATGTAACAGGAAGAGCAGAGAGCGGTTGGACTGGAGCTCGTTTGCCTACCTTTCCAACCTTCAATATAGCTGCAAGTTCACGACAATAGAAAATGATTGAGATCAGCTTGATTTCAGCTCATCTTCCATCCGTCCCGTTTCCCTACTGCCACCTTAGATTCCAGCTACCATCCCGGAGCTAGGCATGCACCCTCAAGACTCACCTCAAAGTAGGCCCCCCGCTCGGCCCCTTTCGTTCCATGATATACTCCGGTCCCAACTGTTTTTGCAATCTGCTCTGGAGGGTGGCAATCTGACCGGCCGTATAAGCTGACATTTGCATGAGTTGGGTGTTCTCTCCTTGTTGAGTTTGCGGGTATTGAGTCTGGGTATGGTATTGATTTTGCGTTTGTCCGAACCCCCCACCACCACCGAAGAACGAGGTCGAAGGCGTGGGATCGGCAGGCGCATGATGTTCCCAAGTGTTCAAAGGAGAAGGAGGAGGCATGGCAAAGGCATGCGAAGCGGCCTTGGGAGCTCTCTGCGTGATCGGGGGTTTCCTATCTCCTTGTACTGCGCTTGGGTCCATCCTGGTCGTCGATTGATCCGGAAGAGGTCTCCCGTGAGACCCGTTGTATGCCGCTGAAGGGTGTGGGTTGTACTGAGGAGCCGGGGGAGGAGGTTCGGTGATGATATACTGAGGCGTGAATGGTTCTCTTTTGACGCTCGAATTCTGGGTCGGGTAGAGTTGACGGTGGGTGGAGAGGGCTTGTTGGTGTTCGAAGGAATGGAGGAGGTGGGTGGAGAGTGCCATTGTCTCGATGCGAGATTTAGTTGAGTGGCATGGTCTCTGTTTCGAGGGTGATCAAAGCAAGATGAGAAAGGTGTAGCTATCCGTGTAGTCAGCAGGTGATAGCAAGTAGCGAGTAGCTAGCTTAGGTAGAATCATTTGGTTTGCGACCTTTGGAGGAATGATTCGCCATCAACCGCAACAACTTCGAACCTTCCGGATGCATTTTCTGATTTACTTCCGAAGATGAAATGATATAGCACAACCCATGGCACAGGCCTCGATCATACACGTCAAGAGCGGACATCTCAAATGCTCGCATGTCCCCTCTCGTTTACTAAATATCGGTCTCATCCACCGACCATGGCCATGAACCTTTGAGGTCCTATCGAATCTGATAGCTGATACCATCTTGTAGCATCTGCTTCGTATCGTCAAAGCTCCCTGCCTCTCGTACCAATAGCTCGAATCGCCGCTTTACAACTATCACTCTACAGCCAAGACACACCCGGGAACCATGGCTGACGACGAATACGATGGCGCCGATAACCGAAAGTACGTTTCGCTGCTTTCGATATGGATGGACAACCGCTTTGATCGACTTTGCTCACCGGATTACTTTTACCTCGTGATTCTGACAGTGGGGACTATGAGGATTTTGTAGATGAGCCTGCTGTAAGTCCAAATCTGCGGGTCGAGCGGCAAGACAACGCTAACAGTCTGACTGGCCTTGTTCACCCATGTCGGTCGACCTCGTCCTCCTCTCCGCCTGCTTTTCTCCTCCTACCCTTCACTCTCGCATGAATTCACATCAACAATATCAATCGACCATACTCTCAATCAAACCATATCTCCAACTGGTTGAACCCACCAGGCCGAAGAACTCGCAGAAGAAGAGGGAGACGGGTTCGACGAGCCCGATGCGGTGAACGCCGATGGGGATCAACATATGGGTGGAGTGGATGAGGATGCCGAGGGTGAACAGGGGGTGAGTCTGTCTTTCTCTTTCTTATCTTGAGGTGCGGGTTGGGTCGTGGTGAGGTTGCTACCGGAGTGTGGGGAATGAGGTTTGGATGAGACTAAGAGAGAGCAAAGTCTTACAGGGGTAATGAGATCCCGAATGAGCTGGTCGATGCGAAGCAAGGGGGCAATAGATAGTCCTTTCTAGAGATAGGCAGCTTCGTCACAGGCATACTCGTAACCTGTGCTTCTTCCCACTCCCACTTCGTCCGCCTTATCCACGACTGAGCCTACACACAACTCGACTTGATAGATTATCTGACACCCTTTCTCTTAACCGTGCCTATTGTGCTCACACCTACACATTATATCATACAGGCAGCAAGCGTCCGAACCGGCAAGGAGAGCATGGCGAATGCCGACCGGGTGACCACGCCCTACCTGACCAAGTATGAACGGGCGAGGATCTTGGGTACTCGGGCTTTGCAGATCAGGTACGTCTTGCGTGGTAACACGATTGATATGAAAGGGTGTCTTGTTTCTATATCATTCTGTCGAGCTGACCCAAATATCTCTCAACATTTCATCTCGCTTGCTCCGTTCTGCGTCGATTTCCATTTACGACATACTCTGGATGGTTGCTGTCATCGTCGCTAGTATGAACGCCCCCGTACTCGTGCAGCTGGAAGGAGAGACGGACCCATTGGAGATTGCCAAGAAGGAACTGCGGTTCAAGAAGATCCCGCTCGTGATCAGGCGTTATCTTCCAGGTGAGTGCCGGGAAGTTGGCACCCGCTCCGCCTTTGTACACCTGCTCTGGGCATAGAGGCGCTCCGAGGGGGAATGTAATTGAGAAGAGGATGCTGACGCCGTGTTGCTGTTGGCTCGCGCAGACAACTCGTACGAGGAATGGAAGGTAAGACGATCTCCATCGCCACTAGCAGCTCTTTGGAAATTTGCTAACGACTTTGACATACCTATCGTATCTGCAGGTCTCGGAGCTCATTATCAACGGGGACTAGACTCGCCGGCCTCTTTTCATCCTTTTCTTTACGACCCATCAGCAATATCACATACGCCATACATCATCTTTCGGTTTTACTCTTTCTGTTCCGTCCTGTCCTGGGTCTACCATGTTGTCATCTACATCTATGCGAGCGAGCGATCCGGCGTTCTTGCTTCGTTTCGAACAAAAAAAAAACATTTAACAGAGGTTTCTCGCTCGCAAACCGCTTTGTGTCACTATCGCCGTCGACGGTTGCACACCTAGCTAGATCATCAACCCTTGATGAGGTTGATACGCTGATTATGAAGAGGTGAAAGCTCTGGTTGAATGAGTGAGATTCGATTGCACCTGTTAAAGCCGGCGGGATGGAACGCTCGGGTCGATCGGAACCGAGCATTCCACGCGATCTCCCTTTAGCCTGGGCTTGTGTGATCACCGGGCTTAGCGGTTCAGAATCGAGCGATCCTCATTCGCCATGCCATGGTCGATCAGGTTGATATCCCTCGACTACCTCTCATATGCAAATACCATCCCGTCCAAGCAGTGTAGTGATAGTTGAGTGTAATCAGTTCTCCCAGCCTTTCATGCGGAATCATGCAACATGACAGCATGGAAGAGCGGCAACGTAAAGGTAAGCTGTCGCACGGAGGTCGAGTACTGGGCTTATGGCAAGGTTATGGGCTGACGATGTTATACCGCCAATCCCGTAGATCTCGTTCTGGATCTCCTGAAGACGTTACCTCGGCATTATCAGTCGGAGATCCATGCTGCGTTATCAGAAGGGTTGAGGCGGGATGTCATAGGTGTGAGTCTCGTAACCCTGAGCTGATTCAACAGTCACTTTACATTGCTTACGTTTTGGCTTGTTAATGGTGATCGCTGAGAATAGTCGATACCACGAGAGCTGGCCTTGCATATCTTTGGGTTTCTGGATATCCCGTCTCTGTTAAAATGTAGTCTGGTGAACAAGACATGGCAGTCGATCGCCAACGATCAAGGTGGGCCCCGGTCGGACCTCATCGTCATCATCATTTGGGCTTCCGCTGACAACAAACTTGATCTCGTTGTACCCTAGTGCTATGGCATCATCTATGTGAGGACGAAGGAATTGCCGCCAATCCCTTGACATCATGGCGGGACATCTTTGCCGAACGAGAAAAGGTCCTCCGGGCGGAAGAAGAAGACGCCGAGAGACAGAACAGGGGCAAGAACAGGGACGATTCGTGGGATGACGAGATCGACCTGGACGATGATGCTCAGGATTTCATGCCGATTTCCCCGCCCACTAGAGTGTTTGCGGGCGGGAGCGTCGTCGTTGAGAGGGGACGGACCGCTACGGATGGGACGATCGCCTTGCCAGCTGTGGACCCGGGGCATCGAAGACGACCTAGTTTCCGGACGGGGAGACAGCAGAGCGGGTTACCAATATTCCTCTTACCGGCCGATAATGTCATATCGGCTCATAATACGGCGTCAGCATCGGCCTTTCCGGCTTCTCAACGACCTTCAACGACATTCCCTATCCTCTCGCATTTGCCGGCTCCTTTCCCCCGTCCACAGGTCAACTATAAGCACCTCTACCTCGTCAACCAGATCATCCGGGAACGATTCATCAAGGGCGACCAACGCCCACGCATCCTAGACGCGGCCGTTTCGCTCAAGAAAGGCGGTCTGGACGGACATCGAGAGGGCGTCTATTGTCTCCAGGTGGTCAACCGGGAACTGTCCATCCCGATCAGCAACAAACAACCCGCTAGTCCTCGTCGATCCGTGGATGGGGCTACTCAGGCCGTCTCGATCGAAGGTAGAGAATGGGTATTTTCCGGATCGCGGGATCGGACCATCCGACTGTGGGACCTGAATACGGCGAGAGTCATCAAGATTTATCAATCCACTCAACCTGATCAGGGACATACGGGGTCCGTACTCACCTTGCACGCCAGGGCCCACGAAGGAGAAGGTGGTAAGGGAAAGGGTATGAGGATGATCTCGGGCGGTTCGGATGGCAAACTCGTCATCTGGGACGTGCTTACCGGGGCGATCGAGGGCGAGATCAAGGCGCACGAGGATAGGCAGAGCGTCTTGTCGGTCAGATTCGATGAGAAACGGATCGTCAGCTGTTCAAAAGGTGAGCGTGCTACATTGCCAATTTTCGTTCATCGGAAATCGTTCTGATGACAATTCTGCGACCGCTCGTATAGATCGCTCGATCCGGACTTATGATGCCAAGACCTTGGAACCGCTACTTATCATTGGGGGTCCTTCGCCGAACGTAGGGGTACAAGCAGAGAATCATCTGTTACAAGCCGACATTCCGGGACCGGAAGACCTGGAGGGTCATCGGGCGGCTGTGAATGCTATCGCCTTGGTTAGAGACTTGATGTGAGTCATGCGATTCCGCGCAATTCTTCTCTGAGTAATGTTCGGACTGACGCTTTGGAGAAACCTGTAGAATCTCGGCTTCGGGAGATCGGACGCTACGAGTCTGGTCGGCAGAAACGGGCGAAGAGTTGACGCAGATCAACGCGCATAACCGTGGGATCGCCAGTCTCGATGTGGACCTGGAGACGGGAACGGCTGTGACAGGGAGTTCAGATTGGGGTATCCGGTTACATCAGCTCTCCGAGTGGGGTTTCGACTTTTCTTCTCGCCGTCTATCCAACTCGGAGGGTCAAGAAGATCGGGCGTCATTCGTCAGAGGGAAGAAGACCATCGAGCCGGAACACCCGAACGGTCTGGAATTCGTCACGGCGAAACAGTGTTGTCGGGACGGGATGCATCATTCGAGGATGGCAAGTATAGGTCAGGGCACGGAAGACGGGGTGAACGAGGATGCGGGGATGGGAGCTGGGTCGAGGTGCTATGTGTGTTCTCATAGGGGGCACAAGGAGCTGGTCAGGTCGCTCTGGCTGGGGGAGAACGTGGTTCTGAGCGGGAGTTACGATCATACTATCAAGGTGAGCTTCGATGTGCCGGTACGTGACCGGCAGGAAGGCTTACGCGCTGCATTTTTCACTACAGATCTGGGATCGCAACACGGGTGTATTACTAAACGATCTTCCCAACTTGCATGCGGGCCGAGTGTTCAGCGTCGTGGGAGACCGGACAAAGGCCGTGAGCACGGGTCTGGATCAGGTAAGTAGAACCCCAGGTTATTAGTACACGTTCAATTGGCGGATGGCTAATTCTTTTCACTTTGTTGAATTCGCAGCGAATCATCATTTGGGACTTTGGGTATGGACTGGATACCAGTTTTGTAGAAATGTAACTGTCGTGGCCGCTTTCTCTTGCCTTTCATGTCTGACCATGTATCGAACACCCTCCGTATCGAACGAACCATGTCTGCAGCCATCATCGATCCTTTCACGTGACCTTTGTTATCATCACGTGACCGATGCAACTCGCGATCTTTCGGTCGAGAGCGATGGTCCTGTCTCTGACTTTATTTCTAAACTTGTCATGGTAAATGTCTTGTTGTGCGAGCGCTGCATACAGGATATTCCTGACCAAACACCGCAATCATGGCTCCATCCCAATTGTCGCAGTTGAAATCTGCGCTATCCACAGCCGGGCTCTCACGGACAAATTCGGGGAAGAAGGGGGGCGGCAACAAGTCTCAGGGCAAAGCAGGCTTGACCAACAAGGACAGGGAGAAGAAACAACGCAAGCTCGATGATATCAAGCAGAGTTTGAACAAATTTGATGTGAGGGAGACCAAGGTTAAGAATCATGTAGTAGGGAGAGGTCAGGATGTCAAGGGCACTTCCGGTACGCCGAGTCAGAGCCGGCAGAAGGGACTCGAGATGGTGAGCTTTGCCATTATTGCTGCTGTTTCTTGGTACAACGTCTAGACATCGCTGAGCCGACATGATTTTCGACTTGTAGCGAAGGGAGACCCTGCTTCCCGAGCTCCAACTTCGCCGTTCCGGCCACACCGGTACCTTTGTCGATCGTCGATTCGGAGAATCCAACCCGAACATTACTCCTGAAGAACGAGCTCTCGAGCGTTTCACTCGCGCCAGAGAGGCCGAACGAGGTTCATCAGGGGGACGGGCTGGCCGGAAAGCCGTCTTCAACCTCAACGATGACGAATCGGGTGGACTTGGGTTCGGGGACGATGATGCTGATATGCATCTCGGTTCCTCGAAAGCCGGATTCACCTTGACGCATGGGGGACGATCGATTGACGAGCTCAAGGGTGACGATTTTGTTGCCCAGGGCTTGGGAGATGAAGATGAAGACCTCGAGGATGATTTCGGAATCAACAGGACGGTCGAGGGAGAGGAAGGTGCTGTCGAGCGGGATTTGACGAGGAGGAACAATTTCGGAGGGTTTGGGGATGATGCCGGTGATGACGATGTGAGTAGGCGCTTTCCGGAAGCTGCGTTGAATTTGTGACTGATCCTGAGTCTTGCTTTCAGCCCGATCGAAAACGAACAAAGAACGAGATCATGTCCGAGGTTATCGCTAAGAGCAAGAGCTACAAGGTAAACCTATATTGCTTAGCACGAGATTGTGCGCCGTTTTGCTGACCTGCACCTTTCCCACCTGCAGCTCGAGAGGCAACAACAGAAAGAGCTCGACGAGGATATTCGAATGGAATTGGACGAAGGTCTAGACGACTTACGAGAGCTCTTGAACGAGTCTATTCCGACCGACCTGAAACGAGGTAAAGCCAACCTCGACTTTTACAAGGCTCCTGCAGCCGCACCAGCGGTGGAAGACGATGATGACGCAGAGTCGAAGACGGACAAGAAGAAACCAGAAACTGATGGGGATTACGACCAGTTCGTACGATCTCTCGCCTTTGACCGCCGAGCCAAGCCCAAGGACCGAACCAAGACGGAGGAAGAGGTTGCCAAGGAAGAGGCAGAAAAGCTGCAAGAGGCTGAAGCGGCTAGACTGAAGCGAATGAGAGGGATCGTGGATGAAGACGAGGACGAGGAGGAAGGTGGTAGGAAACGACGGAGACAGAAGGGCGGCAGGGCTCCTGAGGCGGATGATCTGGATGATGATTACGCCGATGGGTACGAAGATGATGCGCAGGAGTTTGGGTTGGGTGCTGGGTTGGGCGGCCGACAGGCAGTCGAGGATGGTGACGAGGAGATGAGTGGCGAGGATGAAGATGAGGAGGGCGAGAGTGATGAGGACGACGATGTGGATGACGACGATCTTGAGGAAGGGGACGAGGATATGGAGGACGATCTAGCATCCGATCTAGAACTCGACGATGATGCCAAGGTGAAGACACCGATAACAGGCTCGAAAGGGTCCAAGCAGGAACGGACGAAAAAGGCACGATCAATAACAAGCGAAAAGGTCATCCCCTTCACCTTCAAGTGTCCCGAGAGCTACGATGACTTTGAAGCTATCATTGACGGACTCGAGGACAACGACGTCGAGACGGTTGTCAAGCGTATTCGAACACTCTATCACCCAAGTTTGGGAGAGGGAAACAAAGAGCGGCTCCAGGAGCTTTTGGGTATCCTCATGGAGCACATCATCAATCGTGGATCCGAGTCCAATGACTTCTCCTTGACCAGCCTGCTCATGTCTCACATCAACGGCCTCGTCAACCTGAACGTCCTCTCGGCCGCTGAGCATTTCAAGGAGAAGTTGGCCGAGATGCATGCGATCTTACTGGACAAGCTCGAAAACGCTCGTTCAGATCCCTCAACCTCGATCTTTCCCGAGGCCGGCGATCTGGCCATCTTGAGGATGGTAGGGACGATCTGGTCGACAAGCGATTTCTCCCATCCCGTCTCGGTCCCTGCGGCACTGTATATGGGTCAATGTCTTTCACAGGCACCGGTTAGGGATACGGGTGATTTCGCAAAGGGACTGTTCATATCGGCCATATTCCTGCAGGTCAGTCCGAGACATCGATGACTGATTTCCATGTCTTGACGCTGAACATGATTGCCTCGTGCAATCTACAGTACGAGACCTACTCGCAGCGAATCGTACCGGAAGCGCTCAATTTCTTGGCGACCACAATCCTCGCCCTTGCCCCAGCATCTTTCGACCTAGACCCCGTACCAGGCAACTTCCCTCTCCGAAACGACGTACGGCAACTGGGTGTCTTTATCAAACCTAAGCTCGCCAGCAAACTTTCCGTCCGATTGGCCGATCTGCCTAGCTTGATGGATTGCGACAAGTTTGGAGTCGAGTACGAGCAGGACAAGGTGGATCTCCTCGGATTGGCTCTGAGGCTGGTCGGCAGGTTTGCGGAGATGCAGAAGGATCTGGTGGCTTTCATCGAGGTGTTTGAGCCGTTTTACCAGATCATGTTTGGCTTGTCTGCCACGAACGCGCCGGCGAGCATCAAGGTGGGTCGTGCGACCGAATTATGGAGCGTGGGCGAGTTCTTCAGCTGACAAAACTCTTTGTCCGTGCAGGCCATTTGCGTCGAGGAGAATGAAAAGCTGGGCAAACTACTGGGGATCGCTGGCAAGATGCGAAGACCGCTCGAGATGCAGACCCACAAGGCCATCCCGATCCCGCAATACGCACCCAAATTCGACGTCGAGTACAGCCGTGGGAAACGTGTCGACCCGGATGCCGAACGGAACGAGGCCGCCAAGCTCAAGGCCATGTACAAGAAGGAACGCAAGGGAGCCATCAGGGAGTTGCGAAAAGATGCCAAATTTTTGGCGGTCGAGCGGAACAAGGAGCAGAAGCAGAAGGATGCGGATTACGAGAAGCGGATGCGGAGCGTCGTGGGGTCCATCACGACGACGGAACGAGCCGAGGAAAAGGCGGCAGAGAGGTGAGCCTGGACATGCTATATTCCTTCTTTGCAGCTCGATCAGTTGGCTAACTTTCCTCGTTCTAGGGAGAAATCGCGGGACAAGCGACGTGGTGGACGCAACTAGATGTGAGGCTTCCGTTCTTATTTTCCGGCTATCTGTTCGGTCGGCTCTTTGTATCATGTTATACCGTCAGACTGTACAATATACATGTACGGACGACCCTCTGCATATGCCCGCAATATCATGCACAAGTGTCATCACGAAATAACGACTTGGGTCACGTGACACGTCTCCTCCTGGCAAAAGTTGGGTTGGCGGCGTTGAGCGAAGAAGCGATTTCGCAAGAGTTATCTTATATGCCTATCGAGATCTCGCATCTGACTACCATCCAGGTGATATAGATTGTTCACCATAGCTTGTACCGGTTAAAGATGGCCAAATCCAAGGGAGCCCGTTCTGGCAGCAGCAAGAGTCGTAACGGTGCTGCTAGCATCAACGCCATCAAAACGTTCAAGGACACGCTCCAGGAGGGATCTGTCGATGAGTGTGAGTACGAGATCGAGGTTGCATAGTCCCATCCTGCTTGTCGACTCATAACACGTTTGGCGAACTATTGTAGTCATGCATCAAAGGGACAAGATCGTGCTCGGTGACAATCATGATGAGCCGGGTCAACCGGCTGAACAGGACGACGACGACATCCTGGCCGAACGGGGGCAAGAAGTTTTCAGTCTGAACCTTCCCAAACGCGACGCCGAGCAGGATTACGACGAGGCTTACGATGATGAAGAACTCGACGACGTGGTGCCCGTCAAGAAGGGTAGAAAGGCCAAAGTCAAGCCGGACGTCTCGAACAAGGGGCGGTATGGCAAGTCGGATTCCGAAGACGATGAAGATGATGAAGCAGCCAGTTCGGATGATCCGGATGCCGAGTCCTGGGGGAGGTCATACTATTCACGCCCTTCCACTCGGAGAGGGAGGGAGATGGAAGAGGAGAATAGTGATGAGGAAAAGGAAGAGGAGCGGATGTTGGAGGAAAAGGAGGTCAAGCGGTTACAACGCAAGATGAGGAGCGTGATCGAGGGTGATGAGGATTGGGGTTTCGATGAGCTCGAAGCCGGTCCTTCGGTTGATGTTGAAAAGACCGACAATCGGTGAGTGCCGCTCGGATATCTATCGACATGTCCCACAGCTCGAGCTGACCTGTACATGTGTACTTAGGACCAACAAAAACACCCTCCCCGCACCCGAAGCTTCCCTTCCAGCCGAGACGCCGGTCCCGCAACTCCTCACCCATCTGACTTACAAAGAACCCGTCAAACTCGCCCTCGCGCGCGATTTCCCTCTGATCGTCAAGAGACTGGAAAAGACTGAAAGGGGAATTAGGAAGATGACGGAAGCTGAGAAGCAAGCAGAGAAGGACAAGGGACCTAATGGGCCTCTGCATCAGGGCTTGGCTTGGTTGCATTACCGTGAGTGGTCGTCATGCTCCAATACGCTGAATGAAGATCCAATCGTCTGACTTGTGCCTGCAACTGTGACATCTAGAGGTCTTGCTGTCTTATGCGACCACTCTGGCGTTCTACCTGCATCTGGCCTCCCTTCCTTCCAATAAACGACCCGATTTCACCACCCACCCTATTCTCCCTCGTCTATTACAGCTGAAAGAGGCCGTCAGCGCTATGGAGGATGCCGACTTTGCCGCGGCGAGCGACGACGAGGGCGACACCATCGAGCTTTACGATGGAGAAGAGAAGACCGATGACGGCGAGGAGGACGAGGATGAAGAGGATAGTGATGACGACATGACCAGTGAAGAAAAGGCCGAGATGAAGAAGGCTTTGATGAAGATGTTTGGCGGGAAAGGGGACGACGTGGATTGGGAGGATGCTGAGGATGTCTGGGAAGGAGGCGATCTGGAGGATGGCGAGCTCGAAGGATTGCAGGCCGAGGCGGAGGAGCTGTTATCAGCCGACGAGTCGGGCGATTCGGAGGAGGGAGATGAAGATCTCGATGATGACGACCCCGATGATGACGACCTCGATCTGGATGAGGATCTCGAATTGGACGAGGACGAGGAGTTGGATGACCTTGAGGATGAAGAAGAGGACATCGAGCCTGTGGCGACAAAAACGTCGAAGTCAAAGAAGGACGGGAAGAAGAGTGGCAAACCGGCGTTGCTGGAAGAACCCGAGTTTGTGCCCGCTTCCAAGAGCAAACGGTCATCTAGTCAAAAGTCCATCTTTGACGACGAGGACATGGGCGATCTTACCGAGCTGTCCGCCTCGGAGCAGGCGGAGCGATCGGCAAAGAAGCGGTCCTTGCGATTCCACACGTCCAAGATCGCTGCCACTTCGGCTCGACGAGCTGCGGCCAGGGAGGCCAGGTTGCAAGGAGACGAGGATGTGCCATATAAAAACCGACAGGCTGCGCGAGACGCGGCTTTGCAGAGGAACAGCGCGAGGGGGACAGGAGGCGAGGATCTCGATGGCGAGGATTGGTCGGAAAAGGACAAGAAGCGGGCTCGGGAAGCGATGGACCAAGACGATGGAGATGATTATTACGAGACTGTCAAGCGTCGACGTACGGACGAGAAGGAGGCCAAACAGCAGGCACACGACGACGCTAGGGAAGAGCAGAGGTGGGTCCAGTTTCGTGTTCTCATTCTGCGTGTTTTTGCACAATTAGCTGACCTGCTCGACGTGTTCGACCTGTAGACGCGCACTTACAGAGCCGGAAACGGCCGACGGCCCTCGTTCGCTCACTCGTGCGATCGAGAAGAACCGTGGTCTCACCCCGCGACGAGCCAAAGCGAACCGAAACCCTCGTGTCAAGAAGAGGGAGAACTACGAAAAGGCCAAGAGAAAGGTCAAGTCGATGCGTGCCGTCTACTCTGGAGGTCAGGGCGCGCTGGGTGGGGCGTATCAGGGAGAAAAGACGGGTATCTCGACGACGTCCAAGTCGAGACGTTTCTAGGCCGTGTCGTGGGGAGGAAAGTGTACGAGTACGTCGGATGTTCTACAGTACTTGTAGTAGTCGTCTTTTCGACGAGATTATCATATATCGATGTGCTTGGGGCGACCGAGGCGGCTCTGTGATGATTTCTCTGGCATCGTAGCCAGTGGCAATGGGGCCGATCGTGATCGTCTCGCGCGTTTCAGCCGATTCGGCCAGCATCAAAGGCCGCGCGACGCTGTTTCATGATTGGGTGTCTTTTGAGCATAGCCACTCTGCTGTTAAAGAACTGCCTTCCCCCCCCCCCCCCCCCTCTTCACTGTCCGTCTGTGTCCAAGTGACGTAGGCCAGGTTTTGGGCTAGCCAGTGGCACGATATGTTGACCTATAATGATAGCCCAGCACAACAGCAAACGGAGGTCGGCGCCTGACCCATGGGAGGCGTTCGCTAGACGACACATCACTGATATACCCTTTCTTTCCTTGTCCTAGCACTTTGGTCATATACGTCGCTTGGCATCTCGGTTGCACCGAAGCGATTTCTGATCATGCTCCTTGAACAGCTCCGCCGGAGTTGGTACGACTCGAGTCCGACGTACGCGCGCGTCGTTATAACACCTACATTGTCTTGACGAAGGAGTTCCTCCTAGCAGCATGGAAAGTTTCTTAGAGTACGCAGTGCTTTACTGCGAGTCGTGGCTCTCCAGATATTGGAAGGTACAACGCGCCCCCCTCGGATATGTATTGGAAGATGAATTCGTGAGGGTTCAATTCCCTGGAGCGGTCGAGCGGAAATCTCAGATGTCCCCCACGGTTGCACCAGACACGGCGATTTAGCTGGATGGTCTCTGTGGTTTGGTATGGCTGACAAGGATGCAACCAATAACCGAACAGATGACGGAGTTGGGTGACTGGCTCGGTAGCCTTGTCCAGCCCCCAAGCCTGGGGTCCTTGGAGGGTGATCAAGTCGCCACGGCGACCGGCGACTCTGCAGGCGTACTGTTGAGGTCGAAGACGTCCGCTTTTCTCGGGGTTTCGCGATGCCCTGGCGAGTGCAGCGAATCCATACCCTTCATTTGCGTGGTCTTGATGTACGACAAAGGGAACGATGCAGTGACATGTGCCTATCGCCAGTAGCATTGTTCGCGGCACTCGAGAGGAATCATTGTATTGCAGGACCAGGATCACTGTCAAATTTGTATATAGGTGAGTTCCACAGGACATAGATGCCATCTTTGACGCGTCTCGCAATCGTGTAATCAGTCTAGTTACACGTTTTGTCTTGTCTCCGCCTTGCTGGCGGGTCTTGCCACGAGGATTCTCTTCCCCCCCTCAGGATTGGTGGTGCCTTCCGATCAGAGATTTGCTATCACCCAATTAATCTGACTCTGCCTCTGCACCTGGGTGGTCGCTTTTACAGCTGTTCCTGCACTACAGCTGACGTGAGTTGACGTAGCCAGAGGGAGTCTCAGTTTTTTTTTACCCTTTTGTTAGCAGGACCTGAGTGATACGCATCTATTACAGCATTGCTATGCTCATCTAACCATGTCACCTTAGCTCAGTTGGGAGAGCGCACGACTGAAGTGTTTACTTCGCTTTCGTGCGGTCGCTTGTTCGATCCAGGCAGGTGACAGTTCTTTTTGCCTTTTTTTTGCGCTTTCGGTTATCAAGTTAGGCCTGCAGAGAATCTTATCAGATGCGCGCAGACGTCCTGGTGTGCAATATACCCGGCTATAGCTTAGGCTGCTTCGTACGACACTCCAGGCGTGATTGAGTTGCATTTATCCGTTCTAACGCGCCATTGAAGGCTCTGCGCTTGTAGACCGGGCCTCTTTCCCCACGCATCTTTGCCATGTGCGCAGCAACATGATGAATTCTCTTCTTTGCCGCCAGATGGGTGCATCTCAAGGGACAGTCATATACGCGATAGGGAACGTCGAGACTGATGTTGCGCATTTGCGGGCCCGATGTTCGTCGACATGAGGGTTCGCGCACGGTGTTGCGACACTCTCATGTGCCTATCGTCACGGCCGTTTGGAAATTCCCCTCGCGCACGGCCGTTTCGTTCAGCGATTTTAGTATCTATGGATGCGAAGCTGACGACGATGGGACTGAACATCACCGCGAGCGCAGAACATGAGGAGGTTTACCGTCTTGCCAAGAAGTCAGGGACATCTTGAACGATCTCCAGGCAAGATACTTGTTGCACTTGGCAATCGATCAGACAGGGGATGGACGTCACTACAACATGATTCTCGAAAGTCTGAACGTAGTAATTCTTGAATCGGAGCAGAGTGTGGATCAGCAGAAAGTAGGCGAAGTCCTGTCGGTGTGGGACGCAACGATGGCCTGGCTGGAGGGAGAGCAGGAATCAGCAAGCACGATGACGCGCCCGTCGAGCGTCATAACTGTAGTCTTGGGAAGTGCAGCCGTGGGTGTCGCCGCAGGAATTTTCTTCTGAGGATCTCTCTTGTAAAAGCTATTCACCTCCAGCCATGTATCATTGTTCTACAGATATTCCCATTTCAGTACCACTCAAATTCAGTATCACTCAGATTGATACTGCAGTTTAGCCGTCATACCCCTTTCTAGCGCCAAAACGTGTTTCAGGTCGAGCGGGGACGAGTCTCACGCTTCGCCTCGCTCTTTTATCTCATTTGGACCTCCACTTGAACAGGAAATACCCAAACCCGTCAAGAAAGAGAAATTGCTAAAGACGGTGTACGGTTCCCCATAGAGAAAAGCAGCACGCTTATGCGCAATGGGGTATATTGGGTGACCTATTCGTGTACAACGGATGTAATGACTGCACTTCTACATGATTGCGATGTGAGTATTATATGTTAGGGCTGGGTGTACTGCCCATTTCCTCGGTATCCCTCCTGGTGGGAGCGCGACTCAGCCCAGACTCCTGTACAGTGCTTAGACTTCGCGGAAGTCCGCCGGTCTCGAACGTAAGCCGGCCCAATGAAAACGCTCGTGCCCTTTCTGGCGACCGGTCTGGACGGCTTTCAGGTTGACTACCATTAGACCGTACTGAAGTACGCCGTGCCACCTTGGGAGAATGTGGTTCTGGTAGAGCAACATTCTCGCCTCCGCTGGCTGACCTGTGATGAGCGGACTGCTCTCCAGAAAGATTGGATTCTCGACGTAGATTGGATGTCATTGAAATGCCTGTTGCAGGGTTTGATGCCATACTAAATGGTGAAAATACGGGGGAGACACCATATCTTAGCTTTGTGATCACGGATGAATCGACGTTCCAAGACTCACCTTCCCCGCCGAGTGGGACGTCTCTCCAGCCGGTCAGTCTCGTCTTCGTAAATGTTCTCCGTTTGTGTAAAGTCTTTCGGAAGCATAATAGCTCGATCAATCTGAAGGTAAAAGTCTCGTTTAGCTAACTCCATCGAACCTCATCCCATTCTCAAGAATGGTAACCCTCGCGACTTACAGCTACAGGTAGTCCTCGATGTCTGCCTCGAATCATGACCGCTATGATGACTAGCTTAGAAAGGACCGAGAACGAGCCGGCAAGGCTGTGGGACGCGAAAGTCAGGTTACATTCCCTCTTGGGTGCCCGAGCTATGAAACGTACGAGAAGTTGTCGAATCCAACCCCCAGACTCAGCCCGACAGTTCCATAGGCCGATACAATCTCGAAAACCACGTTGAAAATGTTGAACCAGTTCGCGTTGTCCGGATTGTTCAGATTGCCACGCTGCAGAAGAGAGAGTAGCCGCTCAGTTAACCTGACTATCTTCAACAGAGTGTTCATTTGTGTGACCCACCTCGATGATGCAAATTAGCCATAAGGCGAAGGCTAGCCACCAGATGTCGAAAGCTAATTGACGTCGGGCACTAAGCACGTATCACGTCAGTCAAAAGCACATAGTTATACCGTACGGTCACGAAGGACGATGCCACTTACTGCCATCCAAGATACTTGGCCACAGCTTGGTGGCCCTGATACTGGGGTTCATCCCCTTCTTCTTCTTCGTTCCAAAGACCCAGAGACCTCTCTTCGTATACGTTGGTCGCACGGATACTCATGGCGATGGGGTATCTGGAGCATGGTGTGACGCGTGAACAGGTTGTACACCACCGCATCGATCAGGACAGCAGTGTGGCTTACACTGAAATATATTCTGCATGAGCCGATCAGAAAACAGCGATAAGTAACGGTCTCGTGAACACTAACAGTTTAGCACTAGACTTACGCATGATAACATACAGTACCTTCACAGCGGGTGCAAGGCTGTTCAGAGGGACAATACCAAAACCGGCTGCACGGACAGCTGTCGACTGGAAGATACCAGCTACCACGCGAATACCAGCGGGTAGATCTTCGATATCACTGTCGATTAAAGTTGGTGAGATCACAGGTAGACTGCTGGCGTTAATGCATAATACTCACGGTGTCCCAATATCCAATACCATGAACGAGACGAAATCTGTCGAGCTGCCAGAAGAAGGTACATGCAAGCAGATTAGTAAGATGAATACGACATCGTCGAAAAGCGCTCGTTTGCCGCAAGCTCACGTCAACGTCACCATGACCAGGAATAGAAACCAAGTCTGCGTGGAAGGGAAGAGATAAACGAAGCATCTGCTCACAAGTCTGTCAGCGCTGAGTTGGCTTGGTCTCGCAGATACGTGCTTACCGTCTGGGATGGTCCAGCAGAAACTTGAGAGTTTCATATGTCCGAGATGTCTTGGGTACCAGTTTGGAAATCACCCAACTACGGCAGGAAGAACGATAGTACATGAGCCTGCCTATACATCTTGGGTTCGGGAATAGGCGGTTACTGACATGGTGAAGCGCAAACTATGAAATTTCGTTCTCGGTTAGCGCTAGTCCATAACCTGGCTCGCGCGGTGTACTTACAAGATAGGGAAAGCAGTGTTGCCGGCAAAAATTAAGAACACCATGACGAAGATCATAGGATACGCCTTTTGATAGGGGATCATCGACAGATCGTTCAACGACATTCCAGTGTTGCTGAAAGCCGACCACATCTGGAAAGCGCTGAACCAGAGAGGCGGAACGTATCGGTATTGAACATCGCTTCGCAAAGTGTAATCCCAGCCGGCTCGAATATACGGCCCGACGATGATGAACCCTATCAGCGGACATAGGATGTAGTACTGAAAAGGTAGAAATTGCGTCAGCGATGTCATGATCAAGGTTTCCTGAAAGATCAAACAACTCACGGCCAACACGAGCCAGAACAAGATCCGCAACGAGCGATACTCGACTCCGCCCAATTCATCGTGTTCTTCTTTCGTCAAGTCATGAAAGTGACTGTTCCTGCCGACGACTATGCATAATACAGTGAACAGCTTGTTAGTTAAATCCAAGTTTTGTTACCGGCAGGACGTACTGGCATCGAAAGAAATATAGTCGACCGGCCTGACTTCGCTAACTCCATCCGCTGTCTGGGTCATAGTCCCAGCTTGTGTTATTGTCCGGTGCATGGTGAGGTTGCGTTTCAACTTCTCTCCAGTATCAGGAAAGACCTTGACGAAAAGTGCCTTCCCCAAGGCCAGCGGGGTGGGAAAACCACCGAAGTTTTGATTCTTAGCGGCTTGATTCACCGTGAACGTGCGAGGCATGTATCCCGTATTCATGGTCGGCGCCAGAGGTATCGACCGCGAGCCCGCAACGGATCTCCGACCTGTCATGGTTCGGTCCAAGCCATATCCACCAGCACCAGCACCAGCACCGTTTCCGATTAACCCCGGGTTTCCCGCACTCCTGATGGTCCCGGTTCGAGGCATATATCCGTGTCCAGGAGTATGCGTGTACATCCCTGCAGTATCTCGCCCACTGGCATATGCGGTTCGTGGAGGATCGTCAATCCCATCGAAAGCGATCGTTTTGGTACGAGGGAATTTATCCTCGGGCGGAAGCTGAGGATGGACGTGTATCGGAGGCTCTGACTCTCGCCGCGGGAGATCGGGTTCGGGAGACCGAGTCCGGGTTCTCTCCACATCCGGCAGACGTGCGTTCATACTCCTGGGACTCTCGGTGAGCGGCGGCATATCGTTGTCATGATCTGCTGGTGCGGAGTTCGTAAGAGGATTGTCAAGGATCCCTGGCCCCGAACTCGTTGTCGGTGTTGGAGCGAAAGACCCGAAAGCAGCGGTAGATCCAGGGGCTGAGGAAGACTGATACCATCCCATAGGGTTGATCAACCCAAGTCCCCCTCCTTCGACCCGCTTGATCATATCGGCGTTTATACGGGGCTTGTGCTGGGTCTCCTGCTTGCCCCAATGCCAGCCCCAATTGGTAGGCTGGCGCTCCATATTAGGCCTTTGCGTTGCGGGCTTCTCGACTGGGATATCTCCGTTGGGGTTCTTGTCGGTAGCGTAAGTCGGGTTGGCCGTGAAGATGCCTCCTTGAGAGATGTCCTTCTTCCAGGTATCACGAGTCTCCATATGAGACGAATCCTCAGAGGGAGCGACCTCCCCGTCCTTCATGGGAGAATCGCTTCGTTTCTTCTTATCCCGACCGGTCTTTCGCTTGAACCGCTCAATCCAGGAAGTCTGCTGGATGTTCGGTCGACCTTGTCCAGTAAAGTTCTGCGACATGCTCCGCAACTTCCTCAAGGGCGACCTGAGACCACCAGCTTCCGCCTCTCTCGCCGCCTTTCGTCTAGCTTCGATGATATGGTCGAACTCTTTCTGGAAAAAGTATTTCCTGACCGAGATCATGATCAAGCTGACAAAGATCGGGCTGCCGATGAACATGTTCATGAAGACGATGGCCTGTTGAAATCCACTTAGGGTGCTCAGATTGAGAGTCGAGAGACCGGTAACCGTCATACTGGAGACGCAGACGAAGAGGGCGTCGATATAGGCATGTTCGAACTGGGTATTGCAGGCGTGGAAGATGCCTGCCGAGATTAAAGGGAGCTGTTAAAGTCGCGGGAGTGAAATTGACCTTTAGCCACGTGATACCCATATACCGACGGTTTCCTCCTGAACTTACGAATGTGAAGGTCAAGAGATGAATTCGATAGAAGTTGAGTGAACCAGTGATCGCTTTCCACCATCTCTGATACCATGGAAGTTTCATGGTCTCGTCTCTTCCATTTATCCTGTCCACATCGGAAAAGGACAATGTCTGCTGGTCTTCGGACCTTCTCCAGCGGGGTGACCTTAAACCGGATTCGGTGGTGGCGGGTTCTGCCGGGTGGCTCGTCTGGTTATTGAACGCCTCCATCTCGAGCGATAGATGGCCTGATTACGTTGATTAGATGCCAGTCCCCAATAGCCGGGACAGCGTTTCAGCTGGGGCAGGCCAGGTATAAGAGTAAATCTGGTATCGATAGGTGTTGTATTTCGTTTGGTATATGCGACGCCGGGTCAGCACAGGAGCAAAGTTTCGATGTTGACGAGCATTGTATCCTGAGCAAAAATGTCCGCAGTCGTGTCCTGGTACCGGCAGTGCCGTTCCACCTCAATGATAAGCACTGAAACGCTGAAGAACGTGGATCCGCCAAGCCTCTGATTGGGCTGATCAGCCACGGTTATCTGTAAGATCCGGACATCACGGGCAACGGTTTGGGGTTGTTCATGGTTCAGATGACGACCGGAGAATACGATATAGGTGTAGGCGACGCACGTGTACTCTCGATCGCTCCCCCTGTCCGGCAGCTTTGGCTGCGACGATCTCTCTCGCAAGATCAAAGGGTCGATGGTTCCTTTGGGATCCTGCGATGTTGTATGACGACACTGAAAGAAAGCTGATATCGGTTGGGACAAATGGAAGATCGATCAAGAAGATCAAGACATCCTTTGGGAATTCCTTCTCTCCACCCCTCGCCTCTCGCTCGCGTATTTGCGCCCGCTCATCCTCATACGGAGGCAGACGGCTTAGCTTCCGATCAGGCAACAAAAATAGCGCCAAATTCTCGAAGCGAACACAAAAGCCACTGGCCTGTGGCTACCGGAGAACACATGATTCGCTTTGCGCTTGACTGCATATACAAACATGAAACCCTTGGACACATTGACAACGGAACAAAATTACCACACTGAACACGGCATTAAAGGCAGTCTTCGAAGGTCTGGGGCTAAGCGTTTGCTCGAGCCTCGGTAACCGGCCTTTCCCCGTTCCTCTCCTGCTCAGCGTACATCGCCTTCTGCGCATCCGTCACGTACTCCCTGAACCTCCAGGCCTTGACCTTCTTCTCGAACATCTCGTCCAGCTCAGCGGCGGTCTGCAAGTGACTTTTGGGTCAGGATTTTGAATGGTCTTGCCGGTACAGAACCGCAGACTCACTCGTCGAGAGGTATCGGGCATGATGAAGAACGAGCCGATTACCAGAGGCGCCGACACTCCGGCAAAGAAAAAGGCCGTTTTTAGACCCCTGATGATAATGATTCGTCAACATCCACCTGAAGCTGCTTCACTTGATCCCTTTCAGTCTTAAATCACTTACCAGTTGGCAGCATCCTGGCTGATCATGTACGGCACGGTACTGTTGAAGAGCAGTCCGAAGAGGACCCCTCCGCAAGCGGCGAATCCGGCGGTCTTGGTTCGAAGTCGACTTGATCCGGCTTCGGCGACATAGGACCAGCCGAGGTCTCCCAGGATCGTCGACGCCATTCTCCATACCATGCTTAGAAAGACGACGAAACGCTCTACCGAGCCTGGCATGTTCTTGATCGCCACCCCGAGCGTTCCGATCAAGATCAACGTGATCCACGTGATACAAGCCGACCACATGAAGAGTGTTCTTCGGCCAAAGTAGTCGATGATGACCGCTCCGACGAGGGTGATCCCGATGGATACGATAGCTAGGAGGACGGTGAAGAGGAAGGGATCGGCAAAGTTGGCCATCTATACGTGGTCTCCGTCGAGGTCAGCTACAGAAACCTACGAGAAGCCGGATTTCCTCGACAAAAATGCGCTCACCTGAGCAAAGTAACTCGAATAGCTCGACAAGACGGCCAGTCCTGTCAACTGCTGGACCGCCGCCGGCATGAACGCGATCAAAGTCCTCCGTCCATTTACCCCGACAAAGATCTCCTTGGTATTCTTGATCGTCTGCCAGAAAGATTCCTCCCCACCTGTCATCTCCTTGCTCCGTTTCTGTTCGAGTTCGACCGTCTGACGCAGGAGGCCGTAGTGGAAGTCGACATCGTATCCAGGGATCCCTCCGTTCAGGCGGTTGACGATGGCGCGGCCTCGATCGTGCTGTCCTCGCGCGGCGCACCAGAAGGGAGATTCGGGGATGACGAGGTAGATAATCGCCATGAGACCCTAGTAGGGGTGAAACCACTCAGCGATCGGCTTTCGGTAGTTTTCTCAAGCACAACTCAGGTCTTACCAGCATCCCCCATTCGGAATAAATGAGGGGTAAATAGATCAAGGGGTTCTTGTCCCTCATCGCCTTCAAAGCGCTTGTCGCACACAGCTGGCCGAGACCATACCTGTAAAAGGGTTACCGTCAGATATTGCCCTTCGAGATCTGAAAGGCCGACATCGCTTACCAGACAGAATAGAAGAGGAGTAGAAATCCTCGAGTTCGGGGAGGAGAGATGTCTACCACGTACGACCCCGTCAAAAACTGCAAGTTCCATTAAAACTTTAGCCCAACAAGCCCTCAAATATCAGAGATTGAATCTTTCTAAGTACTCGCCTGAACCGAGCCGACCGCAAATCCACTGAATAACTTGGCAGCCAACCAAGTCTTCCACGTCCTTCCGAACGATTCTGCCGCGATCCCCGCAGCGAGGACGACCCAGAGTACGTAAAACCCGACTTTACGACCGAATCTGTCGGCGATAAGATGCATGGAAAGCATGGCGGAACCTTGGGCTGCGGATTGGACACCGCCCCAGACGGCAAGGTGTTGCGGGTCAAGAGCTCTGTACGGTGAAAGCGAGTGAGCGAGGTGATTCTCTCGTAGGGTCTCCGAAGTGGGTGAGGATTTACAGCTTGCCTGTCTTGCTACTGATAACCGACCCATACTGCTCGATGAACCCAGTATTGGCGATGATGTTACCGGTAATGGCGATCTGCCATGAACCAACAAAGTCAGCAGGAGCTCATACGCCGGATAGGCAAGACTTGACTCACTTGATAACCGTCTGCCGCTGCGCTGAAAGCAGCAAGAAGCGCCAAAAAGGTGGCCTTCTTGAATAGGGTGATGGTCTTGAAGAAGGTCAACTCCTCGAAAGGCGATTTCTGGACGACGTCCTCTGAAGCAGCTGCCGCATCCTTATACTCTTCGTGCAGCACTTCAGCCTTGATGTCGTCATCGGCGTAATCTTGTTGCTGAATGGCAATGGTGTCGGTTGGCTTCTCGTTGGACATCTTGCTAGATTGGAGATTGGCTACCAATGACCTGCTGATGAGAGGGCTTCGCGCACCGATTACACAAGCGGGCGCATTCCTTTCTACCCGACCATCTTGTACCACTTCGAACGTCGAGGACGGGTCAAAGTTGCACCTCTTCCCGGACCAATGTCTCGCCGTATTGACAGACTCTGATCGCAAATCTAGGTCACGAGATGAGTGTCTGTCTGACATATCAGGTCGACTTCATCCCGTATACATCTTGCGCTTGGCATTCTCGGACCCCGGGAATTTGAGGTCTGTTCCCCTCACGGCGCTTCTGGTGCTCCGTGGGGCATCTTGAGGATGTCTGTCCCTCCATACTGTGGAACAAAGATATACCGCATGGTGGCCATGCTTTCCGTGTATGCTAGTCCTAGATTCTCCGAGTGTCAGTTCAGCAGCAGGGGGAGAACAATCGATCGTTTCGTCCTGGCGTTTTGTCCTTGGCGAGATCTGAAACGGAAGACGCGGGCCGGAGCCGGAATTGCCACGTCACACCCACGATTTCTCCGCGCCACCTGCACAGGGCTTTGAACCATCACCGACCCGACCCGCTAAACACGACCGACCTGCATGAGCTGCATGCAGCATTTCGCACTTTCGTATGATGATATTAGCCCGTAACCATAGCCCCGGACCATATGGTCACGGTCGCCAAGCCTTTGATTCTCAGTCTCTTTCGGTTGGTTGTTAGACCGGCCACAGGATGAACATCGTTGCGATGCGTAGGACCGGGTCAACGACGTCCCGCGTTCAACGCCGACATGAACGATCGAATGTCACTTTAGGAGATCATGACCAGGTCTGATCGACCAGGATGCTGAAAGTTGAGATCAATTCAAGAGGGTCAATCATATCCATGAAACAAATTCCGCAAACATGGCTCCGAATCCCCTCACTTATCCGTCTTCCTCGAAACCCTTTACCAAGGATGTCTTCCTCGATCCACCGAGAGAATACCGAGGTGCACCTTTTTGGGCATGGAATCACAAGCAGGAGGAGAAGGCGACCGTCGCTCAGGTGGAACACTTTGATGAGATGGGCATGGGAGGATTCCACATGCACACCCGTGTGGGGCTGGATATACCTTATATGGGCGACGAGTACATGAAGATCGTCAAGTCGTGCGTGAACAAGGCCAAGGAGAAGGGGATGTATGCGTTCTTGTATGACGAGGATAGGTTAGTCGAGGTATTATCGCACGTAAAAGATTCAAGCTCTGAAACTCTGTCCTTTATAGGTGGCCGAGTGGCTTCGCGGGAGGAAAGGTTCTGGAAGGTCATCCCGAACTTCGAGGCTTGCACATCCTGTTCACACCCTGGCCATACGGAAGCGAGCTCCCTTATCCACCAGTGTGGGTCAGATCGATAACCACTTCATCTATCAATCCACTGACTCTCATTTTTGTACAGGAGGGTTGAGGTTGCAAACGCCTACCCTGTTCGTAGCGAACGGGGCTTCCTCCTAGCCAAATACGACATTGAGCTCTCGGACGGTCAGCTCGTCTCCGCCAAACGCCTAAACGACACCGAAGAAGCTAAACATACCGTTTGGTATGCGTACTGCGAGCCGAACCCAGACTCGGGGTATATGGGCGATCAGACCCTTCCGGACCTGCTCAGCGTGGACATGGCGAAACGGTTCATCGAAACCACTCACGAGGTCTACAAACAACACGTAGGGGATGAGTTCGGCAAGACCATCCCCTCAATGTTTACGGACGAGCCGCAATATTGCCCTATATTTGGATTGAACAAGGCGGACGGAAAACAAGAGGTGTTCTTACCCTGGACGCCGAAGATGGAGGAGGAATTCAGAGGAGCTTATGGAAGGAATATCACAGACAAGTTGCCGGAGATTGTATGGGATACCAAGGATCAGGAGGTGAACGTCGTGCGGTACCAGTTCATCAACCTCTTGAGCGAGATGTTTTCGAACAATTATCTCGGCACGATCTCCCGTTGGTGCGAGGAGAATGGCATCGCCTGCACTGGGCATCTGAATGCGGTAAGTGGATACGTCTTTGGTAGAACCTGAGGGATTGACTGACAAGGCCCTGTCGCTATCAGGAACCCACACTGGCGTCTCAAACCATGCAGATGGGAGAGGCCATGAGAGCCTACCGATCCATGCAATTCCCAGGAATCGACATGTTATGCGACAGGACCGAGTACAACACGGCGAAACAGGCACAAAGCGTCTCTCGCCAATATGGTCGCGGCGGTGTGATGTGCGAGATGTACGGAGTCACGGGTTGGGCCTTTACCTTCGAAGGACACAAGGGCCAAGGCGATTGGCAAGCAGCCCTTGGAGTCACCCTGAGAGTGCATCATCTTGCGTGGAGCAGTATGGAGGGCGAGGCCAAGCGCGATTATCCGGCTTGCATCGGGTGTCAGTCTCCCTGGTACAAGGAGTACAAGGCTATAGAGACACACTTTGCGCGTGTCAACGCGGCGTTGACAAGAGGTCGTCCGGTGACGAGGATCGCAGTCATACACCCCATCGAGTCGTTCTGGCTATGTGCAGGACCCAAGGACAAGAACTTTGAAGAGATGGAATACCGTGATCAGGCGTTTGCCAACTTGACCGAATGGCTTCTCAGATCCCACATCGATTTCGATTTCATCTCTGAATCGCTCTTTCCAGACCAAACTTCGGTTGAGGATATAGGAGCGGAGCTGCCCGTAGGTCAGTGTTCGTACGAGGCGGTCGTTGTTCCCAATATGCGGACGATCCGCTCGACAACATTGGTGCGACTGCAAAAGTTTGCGGCGAAAGGCGGAAAGGTCATCTTCGCCGGAAGTGTCCCCACGCTTGTCGATTTGAAGCCTGTCGACCCGCCTCTTTCGGTATCTGGATCAGTCACCATCCCTTGGTCAAAAGCTCAAATTTTGGCGCAGTTACAACCTCTTCGCGATATCGAGATGGTCATCCGAGAATCTACGCTCTACCGGACGCAGGGCTACCGAGCGGATAGTCTTTTCTATCAGATGAGGCGTGATGGAGCGGAGCAATTCCTCTTCATCGCCAACTCTGATCGCAAGCAAGCTTGTCCGGTAGATGGTATCATCAGAGGAGAATGGACGATTGAGGTGAGATGTCTGTCAAGATGGTCGAAGTTTGCAACAAATTCATATCGTTATTGGCGATATCAGGTGCTCGATACGTTGTCCGGGGATACCTGGAAGCTCGCTGCACAGCAAGGTGGAGGCGAGACGCGGTTCAGCTATTACTTTGACGGATGCGAAAGCGTCCTCTTTCATCTAACGCCCGGGAAATCTTCCGATCAGGCTCGAACTCAGACCGTCTTGCGGAAGGATTATAAACAGGTTGCAGATGTAAGTGGCAGCCCAAATTATCGTTGCGCCCATATACTGAACATTGCATTCGGCCTGCTTTCGACCTCGTTCGGATTTGTAGCTGGTACTGGAGAATATTACGTTTTCGGAGCCGAATGTCCTGCTTTTAGACTACTGTTCACACCGGTGGAAAGACGAGGCTTGGCAACCGATCGAAGAGGTCTTGCGGATCGACCAGGCGCTCCGAGCTCGGCTAGGGTTCTTTATCAAAGGTGCCAAGTTTAGGCAACCTTGGACCATCCCCCTTGACAAGAGAGCTCCTGCTGGGGTTCTCATGCTCAAGTTTGCTTTCGAGAGCGACGTCGACGTCTCTAATATCAAATTGGCAATCGAAAATCCAAGCGACGTACGGATTCAGCTGGACGACCGAGCGGTCTCGTCTGATTCGGACGGATGGTGGGTGGACGAAGCGATCCGGACCATTCCGCTGCCGGACATTTCTCGCGGGCAGCACATTATCACACTGGAATATCAGTACGGTGCGCTGACCAACCTCGAGCGGATCTACCTTTTGGGCGACTTTGGAGTTTCCTTGCATGGCCGCACGGCTCGCATCGTGCCCGTTGACAAGCGCCGCATCGAATGGGGCGATCTTTCAAGGCAGGGTCATCCTTTCTACACGGGGAACGTGCACTATCACTGCTCCGTGGACATCGATGACGAAGAATCGACCGCCTTAAGAGTAGCCCGTTTTACTGGAACTACCGTTTCCATCGATGTGGATGGCAAGCGTGCCGGTCTTCTGATCCACGAACCGTTTGCGCTCGAGCTCAACAAGTTGTCGCCAGGAAAGCACAAGGTGGATGTTACCATGTATGGGAATCGTCACAATGCCTTTGGGGAACTCCATCTCGTACCCGGCAAGACGAACTGGATCGGCGCAGATATGTGGCGCACAGAATTCGTGAGCCCATTTGTTGTCATCTCGTAGAGATGCTGCTGGAGCTGATCATAGCAAGCCTTGCTCTGGTAACCCAGGACTGGTGGACAGAAGAGTATGCGCTCGATTCTTTCGGGATCCTCAATGCGCCCCGAATGTTGAAACCCGGAAAGGAAGTTTCCAGACTGCCTCAGAGACGGGGCTGAAGATATGGCGATGACCCTTGCATGACCTATCTGTAATCGCTGTAACGAATGTTAGGAATGCAGTATGACGAACAAATGAAACGAAATGCGACCGAGACAAAGTCAACATTCGGAAGCAAATTTGTGGTCGATTGATGCGCTGATGCCAGTCTGAATTGTTCTCTGATTCAAACATGTCCTGAAAACCAGTTCATTCCCTCGGCTGTAACGTCCTGATCCTAGAGACAAAACCTTACCCTTGATCGACCTCGATGCATCTGGCCTAGCATGAAAGGTGCTCACATCTCGTTTCCGGACTTTCACTGTCCTCATCAACACACGGCCGCATCATCTTCGTCGTCTGCGCAAGGAGCCGAGCTCGGTCCGCCCTCGAATCCTTCTTCAGGCTACAATCTATTTCCGTTGGGCTCTCTCTACTTTTGCGATCACTGCGATGCCATCCGGTGTCCATCCTGCGTGGCGGAAGAGGTGACGACGTATTTCTGCCCAAACTGTTTGTTTGAGGTATCGAGCGGGAGTGTCAGAACAGAAAAGACGCGGTAAGTTCTGACTGGAAGATATCTCAGGGGCTAGCATTGAAACCATAACTTCGCTGTCATAGATGCGCAAGGAACTGTTTCCTGTGCCCTGTTCCAGCGTGTACATCGGTACTTGCGGTAACGGCGACGGCAACACAGAATGACGGCTCGGATCCTGCATCAAGCTACGTGCTGAACTGCCCGGCATGCCGGTGGACTAGCTCGGAACTGGGATCAAGATGGTGTTTTCAGAAGCCAAGCGGGATCGGCCGTACGTCTTCTTGCTGACGGTGAAAGAAGTCGTCTTAGCTGATCAACCGAATTTCTCTCGATAGACCAGGTTCTTGATCGGGAAAAACACAACCCAGAAACGCTCGAATTTGATGCCTTACAAAACCACTTTGACCGGTATTTACATACCCTTCGAACGGCTCTTGGAAACACTCCAGGAGAAGCAACCAAATCCGACAAACAGGCTAGCCTAGCAGCACTGGGCAAAAGACAGCCTTCGCGGAATACCGCTGCTGCTGCGATTGCAGCGAAACTCGCAGCTCGCAAAGTCAGCGAGTCGAGATTCTTCACCAAGACCGAGGACAAGATCAAGCCGAAGAAACCCAAATTTCTACCGATGCCGAAGAGCGAGGACCCACCAGACTACTCTACCAAGCGCAGCTGCACGGCCGAGGCTGATCTTCGCCTGGCAGCGATGAACGCTGATGAGCAAGCGGAAGCCGAGCCGGAAGACGAGATTATCGCCCGCCTGCGAGCTTTCGATGGGCTCGGCCAGGATGCTTTGGATACCCCAGTCCCTCTCACATCTACATGGGACATGCCTTTCTCCCCATCGACCTCGATCAGCCAGTTGGTCCCGGAGAGAATGCCTCTTCGTGCCAAAATGTCGAAACGATGCACGGCTTGCAATCACACTCTCATCCGACCTGAATCGAAAGCTACCAGCTTGCGTTGGAAGATCAAGACACTAGCATCTACATATATTCCAGCTATCGAGCTGGGCAACAGACGGAAGCTGATCGATCGAGCTGGTGGAGAGGGTGGATCGGTCAGCGTGCGAAGAGCGTCAGGGATGGGTACAAGCAGAGGATTGACAGAGGAAAGAGAAACATTATATCTACCGTTGGTCAAAGATACAACAGTGAGTCTCGGACGATACCCGAACCATTCGCCAGGTCAATCGTACTCATCGTCGTCATATTTCATGCAGTACGCCTATCAATTGGCATTCACAAACCCCCTATTAGAAGCGACAAAGATCAAACTCGTAGTGAGGCAGGTGCAACCTACCTCGCAGCTCAAAATATCACTTCAAGACACTAGCTTTGATCTGGGTGCCTTCTCCGAGCCATGGGAGCTGGAAGCAGAGGCTGGTCAAGCCAAGAATCGGACCCGGTCTGCCGTCACTACCAGGCCAGGGCGAACCGGTGTCGAAAGGAAAGGAAACGTTACGAAGGTGCCGTTCGGGGCCCATGTTGGGAATCAGGCCTTGGCTAGCCTTCAAGTGGGTCGTCCGGCCACTTTTGATCGGAACTGCAGCTGAACCTTTCTGTCATAGTTCGATCTCGATGTCGACTTTACGTATCAAGCGGACGATGTAACCCAACCGGAAGGAGCATCGGAATTGCCGCCAACTCAACCATCAGAAGAAAAGCCTGCTGCGACGATCTGGAAGACCTTTACGTTCCGAGTACGAGTGAACCTCGGCCAAGTCGAGAGACACTTTGCGGAAGCGTAGCCAACTGTAATGAAAAAGACTGTCCGTGAAGGTGAATATACCCATACCAGAGATCTGAATGTGGGGAGCGCGGAATTTCCCGCTATCCCTGTGCTTTGTCCATAGCTGACGAGCGAGGTCGAATTCGTAAAGGATGATACAAGGCCATGATAGTCACAATTCAAGCTTATGCAGCGTTACGAAGCACTGCGAGGGTCGAAAGGCAAGAGATATGGTGTCAATATGCTTTTATAAGATACTTGCAAGGCATCATCAACCCACCCAAGATCACGGAATCTCCACGCAGAAACATTTTACTATAATTGATAAGAAGGCTTGAGCTTAATCCTGTAATATCGAGAGAATCTCATAGGCTTTTGATATGAACTTACGAGATGAACCGGTCCTTGTTGACCGGCTTCTTGCCCTTTCCTTTCGGCACCTCGGTCCACATCTGTACATTCCGTTCCCAATATTAGCTCAGTGACAACGAGTTCCGCTAGCTCTGCTTCGGTTCACCTCTTTGACGTTTTCCAAAACCTAAAGAAGCGTACAATAACGTCAGCATCGAAGCTTCCGACTACGTCGTCTCGAGAGGGCAATATGAAAGCGAGAGATCCTGCGCAGGGTTTCCTTCTGACAACCAAATCGGCGATGTTGACATATTGTCTCCACCGGTTTGCACACCGTCGTGATGCTGCTTGGGCCAGTGCATTCTCCTCTTTCGCTTCTCTCTTCGAGCTTTTCCAAACGACGTAGGTTCTCGCTCGACAGGGTTGCGAATCAAGGGGAAAGGTCGCCGATAAAGAAAGGAGGATCCACTCACCATGTTCGCGTGTCTGTCAAACGCCTTCACTCTTGCCAACAACTTCTTGTTGTTCCTCAAACTGATCAGGACCTGCGTGTTGTTCCTAACACTCTGCTGCAGGACAGATAGAGGACCTTGAGAGATCTGCTGCTCCTCCAACTCCTTGATCTGACCCTCATCCATATCCGACTTGGCCATGTTTTCGAGTTGACTTCAAACGGCGACCGCGTCAGCTGTATAGGCCGATCGATGACCGCTCGCGCCGTGCCCACCTCATTTTGTCGGCCTTTCTGTACGATCAGGAGTGACTATGGCCAATGATCTCTAAATTGAACCGGTTGTGAGCCTTTATGAAGACCAGTCGTTGCTGCGCACATCTGTCACGATATTCACGAGATCATCATCAACAGGGAGCCGCGCGGACGCGCTTATCGAGATGATGCGCTTCTGACATCGCCATAGCGTGAATGCGTGTGACATCTTGGCAGACGATTATAAAGTATACCTACAAGCATTCGTCTACATATAACCGATAGAGTCTAGCTCCCTACGCATCCTGTTCAATGCCCTTTCTACCTGTGCATTTCGCTCCCTCAGCTGAGTAGCTTCGTTTCGGTGGGTAACCGAGTCCTTCTTTGACTTTTCGAGTTCGGTTCGAGACCTAAGCAGTTCAGTATTCAAAGCTGCGACCCGACCCGCTTCTTTGAGATCGGGGCGGACGTAGCGAGGAAACACAAGTGATCTCCCGCTGTAGCCTCGCGATCCCCCGGCACCGCACGGTATAGCCAGTGCTCGATTGCGAATCGCTTTGCAGAGGTCTTGATCCTGCTTCCACCACTTGTTCAAGTTCGCCATAGGCTTTAGATCTAGGTCGACGAGCTGGACCGTGGCCGCGGATTGTGGGACACGTCCCGCCAACTCAGCCAGGTTCCAACGTAGAATGATGGAGCAGTCTCTGACGATAGCAGCCAACGAGATGCCGACACAGAGGCTTCTCAAATCCTCCGACTCTCGCAACATGTGCGGACTGACGTATTGACCAGTTGCGTCTCGTCGAAAGCGATTTTGGCACACTTTCGTAATTTCTTCCGTCTGCGCGCGGTGATTGACCAGATCAAATGGCTGATCAGGACGATTGCTATGCGGCCCGACAATGCAGCCAATGGCCTGGATGTCGACCAAGTCGAAGCGTTTCTGTGTTTCGGCGAGGACGTCCAGAATCTGACTGTCGCTTAAGGCGTCGTGTAGCAACGTCGTCAACGACGCAGGATCGCGATAATCAAGGTTGTATCTCGGCGGATCATCCGGTTTAAGCAATTCGCCGTCGACGAACACTCTCATGTTGTTGCCTGCTGTTCCCGCTTTCCATGACTCTGTGAGACAATCCAATGCCCGGAAGCGTGCGGAGAACTGGTTGCTATACAGGTCGACGGGACAGAATGCGTATCTGCACGCTTTTCCCGGCGGCAGCTGCGATGTGCGCTTCATGCAATACTTGCAGACAGAGGTTTTGATCTCCGCATACCTTGGATCCAGTCCATGAGGGACGGGAACGTACCCGGCCTTGGGTTTCAATTCGATCGCGAGTTGCGCTTTTCCGCCAATGACGTTTTCCGTGACGACGACGAGTGACTCTGGCTCAAGGTGTGCACCTGTCACTCGGCGTGCTTCAGGCCGCGCAGTCCAGGTCAAAAAATCCAACGTCTCGATCCACTCGGGACGGACCTTGACCCGCCAGATAGCAGGCAAGAAACCCCGCGCTCCCGGTGATACGGCCTCGAAGACATCTGGCAGCAACCAGTCGTGCCAGTAGTCGTTGGTCGACTGCTCCTCGCGACTGGCGAAGGCGCTTTGCTTCCTGATACGTAATACCTTGCCGAGAAAGACGGGGTCGGTTCCCGTATAAACAAACACCACATTGGCTCCACCTTCGGACAGATACCTCCAGACTGTGGGGTTAGTGAGAGCGACTGGAAGATGATCAGAGTTGATGTCCGCGGCTCTGGCAGTTCCGTCTAAACGCCTTTGAGCCTCCTGACGCTCCTGTGTGTCATCCTGCTGAGTTCGCTGACGTTTGTCGCGATGACTGTCCGGACCACGTTCTCCCAGAAAGGTAATTTCGGGATCGCTCAAGTTATCTGCTTGAGCAGGTCTCTTCGAACCTGAGGCAGCCTGTGTGGGTTGTGATTTCGACTGTGACGCGGCCCACCTGCTTGCGACCTCGCCAAAGGCTTCGCTGAGTTGCTGCACTGTCATGCTTGGAGCAGAGGCTGTCGTGGTGACTGCGTTCGTTAGAGGCGCAACCGTTGTGGACTCGGGATCCAGGTGGCTAGCTGCTGTCTCTGACGATGTGTTTGACTGAGCCTGGACTGTGGCCGTTGCCGGGGCCGATATGGGTAGCGAGCTAGCGAAGTTTGGCGGATCGTCGGGTGGCGGCGTGAGAGGGGAGCTCGGTGCGCGAGCAGGCATGGCGGATGAGATACGGGGCGTCGACTGAGTTGGAGTGGCCATTGAAGCGGGTGAAGTACTTGTCGGTATATCTGGATTGGCTTGCGAAACAGGTGCGGCGGGTGTCGAGACGGGTGGGGACGGTACGGGGACAGGTGCAGTGGGTGTTGAGACAGGTGAAATAGTTGCTGAAGCAGGCGAGGTATTTTCGTCCTTGACCGAATTGTTCTCGTTCTTGACAGCGTTACCGGGCCGGATCTTTTTCTGAGCCAACAATCGTTGTCGAGCAGAATTCCAGCTCCTGGTCGTGCGAGATGTAGACGTTGTGGATGATTCCGTAGGAGTTATTTGATGAGCATCTGCTGCTAGTGATGACGATGTGGTCGGGTTGCTACCGGATCCGACTGTTGCTACCTCTCGAGATTCGGGCCGAGGGTGATTAGACCCTGAGCCGGATGCAATAGGCTGAGCTGGAGTCGCTCCGAATGGTGCGGGAGCAGGTGAGGCTTGAGCGATCTTGTTTGTCGATATCGCAGCTTTCGACTCGAGAGGAGTTCCAGCCTCACTAGCGGAGGATGTATCGGCTGATCCTTTCGTGACGCCGTCCGCCTGATAGCCGGCGAGCTTGTCCTCCCATTCTGCGAGACAGTCGTTAGGATGACGCCGATGAACATGAACCGCCAACAGACAGGAAGCATTGCACCTACGGAAGTAGTCGCAGGATGACGGCCTGAAAGCACAAGAGTAGAATGCTCTACCGTTGTTTGATGGAGTCTTGCTGACGGTCCTCTTTGCAGTTTGTCCATGCCCAGGACAGACCGGCACCTCTAACCCATGGCTTTGAGCGGCAGTTTTTGCTTGGGAAGCAGTCTGTGGTATTGCCATCCTGAGCGCGACTCGGCGCGATATCAGATCGCCAGGGTGTGCGTCAATGATCTAGTCGTCAGAAAAATGACGGAATTGCAGGATTCGGCGTTGTGCGAAGGGTCGGGCAATTCGACCACGCCTTGTCGAGATCCGGTGTCGGTCCACGGCCACAACGGTTATACCTAAAAGCTTGTGTATATACTATTTCATACCGGCTGGTTATGAGCGTAATCTCTTCTGATCTCGTGAATGACAGCTTAGGTTCAGTGCGTACTGCAATTCCTCTGTACATATCCAAACCCAGGGCAAGTAGCGGATATGCTCTTGACATTTGCTTCCGTTCTCCGGCCCCGGTCAGGTATTACGGCAGCGGAACAGCTCTCGATTCTTGTTGTCTTTGTCGTTCCTTTCATCTCGACACTCGTACGCTCAACGTCTCTTTGTGCTTGCGGATGGACGAACATATCACACAAGCATCGAGAGTTGGAGCTCTTGCATACCCACATATAGGCTTAGGATCTTGTCGAGCTGCATTCTCACTGTCTGTTCCATCAACTCGAACATGGCGTTGCAGATGCCGGTAGTCTCCCAGCATGACCTGGATCAAGTTGCAACGGTAAGAGACCGTCTTTAGCTCTATCAGCGTATTTACTAACTTTCGCCACTCGAAGATGATACTACGTCTGCATGCTCCTGAGAATGCTGGTAATCCCGAGCTAGCCCAGGTAATGCAGAAAGAGCTGCTAGCTGTGTTCGAATCAGAACAGGCCTGGGGTCTGACTGAAGGCTTACTGGAACACCCAGTAAGAGCTCTTTGTTCGACTGGTTCGACGACTAGCTGATTTCTGTAATAATTCAGAGCGCTATCGTCAGGTTCTCCGGCGCTCAAAACGCCCACATCAAGATCTCACGGTTCTGGTGAGTCAGCTCATTTCTGGATGATCCGTCGTTCATAGCTGAAAATACTATCGATATCGACATCGTGCTCAGGGAAACGCTACCGCAGGACTTGCAACCCGTACTGCTTCAACAGACCTTGACCCTGACCAGTCGAGCGGCATCGCCGGACTCGCCTTACCGGAACGAGAACAACATCGTGCTCAGAAAACTCTTCAGTTCCGTAAGTCTCCTCATGCCTAAACTCCCTGCAGTCTAGCCGGTTAGATTCGAGCTGACGACAATGCTGTATACCAACCTCATGCCTTATGAACTTAGCTAGCCAGCTTGATCTTGCGTCTCACTCCTGAACAATGGTCAAATCCCTTACTTCAAGTGCTTACAACGTTGGCTGGTCATCGGGTATCTCGAGCTCTCATCTTCGAGTGGCTGGAGATCGCTATCAGGGACATACAGAGAGGAGCTCTTGTCGAGCCGAGAAAGTAAGCAGCCTTTGGAGATGATAGTCCTACCATCGTCTTGGCTGTGGCTGAATTGTCAATCAGGTCAAGGCTGTCTTCAGCGATATCAAAGGAGGTCCCGCTCGTACTTAGCACAGTAGTGGAGACCTTGACCAGCCCGGCTCCGGATCCAGCAGAGCTAGAAGCAGCCTTCAAGTGTTTGGAGGCTTATATCGAATGGGGTTTGACATCCGAGTGAGTTACCATACCATGCAATGAGACCAACGCTTAAAAGCTTACGACAATGCTCATACCTCTTGAAGGGAGATAACGAATCTCTTGCCGACTCTGCTTCAACTTCTAAACACGCCGCATATGCCTCAAGCTATCGGAGTATTGGTAGAGATCTTGACTGGTTCTGTCTTCAAGGATGGAAAGGCAACCAAATTCACTACAGAACCCATACTCGACTGGATCAGCCAGCGAGGTAGCGCGATCACAAAACAGGCCGCCGCAAGTGAGTCATTGCGATCGGGTTGGCCTCAAAAGAGGGTACGCCTAAAGCTTGATTTCCTTGATTTCGCCTTTGTTGCTGGTAGATGAGGATCCGGACTCGGAAGAGGTCGTCAGCATGACCAAGCTGGTAGACGCCTTGGTAGACCATTCTTCTGACTGGATGGCTCGCCGGACGACCGATCCGAGGGTGCAGGCGTTTTTTGGCGTCATGCTCGACCTCACGGGCTTCCCTGGGGTACCCGGCCGGGATGAGAACATTAGCGAGGTGTGTTGTACCGGTGGTCTCTGGTAGGAGGATAAATGCGGGCAAGCTGACAGCATTCCGACAGACAACACTGAACTCTTATTCGACGATACAAGAATCGATCATGGATCTTGGGGAGCCAGACTCGAGTGAGACAATGGAAGTACAAAATGTGTCGAAACAGTTCTTCCGGGAGATTGTCTCGCGGATACGGAACAAAGTCCGCTGGCCAGTGGAGTCTCTGAATGCAGAGGATCTGGCCGCTTTTGAAGTATACCGGAGGGATGCGGGCGAAGTCATGATAACGGCGTGAGTGATTTATCTGTAGACGATAGGGTTTGGGTGGAGTAATAAACGCTGATGACCGCACCGTGGATAGGTTTTATGTCTTGCGGGATGATATGTTGCGGGATATATTACATGTTCTGATTGATCAATTGAAAGAAGGATCGGGGGCATCCTGGCAGGTAGGCGGTTCACTCCAGACATCCTCAAGCTCAGCAAAGCATGCTCAATTTGGAAAATTCCGTCCTGTGATAGGAAGTGGAGGCCACGCTACACTGCATAAGATTCGTTTCCGAAGCCGTCCCTATTGGAGAGGAGACGACACTTCCCGTGGTCTTCAGCGCCGACGTGTTTTCACGCCTACCAACAGGAGAAGGCAATCGGATACCTCTGGCCGTGATACGAATGATTCGTAAGCTCAAAAACGATCTCGACATTGTAAATTTACCACTCAGGCTCATGATGATTTATCAGGCTCTTACGAAGAGTGGTTCAAGTATCACAACGATCACGTGGTGCTCGTGTTGGAATACCTGGTGACCTCACTAGATGACCGGTCATTAGCACCAGAAGCCGCTTTGGCTCTCAAATCCTTGTGCGATATCTGTAGGGGAAACCTGACGGCACACGTGGCTTCTTTCGGACAATTACATGGCAAGGTCGCGAGTATGGGTGTATGTATGGCCTCGACTCGCTTTGATATCACCTCATACTGATTTCCATCCCGATTCACTAGCCGGAAGAACAGGTCAGGGTCACCGAAGCCATTGCCAGTGTTTTGCAGGCAATCCCCCCTGCAGAGGCTGTTGATCCGATTCTGGTATGCGAGCCTACCACCTCATAATCCACGGAGCTATGTGCTGCGCTCATGTCAGTGACGGTTACAGACAATAACTCAGCCCGTACTAAATCGGCTGGAACAATGTGTCCACGCGGTTACGCAGGTCAGCGACCCGTTTCTGGCCGAAGATTTATCTGTGCTCATGGTTGATCGTGCTTACACCCCGCTACAGGCTCCTGACGCTGCCAAGACCATCGCCATGCAACAGCTCGAAACGCTAACGGCATGCGCAAACGGTCTGACGCCTTCAGATGAAGACATGTTCGACCTCGAGCCCGAGGAGACGGCTTCGACTAGCCGAGCCCTGGAGACTTGCAGGCAGGACGAGCGATTGGTCAAACTTCGCGAAGGGATTCTCCAGACGGTTTCGAAAGTGATCGAGATCTGGGGTGCCGATGTCGAGGTGGCTTCTGTAAGTCCTGCATCTCTTGCACGTACGGGTTGGATACAGACTAACCAAGGTTGACAGGCCATCAACGGATTCATGAAAGCATCAACGGCGTCGCCGTCAACCCTTACACTCTTGTCATTACCCATCGCTCCTCTCCTCTATCTTATATCGACGGCAGCGCAGCGGAATTATCTTTCCATTTGGCCCAACACTGCCGCCACGTTGATCTGGCGCATGTCACCCATGGTGGGGATCCGACAGAAACTCGCCACACACCTCCACGGTTCGGCTGACCCGATGGAAAGCGAAGAGCAGAGGGAGAAAGCGGCCAAGGATGAGCTGGACGGAACAGTAGCTGGGACTTTAGCGGCCTTGACCTGGGCAACGGCGGAGAAGTTGAAAGATTCCAGAAGCATGCAAGAGGTGAGCCATGCAAAACCGTTACACCGCGAATAACTTCATGTTCTAATTTGCTGCGGCTTTTCGCACAGAATCCGGACATTGCAGAGAGCTTCTTCAAGTTTGCATCAGCTGCAAGTATCGAAAATAAGGCATGGGGTCCGTGTACATCTGTGCTGATCTTTTGTGATTCCACGCAGGTCATCTCGAAATACCCCGCAGCGTTCTTGAAGACTGCGCCGGAGAACCAGTCGGCGTGCATGGGAATGGCCATCCTCGCCCTGAGCGCTACCGAACAGTTTACTCTTCGAGGTGCTATCGAGTTTTTTGTAAGTAATCCAGCTCTATCGGACTTGCCCAGCTTTCAGCCGACTCGCGATCTGACCTTCAGTCTGTTTCATCTTTGCGCCCCAGGTCTCGATGTTGAACACCTCGCGTCACGCCCCACAAGCTCTAGCGGAAGCCTACCTCCCTGTCATCCAGGCTCACGGTCAATCGATTCTCTATTCGTCGGTCTTGGGAGCGGCGCTGACGAGCCCTCGATCGACCATCCCAAATTACGCCGAGTTGATGGTCGCTTTGGTCCAGAGGGTACCTAATGAGACGAGGGATTGGTTGACGGGAATGTTGCGGGATGTGAGTTGGGTCCATCGATCAGAAGCCGTAGAGAGGCGGAGCAGGCGAGGGCTGATGGCGTTCGTCTTCTGCGATATGTAGCCTGGGTACCCTGGCGGTCAGGCAGACGAGGCGTCGAAGAAAAAGTTCCAAGAGACAATGATGCGGTAAGCATTCCTGGCTTTCGACTCCCCTCTTCGAAGACCTCTTTTGCCACCAGGATCAGCAACAGCCCCGCTTGAATCGCTGCTGACATCGACGTAATCTCGCTCTCGTTTCACATAGAGCTCGAACGCCCAAACGCATCCGCGAGGCCCTGAACGATTTCGCGCTCGTCTGTCGTGGATTAGCCGGAACTGCTTATGGCAACGGAACAGTCATGTAGACCCGAAGAAGAGAGTGATGCTATGAAGGAAGGTTTATGCATCGAATTGATGCAGCGGCGATGTCTGATGGGCTATGGTCAAGGAGATAAGGATAAGGTTATGCGCCACAGTGTGATGGTAGGAATATTCACAGGTCGATGAAGTCAGTGTAAGTCAGTCAAGGCAGAAGGACGAGGTTGGAAACCAGATCGGTCGATATGAAACGATACAAGCTGCAAGCCAGCGTTTGCGTCCTGTCGTCTTCCACCCTCGAAACGGTTCCCTCCCCGGCGCCACCGACGTAGGTGTTGCCGCGAGGAGGGTGGAGGGCTACGCGCGAGGGGGATTCCAACCACGTTCGAGCTTTCGCGAAGACCACAGATCCGAGACGGAATCGTCAAAGTACCTCGAGCAGCCGGTGGGAAGAGTGCGCTCTTACCAGTGACCAGACTGTTTCGCTCCGGTCTGTTGACGTAGATGGCAGTGAGCCTGAGTATCGCAGTGGCAGTGGCGCAGTGGACAGGGAGGGTTCGAGGTCTGGAATCTCTTGTCATCATTTTGAGTTTGTCCGAGTTTTCCCGCGCGGTAGCCGTGGCACACTCTTGCTTTCTCCCACGAGGTAATGACGGCATGGGATCTCACTACCGCCTGTGCCCCCCTCTCTCCTCTCTCTCTCTCTCGCGCTCGCTGCGTTTGTTGCCATTTTGCTCTCATAAACATCTTCCCATGCCCCCCTCCCATCCCTTTCAACGACCACCTATTCGCCTGCTTGCTCGGACCATCACACCTTTCACGATCACCTAGTCCTTGCATTCTCGCACTCCGACTCGTCTGTCGTTCTCCATCATCTGGATTTCTCGCGCTCTACGAAACCAAAAGGCAACGCTGCAAGCATTCCTCAGATCGCGGATCAACAGGAAATTACAGTCTCGTGAAAGCCAAAAAAGGTCGTTACGAACGTGAGTCTCGGTCATTCCGTCAAATGAGGAGCAGAAAAAGGGCATGAGCTACGAAGTCGGCACTGGGCCAGTCTTTCTATTCGGAATCGTTTGAGAGATGAAAAGTCCGACCACGACGGGGAGGGGTGGTGGATGGGGAATGGATGATGGGCGTTTCGGAGATCAGCGTCGGCAACTGCCGCTTGATCTCGGATGGTCTCGAGCTCGCTTTGTTTGGGAAAGACAGCCAAAGGACCCCGTCGGGAGGTCGTCGATCGTTTACAAGTGCACCTGACTGATCTTGCCCATTTGACCTCGTCTGAACCTCTCGAACGTGCTCCTATCAGCCTTTCTAGTACGTTCTTCCGAGTATAAGAGCTCGACGACCCGTACCGGACCAAGCCTACTTCCCGCAACCCACCAAGCAGAACTACTCTACTCTTCTTCAAGATGGACAATATGACTCCCGACCCCTCCCCTCCCAACCCTTTGTCTATCGACGAGATTCAAGCTCAGATCGACCATCTCGAGCAGAGTCACCGGGAAAAGGGGTTCCCTCTCTCTGGTCGAATCATTCACCTGTGCCATCATCTCCCCGTCGAGATCACCCGGGTCCTTCCCGCTCCCTCTGCTCCTGCTTCCGGAGCCGACACTCCCAACAACGACGAGGACGGCTACCTTTCCCCCTCGATTCGCACCACTTCCAACTATGCCGGTGGTGTCCTCCCCCCTCAACGTATGGAAGAATTCAAGGAGCCTCACAGCACCACGGTCGTCGCTAGCGATTCCAATTGGAAACTCGCCAGCCGGAGGGGTCACACGGCCATGATCTCGGGAATGAGGTCGTTGAGCACGACGCACGAACAGATCGTCGTCGCCTGGACTGGGGACGTCTTGCAGGAGTACGCCAAGGATCCTAAACGAGCGCCCGCACCGGCTCCAGTCAGGCCGACGCCGAAACGGCTACAGTCCATCGCGGGTACCGCACCTGGACGAGACACTCCGGCTCAACCGGACATGTCATTGGGCACGTCGATCACCCCTACGCCCATCTCTAGCCAGACCCCGGAGGAAGAGGAGGAACGTCCTCTTCCCGTCGACGAACAACCTTCGGTCTACATGGCCGAACTGACGGAAGAGGAGCAGAAGGGTCTGCAAGAGGAGTTGCACAAATTCAGCGATCACGAGGTCAAGAATGATAACGCGGGGAGGATGACTTATGCGCCGGTGTTCGTTCCCCGAGGGACCGCTAAGGGGCATTACGAAGGTTACTGTAAAACCAGTAAGTTTCGAGTATGAACATGATGCTTTGGATGGGAGGCTAACGTGATCTTTGGTTCACCTCATGCCCGCCCTACAGCTCTCTGGCCCTTGTTCCACTACTTGCTCTGGCAAGACTCTCCCGTCTCGCTTCCCGCCCCGGATCCAACGTGGCAGGCTTACCAGGAGACCAACCTCTTATTCGCCAAGCGGGTCGCCGAGCTGTACAAGCCCGGTGACTTGATCATCGTACACGATTACCACCTCTTGCTCGTTCCCAAGATGATCAGGGAGTGCTTGCACCAGGTCTCTCCCTATGTCCCGCTCCACAACCAGCCGGTCGAAAAACCCGTCGTTCCGGAGGGTAGTCAGGCTACGCCGATGGCTCAGGACGGAAGACCTGTAACAACTGCGGATGGGAAACCAACCAGCCCGATGACTCTGGGTAATCTCGGAGGGGAGACAAGGGAGCAGGGAGAGTTGGCTATCGGAATGTTTATCCATACCCCTTGGCCCAGTTCGGAAATCTTCAGGTGTCTGCCCAGTGAGTCTGAGCAAACTGACCGTAGGAGAGCGCGTTGACTGAGCCTTCTTGTTGACTGCAGAGCGCAAGGAGATCCTCGAGGGTATGCTCGGTGCCAACCTCGTCTGCTTCCAGACCTATTCGTACTCGCGACACTTTGCTTCGACCTGTATCCGGGTCTGCGGTTACGAGTCGACCCCGGGCGGGATTGATGCCAATGGACAGGTCACTGCGATCACTTATTGCCCTATCGGGATCGACGTCAACAGGGTCACCTCGGACCGGTGAGTCGGGCCCTGCTTTGAATTCGTTGGCTGCAGGAATGCTGATCAGGTGGTGTCGATGGTGCCTCACAGTGACCGATCGGGAGTCGACCCCAAGACCCAAGCCCTTCGTTCGCTCTACAAGGGCAAGAAGATCATTGTCGGACGAGAAAAGCTCGACGTCGCCAAGGGCGTATACAACAAGCTCCAAGCCTTCGAGAAGTTCTTGCAGGTCTACCCCGAGTGGAGGGGTAAGGTTGTCCTCATCCAGGTCACCACCCCGGCCTTGTCTGAGCAGCCCAACTTGGAGACAAAGGTCGCCGAGCTCGTCAGCCACATCAACGGTGCTTATGGTACCCTTGACTATGCTCCGGTTCATCACTAGTGAGTTTGAGTTCTCCATCAGATCTGGCTCTGCGAGATTTTCGCTGACATCGATCGTGACCTGTAGCCACCAGGCCATCGACCGGGACGAGTACTTTGGGTTGCTCTCTGCTGCCGATTTGGCCCTTATCACCTCTTTGCGGGACGGTATGAACACCACCTCGATGGAGTTTATTCTCTGCCAGGACAAATCGAACAAGTCACCCCTGGTCCTCTCCGAGTTCATGGGTACCGCGTCGTCCTTTACCTCGGCCTTGCAGATCAACCCTCACGACCTCCTCGGCGTTGCCCACGCGATCAACAAGGGTCTTAACATGTCCGACGGCGAAAAGGAGCAGAGGCATACGAGCATGATGGAGAGCGTCAAGAGTCACACCAGTCATCACTGGGCTCGAACGCTCTTGAAGCAGGTCCTCGAAAACGTCGGATCTGAGCACCAGGCTCATCAGACTCCTGCTCTCGACAAGAGCGCGCTTAGGACCGCTTACCAGAAGGCTTCCAAGAGGTTGATGTTGTTCGATTATGATGTGAGCCTAGAGTCGCGTGTGAATATATTTTTCAGAAACACGCTGACGAACGGTTCTGTGAACGCTAATCACAGGGAACCCTCACCCCCATCGTCAAGGTCCCCTCGCAGGCCATTCCTACCGATCGCACCCGAGCGGCCATCAGAAACCTATGTGAAGACCCCAAGAACGTCGTCTGGCTCATCTCGGGTCGAGACGGTGCCTTCTTGGAGGAGCATTGGGGCATGGTCCCTAACCTCGGTCTGTCTGCCGAGCACGGCTCGTTCATCAAGATGCCCGGTAGCGACGAGTGGGTCAATATGACCGAGGCTCTCGACATGAGCTGGATGTCCGAGGTTGAGGAGATCTTCAAGTACTACACCGAGAGGACGACCGGATCCACGATTGAGATGAAGAAGGCTTCCGTCACTTGGCACTACCGTCAAGCTGACCCTGTCTTTGGAGAGTTCCAGAGCAAGCAGTGTCTCGACCTGCTCGAGTCAAGTGTCGCCCCTCGTCGACCTATCGAAGGTGAGCCCGCGTTGACATGCTGATAAATCGTAGCCAAACTAATCCTCTTTCATACGCATTTCCAGTCATGGTCGGCAAGAAGAACATCGAGTGCCGTGTCTTGGCGATCAACAAGGGAGAGATTGTCAAGCGAATCATCTATCAGAACCCGGACGCCGACTTCCTGTTCTGTGTCGGAGATGACAAGGTTAGTCGTTTTCCAGTAGACCGTGTTTAGGCATGTCTCTGACGTTCTTTGACCAATCGACTTGATCAGACCGACGAGGACATGCACAAGGCCGCTCGAAGCGTGCTGCCGCCAGGAGGCAGGTACGCCGATGGCAAGGCTGTCACAATGAAGGCTCCCGTTGCCGTCACCGCTTGTCTCGACGAAGACGAGGCTGAGAAGTTGCCCGAGGTCGAGCTCAAGATCGACGGTAGCGGAGTCTTCTCGGTCAGCGTCGGTCCCAGCACCAAGAGGACTCTGGCCAGCGCGCACTTGACTAGCCCCGAGGAGGTCATCTTTGCCATGGAGGGTGTGCTATAAACGGTTTTGCGAGTCATGTTTCTTCCCGAGCGAATGCAACGAATATAGATAGAGTAATAGGTTTCCACAAAACCGGAATTTCGCCCCAACGAGTCTTGCCACGGTGTACGAATACGATCAATTTCCGGTCTCATGCATATATAAAAGTGATTTGTCCGTGAACAAAGCGAATCCATCCCGACTCTGTTGCGACAAGCTCGACCTTCGTTCGATCGATTCCACTGCGCGGCCGGAGGAAAAGCGCGTTGGGCTCAAGTTCGTCATATCGAGCAAGAGGACTTACAACTAGCTAGGCAACCTTGGATCCTTCTGCTCTTCACCATCTGAGATACTTTGTGATAGCAGAATCAAGCATCGTCATGTCGTCCTCTGTACTAGGTAAAAGGTCTCGAAGCTCGGCATCGCCGCCCACCGGTCAGGATTCAGGCCATCCCGAGGCGAAGGAGTCGGTACAGGCAGATACGCCTGTCACTTCGTCAGACGTCCCGGTCGAGATACAAGGGCAAGCTGGTGCTGTTGTCGGTGTGGCTGACGAAGATGATGATGACGACGAGGAAGTTGGACCTATGCTCGATGTTGGAGGAGATGGAGATGGGAACGGTTCGAACAAGCGAAGGAAGAAGAAAGCCGGTAAGACTTGGTCTGCGAGACTGACTGCCCGCTAGTCATGCACTGAACATGAATCCCTCTTGGGAACGATACAGTACTTCCTCATGAAAAGGTCTATCTGGAACACTTGCCTTCCGCTGAACGATATTACAAGTCTTTCATGCACCGAGACCAAATCAACTTCGTAACCATGACCAAGTGAGTGGAATGTCGACAGCTCGGAGCTATACCCTCTGTTTGCGCACACTCATATGTCATCTGGCTATTAGGACCGACTTTGTAATCACGACCTCTGTCGATGGACACGTCAAACTCTGGAAAAAGCAAGCGGACAGTGTCGAATTCGTCAAGCACTACCGGGCATCTCTGAACTCGATCGTTGCCGTCTCGGCCGACCACGAGGGCAAGGTGTTTGCGACAGTGTCGGAAGGGGGAGAAGGCCGTGTTTTTGACGTGGTCAACTTTGGTAAGCATGGAAGCGACCTTGGACTGACACCTGTTTGTCTGACGATCCTGTTCAACCTCGTATAGATATGATCAACATCCTAAAATTCGATTACACGCCCAAGGCATGCTGTTGGGTCCATCACCCTTCAGATGGACGCTTCCTACTCGCTATGTGAGTTTTGAGACGATACCAAGCATGGGTCTGACCTTGCATGACTGACGTCAGGTTATGATCATGTACAGTTCGGATGCCAATTCGCCGAAGATATATATCTATGACGCCCGTGGCGACGGCACTCCTCTGCATGTGATCGAGAAGGTGCACCGAGACAGTGTCCACGTCATGGTGGTGAGTACCTCCTTCCGTCAGCCGTTATTAAAGCTATAATTAATTCTAGCTCGCAGTACTCTCCACGCTTCGATTGCGTTCTCTCGGCAGACGAAGCCGGTTTCCTGGAATACTGGCGGCCGCAGGAACCATGGGGTCTTCCGGACGACGTCCCTGGTCTCTGGCAGTACAAAAGTCAAACTGACCTGTTCGACTTCAAGAAGGTGAGTGGTGACGGGTGAAGGCTGTCCCGGCTATTGAACGCTGAACCAAAGAACGACAACGCTTCCAGAGCAAATCCGTGCCACACTCGATCGCACTCTCGCCGAACTCTTCACACTTCGTAACATTATCGCTACCAGACCGACAAGTCCGGGTCTTCAACTTCCTGACGGGAAAAAAGACGCGACAATACGATGAGTCGTTGACCGCTATTCAGGAGATGCAGCAGGCTGGTACTGCTTCTGCGAAACTCGATGACATGGAGTTTGGACGAAGATTGGCAGTGGAGCGGGAGCTCGAAAGGGGTAGCTTGGAAGGCGAGGGTAGTACCGGCAAGGGTGGATTGCTTAGGACGGCAAACGCTGTGTGGGACGAGAGCGGCAACTTCATCATCTACCCTACACTATTGGGAATCAAAGGTTAGACAAGTCTGCAGGCTGGCGAGACTAGGCTGAATAACGCTAATGCTCTCGTCATCAGTGCTCAATACGGTAACGAATCGCGTGTCAAGGATGTTAGGGACGTCGGAGACTTCGAGATGGTTGAACCTGGCGCTTTTCCAAGGCGCTCCTTCAAAGAAAGGACTAAAAACATTGGTGAGTATCTCACGAAGCAGAGGATCTCCCTTAAAACAGTCACTGACTGCTGTCATGAATAGGCGATGGCTGCATCGGCAAATCCTTTGTTATTAGACACCGAAGGTCGGGATCCTACCCTTTTTGCGACTGCCTTCAAGAAGCAGCGATTCTACATCTTCTCGCGATCAGAACCAGAGTGAGTAACATTCGAAAATACCTGTTTGCCTCATCACTCAAGAGGCAACCTTTGCAGAGATACCAAAGGGGGAGATCGAGATATCTTCAACGAGAAACCGACCAGAGAAGAGCAGACCGTGGCTATGGAGACGCAACCTGTCAAGGTCGCCGCCAGTGGTCGGACCGCGGTTATTCATACCACCAAAGGGGATATCGTAGGTCACAGCCCGAGCTTGCTGCAGGCTTGAGCAGTCAAATCCTGACTCGGAACGATATCGCAGCATTTCCGGCTGCATCCCGAGTATGCACCAAAGGCGGTCGAAAACTTTGTGGAGCACTCCAAGAATGGATACTACAATGGCATCATCTTCCATCGAATCATCAAGAAATTTGTTAGTACCTCAAGCTCGTTCGACGCGCCTATTAGCTAATTTTCTTGAAATGCTTCTGCTAGATGCTGCAAACGGGAGACCCTCTGGGTGACGGTACTGGTGGTTCTTCCATTTGGGGTTCGGAGTTTGAGGACGAGTTTACTCCAGCTTTGAGGCACGACCGGTAGGCCGACAAAATCCTCTATGGAGTTGAAGGAGCTGCCGAGCTAAGCCGACTATGCATAGACCCTACACACTCAGCATGGCGAATGCCGGTCCTCGCACCAACGGAAGCCAATTTTTCATCACGACTGTTCCTACCCCTTGGCTGGACGACAAGCATACGTGAGTTACCTGGCACGACTGCGCCTGGTGATATCACGAACTCACCCGCAAGAGCGTACTTTGCAGTATCTTCGGTCGCGCAACAGCAGGACTCGACGTTATTCATGCTATCGAAGACGTGCGATGCGACAAGACTGATAAACCATTTGAGGACATCAAGATGGTCTCGATCGATATTGACTGATCGAGAACGAGATATGTTCGTGCTTGAGCGTGTATAGAGTACGATCGGGTATAGGTGTAGTTACAATGACAAAAGCAGCCAGACCCTCATGCAAAGCTTCCCCCTCAAAACTTGATGCATTGCGTTTCGACAAGAATGTTAAGTATCGTTATAAGGCAATACGAACCTAGCAAGAAAATAGCCCAATTTTTGGTGATCCAGTACCCGTTGTAGGGCACGAAGCACATGGTGGCTATGAGTAGCGCAATGAGCCCTATTGCGGACACCCAAAGGGTGGACGAGAAGTGAACGATATACGAGTGACCGGTAGCAAGGATGACGTAGGTGCCGGCCCCTCCAATACCGAGCAGAATATTTAGCATAGGGCCACCGAAGCTATTCAGGTGCGATTAGCTTGGTGCACGAATTACTGCCAGATCATGACACTCACCAGGCTGCGTATGACATGGACGGCGCAAAAGAAGCCACTGTCAGGTTGGCGATCAGGTCTGCACAAGAGTTTCCGATCGCAAAGACTGTCGGTGACAAAAGTGGGTCAGCCAGTGGTTCGAGAATGGCAGCCGGGTTATGACGTACTGGTAAGGCCGATAATGGCGTTACTGAGACCCAGAATGTGGCCAAAGACCTGCGACAGTGAAAAGTCAGTCCCTTACGCCGCGACCGCACACTGCAGCCAGACTGACCCGCAGAATGTCGACTACAGCATCAGCGATCGCAGCAATCCATGTCATGGCCGCCAGAAATCCGGCAAAGCATCGGATCAATCGCCAGTACTGATTTTGTCCATCCTCTGCTCGCGACAACACGATGACTGCCAGCACGCAACCTCCACCTGTTGCTGCAGGTATAGCCCAGTTTGCCCAATCATATTCCGCTAAAGGGAGTAGAAATGAATATACTTGCTACCACTTTCATCAGTGACAGCGGTAGACTTACAGAAAAAGACGCTTGAACAAAAAAGAGGTCCAAAGACGCATTGCGCAGCGGTTAGATACTTGTTGAAGAGGAGAGCATGACCATCACTGTGTTGGCTTTCGATGCTCCTGCCTTCCGAGTCGGACCCTGCAACAGGCACCTGATCACCCTCCGGGTCGTATTGGTTGTGATCAAAATAGTCCGTCTGATGATGATGATGGTCGTGTTGAACGCCAGAAGCGGGAGAAGGCATTCCTGCATCAAGAATGAGATGATGCAAGCCCGCCCCAGCATGAGCAGCGAAATGCTTCGAATTATCGGTCTCATCATTCGAGATTGCTCCTGCTGTTTCCAGATCGATGTCCGAAGGCAGATCATCGGTCAAAACGATACCGCCCTTATTGAGGCTACATCCCTCGGCCTCGTCGTCAACAACCGGGAGTGTAAGCGTCAACGCGAAGATAGCCGGCGATGCAAACACTCCCAAGATCTTTCCGGTGAGAGACTTGTGCTTAAACCCCTGCAGGGCGGGAAACAAGACGTGTATCGTCTCGTGGATGACGTGACGCACTTTGTCCCGCTTGCGTCTTCGGTGAGGTTTCTGATGTGTTTCGGTGACGTCATCGAGAAGAGGTTGATGAGGCGAAGTTCCCTCGACGAGCGTTGATTCCACGCTCTCATCTGCTGGGATCAGGTTGATAGATGGGACCGGTCGATGGCACTTCCGGGTCGCAGATACGGACTGAGTCCCGGTCGCATTCGCCGCGTCTTCCGATCCTTTCAGTTCCCTAGCCAAAGGCGATGGGTTGGACGGCGCCTTCATTGGCACATCCGGGATAGACAAGGTTGACGGGGCATGGATGTCGGATATCGATTTGGACCGGGTCCCTCTTAGAATTGAAGCGGCAGGAGTGGTCGATAAGAGGGGAATGACTTCGGAAGTGCCCGTCAGTGCCTCTTCCACGTTCCCAACCTCTGGCTCCCCGAGCTGAGATCGAGGGATCCCGGTAATCGATTTGTTACGGCGACCGAGTTTGCGATGAGACGGACTCGTAGCTCTCGAATGCGCGTGACTTGCATGCGAATGGTAGTGGGCGCTGGGATACGGGGTTATCGGGCCGAAATAGTCGGACAGATCTGCTTCTTGTTGAGATTCGCCCGAATGAGGCCCTGACCACAGATCGACATCCGAACGGCCTGAAGCCATTCCTTCCTTCCTCAAAGTGTTGATGGCATCTCTGAACTCAATCGCTCCCAGGAGAGAGAACGTCGGCCTCGGGATGTCCGAGATGGGCCTTTCTTGTGAACTGAGATTCGGAGAAGCTCTGAATGCCGTATTGAGGTTCCGACTGGTGGTCGCATTGTACGACGAAGGAGTGGGTGGAGCTTCGGATCGATCAGAATCTTTCGAAGACACGCTCGACGACCTCGATCGCATCGAACGAGGCCGAGCAGGTTCTCCATTGGGGTGAGGTGTTAAGAACGCAGCGGACCCTCGACGCGATTCACTAGCTGAAGGGGCCAGAGCATCGATGCCATTGAGCGATCGAGAGCCTTCGTCATGTTCCGCCTGCTCTGCAAGCGCCAGACGCCCCGTCCCGTTCCTGCCGTCGTCATCTAGCCGACCAGCTGTGGCCAGCTTATGTCGACCTCTCCTGTCCATCCACCAGTTCCCCCCAACGATCAGGGCGACATAGATGATGTAGAGCAGCATCAACCCCCCAGACTCGATCAATGTCAATTTGCCATCCGTCAGGCAAGCGACGAGTATCATGACGGAGAGGGTAAAGAAACCAACGTCCCGGATAAAAGGCCATCGGGGGACTTGGAAAGGCTGGACGAGCGCCATGCATCCGACGACAACCGAGATGATGAAGCAGGAGGCTCCGAGTAGCTCTCCAATGGCTAGCGAGAAGGTGTTGCTTCGGAGTGCCGAAAAGGTCGAAAAGACGTCGGGAGAGCCGTTTCTGCAGAGATATCACGAATGTTGGTTTTAGCACACGCTCCAGTCACAGGCTATGCTGTATGTTTGGAAGAAGAACATACCCAAAGGCGAGGAATGTTACTCCAGCAGTGCTCTCTGCCATACCTAGCCTATCAGCGACAGTAGCCAAGTTCGGGCAGAAGAAGTCCGACGCGGTGATCCCGATTGTAGCGAACAAGAAAGCACCCCTACGTATGCCGAAAAGACAGATGATGGTCAACCACCACTCCTCCCAACCCATGTATACCAGACGAAGACGCTGTACGAGCTTACCAGAGGATAAAGCCGGCAAAGATGAAAGGCTTGACATGCGGTTTCGCTCCATTGTACAGATCCCAGTAGTCGATCCCAAACATGCCTCCTTCAGGCTCTTCAACATCGCTAACAGGCTTTGCGTGACCAGCTAGGATATCCTCGATCGCCCCCATCGATGTGTGATTCGTATGGCCGCCATTCAATTCCGCCGTCCACACAGGGATGTCTGACCGACGTGTGAGCGCTTGAGATTCGGAGACATGCAATCGCTGTAGTTTCTGCTGGCCTCGCCACAAGAAGCATTGTAAGACCAGGCTCAGAGCGAGCAGGATAAAGACCCTGGAGATTGGTTTCTGAGCTTTGCCCGGAGAAGGCGCCATTGTGCGGGATTGACGTTATGCCAGTAGGCTAGGTCTTTTCAGGTATGTCAAGTCAATTCGATAGCCGAAAGGCGGCGAGTTGATAGTCTGGCTGATGTATTATTACATCCTTTCAATGAGATCTCTACCTCTGTCTCCTGTCGTTTCCCGACGTCATCGGTCTAAACCGGGAATCTCAATGATCTAAATGAGTAACACAGCCTTGTAATAACGCATATTCATTTCACACGGCCAGCGAAGCACGTGACCTCACGACTTGCGGTAACAGGCGCAGCACCCTTCAACCTGATACTGTGACAAGACTATGCTGATTGTATATCGTATCCCACGACCCTGTTACAAGAAAAGATGCAATTTCTATACACGATGATCGCTTTGCGATAGCTCTAGTGAGTGTCCGGGTGCTCGCCGTTGGCGATCGCAACCCAGTAAGAACCGCTAGGGTAGGTGAACTTTTCGATCGACTTTTGGTACCTGCATCGTGATTGTGGTTCAAGACATGTCAGGAAGATGAATCGATACTTCGGGGCCCAGAGCCTACTCACATTTCGATACTGTATCCGACCTTCTCCCCCTGGGGCACATTGTACCTTCCCTCGCTATTGATGGACACGGGGTAGAGGAAGTTCTCGTGGAGGTGGCTGTTGTGGTACGTGTATTCCTGTCAATTAACGTCCAGGCACGAGACGACCCAAGAGATTGCCGGATGACTCACTCGACAAACTCCAACACGTTGCGGTCCATGTTACCGGAAACGCAGATGTAGTCGATCAGGGAAAGGTGGATCTGTCGCGTCGCGCCACATCAAATAGCTTAGCCATCGAACGGAACAAGCGCGAGAACTTAGGATGACTTACGACGTATTCGCAGAGCCCGACACCTCCAGCATGAGGACAGACGGGGATTCCAAACTTGGCCGACATCAACAAGACGGCCAAGACCTCGCTCACACCTCCCAATCGACACGAGTCGATCTGACACACATCGATGGCTTCGGCTTGCAAGAGCTGCTTGAAGGTCATTCGGTTGTGAGCGTGTTCGCCGGTGGCAACACCGATCCCGTGGGGCTTGAGCTGCTTCCTGATCGAGGCGTGACCGAGAGCATCATCGGGCGCGGTGGGCTCCTCGATGAACCTATCGAGATGAATGAAGTCGATGTCAGTTCTAAGATGTCACGAGACCGAGACTCGACCCAGCTTACCAAGGCTTGAGGGGCTTCAACTTCTGCATGTACTCGACAGCCTGGGAGACGTCCCAGACCTGGTTGGCGTCGACCATGAGGACACACCCGGTAGGTCCAGCGTTCTTGCCCTCGATCGTCTTGGGGTCGACGTTCTTCCTATCATCCCGAATGTTCTCCGGGTTGTCGATGATCGATCGGATCAACATTCCTCGACGGAGATCGTCCTCCCAGTCGGCACCGACTTTGAGCTATGGAGATCAGATATCGATTAGACTCGAGCGACTTGACCAGTCTTATGAGACAGAACTCTTTTCGACTCACCTTGAAGTGGTTGAAACCTTGCTGCAATGACTCCTTGGTCAACCTAGCAATCTTCTCGTCCGAGTACCCGAGCCATCCGACCGAGGTCGTATAAGCAGGGTAACCCCGCTTGATGACTTCCTCCTCCCTAGCCTTCTTGCTGCTCTCCTTCTCCTTCAACATGGCCAAGGCCTCCTCAGGGGTGATGGCATCGGTAATGTATCGGAAACAAACCGACTTGACGAACTCTTCCGGTGAGAAGTCGCAGATGAGCTTCCAGAGAGGCTTGCCTCGGGCCTTGGCGTAGAGGTCCCAGATGGCGTTGGCAACGGCGGCGGTGGCAAGATGGATGACACCCTTCTCCGAACCGGTCCATCGGAGTTGAGGATCGCTGACGACTACGCATTGCCAAGCAATCATACCGTTAATGGCCCCGCGCGCGATATAAGCGTTTGCTGGAGGTGCTCACGGTAATCATAGGTTTTGCCCATGTCGGCGAAAAAGTCTTCAATCTTCTTGCCGACGACCATGTTGGCGACGTGGTTGATAGCGTAGCAGACGATATCGTTACCTCGACCAATAGCTACGAAACAGACGATTCAAGTTTGAGCTACAGCCAGACAGCTGAACGGAGGAGATCGGGTGACTTACTGAAGGTCATTCCTTGACCCTTGAGGTCGGAGGAGGTCTCCAGAACGACATAGGCAGCAGAGTAGTCACACTCCTTGTTCCTGCGAGCGGTGAAGCGGTGTTTGGTAGATCAGCCTCTGTTGCAAGACAGTATAAGCCGCTCGCTGACTTGCATGGCATCGGTACCGTCACCCGTGACATTCTGCGAGCCGAGAAACGATTGTCAGGGGGCTTGTCGCCAGAATGCCTGCCAGATGAGCTTACGGTAGGGTATCGAACATCTGTTTAAGAGATTGAGTTTAGGATGAGCTCGGATCCTACATTCGCTAGGCGAGCTCAGAGCAGCTTACCGTGAACGGAGAAAGAGGTGATAGTGACGTCGGACATTGTGAAGCAAGTACGGGTTGTTTTTATGAAAGCAATGCTAAGCGAGGATGTCGTGAATGGCAGTGGTCAATGACCTATGAGCTCGCACAATGGTCTTATATGAATACCGGCGACCATCCATCCAGCCCAGAGCCCTCCCAACAGCAAACAAGGGCGAACGCTCTGCGATCGCTGCCCGAATACGGTCCGAGCCACACCGGGCCGTGGACCGCTTGGCCCGGGCCGGGTACCTCTGTCGCGTCGCGTGCGCGTGTCGGACCACAGTCGCTTCTCGCAGCCAAAATTAGGAAACATCCTCCTCGTCCCTGTCGAACTGATGATGATGTTCCATCTTCACTGTAGATCAGCTGTCATGATCGATCCACCTCGCTCTGTACGTTCTACGCTCGCGATCGGAAATAGATTGAGCAGCATGAAACATCATATATTGGTAGCAAACCTGGTCACAGCGAATCTAGCGATACAATCAATTTGGCTCACGTCTCCGAATACAAGAAGAGCCAGCGGGCATCCTACGGGTCATCATCTATCGTTGTCGTCAGTTTCGTAGCCTTCCGTGGCGGTGGCATAGCTGTTTCCCGTCATTGCGGAAAAATCAGTCTCCAGGCGTCGGATAGGCGGAAGGAGTGGCAGGTCATTTTTGGGTGGCGGTTTCGTTGCGAGGCCATCAGGTGTCGACCTCTTGTCTTCCTGCTCCGGCTCCGGGTATACGTTTGAGAGGTAAGATGCGCTCCGCGAAGGTGGGGCTGGGAATTCGCGGGCGATCGTGGCGATCCCTCCAGGCTGGCGGAACAGATTGGTCGGCGTTTCGGGACTCGGGGTCGCAGAGTGATTTGCGGGCATAGTCACCGAGCGACCAGAGCTGGCACTGGAATCGGATTCGAAACGAGGTAGGCCAGGTGTGGTGAATTTTTGGTCGACGTTCGGGGTGGGAGGCTGGCTAGGAAAACAAGTCGAGGGGGATCCGCCTATCACAAACTCGGGCACCACGCTCGCACGAGGCATATGTCCCCGCTCGTTTTTATTTGACAGTTGGTCCATGGAAGGCGAACGGTGAGCGGGCGTGGCCGAAGGGACTGTTCCGACGTGAAGTGAGGCTGTAGAAGTGAAGAAACAGCACGTCAACGCGATACTATCGAAAGCCGCAGCCGGACTCGTCACTTACTATTCTCAGAACTGCTTTTGTGAATCAAGCTCTGCCTTCCTCCAAAGACAAAATCCCCATCGCTTCCATCCTCAGTCTGCGTCTGATAAGGCGAACCTTGAAACAGCTTGTTCTCCTCCCTCGTCCAGGGGGCGTATTCATCACCGAACTCTTTGCGCAACGTCGCATGACTAGCTTGCCGGTCCAGTGCGTTGGGGGATGCTGCAACGACGCGCATTTCGAAGGGCAAATCCAACCCGTCACCTCGGTTGGGCGACCAGCCGTATTCTCCATAGGCGAGCACAGGCGTGGCGACTTCGACGCCAGCATTCTCCGCGCTGACATCCTGCGAGGCCCGATGACCCTCGCCTGTTGTCGGCGTACTGAGCATTCGCGATATGGCTGAATCCCCAGATTCCCGGTCGTGCGAGTTTGCACCGGCACGATCTCCCTGGTTACGGGCCGCATAATTGGATGGAGAACGTGGACTTGATCGCGAAGCTGAATGGGGTGCAGGATATGCAAGCGGCGAAGACCAGGTCATTCGAGGTTTAGCGAAGAAAAGTTCCTGTCGAGCCAATGAATCAGTGTCCGATCTTCCCTATGCCCCTACTCGGTTGACATACCTGATCGTATTGGTCGAGTTCATCCATCGGTACAGAGGGCCGAGGAGACAAGTCGGAAATGGCAGGCGAAGCTTCAGAAGAACCGGCGTTCATACCGCGAGGGATGGTGAGCAGGGGACTGGAATCGTCAAGACCGCGATTCGACTGCTCAGTTCCCGGCCGTTTCCCGACTGAAGAGGCCGAGCGGTTTGACTCGTTGCCCTCGGTGACTGGGGTCAAATACTTGCGAGAAGCATTCTGAGGCAGAATTCCTGCAGCCTCCAAGATTTCTCTCCGATCTGGAGGAATGCTGGATGAAGCCGCAAATGTGTCCGGTATATTCACCTGTCCCGTAGTGGCAAATGATTCGGGGTCTTCTCCGTAGAGCAACATCGCCGACGTCCTGGCTCGATTGACAGCTTCCTCGAGCGATGATTTCATCCTTCGTGGCGAGTTCGACAGCCGCGAAGCCAATGCGCGAGCCGTATGCGGCGGTAACGGCTCTGCCCACACGCCACTCGACGTGCTGCGAGTGGGACTGTGGACCTGGTTCAGGGAAGTGGTCCTCGCGGGAGACAAGGGTAGTTCCGGTCCCAATACCGGGGGTTCGGACAAGGTCAGATACCGCGTCCGCACCTCGTTGGCGTCCATCAGTCGTTGGGAATGATTGTCAGACTGAACATTGCTAGATCCACGGCTATGGCGAACGGCCGTACCATTGGTCCGAGGGCTGAACCAAAGTGGTGTTATCGGTCTTGTATTTACAGCATTCGCCTGTGTAGAGGAGTCGGGACCTGCTGTCTGCAGAGGGTCGACAGAATCGCCGACGCCTTGCGACCAGTCGGGCGTGTGAGCCGCCGCACGACGAAGATCCGGTGAACTATGGTTACGAGACAAACGATTGTCGCGTTGAGAGGGAGTGCGCGGTATGGGAACGGCGAACGGATCCTCGGGAGCGCGGCCAATACTTCCATAGTCTCTGGGAGCATTGCGGAAGGATTGCGCCTCCGTGGAAGTGGAGCCGAACTGGCGGGGAGTACTTCCACCAGCCTTTCGAGATGAGCTGGTCGCGGATCGCGATCGCGAGCGAAGGCTGGCAGTAGTGGGCAGAAACCCAAAGCTAGTGCTGATCGGTGGAGAGGATTTTTGGGGGACTGGCCCGAAACGGTTATCAGGAGAACGAGGTAAGGTGAAGTAGGCGTCCCCCTGATTGCGCAGTTCTCGGCCGCCATGTGGACGTTCAGCACCTGTACCGAGGCTATTACTACGTGGCCGTCTGACACTTCGTTTGCGTGTGCCTCCTACGGATCGAGCCCATTCTTGACGTTCCCGTTCGCGTTCAGCCCCCTCGTCCATCACACGTATGCCGCTAAGAGCCGGACTGGATGTCCTTGTCGATCCAAAGGTAACCCCATACTTTTGACGATCGATGATAAGCACGTCCTCAACTGGACCTTGCTCCCTGCCTTTACCCTTCGCTTCCGCTTTGAAAGCTCGTTCGCGTTGAACCTGCTCAGGCGTAGCTGGAGGCGAAGCTGTGTGAGCGACCAGCTTGGGTCGAGGTAGGACGAGTTGCTCACATCCGTTTCGCGCCTCCCACCGTGTCGGCTGAAGCAGCTGTACAGCCTCCTGACTGGCAGACCGCGAAAGGCCAGTACGCATCCAATGAACAGGCTGGTCTGAGCCTCCCCTTTGCAGCTGCGCATCGCTAATTGCAGCAATAGGCCGTAGACCCGAGCCATCTCCGTTGTCTTGATGAGTATGCCGGGTTGCTAGCGCAACTTCAACAGGCCTGCCAGATACGGTACCTGCACGAAGCCCGATCCCTTCTTGGTGAAGGCGCGAAACCGACAACATCCTCCGCGATTCCAAATCTTCTACCTGCTTCTGCATATGGCTTGGCCCCGCTGGCATTAGTATTGCATTGCTCGGATCTAGAGTCCGAAGATCGGGTTTCACAAGCGATCGAGACACGCGGGCCGCAGTCGAATGCGTCGGAACGGGTCGATACGCAGCGATGGACACCCCGAATGGAGCCGAAATGGAAGGAGAAGCGCTCATAGAAGCAGATTTGCCGTGTGCTTTGCGAGAATGGCGAAAGACAGGCAGCTGAGATACGCTATTCTGCGCCGACTCTCGGTGACCCGAAAACAGGCGGGATGCGAAGAGCGATCTCGCCGGAGCAGGCTCAGTCTTGGCGCGATTGTGATTCGCTTTGGCCTTTCGATTTCCATCCGTGAGATCGAGGAAAGTAGTTTGAGGTTTCAACCGGACGAGATCCTGGATATTGATCGGGTCCCCGAGTCGAGACGGTCCACCGACAGGGAAAGTAAACCCGAAATCGATATCTCTCGAATCCTTGCTTGGTAAGACAGTCGCTGATGGCGAAAACGATGTTTCTGCGGCCGCTGTGTTCTGACGTCCAGGTGACTGAGAAGCAGTACCCGTTCTGGCACTGCTCCAAAACCCATGGAAACTGCTTCCAGCACGATCAACTGGCCCCGTCGAGCCAAAAACATTCGCTCCGGGTGACCCCTTCTTTCTTTTTTGCTTGGAAGAGGGATCTCTGGGGGATTCTCCTATCGCACCTCCAGGCGAGCTGTAATTGTTCGAAAGAGTGCCATTGTCTGGGCCGTCTAGGATGAAAGTTCTCTGTGAAAACGGAGAAGTAGAAGATCCCGAGTTTGGTGCAGCTTGTTCTTGCATTGATTCCCGTTCTACCCAGGAATACCGGTTTGACGACGACAAAGATCTCGTGGTGTAGGCAGAATTTGGCGATACTACTGATTTGTATGGTTCTTGAGCTTCTCGTTCTCCGTCGTAATGCTGCTGAACAAGGTGATTCTGCGTAGCCATCCGTAAAAGGTCATTCGAAGATCCACTCAAAGATTTGTGATGGTTGTAGTTAGGACGTGATGGGGATGGTTGAGAGATTCTGCAAATGAATGTAAATTCAACTATTCAGCTCCGATGTGAAAGGAAGTAGAGATGATGCCACCAGCTAGCGACAGGACGAGACCGAGTGGATTCCAGAACTTGATTACTCAGTCTTGTACCGCTGAGGAACAGCTGAACCTATATATGGACCGAGGCTCTCCTACTTTTAACGTTCAAGACCGTAGAAGATGCGCCGATCGCAACTTGGTTGAAGGTGACGGAGAGAGGGGACAGAAACGCTCGTGATGATAACCGAGACTCACTTGCGCCCATCGTAATCGTAATTCATATTGCACCGTTCCCTAAACCGTACGATAGCCTTCTTGCGAGTCCCTCCCCGAAATCCAATACGAAATTACGAAGAAAACATGATGTAGGGTACCAACAGAAATCCCTTTGTTCGCTCGATGGAACTCTTAGGGGTGAAGCGAAACTTTTCGGTTCCAGGGTAGATCTCGTCCGTTCAAGGCTAAGTCGATATGAAGATCGCAAAGGAGGGCCTGGGCTGTCTGACTACCTGATGTCTCGGCTTCAGAATATTGGGTCTCACCAACAATCAAGATAGGCCACAGTACCATCACAGCGGGGCGAGGGGCCCGTTTAGACGTTACGCGCGGTCCGTTTGATGCCCGTTTAGAAATGACTTTTTTCCAGCCCTCTCCGCAAGTTTCCGCAATTTTCATGTCGCGAACTAAACCCCGTTTGGGGTCCGTTTAGGGTTAACCAAAAGTCCAGCTTACGTCAGCCTTGTTTGGGGCCTAACCAGGCATGTATTCGACCTGTTCTACATTCATGTAAGACCAACTATATATGTTCATATCTCTCACTGTACCACTCGTACCAAATCCTGGTAATCGACCTACAAAGGTACTCTAAACCCACCTCAAACTGACAACAATGAGCGGCTTTAGACACAACGCTCCAAGGTGGGATCAACAGTACCCGTTGTCACTTGGGTTGGACGAGATATTGAAACGAGTGGTACGCTAGATGGTCGTCAAACGGGCCTCTCTGAACCCCCACTGATTGCCAGCATCAGCCAAAGCGAAAATTTGGCAAGTGCTACTGTACCAAATGTGGACCGGGCGGCGTCGCTATCTTAGGACGGACTTATTACGCCCATTCAGTGGCCGAATGGACCCTGATTGATAACCGGGAATTTGCCAGGCAGAGAAATCTGGATCGACTCGCCGCAGCGACTCACCCCCCTCCAGCTCCCCCTGAGCCAGAAGAGCCAGAAATGCGGCCTATTACACCCCAATCAGAGGGTGTTGATACACCGTTTGAAGCACCAGCAGAAATGTCCCTGGGTGATCATCTTCGGGCCTTCAATGACTTCCCCGAGAACATCAATCCTGATGTGGAACGGTCCTCAAATGACCATCGAACGGACCAAACCGGCCCAGCACTGCACACAGCTCCTGGTCTACATGACATGATCGACATCTGGCCGAACGATATTCCTCAGTGCTTGCAAGACAGCCCCCTTAGTCAGCCTTTATCAGGTCTGATTAGCGACCAACAAACGGCCGATTTGCCTTTTGCCGAAAGGTTCATCTACACGGTATCGCTTACGCTGGAGGCTGTCGGCGTACCTAGGGATAAAACAGAATACGCCCTCAAAGCCATGATTTGTGTGGCCAATATGACACTGTTAAAGGCCCGAAGAGACTTCACCAACGAGCAGATCATCGACGACTCGCCCGCACAAACTCTCAAAACAGTCCGCAAGCGAATGGGCATCGATCTGTCTACAATCGCCCATCCTGTTTGCCCAAACAAGGACTGTCAAGCAGTGCTGTATGAAATTACCACGATGTCGACTGCCGCTGGGGCTTTGCAGGGGGTAGAGAAGTGCCCGAAGTGCGGCCTAGACTGGGCCGAACCGGGCTCAACTAGAGGACCATCTACCCCTGCAGTATTTCCGACACTTCCCCTCACCAGCGAGATTGAGAGACTGCTAGCATACCCAGGGGTAGAAGAACTGGCCTTTAACTGGCGTGAAAGGCACGAGGTCGACACCCAACTGGCTAAACATGATTACCCCGACCTGAAAATCTACCGGGACCAGACGGATGGCTCATATTTACATTCACTGCTCGATCCTGACGGGAACAGGGTGGATCAGGGCCCGTTTGAAGGGGTAAAAGAGATATTTGTGAATCTGTCTCTCGACTGGCTCAACATCAACTCGTCATCGCATGGACCTGGATATTCTGTCGGCCCAATCCTACTCCAAATGGGCAATCTTCCGCAGTCAATGAGGGGGCTTCAGGCCATGGTTATGTGTTGCGGTTTGACTCCAGGTAAGCTTTGTTGATCGCTAGCCATTCGTGTACATTGGGTTTAAACGTACTATTAACAGGCCCGAAAGAACCCAGTAAAATGACCCTTTGGCAATTCATGCTTCCGATCATCATGCAACTTCGTCGGACTTGGGAAAAGCCAGTTTTGATCAGGACGCCAAAGCACCCAGACGGGGTCTTATGTCGCATTTATCTGGCCACAATCAGTTGTGATAGGCCAGCCTTCACGTCGCTCGCTGGGTTTACCGGACAGATGTCGAAGGATCACATTTGTACGCGATGCACCCTTACTGAGGATGGTTTTGCGGCCAATCAAGGTGCGTTTGATCCTCGTTCCAGTTTCACATGTATCGCTGACGGCTGTTCCAGTTGGGGAGCCTAGAGATTCGGTCAAACAGGCTCGTGATTTTCTAGAGAGTGAAACCCGAGTGGCAGCGGCGGTCGAAGAGGCCCGTTTAGAGCACGAAGAACGCCAAAGAAATCTTCAAATCTTGTTTGACGCAGGTCGGGAAACACACAGGTCTCAACCGCGCGAGTTAGGGGCCCGAATACCCCCCGCTCATCGCCCCATGCCTTTCAGCAGGCTAGCTGCACAACGTGTAGCCAATCTACCTCAAAACAGGCCTTCACCGGGCCACTTGAGCGCCCTGTATCTGCTCCTCTACGTGGCGACTGCAGTTGCTGGCGTTTTCGATGCCATGCACAACATCCTCTTGGGCGTGAACAAGACTCTTTGGCGATCATGCGTTGTTCAGGGCGAATACAAGACCGACAAAGGCCCGGTTGAGTCTGGAAATCGATCGGCATCGGAAACTGAGACTGATAATGTGGAGTCAAATGGAGAGGGCTCTACACGTGGTTCGCAAGGCCTGTTTGGGCCCCGTCCCCCCCGCGTTGCTACCCTACGACTGGATGATCGAGTCGGTGATAAACCATTGACTCTGACAGCCCATCAGTTGTCTTTGATCAAAGATACAATCGGCACTGTGAGTGGAGCTCCAAAGGACCGTTTAATGTGCGTTTATGCTGAGTTTCAATACATCTGCACAGGTGATTACGCCTAGCAATCGATCTGTCTTCCCACGTCTGCCATCGACATTTTCGGACCTCAAAGGGGGGTCAATGTCGGCCGTTCAGTGGCGGTGTTTCATGGAGTTTTATGTCCCATTGATTCTCCCCGAAATTGCCCTCTTATCCCGCTCGAACGAGGCCCGAAACACCACCAATAGGGGAAAGTCAAATACTCGGATCACCCCAGAAGAGGTCGAGATGCTGCTTCTACTATCGGGCATCAATCTGGTCTTAATCAGGCCCGAAATCAGTGAGATACAGCTGCAAGAAGCGGAGAAGTTGATCAAGCGCTTGGTACCTCTGGCCCTTAAGATCTGACCGGGCCTTAGAGCCACCCGTAACCTACACCAGTTAATACACATTATAGACGACATCAGGGCGCATGGGCCTATCTACTCGCACTGGTGTATGTGTGGCGAGCGATGCGGCAAGTGCATCAAGAATGGCAACACCAACAAAAAGACCCTCGAAATTACTGCAATCAATGCCCGTTTAAAGGCCAGTACAGCCGGTCTCATACAATCAGTCCTGTCACGCTACACAGAACATCCAGAAGATCAAGAAGCGGTACTCAAACTGGCCTCGTTCCAGTCAGGTTTCCTAAAGAACGACCAGGCTCGTGGGTCATCTGCTTCAGAGCTCTATGCCGAGATGCAAGCCGACGCAGCCCAAGTAGAAGCTGGCGTTTATCGATCCCTGAACGGCCGACTTCTTGGTCCACTGAAGGTTACTCCAGCACCGCTGTCCTATCTTGAACCCAACCTGCGTCCTATCGTACTCCAAACTCTCATGAACAGTGAACAAAATGACGGGAATGTTACTTACACCTTCCGTGAACGAGGGGCTGAAGTACTTCAAGGGGCAGACTTGGACAACACCTATTTCATCCAACGAATGGTCAAGAAACATGCCTGATTGGACACCCATTACAAAGGCTTCAATACGTGGAATTTGAAGGCTGATCCTACAACTGCCAACTTGGAGTCGTTCAGGGATCGAATGGCCATTTATCAGCCCTCTCGCAACGTACTTTACTGTACCTATGACTCGCCATCCTTGATATTGCTGGATAACATCCTTACGGTGAAGGCTGCCACAAACGGGGGTCAATCGCGGGAGTTTGTACTGCTTCTAGGCCGTAGAAGCATTGCTTACAGGGGAGAGACCGAGCACGTCTACTCAGATCAGTCAGTATCAATCGACCAATCACTCTCACAGCTTCGTGTTAACCACCCTCTTATGTAGCCCCAATCTGGGTGTACAAATGTGGGAACCCAACCAGTTCGAAGAGGAGCCTTGTTGTTGAGAACTGAATACACACACTCTCACTGCCTTGAGACCCGTCACCTTGCGATCGATGCGGGCCAATCCAACCCTGAATGACCCCCGTTTAGTATGGGCTAGTATTCCTTGCACTAGGGTCTGACTTGGTCCGACTTGATCGAGCCAGTGAAAAGACTTCCTCATCAAACAGGCCGTCTTGTTGTTCGTTTGGGTACCGTTTGAGGCCTTCTAGTTAATCATGATAAATCGATTTGAAATCGCTTACGAGCTTAGTATCTTATAGCAGATAAGTGATCGCTTCACAGGTGAGTGCTCAAAACGTCTGAACGGACATGGAACGCTCATTAATCGGACCCCAAAGACTTCTATATATGCTACAAACAGATATTGATACATGTCGTAAAGAACTCGTAAAAAGACACAGCACCTCGTAAGTTAACATTATAAAACGGGCTCTAAACCTGCCTCTATTGCCTGCCTTGGCCCCCATATCGTCGTGAGAAAAGACGTCGTATACTTGGTCGTGAAAAAAGGCCGTAACGTAAGTCGAACACAAGAAAAAACACGTCGTCGTATTGCCGCTGACTCGGCCCGTTTAGTGTCAGTTCAGACCCCACTGCTCGCACGAACCTCAAGTGCAGGTGACGCCGGTATCCTCCTTGTAGAATTGGATGGCGGCGGCCTTGAGCTCGAACGAGTTTAAAGTGGCCCCAACCGGGCTCTGATAGACCCCGATCGTGTCCCGAATGGCGACGTTCGCGCCCTCCTCGAGCCACTCGTCGAGACTCTTCATCGCGGCGTCGTTCGCAGACGGTAACGGATCGGGGTATATACGGGCCCAAAGTTCGGGCTTCTGGGTCTGGATCTTCGTCCGAACGTCCTGGCGAATCATCGACCGGTA